GAGATTTCTCCACAGTAGGTTGGCTTCTCTCACCTCTAGTAGGTGTGGAATGCGGAGAAAATTCTGACATAGCAGACAAGGTATCCAACTCCAACACGCTGTCGACATAGGCCTTATTCTCTAAAACGCGATGCTTAACGCGAATAAATTATTTTCCGAGGCGCCTGTACACGCGCACCTGAAAAGGAACTTGTTAAAAAATTACAACAATTATCTTTGTATTTAGGAACTTCGCTTTACCGCAGCAGCACAGGGCCGATATAACTCAGCGTGCAGATGACTCGATCGAAGGGGCGCCTCCATTACCAACGATAACCCTCCTATACTCACCTAATAACTTCAGGTTGCAATTACTTACCATTTCTCATCTAATTAATTAATGGTTTTGTAAAACCTACGTCTCTTCTCGGTAAGTGTTAGGAAGATAAAGCTCATCAGAATTATCTTCTGTTTAAAACTACAAATGAAAAACATTTTCTCATTAATGTTCATTTTATAAAATTTTGTATGACCCGACTGCGCAGTAGCGTGCGAAAAGCGTGAGTGACACGAACACATTCAAACCTACTACTTATAGGCTTCCAATTCTAAAACCTTTTGTTATTCTAATACCCTCTCTACAGTCTACACCTGTCAAGCGTGCTTCTACTTTTTAAGAAAATACATCAGTCATGGTATGTTACGCAGCGTGTGCTAAGTTTACAATTGAAATTCGCGCTGGAACAATTACGTCCGTCTGATCCTCAGCTGGGTTTCAAGCGCTATCTCATATGGTCTCGGAGTTACGTAATGGAGGTGACGTAGAATCAAGTAGAGTCTTTGAGTGATCAGATGTTATGATACACATAAAAGACTGGCAATGAGGTCACTACGCAACCGTTTTGATGAAGAGCCACACATTGTCAAATAATCCCCAAATATGGCCATTTGTTTCCGATTTCGAGGTTTTTGTCCCACTATTTCGCTGTAAAACAGCGTACTTAACCATTTTGACATGCTTCATCATTAATTTCTTAATTACATTAATAATGCAAGGGGCAGAGATCTGAGTTAGTGCATTTTGCGTTTTCACGAAGAGACACGAGCATAGGTCATTTGATAAAGAGCCAGAAAAAGGTGTGTTATAAAAACAAACATTTGACTTGTTAAACTCGGGGTATAGTAAAACCAGCCTATCTCAGTGATCCTTGGAGCATTCTATTTTCCCATCTCGGGCGGTTAGTTTTACTATATCACTCGAAGCAGTACCTATTTGTATAATACTAAATAAATTTAAGTCATTCAGTAAAATGCAAGATATATGTTGTCAATTTTAGAGCGCACACGCCGCGTTCTAGGAGCAGCCCGGAATCGGTCCAATGTTGTCCCTCCGGTGCCAACACAAAGTGAGTATCCAATGCCAAACCACGGATCCTACACACAAGGATTAACGACTCGCCCAACTCCTTGTTAGACGCGTGATAACGGCTAGTATAGCCTTTAGTCAAGTCCCACGCGCCTGCCCTGACACGTGACGCACCCCGGATGCTGACACGTAAAAAGACTAGGACGAGCGGCGAAGCCGCGAGGGCCTTAACCATCTCGTGGAGAACGCTTATGTTTTCCCTTACATTTTGTCTACCGATTTGGTAGACATGCATAATGCATTACCCGTTGTGAATTGACCAATCAAAATGCAGAATTACTAACGTAAATCATGCAGCCGTCGTCTTGCGCCAGATAGCCATGGCGCGTGTGCTGTTGCTGGTAACCGCAAACCACCGTTAGATGACTGGTTTATATTGCTTGATTTATATTACGTGAATAAATGAATAAGTGATTAGTTCAACGCGATAGTAAAGGCCCTCGCGGCTTTGCCGCTCGTGCTAGTCTTTTTTACGTGCCAGCATCCAGGGTGCGTTACGTGTCCGGATGGTCTGGGTATAGGCGCGTGGGACTTGACTAAAGGCTAGATAACGGCCTGTACTGGTGGCAAATACCATGAATACTTTTCAACAAAGACCACTTCGCGCGGTGGCTTTCAGATTTGCAAGGCTCTTCGGCCGATCTGGCCTCGAAGTCTGTCAAGCCAGCGAATTATGTATTTGAATATTCATGAGTCTACGTTTTTGGTCTTTATTACTGAATTCTGATAAGTGATAACTACATAACCATGGTAATGCCGAGCACAATATCTTTAGCTTTAAGATGAACAAGGAAAAGTCGCTTTTGTTTCATCGGTTCGGCATCCTATCTCTCTAAAACTATCTCTTTTTAATAAAAAAAAAGCCTTAATAAAAACGAAATTTGGGTAAACGGTGTTCTCCTCGAAATTTGACGTTTATTTCCCGGGTAAATACTTCATCTATGACGACAAAAACTGCACAATACCATCTGTTTTATCCTGAAGTATTTGGGGTTTTTTTTAAATAATTTGGGACAATTATATCTTAAATAGGAAGTAGTTTTACTTACAGTTGTATGAATATTTTCGTTTTAGATGTCATGCAAAAACCCAACACGATGGCACGCGCCAGCGGGTATTAATGCCCGTTATCACGCGTCTAACCAATTTAGGCAAGTCCGCTCAGTGCATTTTGTACTGGAGCTCAGGAATCCGTGGCCAAACGCTCTAAGGGCGTAACTACATTGATTTACCTATGTGACAAAAGAATGACATGACAATGTTAGTATGGCATTTGCAAAGCAAGTTTCAGGAGTTTGTACAGGGTGGTTAAAAAAAGGACACCTATTTTTGACAGCAATTTTCACCTATACTTAATAAACTTATTTTAAATATTTTGTTCACATAGTAGTAAAGTATAGGCCTTTAACCATGCGTGTTGAAAAAAAGCTTAGTAAAATTCGCAAAAATAGTGATATTATGCTAATTTGAATACAAGTCACCAAAATCAGTCTTGTCCACTGATTATTCTATGTAAATTGGACGTTTTCGTAGTTCATAGAAATTAAAAACCTTCCCACCAGAATATATTTTGCCCTGGTAACTTTTGTTGAAGCTGCCCAATTATTCATGTCAGTGTTAAAAAATCTACTCAATGAGCTGTCCGCTTAACTTCATTGTTGCATAACATTACATAACATAACAATCAAAATGTCATGCCCTTTCAAATAAAGCTCCGATAGCTGAGCTCGGTCAAGCGAAGGAAACGACACCTCCGTGGACAACAGGTTTCGCACATGAAATGTTCAAATTAGCAAAGCTCAACGACAAAATGTGCAAATGCACATTTTTTCGTCACATCTGCTTAAAGGCCAGTACTTTAATAGCTACTAATCAACAGTTACAAATAATTTTTAAAAATAGGTGAAAATTGCTGTCAAAATGTGGGTGTCATTTTTTTTTAACCACCCTGTAGGCTACTGCATGTTATAAATGGATCAAAAAACACAACTATTTTCTGTCTATCAAATTTAGGTTGTAAAATGTTCAGAAGACTTCAAAACAGCCATTTCTTGAGCTTGCTGACATGTCGTTGTCCTGATTATCCATGCACTGCGAGCGGCTGGCTAGATTCACTTCAAGGATTCATTACACAATCGTGGTTTTGTCAGAAGGCTTAGGTTTGGCTGCGATTTTCAGGGCCAATAGTTCAACTCTAGTTAAAAGGGCTCTCACTACTTTATTTGGCTATGTTTGAATGAAGAACTTGTCAAATATTTAACCAACAAAACAATGTTGGAGTAGTTGACAAATAATTAAGCAAAAGAGACTACACTTTTTGATATGTTGCCTGCGCAGGGGTAAATTTGAGACTAATTAAGGTTCATGTTCTGGACTTTCAAAACTCAGCTCATTGGGGAGTTTAGAGCTGGATGCTACCATTTCATAGCAAAGCAGACTGACAAATATCACAAGATTTATAGTTCCTAATTATAACTCATGGTTGGGGAGAAGCAATGAGTGACTAGGTACCTTGCCCAAGAGAACTACGCAATACGCACCTTAAGGATGGACTTCAGACCACGAGCATTTCCTCAGATTATACTCGTTTAATACAGATAACTACTGATGTAGAATCGTAGTGCAATATGGACTATTGGATAAGACATTGTGAGTCAACCCAAACCCAAAGAAATATATTTCATGTTTTAGAAAAAAAATATGTAGTGCCAAAAATGGTTATGACGTGGACGCCAAAGTGTTCTATATACACGTTAACATTTTATCACTATCTAAACGAAGTAACCCTTAATTAAATCAGTTTCGTCAACAAAAGATATTTATTGTTCTGACTGTTTGGAACAACAAAGAAAATGACACAGAATACTTGTTTGAACAACTGTAGTACATTAATATCTTTATTAACAACCCTGCTTTGACTAACAATAGGATTTATATAATCCACTTCTCTCTTTTTTTAAAGACGGGCCTTCAATAGGACTGTGTTGAATACTTTTAACTTTTGAACTGAGATTAATGGCCTGTGATGCTTGAAGACAATTTTAACGACAATTCTTGAAATTGCATATTTTTGGGACGAATCAGATGTTAGGGTCATTTTGTTTAAATAGTGATATAAGTTGATTGAGCAATTGAAGTAATTTCTTCATTTAAAAGTAGTTTATGAAATTGGCTTACCAGTCATAATTATTTTTGATGCTACACATTTGTTTAAATATGAAATAAATGTCTTTGGGTTTGGGTTCCGCAGTGTTTTTTTTATTACTCACCCACACCTGTATTACACTGTTGTTACCATGGATCGACCAATCAGGACCGAAAGCCCAAATTTGCTATCATTTGTAATTATGTTACCAGTGGGGTTCCTCGCTGATATATCCTCATTCATAGTTCCATCGGTACAATTACAAAAGGTTGTACATGTACAACAATAATTATTCCTTAATAACTGCATTGTCTGAAGTTCTGAGACCGTGGACCCATAACGTATGTGATGTCATTGCGTGGGTCGGTTTGAAACGCCACCCCACAGCCAGAAACCATGTTGCGATTGTTGAATTCACTTCCTCGCAATTTGATTCAATCTTTTGTGCAGTTAACATCCAGCCATCTCCGACAATTAACACCACCACCGCCACCACCACCACCACCAACACCGCCACCAGTAAGAAGGAAGATAAGAAAGAAAAAGGGAAGACGAAAACGTAAGTGGCTTTGCCAACTGATAGAATTTATCGATTATGTGCAGAAGTGCCCCGTGAACGGTTAGAAAGGGAGAGTGAGCCTAGTTCCATATCGACCTAAGAAATGCACTGTGAAACGCAAACAGGACCCAAGCTGCCACGTAGACATATGGAAACATTTTATCCGAAGGTGCCACCGACAACTCAGACAGACGCAAACTACACTCTCAGAAAAAAATGCACAAGTTGTGTAAAATTCAACCATGTTTTATATGTACTATACGAACTCGCTTGTAATTGTGTAAATAGTTACATAATGCGTGTTGGGTAAAAGTTTTCTTGACAGTTGTGTAAAAGTTTACCTGATGTATGTGTAAATATATTTACACATTTATTAGGTAAAAGACAATTAAGTAAACTTTGCATAACTTTCAGGTGAAACAATACCATAGTATCATGTACAATTGTGTTTTATAACGAAAACACAATTGTACATGATAATGTAGAATGGAAGCCCATCAAAACACGACCTGTTTCATTTTCATTCCCGAACTGTGCAGCATATCACAGCATATAGCTAAGTTGCAGGAACCATGACGTCTGTGACAACAGCCATTGTCGGTCTTTGAGATAACATTTTCCTCCAGCTCTTTGTGATTGTCATACCGCCTCCAATCCATAGCAGTTCTTGGACACTTTGCAAGATAAGAAACAACAGTACAGGATGCATAACTCATAGCCCACATCTCGTACGCGACCAACTCGTACACAGGACAACTCGTACTTGGACAAATTCGTACGCGGTCCAACTCGTACAGAGAACTAAACTCGTATACAAAATTATATGTGGTCGGCGATTCTTGACTATGTCATGGGAACGGGGTATCGTTCAAGTTCTTTAGATTGGCTGGCATACGAGTGGGCTGTCGTACGAGTTGGTCCGCGTACGACATGTACGAGTTGTCTCGCGGCATGTTGGTTCACGTGCGAGTTGTATAATACGCGCAGTGGCCGGGTTAAACACTACTAATATTAAGAATATCCTGGGGATTTTATCGCACAAAGTGTCCAGGCGGTATAACAATCACAAGAGCTTCAGAAAAATGTTACCTTCAACGACCAAAATTAGCTGCGGTATATCCCCTCGTTGTTACAGACATCACGGTGTACTCCATCTTCACTAAAGCCCCTGTCACACTTTTGCGTATCCCAATTCCTTATGAGTTCCTTATCAACAATGTTCAATACGCAGCCGTACGATCAAAAACGTCGACATTTTTTGATTGCTTTGACATATGTGCGACGCACATCTAGCGAACAAGTAACGAATTCAGCGCATCCACTTCGTATGAGATGCGTATGAGTTGCGTATGCAGTGCGCAAGTTCGCCATTGGTGCGTTTCTCATAAGTTACGAATAAGTACAATGCGCTGCCCGCTCGCACGACGAGCGGTACTAATTCGTGCAATACGTCGCTATGTATACGTCCAATATAGGAGGTCAGCGTATTTTCGCGTATGAACGGCTTATCCCTCACGAACACATAGCGTACTCGTACCGCGCTCGACCGATGCGGGACCGATGCGCTGCGTACTTATAACTTATGACCTGCGTAACAGCGTACGCAGTGTAGTTTTGTGCATGCCCAAAACTATCCAGCGTACTGGGCCGTACCATGCGTATGCCTGCGTACATAAAACTTACATAAAACGATAGAGATGCATATGAGGTGCGTATTGTGCGTACGACTGCGTATGAAAAAAAGTCAATGCGCAACTCATAAGGAATTAGGATACACAGAAGTGTGACAGGGCCCTTATGCTGTGCTGTGCTAGCTGCATCGCGTCACCGCGTGTACGTTTTTACCTTGGTTTTTTAGTACGTTTAACCTAATTGCAGTACGTTTGTACATAATTAAGGTAAACTGACTGCTTTACTTATTCAATATGTATTTTACAATTTACATGTTTTCGAGGTCCTTTTCTCCGGCGAATTTTATCGAAATTGTGTATTATTTTACATGACATTTTTACCTAATTATTTTTTACGCATCTTTTTGAGAGTGTACCTGGCAGACAATCGGTGCCGACGGTTCCGCGTATTGTCTGCGCAGTCTGCGTAAGCTTAATTTCGATATGGACACCAGGCTTTAAGTTGGACCATCTAACACATTGCCAGTGTGTGCCTGGTGCTCATGCATAGACACTTCATGTATGTGCAGTCACATGCTCAAACCAGTGCACAAATGCCCAAATCTGTGACATAAACATGCAATTTCAAGATAAGTGTTTGATAACATTTTCCATAAAATTGTAAGATTATTTCAAATGTAAATCACAAATCCGACAAAATATTTTTAGATGTATATATTACTTCTTTTTCTCTTGAGTCATGACGCCCATTGTGGATCGGCCTCGGAAAAGGGTTTGGATGTAAGTAGGACTTGAGTTTCTTGTTTTATATTTGTGATATTTTTTAATTGGAATTTGAATTGACTTTTAGATCTTTTATTTTGCCGCCAAAACGAAAAAAAGGTCAAGTTTGTTTTGGGCATTCCTATCACTGTCTCCCCCCCCCCCCCCCCCCCCCCCCCACCTATTGATTTTCGGAGGCCTAAGTGTCTGGAAAAAAAATAACCGGTCAACATTTCAGCACGCCTCCCTGAAAAAAATTCTGGATCCACCGTGCTAGCCCCCAAAAAATATTGGTTCTAGAACCGCGCCTGAGCTGCACAGGTTGTTGGCTCACCCGGTCTAGAGAGTGCACCCTACTCGGCTTGGCTTTGATTCTATATGCAAAAGAATTGTGACATCACACAGGGTCGTTTCAAATTGTGATGTGTCCACAGTGTTCCGCCATATAGCCATACGAATTGAATACCCAATTTCAACCCAGTTACATTGAAAATATAACTAAAGGAACAACAAAATTGGGTAAGTGCTTCGAGTCAAGTGGCTAGATCACATTTTTGACAAGATCGTGAACGACTGGTCCAAAGCACCGAATTTGGCAGATAGATTCTTATAGGCCTAGCCCCGAAAAAGATATTTAGAAGGGGGTGACGCCTGCCATACTTCAAAAAGGTTAATGGGTCTAGAACAAACGTTAGTGAATGTTCCTTTGAATTTTTGACCCCCAGTATAATGTGATGGACCCAGCCCTCCAGGACTGGTTGGAAACCCTCGGCAGGAATGAAAGCGAAATCCAGAAAAACGTGGAAGTCATCAATCAGTTTGTAGATGAACATGGAGGAATAAATGCTGTTAAAAAAAATTGGCTCGTAAGTAGATGCATAAAGTCTGAGTTTTCAAACAACTTCAGAAAGTTTATGGTATAGCACAAAATGTTGACTTTAAGGCTGAACCAAGGGAAACTACTTTCCCTTGAAAATAATCTAAACAATTTTCTATTTAGCTAAGATGGCATTTAACCCCACTTCACTGTTAAATACAATGGTCGAGTGTGAGGCAGGTTTCTGGTTTTCTCAAATCAGTGTGTACTATTATTCACATTGCACTGGATGCTCTGAAATGTTTACTAAATTCTGTGAGATGATTCAAAAGGTTTGGAATGGTGCTGCCCCTTTTTATAAATGCAGACCTGTGCTCCTGTATAGTAACGTATTTTTATGGCCTTGCTTTAAGTTACTTATAACAATAGGAACCTTACATGTGTAACTTTTCTTGTAGACCTCAAATCTTCTATGGTTAATTATTTCTTTTGTTTTTCCTATTCCTCAAGGGAGGTCAAGAATGCCTGCCCCTCCTCCCCCGCCCCCGTCTCCTGGCTCTGCTGCTCCGCCTGTCCCACCACGCAAATGTCTTGCTATCCCACCACCTCTCCCAAACCGTCGTCCTGCACTTAATCTCCCACCCTCATCCCGCCGTGGGGCACCACCCCCACCCCCACCCTCGCACGCTCTGCCCCTGACGCCCCCCTCTATGGCCCCACCCAGCATGCTCTCCTGGCCAATGGCAGGATTGGCAGCCCTGGGTCCTCCACCCCCACCCCAATTCGGATGGGCTGTTGGAGCCGCTCCGCCCCCTCCCCCTATCAGAGTGGGAGGACAGACAGCCCCAGCCCGCAGAGAACGTTTTCTGGATCAGATTAGGGGAGGAAAAGCTCTAAAAAAGGTACGAAAAATCCGGTTTTATCAATATACCCTTGCCTTTCATAAAGTCAGTTGTTGTTCCAAGACAATGACAAAACAAAAAAATAACAAAAGTGCATAATAGTTATGTCCATCACATCAGAGGAACAATGACATGCCTTCAGGTGTAACATGAAATTCAGAATCTGTGTTATCATGGTTGGTTAAATGATTAAACAATTATATTGCTCACATACATCGTCAATCATAAGGCTTACACTCACTGTTGCTGAAAGAGCTTCTATAACGCTCGTTTATTAAAGCTGTCTTTCAATATTATTAGTATATTTGGTTCTCCAGTGTTTATTAGCTGCATATTATACAGAAATTGAATGCTTCGACAGGTCCAAAGCACCGAACTTGGCAGATAGATTCTTATAGGCTTAGCCCCGAAAAAGATATTTAGAAGGCGGTGACGCCTGCCATACTTCAAAAAGGTTAATGGGTCTAGAACAAACGTTAGTGAATGTTCCTATGAATTTTTGACCCCCAGGATAAAGTGGTGGACCAAGACCTCCAGAACTGGTTGAAAAAACTCGGTCTAGATGAAAGCCAAATCCAGGACAAGCAAATCGTGGAAGTCATCAATCAGTTTGAAGATGCTATTAAAGGGAAAATACAACATTTGCAAACATCAAAAAATAAAACTACCAAATCATTTTGAAATACCTTGCTGGACTGTTAGTGAATGACAGTGTAAAGCATCCTGTAAAATCATGGCACCTGGTATACTGTCATTTTCAAGAAAACTGGTATTTTTGTATCAATTTCCAACGCTGATCGGCGATCAGCGTTGGAAAAAACTGGCTTTTTTCCCAAATACTGGCCCCAGTTGACCATCGCACTTGTTTGCAATCGATTACACACTTATGAACGGGTACAAGCCAGCTAGACTGGTTCCCTGACCTTACAATTCCCCAATATATGTAAACTGCTCTGTTTATTCTAAAATGGAGTCAGGGAACCAGACTACAGGAAAATGATTGTTTTTCTTGGTTTTTATAGCATTTTCGAACCCAAAACCTCAAAAAAGTCAGTGTAACTATATTTGCTATATATTTCCAACCCCCCAATTCCATCCATTTCTGAAAATTACAGCAAAAGCAAATGATGTATATTCCCTTTAAAGAAGCTTTGCGACACATATCAACTCAAAATATGGGTGCAGACCAGTAAATCGGTCCGAAATTGCCTACGCCGGCCAAATCACGATTTGCATGCCCTCAAAATCTTCAGTATTTGAGCAAGGTGTGGGCCATGAACTTGAGGGTTTGTAAAAAGTATAGGTGGAAGCCGTGCACAGGACTGGGAGCTTGCAGTTCTGTGTAATTTGGATGTAATTTGGACCCTAAAAATGCTCTATTTTGCAATGGAGTGTAGGCATCGTTTTCAAAATGGAGATGGGCTTCAGGACTATTTTCAAGGGTGACCATCTTCAGATGGAAATTTCTTCTAAAAGTCATCAGTTGACTCCCCCCCAAAAAAAAATTAAAAAGAAAAAAAAGATGATGAAATAAGCTTTAATTTGATGTGTGTCTCGAACACCTTGGAGAGTTGTGAGTATTTTCTCCGAATTTTTGAATTGGGAGCATTTACCATTGGGGTCTATAGAAGTTTATTTACTGGTCTGCTACCATAATTATGCATGTTTAAATGCATGTTTGACTTTTTCAACATGCCGCCAGAGGGTGCTCTAACATTTGATGACGTCACCTGTAAAATATTTGTACAGTCCTGTTATACATTTCTGAAGTACAGCCTAGGCAGACACTCACATCGTTGAAAGCAAGTTTGCATCTTCTGCCAATTTTAAATAATAAGGCACTTCCGTTGGTCATTCCGTTACCCAATATGTTTTTTGAAAGGTCACTTTAGGCAGACACTTAAATCGTTAAAAGCAATATCATATCTTTTTCCACTTTTAAATTATTAGGCACTTCCGGTTTCGACCGGACGCAAGGGTTACGTGATTTTACGCGCACAAGATAAAATGAAAATCATGTAATACCATGTCGATTCCCACTGCCCACTACACTCAAACTCCCGTTAGAGTTATGTACTGGCCTCTTTTGGCGCGCAATGGGGAAATCCCCATTGACATGTAGGCCTAATGCACAATACGGCACATGCGCAATGTCAGTGGTGAGAAAAACCCCATTCCTTTATACACTCACAATACAATATACATGAACATTGTATGTGTCGCGTGCAATCAATGATAACGCCGCTGTTTTCAAGGCGACATTAGGTTTGTACGCATGTCCGATAAAACGCCCCGTTGTTGCTGAATTGTAGCAAGACTAATATCACGTTTTTATATTTCAAATAAGTTTGTTTATATTCCAGATAAAACAGTAAAGGACTATAATTTTGTATCAGATAAATTGACCAAAAAAAAGACAAAAAAAATTTATCAGATAGGACTGTGAACTTTTCAGCAAGACACTTGATTAAGAAACATCTGCATACAATTGTGATGTTCATTGTTCATTGTCGCTGTTGACTGTTGATTTTGATTGTTGATGTTGGTTATTGATGGTGATTGTTGATGATTGTTGATTGTTGATTTTATTGCCGATGTTGGCTGTTGATGTAGATTGTTGATGTTGCTTGTTGATGTTGACGTTGATTATTGTTTGTTGATGTTAATGTTGATTGTTGATATTGGTGTTGAGCTTGAGGGTTGAGGGCTGAAAAATAGCACGTGTAGTAATTATACAGGACATATTTTAAAAAGAGTCAAGTGAGGATCTGCACTTGTTTGCTGTTGTAGTGTAAACTTATCAAGTACAATCTTTACAAAACCGATACAGTTCAGACCAAATAAATTACAAAGTGTAATACATGTTTTTCCTTCAAAACATTTAATAGTTTTCCTGTATTATTCATATGTAGAAGCAAATCAATTGAAATGAAATGTTCAGCCAAGGCACGGACATCACAGCTTTAACACTGTAAATGAAGCAATTACAGAGCGCAGAACTTACAGAACATTTTAATTATCTATTGTAATAATGTATTACGACGATGTCATTATTAGGTTTTGTGTAGTTAATGTCATTATCAGATTTGAAATACTTGAAAGCTTTCTTATGTTATTCCTGGAATAAAGTTACATGAACAGACTAGTTTTGCAAACTACATCTCAAGTGACCTGGTGTATGCTTCTTATTAAACAACTTGCAAACTTATATTGTGTTACTTGTTACTGTTTATTGGTGTCACTTTATTTCAAAGGATTTCTTCTTATTGGACCTGATCACCCAGATATTTATATTCTTCAGTAGAACTACAGTACTATGTAAAACCATGGAGTGCTGCCCACTTCATTCAAACACCCGTTAGAACTACAGTACTATGTAAAATCGTGAAGTGCTGCCCACTTCATTCAAACACCCGTTAGAACTAAAGTACTATGTAAAACCATGGAGTGCTGCCAACTTCATTCAAACTCCCGTTAGAGTTATGTACTGCCCTCTTTGGACGAGCATACACTTCCAGTGGTGGGAAATTCCCATTGACAGGTAGGCCTAATGCACAATATAGCACATGCGCAATGTCAGTGGTGGGGAAACACCCATTCCCTTGTACATGCACAATACAATACACATGAACATTGCATGTGCCGCATGCAATCAATGTTATAACACCGCTGTTTTCAGGGCGACATTAGGTTTGTGCGCGTGTTGGGCCATGGATTATCGCAAACTTTCCAAACATGCACCTCAACTCAAAATGCATTTTATGACGTCACCTGTTATATTTTTTTAAAGTACAGCCTAGGCAGAAAACCACATCGTTGAAAGCAAGTTCACATCGATTTCAAATTATAAGGCACTTCCGGTTTCGATCGGAAGGAAGGGTCACGTGATTTTGCACTTGATACCAAAAATGAAGACCCTGCAATATTGTATCGATTGTCATAAAAACAAAATCACATCTGTAGCAGTTTATTAGGTTTTGGGCTATGAGTCCAAAACCTACTGTTATTCTATGAGTTTACTATTATTTTTAGGTGTCGAGACTTGAGCCCAACACCTATTGGTTTTGTAAGAATTTACTTTTTTTTTTCTTCTCAGCATATTCTCAGCAAATCCTTCTCCAGAACTGTTTGGAAAAATGGAAACATACATGAACTTCATTTGTCAATACATGAATGCCCAATCCACGCAGATGTGTTTTTTGCAATTACGTCATCATGACGTCATCATGGGTCACGTGACGTCACTTGAAAGTTTAATCTTTATTTATTTATTTAATCTTTGAAATTCCATATAAATCAACCGTGAGAGACCGGAACCTGAAATTTGCATGGAATCGACATGGTAATACATGATCTTTATTTTATCCTGTGCGCGTAAAATCACGTGGCCCTTCCTTCCGGTCGAAACCGGAAGTGCCCAATAATTTAAAAGTGGAAAAAGATATGAACTTGCTTTTAACGATTTAAGTGTCTGCCTGGATTGACCTTTCAAAAAAATAATGGGTGATGCCATGAAGTGTTGGAGCGCCCTCTAGCGGCAGGTTAAAAAACGTCAAAAACGCATTTTCACTTGAAGTCTGTTGCGAAGTTTGCGGTAATCGCTTCAAAATTAATGTATATGATGACCATAATGCAGACAACACCTGTGCACGAAAAAAAAAATGATTACGTCATCAGACCGGAAGTTACAATAAAAAGACCTTTAAACCTTAAAAAATTGCTAGAAAATATACCGTGATAGATAATAATGAAGATTTGGCTGTATACAGCACAGTAAATATAGCTCTTGAGGTTTCTAGTAATGACTCACAATGACGTCATCAAGTATCATATTATTACAAGCAATCAAACATTTTTAGATTTAATCTTTGAAAATCAATATAAAATCAACTGCAACAGATTTGATTTTTTTTTTTTGGCAATCGATATAATATTGCAGGGTCGTAATTTTTGGTATTAAGTGCAAAATCACGTGACCCTTCCTTCCGGTCGAAACCGGAAGTGCCTTTCAAGAAAGGCCACTCATCGCAAGAACTTAGATGTATAGTGAGAAGTCTTGAACTGACCTCCCTCGCCTCCTCGCTGCGTCCTCGCATATAGACAACCCTTCCCCACCCCCATCGGAATACATGTATAACGATTAGGTGCTAGAGGATTTTGACTGGTGTGCCTCGATCTCCGGCAGGTATAATACAGTCGCACACCTTTCGCTGCCCCTTCAAGGTTGTCAAGTAAGTAGCTGTGTAGAATATGAAAACGACGCTGATTGACAATTTAAAGTATACTGCGGGCGTGTTTTGAAGGCTGCACCCCTAGACATTATGTCTATGACTGCAGCCTTATATAAGCGCTTGCGTTATCCGTTACGTCACGTACACACGTGTGGGTTCAAATGATCTCTATATGAAAAGACCGCGCGATGCCCGAACAATATGGAAATTCTGGAAGCATCGTTATTTGCCACAAATACTTGTATACATAGAGTCTAGTAACGCGACATCGAAATCTCATAAGTAATCTTTGAAAGGAGTTATTCTGAATTTGACTCTTCAAAATTGAAAACAATGCGTCGCACGTTAACCACGTCAACTGTAGTTCTTTAAGGCCTAAATCTACTAAATCGTGGGATATTTAAATAAAAAAACACCAGGGGCTACGATTGCGCAAGGCATGGTGGGAACCAACATGGTACAGCAATAGATCGTACCCACGGGAACGAGGTTGGATCTGGCGACTAATATCGCCAGATCATGACCAGAATGTTTAAAAACGTGATTTGCAGAACTAGTTATGACTCCGAGTAACCATCAGACTCGGACTATTTTCAGACGTGAAATAATATGAATTTCTCCAGCTTGACTAACAATCCTGGCAATTATTTGGTATTATTTTGTCATTTTTTCCTCAATTTTTTTTTGTTTACAGTACTTGTCGAAATTATCAAAGTTGGACTTTGAAAACCGGAATTTTTAAGAATCTAAAAATAATCGCGACAAAATGCTTGCGCAAGCGTACGACGAATGGAATAATGTACGACAAAATGTTATGTACATGTCCACAACTGATAAATTCCCCGTCTCCGCACTGAATTCTATGAATTTCCACAATGTCTGTTTTGCTTTGTATACACGTCTAGCACTTTGAACTCGGTCAACATGACTCCACCTACTATAGTAACTGCAGTGATATTATGCGTGGGAGTGATCCTCAAAAATGGCGAATCCTCCGGGGCAACGAAGTAAGCCAGCGGACGTAAATGTCCCTTCGAAACTACTCAGCAAATCTGAAAATGACCAAGTAGTTAACCTTCTTGGAAGCAGGTGTTTGGTGAGTTCTGTTTTAGTTGATAATGGGAATTTAAAGGGTAAAGTGACCGATATTTTTAGGAGGTAAAGGGGAAGGAGAAAATGATCTGTCAACTCAACAGTAACGAACGGCTGCCGGTCGATTCGCCCCATTTTTAACTGATCAAAAATGCAAGTTTAGGACACCATTTTTACTATTTAAAAATTACCGTTTTGCAAATGATTGTCAATTCTAAAATTATTTTTGTAGTCACTTTCAAGTCTTTTTGTTTTATTTAAGTTTTTTTCATAATGTGAGCAGTAGGGGCCTACTTTGGAAGAAAATACGGTGTTTTGCGGTTCCGTGCGCGAGTCACATCAATTCATAGCAATCTCCACACAGAGGGAGAAAAGAGGCAGAAAACGGTTCACATCTGCTTTTTCACTAGTATTAGAATAGCAGAAAAACAGATTGAACGTATTTGAAAAGTCCATTTTTGTAGTGTAAAGGTAGTGTATAGACCGGAAGCCAGTGGTGGGGGGTCAGCCTAGCTGGAAAGTTAACCACATTTCATGCATATAGCGATGATCCACATGCATACCAATGTAAGGAAATTGACGTCTGCCGGGCACACTGTTGTGAGGGTGGTCAGGAGGGCCATGAGAAAGGGGCCACAAAATTGAGCTAGATCAGCTGGTGAGTTAACCCAGTGAAACCTACTGGAAAATGTTGGGCCTAGTCCCAGGTATCATGAATGGCCACTGCCAGACATTTTCAGTGGTGGAAGGTGCCCGCCAGACATGAAAAACCTGTATAGGAGGGGGCGTGGCCATAACCCCCTCCCATTCCTTTTTGCTGATACATTTACCGCACACTTTTCTTTAAGAATTATGAAAAGGTCACATTGATAGAAATTATGATATGGATATGGATAGGCTGGGGATTAAACAATGTCAGCACAGTTTGACCTATAGTATGGATTAGAATGAATATGAAATAGGAAGGTTCAACATTTTAGATTTGGTGTACAAGCCGCGAGTTATGAGTTTATTGCAAACGATGTTGAAATTGAGTGAGAATTACCAGCTGTTGTTACACCCCAGTAAACGTGCAGGCCCAAAATCCGTCCACCGAGCTCATGAATACAAGTTTAATAAACACTCAAATTATTCTATATTATTAGAGAGTTCTGAGAGCCATGGAATTGGAAAATTAAAAAGATATGGCAAGGCTCCTCTCGCCTGGACTTGAGGCTTCCAATTCCAAGCATTTTGCATGGAATTGGGTCCGAAATTAAAGTGGCGCTGTTTAGCCACGATGTGGAGGGATCCTTTTTCAAGATGGCTACTTTTCCACTTTGGGAAACATCACTCGTTTTAGGGGTCGTCTTCTTTGGGTTAGAATTTCTCGAAAAGTCATCGGTCAACCCACAAAAAAAATTAAAAGAAAATGAAAAGTGACATGTTGATCATCATTTTCTGTACAGCCTGAACACCTGTGAGAGTTCAGAGTATTTTAAAAAGAATTTTGAAGTATTGGCATTTATCACTGGTGTCTTTAAGGGAATTTTTATACGGGGCTGAACCTCTATGACACTATATACGCCCTGGATAGGGCCCAATTGGGCTACAAAACTATTACTTGCAATTATCATTTAAAAGTAGAATATAAACGTCCACACAACCATCGTATTGTATTCTTTCGAAAACAAATTTTTGGGATCCAAATATTGACTCTAAAAAATCGTGATTCCAGTCGCACATGTTCCGCCAGTGTATCGTATGCTGCGGACGTGCTGCGGACGTGCTGTGTTCACACGAAGGACGGTGATATGTACCTGCAAGAAGGAGAAAATAGGCCTACGGCTGGAAATACGTATGCGTATGCCACAAAATGTCCGCCGCGTCAGAAGTTAACAACTGGGTTTTTGTATTCGTCTTTTCAAGATCTGTGCGTGAGTTTTTTTTTTTTTTTTTTTTTTTGCAGTTTTTCCTAAAAGTTAAAGTTCTCTCCCCTATACCGACAATCGTTTGGGAAATCAGAGCTTTTGTTCACCAACATGAGGTTTATTATGCGACGCAATGTGCACAGATAAAAGCATATAGTTGATGTCACTAACGGTTATTGTTTGAGTTAACCTAATTTAAATTTGAAAAAAAGTATTTTGTCCCTTTCGTTTTTTTAAATGAAACATAGACTTTGGCAACAGCTGTGGTGCAGGTGTTTCTGGCCCAACCTCCCAACTCCTGGACCAAAAGATGCTGTGGTGTGGCTTGCTTTGTCAAGGACAAGAACCTACGCTCATTCTTCATCAGAGTTTACGATATTGTGGTAAGTTTATGCTAGTCCAGTCGGTTATATCTTCTCTTTTGTTAGAGAAGACGCATCAGGCCAAAAAAATAAAATAATCGGTCTCTGGTCAGACCAAAGTTCTGGAATTGATGCGTTTTTTTTTTTTTTGGGGGTGTTTTTTCAAGCTTGAATTGTACAGACAAGGTGGGTACTATTTTGCTTTTTTTTGTCCTCATTATACATTGGTGTTCTCCATAATTTGCCTTGGTGCCCTTTATCATTTGCCTTGGTGCAATTTCCCCATTCCTTGGTGCTCCTTGGTAAAAAAAAAAAATGAGGAGATGCGGCAATAGAGTGCGCTGTTCAGGGATGTGATTGGTCTGTGACAAAGAAAAGATGAAAATTTTATGCATAAAATTCAAACTCTGGCGAGCACGAAGCGCGAAGCCATTACGGCGTGGGGTCCGTGGCCCGCTTAAGGGCCCCGGAAAAGTTTTGATTTTATATGCTTTGTGGTGCAATCTGAGGCGAATACTGGGCACTTTCCTCTGAAATTTTAAAGCAGAATTTGTTTTAATTTTAAGAAAAATTTTCCTTCATTTGTTAAAATATACTCTTCTTCTAATAAAGTTTTTTCTGTACTCAAAGTTGATAACCATGCTGTTCCCCCCAGGATTTAATCAAACCTGTGGGGGAATTGCTGTTGTGATACAACAACCTGCGAAGCCACGGCGTGAGTTCGGGGCCCGCATAGAAGGCCCCGAAAATTATTGAACTTTAGAAGCTTCTGGTGCATTTTAGAGCATTTCAGAGGCGATCTTGTAATATTTTTGTAAAACAAATCTAAATTGTAAACTTAAATCACTTCTGCTTCCGATAACATGCCTTTCAAAATAGCGTCTTTAGTATTGTTGGAAAAACTATTTCACCAGTTCTACATTCAGATATTTGTATAGTAAAGCACGGGAATCGTTCAATATTTTGTGCCTGGATTATTCGCATTTGCGCCACAAAAATTATCAAGACTGGCCATCAAAAGTGATTAAAACTTGCCTCACCTAATTAAAAATGTATTTGAGGTGGTTCATTCCACTATTATGCTAAACGTACATCACGGCCGCTAGCGCCGCAAACATTCAGTCTGGTCTACCGTACATCGCGCCGTACACACGGCGCAGTGTCAGTGACAGTGTGCATTGCTGCACTGTGAACGGCCCATCCCACGTGGCCGAAAATTCTGCACTTCTGCAGAATCACGCTGCGATGTTTCTCCACAGGTTTGAGTTTTGCAATCTCGTCATTTCAATGGAAAATACATACACAGAAAATGAAGATCACGTTCTGCGAATTAATTTGCAGAAATTCTCTTTTTCCATCGATGTTTGTTTGGTATTTTTACTATTTTTACGATCCAACTTCGGCCGATTATGCACGGAAAACGATGTAAGTACGGGAAATAGTCACTGGTTCCGGTCCTTCATCATAGCATTGATTCTGTTAGCACGCGAAGGGTACCAGTGTACCATTAGTCTGTACACCTGACCAGCGCAACACGTGCATCTCAAGTACCGACACAGGAGCTAGACCTAAACAATCACAATCTCGGACCCGAGCGAAAAATCACATAATCGCACTAATGACAACGCATGGTCTTCAACTTCGGTCTCACATTGGGTATTCAATATGTGCGTGCGTTGAAAGATACATGTATATCGATCAACGAAGTTTATGTCCGTAAGTAAATTTCGGATATTTCGGCAAGCAAAACTCATTATGAATAATTAATTAGCACATTCTACCCCCTAGTTTCTCAACGGCTTCACACAATTCACGTTGGTGGACTTTTGAGGCCCCTAAACCGGATTTCCGGAAAAAAACCGGAGTACCTTCAGTGTTAATTTGAAGAAAAAAAAAGTTGACGCGCGCGCTGACCAGAGACCGGAGTATTTTTTTTTGGCCTTACTGGTATTATGAAGAAAAAAATGCTTACACCGTGGCGGAACGTGAAAGGAGTTTATAATGCCAGCTTATTCCGAATGTATTTTCATTGCATGCATTGTGACTGAGCGGAGCTTAGCTTCCATTAGAGCTGCACGTGCTTGGCATTGGTTGGCCTAGGTGCGCAGACAAATATGCATGGCAGGCAGACGTCACCTGATGCGTTGAGCGCTGTATGCGTGAGTTGAGCTGCGCAATGCGAGCAGACGTAGACAGGAAGTAGGTTAATTCGTTTGCTCTTCGTTTGTGCAATGTTTATGCGCGGTTTGTACAATTAAGTTGTGTGATCTGTAATCTGGCATAGCTTAGGGTTGCATATGTAAGGCTGTAATTAGTTGTACTTAGCTGATGCTAGCTTGCATGGTTGATGCGTTGCGAATATCAGCTGTACTGTTGTACATTGCTTAGCCTATGCTGTTGCATTGCTTATGATGTTGTACATTGCTGATGCTGTTGCACATTGCTGATGCCAATTACCGTGCATTTATTGATTTATTGTTGAATAAAAAGTATTTGCTTGTACCGGCAATTCTGTTTCGAGGTGTCAAGCTATGTTACATGTTTAATGTGCAATCAGCAGAGAGTTAACAATCAGTCACAATCGGTGGAACATTTCCTCCATTATCCATAACGGACCTGCGTCCTTAGCCTTGGTAAAGGAGCTAAATGTTATTCATCCCGGCCGTGGCACGTAAACGATATCCTCACTTGGGCCATGCATTATGCAGTGCATCAAAAATACAGCGCGAACATCGACCTCATGCGGCCACCATTTCTATGCAAATTAGTTGGACCCAATATCGCGCCTTGGTTCAATCGTTGGCAAAAGCTTATGTTTTTCATTATTTTGCGCTGGATTTCTAGCGCACGACCTCGTATGCGAATACAAATAAGTGTAGGCGGGGCCAATATGTGGAGTGTCCAATCACACCTTGGTAAATCCGGACGTCATCAAATTGTTTGCAGCTAGCTATTCGCCTTTTGCGGACGTGACAGGAACCAAAGTTTTTGTGCATTGGTGCCGTGTGCAGAGACACATAACGTGTACGTGTACATGTATGGATTATGTACGGTGCCACGTTTTACTAAGCAAGTTTCTCCGCAACGATCGACCAATAAGAAAACGACATTTAAGGTCAGCTAAGGCTATTAACATAATGAGCACCACCCCCAAAACCTCACATGGACGATTGAACCAAGGCGCTATATTGGGTCCAATTGATTTGCATAAAAATAGTGGCCGCGTGAGGTCGCTGTTCGCGCTGTATTTTTAATGCACTGTACTGCATGCGTAGCGCATAGACATTATGACTGCATGCATTACCGCGCTACGGCCGTTTAAAAAACAACTAGCGCCTTGACCAAGGCTACTGCGCCCTGAACTTAAGGTCGCTGTGGTCTATCGTCTAGGGAAGAGCCTTAATTGTCTTCCTATAATGTGGTAAAAAAACGCGGGTTCGCCCGGGAGAAAGGTCCGAATAGCAAGCAAGTTTTCTTAGCTGAGCTGGACTGATCGAAGAAATGAGGACTCGACCTGAGTTGGACTCCAGAAAATGAATCAGTTACTTAACTCATTTTTTACCAAGTTGATATTTCTTCTAGCGTTTTCTTTGGGAAGGGGGATGCGGGATTAGCGGGACACGCCCTCTGCCCTGTGAAACATGCACATATGACATGCAGATCTTTCAAAATGTCTCTGATTTGTTCTTTGTTTGGCTAAACATTTAACTAACGTTCTAGTTTAGCTCTAATTTTTGTTTTAGAATAGAATGAAGCTTTGGGAACAGGAATTGTACAACCAGTTCAAGTACATTGTCGCAGATGGCCAGCCTTTCTTCCACACTTTTGAAACAGACGTGAGTGTATTACTGTTCTACTAAGTAACAAATAATCTCTTAACTTGAAAACACTTGGTTAAGATTGGCAGTGCTTGTGGCTATAAGGTGATGGTCATTCTATAAAACTTGGGGGTACGTTTTTCCTGTCCCTGTTACATCTGCCATCTATGATTTTATAATTTTGGTTGTTTTATCCTCCAAGACTACGTTATTTCTTTTTCATGCATAACCAATCCCTGTTTACTATGCAAAACTTCAACCTTATCTGGTTGAATTTTAACTCAGTCTAGGACTTTGAAAATGCACCTCTATGATGACGTGCATGACCCATGTGTCGTCATTTTGACGGCACTTTTCAATGCACATACCTACAATGCACGTACATATTCTTAAAATATAAAAAATATCATAAAAAAATCTACCGATGACGTCATCATGACGTTAAATACGATTTTGCATATTAATAACATTATCTAACTTCCAAGTTTGGAGTCGATCGAGTTTGATGACGTCATGACACATACATTAATCACATTGCATTTGCATTTGCAAATTCTTTTTGAAATAATCATGTTACGTTCGTGAGTTATGTCGTCATTTTTATACAACACATCCCTTCTATATACATACAATGTTTAACCCTAATTGGCCTTGTAGTTCTCCAAGCCATTGCAAATGCACCTGTATGATGACGTCATTCATTTATGATGACGGCCTTTGTTTACGTTTAGTTGATCAAGATATGAGAATTCAAAATGTCAAAAGTGGCTTGTAAAACAATTCTGTGCAAAGTCTACGGGATTTGGGATTGAAAAAAACGAAGAAAAAGAAAGAAAGAAAAATCAGATCAAAAACAAAGACTTTTTCATACATTTAAGGACAAGCCAAAAGAATATATGAATAAATAGATATTGTTTTTTAGTCAATACGGTTGCTTGGTTGTCGGGTTTATATTTCATTTTCAGTTGAAGAATTACTTATGAGAACGTCAGGGTGTTCAAGATGCATGTTATGGGGGGCAATGACATCTCTAGTAATTCCATCTTTTAATTATAAATTTTTCGAGACTATTTTGGTGAAAACAGCATATTTCCCTCATGTGGGTCTTTTTGTAAATGAAGGGTCCAGATTGAGGGATTTTGCTGCCCCTTAACATAATCACTCTTGGTTATAATGACATCATTCTGTGATTTTATATGGATTTTTGAAGATTTAAATATCGCCATATCTCACGAAGACAACATGCTACATTCAAATTCTTTGTGAAAAGAAAATTTAGAATTCATTGTCCGGTTTTTAGGGAGGGGGAAAATGGATGCAGAATATATCTTTGTTTTCATGTGTGACGGGCACAAAGCTCTAGTTAGTTTGCTTGTTTTTTACTGTTGGTTTTATTTCTTCGCGTACCCATAATTATGTGCACCCTGTGTATACAGACATGTTGGGCCGCCCTCAACTTTGCTAGTGATGCTGAAGCCGGTGATTTCAGCAATGTCATCGAAGTTAAGCTAAGGGCCAAGCATAAGCGTGACGGAGGTGAGTGAACCATCTCTAGATGAAGACGCTGTCTGATTTGCGAGAGCTCAACGAAGTGGGAGGGTAAACCGTATGCACATACTGGCTCGCGTGTGTATGACTAATTCTATTTTGAACAAAGTGGTAATTAATGTCTTAAAGTGAGCCCCATGTACCTTCGGCAATGCATTCATGAGACTCTTCACAGTCATGTGGTTGCAAAGGGCGATTTCTATAAAGGTTACGTAACACTTTATTTTGAATGAAACTACATGAACACAGACATGTTCTCGTTGGTGCTTGGCAAGTGAAATCTTTGAAAATTAATTTCTCCAGTTTGGAAGACCGTATCTTCATGCAACTTGCAGGATTTATTTCCCTTATAATGATCCAAGTATGTGCTAGAAATTGTGATGTGTTTATTACTTTTCGTTGAAATAGGAAAATAGGCCTGGCTACGTGCATTTTTGAAAGTTTTAACACTGGCGTTTGCAATATCTTCCAATATTTTCAAGCCTCACGAGTATTAATTAAATTCCTATTCATTTGGAGAAAAGCCTCCTTCACGAGTTATTAATTGATAAATATCACCCTTTTTGCCGGCTTCCATTGGTCGATACCGAGACCCACGCCAAATATGCTAATCTTCCATACGTTATTGTGTTGTTTGGCCGAAATCGGTCAACCGTAGCGCCTAAGGCGCTTTGCTGAACAATGCAAGTGGGTTGGGTAGGCAGAAAATCCTTGTCGAAACTTTCCATGGAGATTGTTGTAGTTGTAACACTAGCGTTTGCAACAACATATTAAACTGAAATTCGGAATGGTAATAGTGTTCAACTACTTGTGAAATAACAATTTGGAGAAATTTTTAAAAATTGATATAAATACATAGATTTGGCGAAGTTTTCGAACGATTTCTTCCAGACTTGAAGGTCAGCTATACCAGTAACCAGTATTGACATTTTGGCATTGATGACGGCGATTTTTTTTTCACTGACATGAAGTTTAGAATTTCTTCTTCCGTTATTATTTAACATTTCAATCATACTGAGCATATTTTCTGAGGAACACAACGTTCAAAATGTCCTTTTTGCGGTGTGTGAATTTCACTGCTCTGCTATACTAAGTACGTAATCGGATTAGCTTTCCTTAGTAACGACGGACGCTTTGCCTTAGTAGCCACATGACTGTTCAAGTGGTCTCCTCCAACTCTCCATATGTTGCCCTTGGAAGGCCGGCTGGCGTAATTTTTATTCCTAGGAGGGTTAGGGGCAATGTCATGAATAATTCATGTTTATCCATGAGAACAGACAATGACATCAACAGCATTGTTGTTTGTTACTCAACTAGTTACAATACATTAAAGCATTTTAAAGAACGGTTGTCGACGAGCTACCACACAGTAGCCTCGTGGATAGCGAGATGAGCTATGGATACAATGATCCCTGGTTCGAATCCACGTCGTCGCTGCTCATTTTCATCAGCTATTTTTCTTCTCCCAATTTATCACTGAGATAATTTTAAATTAAGGGGAAAATAGAACGAGAACCTAAGTCTTGCAATGATTCAAAGGAAAAACGGAATTATTCATGACATTGCCCCTAACCCTCCTAGGAAAAAATTACGCGGCCGGCTGGGTCAAAAGGTAAAGTCTGTTGCGAGTCATGTGACCCATCAAGGTTGCGTTTATCTCCGGTTTTCTTTATAGCTCGAAAAGATTGAAAATACATGTACTTATATTCCCATGGGTGGGATGGCAGTCCATCTTAGTTGCCTCCCAGTTTATGCTGACCGGCGCCCACTCCTTGGTGGAGAGAGGCAAGTTGGAGTAAAGTGGCTTGCCCTATGACACGCCAATAGCCTGTTCATGAGTCATGAACCCTAACCACTAGAACATTTCAATGTATAAAATGCATACGGGTGTAAATCAATGTGTGAAATGCAGAGCCTGGTTCAAACATTTCAGAAGGGTTGGTTTGTAAAATATCAAATTTATTTTCGAATAATTTCGTATTGAAGAAGAAGTAATCAAATTTAATTAAAATAATCTCATTAAATCAAGTAGAATATGTGGGTGAGGTGTTATAAAACAAATATTGAGTGTTTCAACTCGTGGTACAGTTAAACCAGCCTCAGCTCAGTGATCCATGGAGCATGCGATTTTCCCGAGGCTTTTGCAAGGGGAAAATAGAATTCTCCACTAAAGTGGATCTCCTCCGGAGGCTAGTTTTACTATACCATTCGAAGCAGTAAATATTTGTACAATAATGAATACATTTAATTGCAAGTTATCTTGTCAATTTCAGGCACAAAAAAACGCCGCGCTCCAGAAGCAGCAGTCCGGAATCGACCCAAACATGCCCCTCCAGTGCCAACCCAAAGTGAGTATCTAATTCCAAGCTCTTTTTAGCAAGATGCAACTGAAAGAAAGCCAAGATCGCTTGGCTAATGGCTAATGTTGTGCAAACTCCCGACCCGAAACCGAAACCGACCCGGCCCCAAACCAACCGGTCGGTTTGTCCATCTTTTTAGTCGGGTGGGGTCGGTTTCGGTTTTGCGTTTGCGATTTTCGGGTCGGGTCAGGTCGGGTCGGTTAAGCCATTTTGGAAAAACACGAAATTAAACCGAAATGAACCGAAACAGAAATTTACATGGTACACTATTTAGTGAAGAGTCACTGCGTCCGGTGCGACTAAAAATGGTTTGCAGTCTGTCTCGATCGGTCTACAACATGTAGGCCCGACAGTAGGTCACGTTGTGAGTGCCACATGGCATGATTCAGACTTTACTGAAAGCCGACATTTACGCGAATTAAAGCGGGTCAGTTCAAGCGCAAAAAGCGGACATATTTGCCGAAGCCAGATATTCGGGGGTTTTTCGGGTCGGTTCGGTTTCGGTTCGGTTCGGGTCGGTTTTCTTTTAATTGTTGTTGGGTCGGGTCGGGTCGGTTTTAGCCTAGTCCTGTTCGGTTTCGGTTTATAAAATAAAAGTGTCGGGGCGGTTTGGCCTCGCCAACCCGACCCGATACACATCGATGCTAATTGACCTTGCACTTACAAGCAATACGGTGTTCTAAAACGGACAGGCAAACGTCGTGGTTGAACTTTTCGGTGTTGGGTCAATTCGCCCCTGGCCCTTCGTGTGACAGGATGATATAAATTATGCTCCATGTAGGCCTATTTGGTTTATACAAGAAACCTTTTATTTAAGTGTCTGCATGATGCTGGTATAATTTGTTCGATCGTGTGTCCTTTGTCTATGGTACGATTATTTGTATGTTTTGATCATTGTTTAAGAAAATGACAAATTCTGTGTGGTAACTGGTTACATACTTTAATACATCGTCCAAACAAAATACAAATAGGTCCAAAACCGCACCAACGAACTCCCAACTCAGGGGGCGAGTTGGTCTTGGCTCAAGATGTCAGTGATCAAGAGCGATAGTTGCAATGTTATGTAGCGTAAAGCGTTGGGCAAAATTGGAAAATTTTACACAATGTTGGTTAAAATTTTAACCAACTTTTTTAACCAACCAAATTTTAACCAGCGTTTTGGGAGTGCGGTTAAACTTTTCAAACGTCCGTGGTTCAATTTATCAAACGTCGTGGTTCAACGTTGGGTATTATTTTAACCAACTGTTGGGCTGTTGACCTGGTAAACAAGTACAACAGTTGGTTAAAATTAGTAATTTTACCCAACGCTGATTAAACTGGATAAAGTTAACCATCGTTGGTTAAAATGAACAAAAAAGCACCATAGGCTGAGTGCAATATGGACCGTTATGGGCTATATCGAAGTGCACTGTTGTTGCCATGGATCGACCTATCAGGATCGAGGGCTCAAATTTGGTATCACGTGTAATCGTATTACCAGTGGGGTTCATCAATGATGGATCCTCGTTCATAGTTCCATCCGTACAATTACAATAAGATGTAAAACAAGAATGATTCCTTAATAATTGCAATGTCTGAAGTTCAGACCGTGGACTAAACATGAGATGTCATTGCGTGGGCTGGTTTGAAGCGCCAACCCACAGCCAGAAACCATGTCGCGATTGTTGAAAATTCACTTCCTCGCAATTTGATTCAATATTTTGTGCAGTTAACATCCAGCCATCTCCGACAATTAACACCACCACCACCACCACCACCACCAACACCAACACCGCCACCAGTAAGAAGAAAAACAAGAAAGACCAAGGGAAGAAAGCAAGGCTGAACAAGGCTGACATTTCCTCGCCCATTAATTTTACGTAAGTGGCTCTGCCAACTGGTGGAATTTATCGATTATGTGCACAAGTGCATGCCCCGTAAACGGTTAGAAAGGGAGAGTAATTAATTAAACCTAATTTCTGTAATCGACCTAAGAAACGCACTGTGAAACACAAACAGGACCGAACTTGCAACGCAGACATATATGAAAACATTTTATCCGAAAGTGTCGCCGACAACTCAGACAAACGCAAACAACGTGGCAGCTAGACGATCGGTACCGACGGTTCCGCGTATTGTCTGCGCACTCTGCGTAAGCTTAATTTCGATATGGACACCAGGCTTTAAGTTGGACCCTCTAACACATTGCCAGTTTGTGCCTGGTGCTCATGCATAGACACTTCATGTATGTGCAGTCACATGCTCAAACCAATGCACAAATGCCCAAATCTGTGACATAAACATGCAATTTCAACATACGTGTTTGATAACATTTTCCATAAAATTGTAAGATTATTTCAAATGTAAATCACAAATCCGACATAATAATGTAGATGTATATATTACTTGTTTTTCTCTTTAGTCATGTCAAGCATTTTGGACGGGGTCCAGAAAATGGTGACGATGTAAGTAGAACTTGAGTTTCTTGTTTTATATTTTTGAATTTTTTTACCGTTAATTGAACTTTTGATCTTTTATTTTGCCACCCAAATAAAAAAGGTGACGTTTATTTTGGTCATTCCTGTCACTGTCTTTTCCATCAATGATCAGCCGATGCGACAGACAAATAAACAAAGAAACCAACACACTGACACACTGATGCATTCCTAAAAAGGTAAAATGGAATAGTTCTGCCCAATTTCATGTTGAATGTCACCTTGTGTACATCACTTCCTTGTGAACCTTAAAATGAGCTGCACAGGTTGTTGGCTCACCGGCAGTCTAGAGAGTGCACCCTACTCGGCTTGGCTTTGATTCTATACGCAAAAGAAGTGTGACATCACACAGGGTCGTTTCAAATAGTGATGTGTCCACAGTGTTTCGCCATATAGCCATACAAATTGAATACCAAAGTTTAACCCATTTACATTGAAAATATAACAAAAGGAACAACAAAATAGGGTAAGTGCTTCGAGTCAAATGGCTAGATCACATTTTTGACAAGATCGTGAACGACTGACCCAAAGCACCGAATTTGGCAGATAGATTCTTATAGGCCTATCCCCGAAAAAGATATTTAGAAGGGGGTGACTGCCATACTTCAAAAAGGTTAATGGGTCTAGAACAAACGTTAGTGAATGTTCCTTTGAATGTTTGACCCCCAGGATAAATTGATGGACCAAGCCCTCCAGAACTGGTTGGAAACCCTCGGTCTAGATGAAAGCGAAATCCAGGGCAAGGAAAACGTGCAGTTCATCAATCAGTTTGTAGATGAACATGGAGGAATAAATGCTGTTAAAAATAACATGTCTCGTAAGTAAATGCATAAGGTCTGGGTTTTCAACTTCAGACAGCTTATGGTGTAGCACAAAATTGACTTTAAGGCTGAACCAAGGGAAACTACTTTCCCTTGAAAATAATCTAAACAATTTTTATATTTAGCTAAGATGGCAGTTAACCCCACTTCACTGTTAAATGCAGTGATGGAGTGTGAGGCAGGTTTTTGGTTTTCTCAAATCAGTGTGTACTATTATTCACATTGCACTGGATGCTCTGAAATGTTTGCTAAATTCTGTGAGATGATTCAAAGGATTTGGAATGGTGCTGCCCCTTTTTATAAATGCAGACCTGTGCTCCTGTATAGTAACGTGTTTTCAGGCCTTGCTTTCAGTTGCTTATAACAATAGGAACCTTACATGTGTAACTTTTCTTGTAGACCTCAAATCTTCTGTGGTAAATGCTTTCTTTTGTTTTTCCTATTCCTCAAGAGAGGTCAAGAATGCCTGCCCCTCCACCCCCGCCCCCGTCTCCTGGCTCTGCTGCTCCGCCTCCCCCACCAGGCAACCGTGTTGCTCTCCTACCACCTCCCCCAAGCCGTGGTCCTGCACCCCCTCTCCCACCCTCATCTCGTGGGGCACCACCCCCACCCCCACCCTCGCGCGCTCTGCCCCCGACGCCCCCCTCTATGGCCCCACCCAGCATGCTCTCCCGGCCTATGGCAGCCCCGGCTCCTCCACCCCCAACCCCATCTGGAGGGGGTGGAACACCAACCTCTCCACCACCACCAGCTGTTGGAGCCGCTCCGCCCCCTCCCCCTATCGTAGAGGGAGGGGGGAGAGGCCGTATAGATGACATCCACAAGGGTACTGCCTTTAAGCGTGTGGATCCAGATGACCAGACAGCTCCAGCCAGCAGTGGACGTGGGGCGCTTCTGGATCAGATTAGGGGAGGAAAAGCCCTCAAAAAGGTACGAAAATTCCGGGTGTTTTCCAGTAGATATCAATATACCCTTGCCTTCCATAAAGTCAGTTGTTGTTCCAAGACAATGACAAAAAAAATAACAAAAGTGCATAATAGTTATGTCCATCACATCAGAGGAACAATGACATGCCTTCAGGTGTAACATGAAATTCAGAATCTGTGTTATCATGGTTGGTTAAATGATTAAACAATTATATTGTTCACACACATCGTCACTTCTTAGGCTTATACTCACTGTTGCTGAAAGAGCTTCTATAACGCTCCGTTTATTAAGATGTCTTTCAATATTATTAGTACATTTAGTTCTCCAGTGTTTATTTGCTGCATATTTAGGACTGTACAACATGCTTTAATCGGCAGTTGGCACAATAAGCAGCTTTTATATACAATGCTATATAATGTAGTGTAGGCCTATATTTAGCACTCTCGTGATGGTAACATATCAATCATCGACATGCTTGTGCTTGTTGTAGGTGGATATGTCCGACCGGGAGGCAGAAGTGGCCCCCAGCTTTTCTCAGGATGACCTAGGGGCTTCACTGCTCAATGCTCTACGGATCAGAAACTGTGTCATCCACTCTGGTAATGCATGTTGTCACGGTGGGCCCCTCTCGGTTCATATCAGAGACAAATTTGGGGCAGAACCATTATCTTTGTCTAGCCTACGGAGGTTCAAAAATGGAGAACTGCTTTACTGCAACCAGAAATACAGATTGAACGTTTTGCTAAGTGGATTTTTCTACCTTTCTGCTTTTCTGCTACCAGAAAAGAATATTTTTGTTTACCCATAGCGCTTCAAAAGTGGGCGAGTGCTTTTTCGCTTTACAACTACTAGAAAAGCCGACTGAACATGTCGTACAGATCAATTTTTCTTCCTTTCTGCTTTTAGGGAGAGTACTTTTGAACCTCCATACTTTGTCTGCATGGAAGCAGCTCTGCTTTTTGGCCCAGAGATGTTCCGGGAAAATTTTCGTTGCCAACAGCTCGACTCACCAATACTGATATCTTCATTGCGAGAAGATTCCGGGGACATTGTTCAGAATCCTCAATCCTGCAATCATTGAGAAATTGTTCCATGTTAAAAACCTTGAAAAATATGTTTATATGGGTAGTGTTCTTAAAGCTCTAATCCTAGAGTCTATAGCATTCCCTAAACGTACATTGCGATACGTCAGACGATCAGACGATTTCCGTGGACAAAGGGGGTTTAATTTAAGCCGTTCAGAAATTAGTGCCTGTTAATGAGTTGACGACCAACCATTGCGAAGATCAGCAAAAGGGGGATACAAAAGTTTAAAGACACGGAGGTAACAACAAAAGAATCAACAACAATGAACGAGAATGTTTTTCTTCGCACCCATTTGGTATTTGTATAATTTTACTATTAATCGCTTAATCATCGAACTCATGGATACTTGAATTATTAAACAGCCTTAATAACGAATTAAACGAAAAGGAGAATTAAGGATCTTTAGCCTAGTTAAGATAAAGATGAGCTTGAGCCTGTCGCGATGGCTGTCGCGATTTTGGGATGGTGTCAAGTCGATATAATAGGAATACAAAGCTTTCATGTTTCCGCAATCAATTTAATGCGGGGAAGACTAACCATCATCGTTGAGAGAATATTCTTGTACCGGTAATTGAGGAGAAACCATCATGGCTATGGGAGGATTTTTTACAAGGGATATGGAGGAGACTAACCATCAAGGCTAGGAGGATATTTTCAGAGGGAGTATGTAGAAGACTCAACATCAAGGCTAGGAGGATACAAACATCATAGTGAAGCGACATTTTTATATACATCGAATGTGAAACGACATTAATCATTGTACCCCCTCCTCCTTCGTGCCGAGCTTGGCAATGGTTGGATCTTAAACAGGTCGTCAGCTCATCATCACAGGCAATTTTCAGGACGGTTTAAACCGCAACCCCCCTTGTCCACGGAAATCGTCTGATTGTCTGGCGTGTTGCAAGGTACGTTTATGGAATGCTGTAGACTGTATAGGTTTATAGCTTTACAAAAACAATATTGGGAAATAAGTACACGTCTTACAACAATGCACATGACATCTGAAATGTTGATTCACTAAATGACAGAAGGAAAAAGTGCTGTCGCAAATTTACCGTCGGAGTTTTGGAAAATGTGATAGCCATGTCACTGTTCCCTCCTTAATGCCGTGTGCGTCAGGGCATGTCATTACGTAGGTTACTCTAAGAGGCGGATCTAGGAATTTTTTTGCAGGGGATGGGGGTTTCATCAGCAAATTTTTTTTTCAAATGTAGGTAGGGTTTTTCTGAGGACACTTGGCTTCCGAATATCAATAGGTGGATGGGGTGGGTGGGGGGGGGGGGGGCTCGTACCATACTTTCAATGGGGTCGCTACTCCAATCCGACGATTATTAACACTACAGAATACTGTTCAAATACCCACTTACAAAGCTGGCTCTGTCCGTATTTTCTGCATAAATTTCTATAAAAAAATGAAACATTTTGACAGAGCTGAGTTTTTTTTTAACCCACGTATTATACCTAGACTCTTGAATCAACGTTTATAAAAATTATATACAGGATCTGATCGCTCTCACACCTGTGAGGTCCACTTCGTGTATACAATGAACTATAACACTTGTTACGACTTACGAGTGTGAGGCTTATAATATACAAACCTCTATACACGTTAAATATAATCCTTACACTCCTGTGAGCAGTGGCGTCGCCAAGGGGGGGGCCAGGGGGGGCACGTGCCCCCTCCCCCCTGGAAAACCTAGTGCCCCCCCCCCCCGAGTGCCCCCCCCCCCATCAAATGCTGGTGCCCCCCTATCCTCTGCAAAATTCTGCGCGTTGTTAAAATCATTACCTCAAAAAAGCAATTTTTTTGAGATATCTTCAGATCGAATTTAGCATCAAATGTGGCACCATTTTGCATCTAGCCCATCCTCCGTATGCGAAAATTTTCCAAAGGGGAGGGGTCCCCCAGGACGGCGATCCGTATCCACCTAAGTGCCCCCCCCCCCCATCAAATGCTGGTGCCCCCCCCCCCCTGTGCCCCCCCCCCCCCCCCAGACTGAAAGGTCTGGTGACGCCACTGCCTGTGAGGCAGTCTGTTTCTCTCACAATGGAATCAACGTCTTTGGATATTTTGTTTTTCTTTGTATAAAACACAAACACTTTGCAAAACTGCAATAACTTTATAAAAACTTTGAATTTCTTTGTTAACGTTTCAATAGAAACTTTATATATATTTTCATTTCTCAAAATATTGTGCACCGCAACTAATTTGGCCTCGGGGCCACGATTCGTGGCCTTATTATAAAGCTATTTGGAGGTTTGTGCTGTAAAACAAACTCATCGTCGTTCCTTTCTACACATTATGTCCTGACATTAATCATGGCTGTGATTGGTCAAAACACTGGGGCTTAACGGATCAGTCTCTTTCTCTGCTTGTAGGGGTTCACTTATTGTGCCTCTTCTGAAATGTATGCATTTTCTTCTTCTTTTCTTCACCACCCATCTCCCATGCAGAAGACAGTGATGACGATTCTGATGATGACGACTTTGATGATGATGACGAAGAGTGGGAGTAAATTGAGGACTAAAACAAAACTGTGTGTTTACGGTAACCCCCCTATACCTGGATTTTTAGGCTAAATTTCCGATCTCAAACTGTTTATTGCCACATTTGTCCAAAAAAATATGATAAAGTATTTGTTGAAAAATCATACTAAATGTTCAAGTTATTCAAGTGTTTTGGGTGTTATTGAATACAGGTTAATAAAACAATATACCGTTAAAGGTATCCTAAAGTAAACAAAGTAAGTAAAAGTGACTGACATATTCTTCAGATGGAACACAGTTATATATATTTTCATATTTTCTATGAAAACCGCTGCAATATCGGAATCCCTAATAAAGCTATAGTCCATCATTTGCAGCCATCCGAAAAAGTAACATGGCGTATTATTGTTGAAAAACATACTTGGTTGAAAGATAGTAAGGGGGCTAAACTCCCTGTGAAATTAATCTTTCTGGCAAGCTATCATTTAGAAGTAATCAACGAAAGAAGGCCTTTCCAATGCACCGTAGGAAAATTTAAATTAGTAGTTCGTTTTGTTATTCGGCGCAGCGCGCGCAATCATTGGCACGACGCACAGGCGCACAAGGTTGCTATAATTCGTCGGATCAGTGCGCGACATCGCGTATAGCTGCAATTCAAAACAATTCAAAATATGATTCAGCAACTTTTGATTTGAAATTGAGATCCTAGAATGCTGTTTTTCTCGGAATATACAGCTGAAGCTGAGCCGAAACTTCATCAGGTTAGTTGTTCAGTATCCTTCATTAGATTTTGAACACTTTCGTTGCTTCAAACGAACAAAATGCACAAATTACAAATGATGGACTATATCTTTAAAGCTATAGTCCATCATTTAAAGCCATCCGAAAAGTAACTGGCGTAATTATTGTTGAAAAACATACTTGGTTGAAAGATAGTAAGGGAACTAAACTCCCTGTGAAATTATTCTTTCTGGGAAGCTGTCATTTTGAAGTAATCAACGAAAGAAGGCCTTTCCAACGGTGCGTCTTAAGACGCACCTTAAATCAGTAGTTCGTTTTGTTATTCGGCGAAGCGCGCGCAAGCATTGGCACGACGCAGGCGCGCGCGCTGTTGCTATAATTCGTCGGATCAGTGAGCGTCGTCGCGTATATAGCTGCAATTCAAAACAATTCAAAACATGATTCAGTAACTTTTGATTTGAAATTGAGATCCTTGAATGCAGTTTTTCTCGGAATATACAGCTGAAACTTCATCAGGTTAGTTGTTCGGTATCCTTCATTAGATTTTGAACACTTTTGTTGCTTCAAACGAACAAAATGCACAAATTACAAATGATGGACTATATCTAGCCATCAACACAATTCGGGGTATTATTTCGCCCTTTAATCCTAATAACTTCTCTTCAGAGATCTCTAGTATTATTACCAGCAATCGCTTCAGCCATTTGCTCAATTTGAATCTGATCATTATCCCTGAAGACCTATTAAAACTGGTTCCAGGTATACGGTGCATATCTGCATCAATACCATGATGCAGTTGGACACATGCCTTCCAATGTTGATGCCACATCAGAGCTTCCTAACGTAAATGCTAAACCTTAATTTTCATCGTTCCTACTATCCGACTGTGAAGTATCTTTACCAGAGGGGTTAGATTTCTGAATACATTCAGAAACATTAATAATACATGTGGTCATAACATCATTGTACAAATCGGTTAAATCGTTCACATGCTCTTTACAATTCATAATTTTGTGCAATGTAAAAAATAATTGTTAAAAGAAATATTTTCCAGATTTGTTTGTAAATTATGTTTATGATTTTGAACATTGTGGTTTACTTGCTTTCCTCCAGAAAACAATTTCAACTGGAACATGATCGAGGAAAAAGTGATTACATGTATCTATAATATTAAGTAAAACAATGCTCTTTCCAATTGTAGAAGAGACTAAAGAATTCTTGATATACTTTAGATATATGGACCAGTAAATGTATACGGCACTTGTGCTAATTCAAGATCGATACAAATAACCATAATCATTAAATTTAAAACAACGGCATTTGGAGATGACCGACTAAGATCTTAATTTAGTTCAACTCCAAATGTACGAGTATGTGAAGACCGATCCGGCGGACTGATCAGAGAATAATGACAGGAAGCTACAACGGCCAGGAAGGCGGATCAGCAATGCACTGTGAACGGTGCCGGTGTCACATGAAAATCCGACTCCTATGAAAATCGGACCCCTATTTCCCTATTATTGGTTGATCCCTCGCACGTGACAGGTCACTCTCCCGAAACGATCCTAAAATAGCATAGTATCGTACTCACGCGTGCGCAGTACTACCAATGAGTCCACATTTCATGGAGTCGGATATTCACGCTACACCTGGGCACGTCGGAGCACAAAAGAAGACCTGGCCATCCACTTTAGCCAATGAAGTCCCGGGGAAGGTCAGGTGCCGAGTTGGTCAGGTGCCGAGTTGGAAGTCGGGAGAATATAGAAGGCAAAATGTGGGTGCAGAGTTGGCACGGTGCCGAGTTGGCACGGTGGCTAGTTGGCTATGGCACGGTGGCTAGTTGGCACGGTGGCTTGTTGGCTATGGGTGCCGAAATGACCGACATTCAACAGATGGATCAACACTGATCAAACTATAAGGACGCACCGAGTAAACGATGGGTGGAGCACTTTAGCAACTTGCTCAACATGTGTTCTTCCGTCAGCACATGCAGCTGCACTCAACCATACCCCACATCAGGTCTCTTTGGAAGAGCTTGACCCACCATCAATTTCTGAAATAGGGAAAGCCATCCAATAAATGAACTCCGATAGAGCATCGGGCAAAGATGGAATCCCGGCATCTGAGTTGTACCAAGCTAGCAGGCCCATCATAATCGATTAATGTCTTCTGCGATGCACGCATATGCATAGGGGAGCAAGAGAAGATACTAGCAGAAATTTAGGGATGCCCTGATTGTTGCCCTCTACAATAATGGCAGCAAAGCCGACTGCGGAAACTACAGGGGCATCACTCCTCTCCATCGCTGGGAAGTTTTTATCCGAATCAATCTGAACAGGCTCATTATTGTGTCGGAAGCCAATTTACCTGAAGCCCAGTGTAGATTTCGTCAAGGGCGCAGTACGGTCGATATTATGTTCTCAGTGCAACAGACAGAGGCATCGCGCAGAACTTAGACTTGTACTCCTTATTTGCCCACGAATGTTCATCCAGATAATCAGGCCCTTTCAATTATGGCATGACTGGACAATAGTTCTCTCAAATGGTGACCAGTCCGACCCATTTGATATCTCAAATGGGATGGAAGCAAGATTGCGTCCTGGCACCGGTCCTCTTCAACTTGAAATTTACCTGTATCATTAAGTATGCCATGCAGGATCTTGACTCGGGGCGTAAACATCCGATACCTCGGACAGTTCTGTCTTCGACCTGCGTCGAACAGCCAAGACGAAGACGTCGACTGTTCTCATTCAGGAAGCGCTGACCTGCAATTCATGCTTAACAAGTTCCCAGAAGCTTCAAAGCCATTTGGCTAAAATTGAGGATCTCTTCCAGCCAACCGGCGCTCAAAAGGCGCTCAAAAGGCAACCATCACCAACCCAGGCAATCAAAAAGTACATATTCAAATTCTACCATAAATAAGGAGTGGTTAAATTAATATTTAACCACTTGGCAAATGGATAGAAGAGTCCATCAACCAACCAAAGTGGGTATTTAATAGCCCGCATCAGGGTCAAAAGATGCAGTTTGAATAGCAGGCCACTGAAACCAAACCGATGCCCGATTGAGTAGCCATAGGGGTGAGTTATTATCTTCAGTTATTTTGTGTTGTAATTTTGTGACTTAGATGGGAGTTCATCCTTATAATACATGGTTCATCACTTATTTGTTGCATTTCGTTGTTGCATTTCTGTGAATGAAGTTTCAACATCTTGACTTTTAATAAATGATTCAAACTTAGAGATTTGCAATGATAAGTTTGGCAGTCAACGTAAATTGAATCATGATGGAACGATAAACACTGATGATCTGAATTGAACTGACTATATCCTATCTCATAGATAATGTTATGTTAAAGAAACGTTCATTTAAGAATCATTTTATTATTTGGTATATATAGCTTCCAGCTACAAATATGGTGACGTAGCTGATGTAGCAGTGCGCTGCGCTGAACTACATGTATAACCAGGTTAGTTCCTAAATTGTTTTGTGTATACTGAACTGTACTTGATTGCTGAATTGCCAGACAATGTATTTCTTTACTTTGTGCCTAAAGCAATTTGTGTCTCTGCCTCTCTGGTGTATTTTATGTACACACTTGTGTTGTTTAAAATAGGGTACTTTCCATGTTTTGGTGTTATTAAGGACAAGGACAAATTTCTGTCTACCCAAGAAAGTATTATGTAACCTGTCACAATGCATTTGGCGAGATACCACGGGTTACAGCTGTATCGTTTGTGTGAGGATTGTTTTGGTTTCAAGCATTGATGGTTACACACCGACTAATTTTGAATTGTACTGTGCATTGTGATGTATTAAGAGTGTAGTATTTTAAACATTTGGGGTTTTTTTTGGTTCCTAAATGCCCAGGGGCTTGTAAATTCCGACATGGGCCGTCACATTATATCCGTCGAGTTCTAATCATCAGCCCCAAATTGTCGGCCTAGCAAGGAGGTTTGTCAGCAATACAAAAATAAGAGACACTGAATAGCAGATCTGCACGTGTCGCCGTTATAAAAGTTTGTTCGAACATTGACTAACGCCTGAACAATCTGTGCGGCCGGGTGTCAAAAGTGGGATAACGGCACTTTAACTTGAACTGAACAATTTCGACGGACCCCTGGATACCCAGGATCGATAGTGCAGGACATCGTATACAACCTGCCAGCAAGAGAAGATTCCTTCCTCCATGCTGGGATGAAGCACCGGATCTCCCCTCCTGTCCATCTATTAGTGGACAAGCTGAAGCAAGCCATGACGACCGGATCCCGGCCAAGCCTCTCCTTGGGAACAGAAACACAAGAGGACCTTATCACAAGACAAGCGTCGTGGCGGTAGGTCCGTTTCATTTTTTAACCACTTGTTTCTTATGTTGTATTCTTGATTGAAGGTTATTCAAAAGATCAGGAATCATGTGTACATTGTTATTGCCTACTATTTATTTGGTTTGTGATGATTATAAGAGGATTATACGACAGTAAATTAATATAGCTATGGACCATTGGCACATAGTTTGGTGCACTTGGAACGCGGTGTTTTTTTTTCAACATTAGAATTACACACTAATTACGCCCATTTGCCGAGGAAAATAATGACATTGACAATACTCTCTGTCTTTTTCATATTACGGCAGACTGTCGTAGCCCCTTGAGACAAAAGTATAACAAGTGAAAGATATTTCCATGCTGGATAACCCAAAAAAAATTGACCTATTTTTTATAATTATCGGTAGTCCCCAGTAACGTTATTTTGATTAAATACAGAAACTGTTTAGCTTAAGCCTATAAGCAGTGGGCACAGCAAGAGACGTGTGAGTCACTGCTTACTATTTATTCTCCAGTTGTTGTCTAGGACAAGCCTATATATAGCCTACTTATTTGGAACAGGGTCCAAACTACACTAGTATAGTACCAACGGCAAAAACAGTTGGCCTATAATTATAAAACCCAGTGGCACTAAAAACAGCCTTTCCACAAACACGGGCTATAGGCTAGTATTATCGGAATTTTCTCACCTTGACTTCCACCAATCTTGGCCACGTGGTCTGGTGCACATGGTCAGATGGTGCAGGCTCCCCAAATCTCGAGCACCACGTGAACATTCTGCAGCAACGTTACCTTGTATCATGTACGAATGTTTGATGGAGACTGACTTAGATCAACGCACAAACTTTCCTAAGCGTCATGTGTGTTTCTGAGACTTCCTAAATCTAGATGGGTCCACTGGCACTGAAGCTATGCCTGCAGCAGGCACAGGGGTAATTGACAGATAGTGAAGTGCCCACAAACTGGCTGGCGAAAGCAGGAGAACTTGCAGTTGCATGATGACTTGGGCCTCATCTTTATGGGCTAGTGAACGTCCAACTGTCACATAATTCCATTGGATTTGAAGAAATCTGAGACAACCAGAATATATCTAAGGTCAAACTAGATCCATCCACTCAAAATGATGACTGTCAATAAGTCCACTGGACTGGGAATTGGAGACATCCAAGATTAGTATTCAACAAATCCGCGACACTGAACAACAAAAATACACTCCTGCTGGTGCACAGACAAATTGATCCAATTTGCTAAAACAAATACACCAAATATAAATCCAAGGTATTGTAAATTCAAGGTAGTGAGAAGATTGTATTCCAATGAAAATTTAATGCGCAAAATGAAATCTGATCCTGCTGTCTCGATGACTGTGACAAAAGTGAGCACAGCCCAAGCACTCTTAGCCCAACTCGGGCCATCACTTCACTAAGCAACATAAAACAAAACAAGCTTATTCGTTGGTTCAAAGTTGGTCTAAACATTTGCATATTGAAATCTCTCACTGGCATACCAAATATGGTAATGGAGTGCAGCTGTGCAAGGCTGGAGAACTGAGTGAGGTGATCCAGCGAATTAGGTCAAAGACTTGGCAACACGCCAAATTGCTGGCTTGTGTTCTTGTACGTATGTATATGAAACTAGGGCAAAGAGCAAATGAATTCATATACATACAAACATGAACTCCGTCGCTGAGTATAAAGCATTTTATCATTCACTGTTGATAAAATGAATTATACGACAGTAAATAAATATAGCTTTATGGACCATTGACATATAGTTTGGGTGTAACAGACAGCCATTTTAATTCCACCAACCCTGCCGGACTGAGGTCTCGGTTCATTTATTGACATCACAAAAAGGGTTTGCAATTATAGGTAACAATAATTTGTATGCTGTATACATACGTGTACAATGCTAAGTCTGGTCTGATGCGATGGGTCTGAGCCTAGCAGCAGTCAATGGGAACATGATCGCTTACAATGTGGTCTCTGGTGAAGGTCCTGGCCAGCTACGGGATTGCCATGGGCCGGGGCATAATTAAGCTGCCAGACCTCACTCACGCGTTCCATTTGCTATTATATTGGAGCAAGGGAGACAAGTAGAAACTATACTCTGAGGTATAGGGAGTTAAATGTACTTACCTGATGAAACGGTGAAAGTAATATTATGTCGGATGTAGTTAACAAAGGGTAAAGCTTCAAAAATCAGAAGAGCCCACTTTTAAATAGGTCACACTCTTGACAAAGAATGGCCCAACCGTCTTTTGCCATATATCGGCTGATGGCCAATGCTGAAGGGCCTCCGTCCGGGGATACAGTGGTGTCTAGCATCGAGTGATGGGGTTGTGAAACCAATCTCTGAAACACGTCAGTGAGCTGTTGGAGTCTCACGTGCGCAGGGAATTCTGGTCCACGTGGTGAGCTGTTCCATGGTCCTCCTCTCAATTTGAGTCGCATGCGTGGGGTTGTGGCACCCAAACTTCTGGAGCATTCATGATCTGTTTTCTTCGGAGCGCGTACATTAATTGTGATCACAATCTCCCGGAGTGGTTCAGAATATAACCAGTTAGGCTGCCCTTGAAGCTCGCGTGGAACATCCATCTGGAGGAGATCTTCAGGAACGCTGTCTCCAGTGGTCTCAGGTTCGAGTTACTCGCTTTGTTGGTCTGCGGTGTTGTCAGTAAGTTGTACAACATAATGGGCGTATCTTCGTCTGCTGCCAGATAGTCGTCGCCATTCAATTGTCACCAATCGTACTGTGTACGAGCAAGTACCCTTGTGCCTATATATGGTAATGCCTTCATGTTTGGTGTTCTTATGTCACTGGCATCTGTGTGCTCTTCTGCGTGTTCTCACATTACACGGATACGCTTGCTTTTATAATCACTTTTAATCAGAACCCTTAGCCTGAAGAACACCGCTGTTCATTTATTTCCACGTATTTGAAGTAGTCTACCTACCAATATTAAGAATTCACCAATCTGTGATGCGTTTCAGTGTTTTAACGTTTATCTGTGCAATCACTTCCTAGATGACTAGAAGTTTAGAACAGTTTTATATCTTCTGTTTTAATTCATCAGTTTGTTTTCTGTGTGAACATCATTCCCCCGTATTTGTATGCTAATTGTTTTTGTTTTCTTTTGGTTATTTAAGTTATTTTGTTTGCTTGCTTGTTTGTTGGGTTGGGGTGTTTGCTCGTTTGTTTGTTTGTTTGTTTGTTTGTTTGTTTGTTGTGCTGTTTGGTTGTTTGCTTGTTTTTGTTTGGGTGTTTTCTGGGTTGTTTGTTGGGGTGTTGGGGGTGTTTGTTTGTTTGTTTTGTTTTGTTAGTGGTTGATTTTTGCCACTGCTAACTTTTGTCACTCTTGTTGGTTATTTATGTCTTCAGTCTTCCATATAATTCATCAGTTTTTTTCATCTTGATTCTTTTGTTGGCATCCATGTATGTTATCTCCCCCATTGTTTTAGAGCTTTTTGTTCCACGCTTTTAAGTGATTAATTTGCCACTGCCAAACTTGCCATTAATTTGTTAATTTTGTATTTTTATGTTCTTATGAATGCGTGTTGTTTTATTAATTATTGCTCTGTTCACATATTTTATATTAATTTCAGCGTGCCCTTTTAAGATTGGATCGATAGGCTTTCGAGTCAAAGTGTTTAAGTTCACTTTTATTAATCCTGGCAATCTGAATTTGGGTTTTGTTCTGTTCTTGTTTTGTCTTATTTTGAAACAACAACCTTAGTGCCCAGGCTTGTTATCATAATTGCTGCCTTTATTCAGTACCTCCTGCTTTTTACCCTCGCCAAACTTCAGTGGTCGAGGGGCCGGGCAGTATGGGTTCCTGACTGACAAAACTAACGGAGAAGAGCCAGTGGAAGAATGCGGACGGGAGATGCAGGAATATTAGATCAGAATAAAGCCCCGTTAAGTGGGAGTGCCGCGTGGATCCGCCTCGGAAGTTGTAAAATAGCGCCCTCTTGCTCGCGCACGAAACCCATTCTGCCGATATTTCGCGGAAGTTGTTTTACTGTTCCTGAAAAATGGCGAATCCTGCAGGGCAACGTCGTAATCCACCAGTCGTAAATGCCCCTTCGAAACTACTCACCAAATCTGAAAATGACCAAGTATTTAACCTTCTTGGCAAGAAGTGCTGGGTGAGTTTGGTTAGGTTTGTAATGGGTAAATTTATAATGGGTAAACTGACCGATGCAAAGTTTCTTTTTTTTTCAGGAAGTAAATGTGGGGCAAATATTGTCTGTTGACTCAACAGAACGGAATGGCTGCCAGTCGTTTCGCCCCATTTTTAACTTTGACAATTCTACCTCCATGCTTTGACCAACAAAATTGCAAAATGGTAGACCTAAAGTGAAAAAGAAACCTTTTTGCAAAATATGTAGTATCTAGACGCCACTTCAGCGGTTTATGGAGAGTCAAGATTTCCCAACAAAATGGACATGTTTCTCACATGCACAGTCCCAGATTTAATTTCAAGTCTTTTCAAAATTTCTGCAATGACTGACCTTCGTTAGAAAAAGTGCCGTCAGCTTGCAATATTCTTTCCACAATTTTTACTACGTTAGGGAGCCTACTATAGGTCTGTTAAAAAATGGACTTCTGGAAGTAACTGTCAATTCTAAAATTACTGTTGGTTGTAGCCTCTACTCTCTAGGTTTGAATTAACCATAGCCTTAACAGTCCTGAATCCTCCAAATTCAATACGATTTTGCACACCCCCCTAGGGTATTAGGGTTAATAATTTGAAAAGTATCTTATCCCTTTCATTTGTTTTTTCTCATGAAACATAGACTTTGGCAACAGCTGTAGTGCAGGTGTTTTTGTCCCAGCCTCCCAACAGCTGGAGCAAGAAATGCTGTGGTGTGGCATGCTTTGTCAAGGACAACAGCCTGCGTTCATACTTCATCAGAGTCTACGATATTGTGGTAAGTTTAAACTAGTCCCCTTGGTTATTTCTTTTCTTTTGTTAAGAGAAGAAGCATCCAAAGATAAGTGGCCTTTGAGGATCAATTAACAGAAAATTAGCGTATTGCTTACACAATACGCCAATGAAGCAATTTTGGGGTCATAGGCTTAACAGGAAATGTACTTAGAACTTGTGTGATCTTGAGCTGGACTAGTCAAAGAAATTAAGACTTGACATGAAAAATTCACCAATAAGTTGATCTGTTTGTTCCAACTTTTGTCTTGGGAAGGGGAGGGGGTGGTGAAAGACACCCTTAGCCCTTTCGACATGTATGCACGTGAGCAGCAAATCATTAAAAAAAGAATTATGATTTGTTTTTTGATTGCCTAGGAATTTAACTGATGGTCCCTTGCACAATTTCTTTTGTAGAACGGAATGAAGCTTTGGGAGCAAGAACTGTACAACCAGTTCAAGTACCATGTCACCCATGGCAAGCCTTTCTTCCACACTTTCCCAATTGATGTGAGTATATTAATGCTTTACTAATAAAGTAACAAAAAACTTAAAAACAGTCAGAATATTTTAACATAAGCAGTGCTTGTGGCTAAGGCGATTGGTCATTCTATAAAAGCCTTGTGGAAAAGCCTTGTGTCTGTTTGTGAGAGATAAACCTCTAGTTTTTGGGGGTTAGTTTTTTTACACTTGGTTTTATTTCTTTGCGTACCCATGTGCACTTTGTGTATTCAGACATGTTGGGCCGCCTTCAACTTCGCCAATGATGCCGAAGCCGGTGATTTCAGCAATGCCATCGAAACTAAGATAAGGGCCAAGATACAGCGTAAAGAAGGTGAGTGATGAAGCATCTCTAGATGACGACGCTGTCTGATTTTTGAGAGCTCCCGTGGGAGGGACATACTGTGTGCACATACTGCTTCGCGTGTGTATGGCTAAGCTTCTTCTGAATCTGCACAAACTGGTAATTAATGTCTTGAAGTGAGCTCCAGGTAACTCTGGCAGTGCCTTTAAGAGCCTCTGCCAGTGGTCTCCTCCAACTCTCCATCTGTTACCCTTGGGAGGGAGATTGTGTACTGCACACGGGGTCAGTACAGGATCTTATAAGTATCCGCTCCGTTCACAAGTACCCCCTCACCAGCAAAGGAAGTACAGTTGGGGGTGACCGACCGACGCCATCTTGCCTGACTGCAATTCATTTGCCACGAAGCGCGGCCACTGCGTGTAAATAGAACAAATTCCCTGGTGTACGTGCGTCACACACAAGGAACGGTGTGCGTCAACCAGTGAATGTCCCGCCCATGGGACGTCGTTGCTAGGTAAAAGGGCGCCCGCTTTTGGTAGCGCACGGAGCTCATAAAAGTAAAGTCGGTCACAAGTCATGTGACCCATCAAGGTGGCATTTCTCACTGGTTTCCTTGGCATGAAAAGACTAAGAATATTTCTGTTCCTCATGGGTTAATACCCCAGCTAATGCTTGTACCCATTTGTACTCCTGCATGGAGGACAGGCAAATGTGGGTAAAGTGGATTGCCCAAGGACATAACATGTCCAGCAGCTGGATTTGAACCCCTGACCCTCTGATCCTGAATCATGAACTGTAACCACTAGGCCAGCCTCCCCACATACCGTAGATGGGAGCCCCCAATTTCATGGAAATGCCTACCGCAGACATTTTCTAAGTCCAAAAAAAAAAAAAAAAAAAATGTTTAGCAAAAGCAGCCTACCAGCTTGAATGTCATGGGATTTATAATCTTTGCGACTGGTTCGCAGGTGATTTTTGGTTTTGAGAACATTAATTTGCTGAGTTGTTTTTGTGTTTTTGCAAACTCCACCGAAATTGGGCCTTGGTCAGCACGCTTGCGTATTAGACAACTAACACATAAAGTGTTTTGACAAGCAAGGTTTAATAAATGTTTAGTTTATGAGTCATATACATTGTACATGCGGTTGAGTCATGAAAATGAGTATTCCTCTCAATACCTTTTTTTTTTCCAGATGAAAAAAATGTACTCTATGAAGTTGGATATTATGAACTGTAGCATAAAAGATCCTCCCATTTGTTAAAATGTTAAAATGTTAAATTTCAAATGTATGATATCACCATTTTTCTTTTAAGTCTGTGAATAAAATGCAAGTTATCTTCTTGTCAATTTCAGACAAAAAACGCCGCGCTCCAGGAGCACCTGCCCGGAATCGACCCAACGCTGCCCCTCCAGTGCCAACACAAAGTGAGTATTTATTGCCCAACTGTAGGGTATATATATATTGAGATACCTATGTCACAAAAGAATGCCCAGATCATGTACTTGGCTATGAATAATACTTAAAACACTCCACGTGATGATGATGTAAAGTAGTCTGAAGACCTGCAAACAGCCGTTACTTGGTCTTGCTGACAAGTCTTGTTGACGGATTATTCAGGCACTGCGGAGAGGTTGGCTAGACTGTAAGGATTTTATCACACAAACATGGTTTTTGTCAGAGGGCTGGGGTTTGGCTGGGAGTCAGTAGGCTGGGGGTCAGAAGTCTGGTTAAAGGGGCTCTCGCCACTTTATTTGGCTATGTTTGAATGAGGAACTTGTGAAATGTGAAATGTTTTGACCAACAAATGTTTGAGTACTTAGAAAATTAAGCAAAACATACTACACGTTTTGGAATGTTGCCAGTGCAGGGGTAAAGTATAGAGAGGGAAGCGACTTTGCCGTCTATCGCCCGCTTCGTGAGAAAGACACCCACTTAACTGGCAAGTCCCCACTTTGTGCGCAATCAACTGTGAACACATACACATAGTGTTGATGAAAATATGTCATTGTTACACCTCCATAAGGCTCAGAGACGTAAGCCTAACTGTGTTCATTAGGCCACACTTTGGTTGTGTTATGCAAGGTTCATCTGATTCCGAGTCAGTCAATCTTGATCTTTACCAGGTTTTGAACCACAGAAAATGCTGTGACTAGATGAAATAACAGGAGGGCCATAACTAAACACATACAATATTTCTGTCAGCAGGTACTTGCTTATTAACAGTGTAGCTTTTTCTGCCACCATTATAGAGGTCTCCATTTTTTAAAGTCATCTTCTTCATTTGCTTGTGCTTAATAACTCTAACCCCCACCAGGTTTTTCTCAGGTACCCTGCTAAATGCAACACAATTCAACGAAGTTGGAGTGAGTGCCCTGCTAAATGAAACAAAATGCAACAATGGATTCTGTTGCATTGTGCAGTGGACTCAGTACACACCTTGGCACTATGCAGTTACCCTACTAAATGCAACCAACTGCAACGGTGGATTGTGTTGTATCAGCCTTGGCACTATAAAATGTCTCCCAAATTGTCAAGTATACACGTTGGCACTATGCAGTTACCCCTGCTAAATGCAACCAATTGCAACAGTGGATTATGTTGTATCAGCCTTGGCACTATGAGCAGTTGCAATAAAGCGTGGGATTTGAATTGACTGCTGAGTGCAACACCATGCAACCAAGCATGGGACTTGAGTTGACTGTTAAATGCAACAGTGTAAAACAACTTGTTACCACTGTTGCTTTCCGTTGCATATAGCAGGGTTAGGTTTCTGAAAGCAGCCTTGTACCTGTGTCGGTGTATTTGTTCATGCTCAGTGGAATTCTGCCTCATCTACATGTAGGTAGCTAGATCACCTTCTACCATAATTATGTAAATTATTCAAAGCTTAGGTTTAAAGTAAATTTCATCAAATCACAAACTGAAACTGTGTTGCCTTTTAATCAATAAAACCTTGAACAAAGAAATTGGCTGGAGTGGAATTTGGACACATGCATCCTCCAGAGCATTGTCCAGTGGAACGCCTCTATACCGAACATTCGGCTATACCGAACATCATCCTTGGTTTTAATGTACAAAACGTACCAAACATTGTTGTGGAAAAAAGTCAACAGATTAACAAAAAATCTACCGGATGTACATGTATTAAACACTATTTTGGCCACTTTTAATTCCCGAACATCAAACGACCCAGTTACATTGTGTTTGAATGTTCAAGAGTGATATATGGCTATTATTTCCCCAAGTAATAAAAGGGAAAACCACCCATTGCTAAAGTTTCCTGACGACTCCTCGTGTGGCCGCGGTATGTGAGAAATGCCAGTTCACTAATTAGTCAAAAGAGGGTACCGTCGGTTCAAAATCGCTATACCGAACAATCGTTATTACGAACACTTTCTGTGGATCCCACGATGTTTGTGATAGCAGAGTTCCACTGTACTTGTACTTTAACAACTGAGCTCTCCAGCCGTTTGCTTGCAGTTTTCCAAAATATCAGTGTCTTTGTTCAAGGGGCTCTAGTCTGAGGCCTTTAAGTTTGTGCCATGTGGCTAGGGATGGTGCCAAAATGCACAATGCTAGCAACATTAGCAATGCAACAAAGCCGGGAAGTGCTGCTCCATTTTCACTTAAAGATGTTGCAGCAGCTGCAGCATGCTAGACTTGCCGCACAGTGTCAGCGTTGGTAGACTTGCAGAATGCCAGGTCCTATATAACGAGTGTGTACTTTTATCAGAATTCAGGAAGGCACTTACCCCAACTATCAGCTTGTTTGTGTTTTCAGTACATCAGTACAACCGTAGTTATACATTGATATCTTTTTCTTTGCTTTCAAATGAAGCAAAAGATACACCAAATACCTATTACAAATATGTCTGTCATTTTTAAATTGATGAAATGGAGAACTTGTACCCAAGCTGATGAGCTGAACATTGATAAGACTGTTTGGAAAAAAAACTCCCTCTTAGACATTTCCCAAACTATAACATTTCCATTCATTAATTTTTTGGCCCTCTGTTTTAATTGCACCAACTCACACTCTGTTTTTTTCACCACACACTATCGGCATTAGAACAGAGAAGAAGGTCGTCGGCTCTCCCGTCGTCCCATTCCGATACCAGGTTACAAAACCAGGTTGTCTCACCGGCCCATCACAAGCATCGCCGGCGTTTCTCATCCAGTGACTCTCATTCCCCGCGTCATGGTAGTAGGTCTCTTTCTTAACCCCACCCCTCCTACATCCTCCCTCTTCCCTCTTCCCCTTCCCTGCCTCAACTTACTGCCGATAGTCTGTTTGCGTTTAGCCGTGCCCCAGTGATGTACACTCTCAAGCAGCAAGGCTTCAGCATGTTTCTTGTCTTGAGAAAGTGGCTCTCCAGGCAGCACGCAGGCCTTCCTGAGTGTGTGTGTTGATAGGCATTGTGATCTGGAATGCTTAACTCTAGTCCCTGTTCAAACTAAAAGACGTTCTTTGTTGGTGGTCAATCATAAGAATTAACAGGACTTGCCAAGCAATAGATCTCTCTCACAGGATGCCATCTTCGTAGAAAAACTACAACTGCGTCTTCAACACCATCAGGTGGCTGTGGGCACAGTGTGCAAAATGTTCTTACCGCACGTGCGTGGTGTTCGAAATTTCTTCGAAATACGTCGCAATCTGTAGGAAGTGACATTATTTGAAAGAGACCTATTGTCTGCAACAACATGTTCAAAATGATTTGTCACTGTCTATCTGTGCAAGGTTTGCTTATTAGATATAAGAAGGTATTTGGTGAAAGTTTGTTTTAATAACAAAACCAAACAAAACTAACGAAAACTTGTGTTGAAAAAAGAAATCAGAAGTTTTCATCCAAACACAAAGTGAAGATGATCTTTTAGTGTCAAAGTATTGCTTGCAGTAGTTGTCAGGCTTAGAAGAGGTAGAATTCTAACAAAAAGAAAGCAAATGCCCTTTATTTCTTATTTCAGAATTGTGCATTGATCTTTGTTCCTGCAGCCCATTCTCAGCTATAATTATTGTTTGTGTGTACCAAACCTTTCCTTGCAAGTAAATTGACTAACCGTACGGGCTGTGTGCCCACTGACGCACTCTGGTGGAAAAACATGCAAAAAATACCATTAAGCAAGGACACCTCAAGTTTGATATCTGTCATGCGAGCTTCAGGAGTGCCTTCTTTAATGGTGGAACGCACACAATGTCATTGAGACACAATGGTCTGTCTACATGTACATGGCTTTTGTGAACCCAGCCAAAGATTGCACTATTGTTCTTACACTGAACCCATACATACTGTACATAAGACCAATTTTGAACATGAACTATGATCAACCAAGAGTTCGGCGATCTTCGCTATAAACAATGCATTCTAGTCAGTGATGGTTGACTACTCCAGTCAGCTATTTGGAGCTGGACCCCGGCACAGTAACGCATTAATTTGGATTTCAAGAACCTCTTTCTGTAATAAGCCAGTTTGGTATCTCAAAGTAGTTCAGGTCAAAGGTCATTTGGGATAAAATGGAAGCGTCTTGTAATCGCGATGTTAAGCGCACGCCCAATTTGTGAGCCTCTCCTTGTGTGTTCTTGTGCGTTTGATGAGCGCTTGATTAGCCCCAATGACGTGTGACCCCTATCACTGTGCGCATGCGCAGTTGAAACTAACAGAATATATTGGTGGCAATGTGCAGTTTGTTTTGAGTGGGACTGCAGTTGCGCATTCATGTCAGTAAGGACAGATCAACTGTTGGTTGAACCATTGTTCGTGCTCAAACTTGCTCAATTTGTACTCCTTGGAGATAACTATAGAATCCTAGTTCAAGATATGTTTTATTTTTGTAGAATTTCTTTGATTTAATACTAAAAGATTGTGCTGCTTAATGGAGACCTGTTTAATAGTAACTCTTGTTTGACTGTGCCAGTTTTTTCCCCATCGTCATTGACATGCCTAACTGATGTAGCAATATGAACCTTATTTCCTTTGTGTTGTATCTTGCACACTAACCAAAAGTGATTTTCTTGCAGATAAATGTGCCAACTTGCAGCACCTAGCATGTTTTTTCAATGTTCTACACAAGAACAATTTCTTAAACGATGTTTTGTACATTTGTTTGAAATGATGAACTCTAATGACACTCTCTCTTTCTTTCTTTGTGCTTTTGTTTTTTGTTTTTAATTACCTTTTCTAAAGGAAAGCAATTCAACTTTTATACTTTGCAACATTATTTAAGGTGTTTGTCGTAAGTTAGTACAGCATTCACCTGCCTCTGAAAAAAACATGCTCACCATTTTGCAAATTATTTGAAAAAAGTTCAGTCATCCTCAATGTTGCAAAATTGCTCAAGGTCGTTAAGAAAAATTATACGAAATGGGAGATTGAATTTGTTGCCAGCTTCATAATAGACAAAGAAAAGGTTTTTCGTGACCATATTTATGCAGAGAAGCAACTACATTAAACATAAGTAAATTCAAGTCTGGGATTGCGCATTGAAGTTCATGCTGTATTTCATTGTGTAGGGATGTGTGTGTCGTAAAATTAACTACATACAGATCCCTTACTTAAAATGAGTATATTTAGAGATTCCATCATAGACAGTTAGTCTCAGCTGTTTTTATGCCTGGACCGAGTTCATCTGGCCATAGAAGTCCAACCAACAAGATATTCTCTGCCGTTGCAAAAGTGCACAATGGGAAGCCAGATGTGACTTTACTGTAACTTCTCGGTGCAAGTGGCTCAAGCAATTTGTCTTCATCTGTCCTTTTGCTATATAAAACACACAGTCTGACACTCTTTGACATTCTGTTATTATGAACTCGGTTCCCAACAATGCTGAAAAAGAAAGAGATTAAGGACACTAGAGTAAAATTGCTACCCATGTTGCTTATTTGTTGTCTTTTGCAAAGATGGCATACGGAACAAAGACGCACTACACTTCTGTGTTCCACGAGCACAAGAGGGATCATGAATTTATTTTCAAGCAAACTTTGATTTTTCAGCAGTTATCTTATTACATGTGCTTGCAACAGGTATGGTCCACAAGAATAGCAGAATGCAATATGGCCTATGCTATATTGGATAATATTACACTGTTGTTGTCATGGATCGACCAATCAGGATTGAGGGTTGAAATGTGCTATCATTTGAAATCATGTTACCAGTGTGGTTCATCAATGATGGATCCTCGTTCATATTTCCGTACAATTACAATAAGATGTATAACAAGAATGATTCCTTAATAATTGCAATGTCTGAAGTTCAGACCGCGGACTAAACATGTGATGTGGGCTGGTTTGAAACGCCACCCTGCAGCCAGAAACCACGTCGTGATTGTTGAAAATTCACTCCCTCGCAATTTGATTCAATCTTTTGTGCAGCTAACATCCAGCCTCCATCTCCGACAATTAACACCACTACCACCACCAACACCAACACCGCCACCAGTAAGAAGAAAGATAAGAAGGACAAAGGGAAGAAAGGAAGGCTCACCAAGGCTGACATTTCTACGCCCAGTAATTTTACGTAAGTGACTCTACCAACTGATGGAATTTATCGACTCTGTGCACTAGTGCCCTGCCAATGGTTAGAAAGGGAGAGCAAGGTTTGACCCTCCAACACCTTGCCACTGTGTGCCATGCAATGACACTACAGGTTTGTGTGTATGCTCAAACCAGTGCACAAATTTGTATTATTATTATTATTAAATGCCTAAATCTGTCACATTTATCCTGTGCATGAATGCTCGGGCACGGGCTTTCACAGCAAAAAAAACAACTGGCAAGTGATGGTGAATTGACCAGTGAGATTTTGGCTTTCGATCATGAATATGTATATTTAATACAAATGTTACTTCTTTTTCTCTTTAGTCATATCAGCCATGTTGGATGGGACCCAGAAAAGGGTGTAAATGTAAGTTGTACTTGATTTTGTTGTCTTATATTTTGTATTTTTATTTTACGGTTAAGTGGCCTTTTTGAACTTTTGTTTTGCCACCAATTTCAAAAGGGTGACAACGTGTATCTTGGCTATTCCAATCCCTGTCCTGCTCATCAGTACAGATAAATAGACAAGGAAACAAACACACGGACACACTGATGCATTCCTCAAAAGATGAAAAAATGGAATTCTGAATGTCACCCTGTGTACACCACCTCTTGTGAACAATAAAATGAGCTGCCCATGTTGAGGGCTCACCCTACCTAGAGAGTGCACCCTACTCCATTATGTGGCTTGGCATTGTTTCTATAGTGGAATCCGGCAACCAGAATTAGAAGCTTTTACTTCGGTGGTGTCACGCTCATGCGCATGCTCCACGCGTTCTTTAAGACGAGGCGCATGGGCATTTTGGTATTCCTATTGGTCGAAGGAGCCCGGAGTGCGTGCGGGCGTGCGTACTGCCTTAGCACGACTCCTGCGAGCCTGTGCCACCGCAGAAAATAACTGCAGCCGGATTTGTCTATATGCCACAGAAGTGTGACATCACACAGAGTCGTCTCCCATAGCAATGTGTCCAAGTGTTTTCCGCCATATTTACCATACAAATTGAAGAGCCAAAATGACGACTCCGACCTTTCAATTAAATTTCACTGAAAATCAAACAAAAAGGAGCGTCACAAATGGGCCAGTGCTTCATGACAGACTGCAGCAGACAACACTCTAGTTGTGACAGGTGCTTTTTATTTACATTGGTTCAACTCACCACAAGAGGCTGAAAAACGTACCGTACCATGCATACATCATGCACTGTGCGATTGTTTGGACACATCACCCTTGGCAACGTGTGACCTGGTCAGGGTATGATGTTACCACTTCTATTCAGTGTATTGGGTTCAACATTAACCTTTTGAAGTATGGCGGACACAATAGGAGGGCGCTATTGGAAGCAGTCTAAATTGAGAAAATACAAAAGAGTTTACCACTCCAAATAGCACCTATTGTGTCTGCCAAACTTCAAAAAGGCTAACAGGTCTAGAACAAAAACTAGCGACAGTTCCTTTGAATTCTTGACCCCAGTATGAAGAGATGGACCAAGATGTCCAGAGCTGGTTCAAAAACCTCGGTCTGGATAACAGCAAGTTCAAGGACAAGGAAACCGTGGAGATCATAAATAATTTCATGCAGGAACATGGAGGAATCAATGCAATTAAAGATGAAGTGGCTCGTAAGTAGAAGCACAAAGTCTGGGTTTTCAAACAGCTTCAGACAGCTTATGGTGTAACACAACTTTAAGGCTTAACCAAGGGGAAATGTTTCCATTACAAAATAATCTGAACTTTTTTTTTTTATTAACTCAGTTTGCGGGGGGGGGGGGGGGGGGGGGGGGGGGGTTCAGCTTTTTTTAGTGAACCCCCCTTCACAAGTTCAGTGATCATGTGCGAGGCATTTTTTTTTTCTTTCTTTAATCTAGCCCATTATTCAAATTGCACTGGATGCTCTGAAATATTTGCTAAATTCATGAGATGATTCGAAGGGTTTGAAATAGTGCTACACCTTTTTTATAAATGCAGACCTGTCTTTCTGTAGTAACACATTTTTTGGCCTTGCTTTAACTGCTGATAACAATCGGCACCTTAAGTATGTAAAGTTTTCATTGAAACTTCAAATATTCTGCACATAGGTCATATGTGATGGTGTCAAGCTAAGTGAGTCGTTTGTCGGGAATTCTTATTTGGAGATACTGGCCAAAATAGGGCCACTTCATCACATCACTTCATTGCATCTCTTGGTGTTCCAACTCTCATAATTTTTTAACTAAGGATGTTATCAGCATGCGGTTTGACAGCAGTAATGCTGAGATTGTGCTCTTTTCAAATCTGTAATAAAATTTTTTTGACCAGGGCCGACAAACGACTCATTTAGCTTGATTGCATCACATATGTTTAACATCCTTGTAAATGCTTTCACTTGTATTTTCTTTATTCCTCAAGAGCAACGAACCCGAGGTATGTCTGCCCCTCCTCCCCCGCCCCCATCTCGTGGCTCTGCTCCTCCGCCTCCCCCACCAGGCAACCGTGGTGCTCCCCCACCACCTCCCCAAGCCGTGGTCCTGCACCCCCTCTCCCACCCTCGTCTCGTGGGGCACCGCCCCCACCCCCACCCTCGCGCTCTCTGCCCCCGACGCCCCCTTCTATGGCCCCACCCAGCATGCACTCCCGGCCTATGGCAGCCCCGGCTCCTCCACCCCCACCCCCATCTGGAGGTGGACCCCCAGCCCCTCCACCCCCACCACCCCCATCTGTTGGAGCCGCTCCGCCCCCTCCCCCTGTCGGAGGGGGAGGTGGGGGAGGCCGTGGAGGACTCCTAGATGACATCCACAAGGGTATTTCCTTGAAGCGTATGGAACCAAGTGACCGACCCGCCCCAGCCAGCACTGGACGTGGGGCGCTACTGGATCAGATTAGGGGAGGAAAAGCTCTCAAAAAGGTATGAAAAGTCATTTTTTTAGTAGATATCAATATGTTTAGCCTTGGGTGAAGCAGCTTTTAAGGTTTACGGCTAAAATTCCCCTCATTTAGGGGAATGTCATAGATTATTTTGAATACATACATACTTTTAGATTAGTGGAAGTTTGCCACATCAATGTGACTGAATTTTAAGCTGTCTGTCAGTAAGTGCATTTGGTTCTCCAGTGTTTGTCTTAGCTGCATATTTAGGCAGGGGTGTGAAATCTCCGCTTTTAAGCGGATTTCTGCTTTTTTGTTCAGCGTGGCACATTTTGTTTTCCGCTTTTTTTCTACCAATGGTCCAGATTTTCCCCGCTTTTTCTCCCGCGCGTAAACATTGATTTTATTTCCGTTTATTTTATTTTCTGCCGCTGCCAAACACATGCGAAAAACACAGTAGATCCGCTCTTATGCACGTACACGTAGCTCTGTGGTGCATGCAAGCGAGTATTCAATGTACAATCACGTGTACTGTACATGTGCCGTATACGATGCGATGTGCATGCATTTTTCTGCTCGAAGCCGCATGCGTGTGTACAATGTATTGTACACTACATGTAAACAGCATCCAGGGAACCAACAGTCACTGCGCTGTGATTGGCTTCAGATAAATATCAATATTCACACATGCGCCGTGAGGTGCGTTGGGACTCTTTGCAGATGTTCCTGTGTCTGTGTAAGTATTGACACACAATGATCTTCACAATAATTCGCTGTAAACATCGAAAAGATCACTTTGCACACGTCTTGTTGCGAATATAAAGCCTTGAAATAAGACTAGTAAATTGTCGCCGTGCCAATAGAGGGCTTCATGCGGGGCAAAGTTCAGGTGTGCATTACATCTGCATCCTGCATTCATGCTGCATGCTGCTAATGTATGAACGTACATTTAACACGGTTTCGCACATATTTTCCGACAACTTTTGACATTAATACCGCAAGATGTCAGTGCAACACAAATGCATCATTGTCCAAAGAGGTTCGGAGTTTGATACCGACATTGACAAGACCGATCCTCAAGTTACAAATCCGTTGAAATGGATTTGGATGGAAAAACACCGTTCATGGGAAGAAATTATGCTACACGATCAGAAGCCTGGACATGCGATGTGCATTCTTTTCTTAAGTAAGAACAAGATTTAAAGGAACTTTATTTTTTTGTGGGGCTTGGCAGACTCGCACTACAAACCCCAATTTCAACACAGTTTTCATATACAAGTTGGCCATTTAGGCAGTTTCAAGCCAATATGAAGGAAAATTTAACTTACAAACATGCATAAATTGCAAAACATTTTCGACCAATAGTTGGCCCAGGAGGCTGTTAAATGCACCACAGAGCATCTACATTTCAAAATTTTCCCGGGGCCCTTGGGCGTGCCCCGGACCCCACGTCATAAGGGCTTTGCGCTCGCAGGTTCGGCTATTTACAGGTTCAGCTATTTTCAGCTATTTTTGTTTAGCTCCACTCCCACCCCTGTTTAGGACTATTTGCAATTGGCACAATAGACCTTTATCATGCTGCCACCATTTCAGTCGTGTTCCCTGATCCAGTAACAGTACTGAATGATAATTTTGGGGGGGCAAAAAAGGAACCGGACTATTGACTATTTTTCTTTCCAGCCTCGCTCTTGTTACGTTGAATTGAATGGGTAAAAATCAAGATGGCCGCAACATGATAGTGGTTTATGGAGTACCGAAGTGAATACGTCACGCGCACAAAATGTGTGTGGAAGATATTAGCGCGTGATTCAGCCCGTGAACCAACACACGCCCGTACTCCATTCGTTTGCACTACACTTTCTGGTTCTAACTGACATCACACTTCGGTACTCCATAAGCGGCTTTGAATAAATGCAATATAGTATCATGTGGTGCAGGTGTTCATGGGTTGAGGCGATATATTGAGCACTCTCGTGATGGTAAAACGTCGATCATCAGCATGCTTGTTCTCATTGCAGGTGGATGTATCCGATCGTGAGGCAGAAGTGGCCCCCAGCGTACCTCAGGATGGCCTAGGGGCTGCACTGCTCAACGCTCTGCAGATGAGAAGCAATGCCATCCACTCTGGTAAGCCCAAACTGTAGGGCACCAAGGAACATTTTTGTAATATACTGACAAACGGATCTACAGATTTCATGAGTGAAACATTGATCAAAGTGAAGATAAGGATGGTACCAAATGGCATGAGATGGTGTTTCGGAAGAAAACAATTGTACATACTTTTTCTCTGCTTTCTCAAAGTGTATGGTAGCCACTGAGCTAACACTTCAACACTTAGTTGTTATGCATACTACAGTGAAATCTCGATAAGTCAAAGTCGGATAACTCAAAACGATTGTTAAGCCAAACAAAGAATCCATTCCCTTTAGTATTGTAAGGATGATAACTCAAAACTCTGCGAAAGTCAAATTTTGAACCTGTTCCTTTTGAGGTTTGACTTTACGACAAAGTGGAGAAAATGTACACAAAAAAAAACAAATGATAAAATGTCCATGCTCTTTAACAAATCCAATTTGTTTTCTTTCAACAACAACAAAGTCTTCCTGAACCCTCTTGCTGTCTGAACAGTCACAGACAGTCAAAAAATCAATCCGGTTTCCCCTGCTATGCCTTTTACACAGGCTAGTCAACAACAGTCAGATCATATTTGCACTGTGAAAAGTCAAATTCAGTCAACAGACAAAAGCAGGCATAACTGTATCAAGTTACATACACAGTCACAGCCAGTCAATCCTGCTTTATGTAGGCTGGGAGCTCTTAACTGTTGAAAACAGTCACTTGATTGATTTTGACTGAAAGGACAACTTTGCACAAAATGCATGTTTGCATGGGAGGGCAAATTATAAAAAAAAACACCTATTTTTGGTTTTCCTTTCTGCACACATGTCTCTGACATTAATCATGGCTGTGATGGTCAAAACACCTAGACTGGGGCTTAACAGATCGGTCCATTTCTCTGCTTGTAGGAGTTCACAGAATTGTGCCTCTCCAGAAATTAATGCACTTGCCTCTCTCTTTTTCTTCACCTCCCATCTCCCATGCAGAAGACAGTGATGACGATTCGGATGATGACGACTTTGATTATGATGATGACGAAGAGTGGGAGTAAACCAATAATCAAGGGGAGATGATGAATCAAGGAGAGATGATGCAATCGAGAAAAATTGATCAAGCAATTACAGTCCAATTTTAATTGTTTCCTTATGGGCTCCGTGCTCAAGTACCTTCTCAACGGTACAGAGGGGCGAGTTGGGGGAGACCACTGGGAGAGACATCTGAACACATTGCTGATGACGCCTATTCCTCACTCGAAGACGTTATGGCTTTGTGCACATTCAGAGTAAAACAAATTGTGCCTACTTAATGCTATACATGCACGAACCAGGAGATGCACGCAGTGTGTCCAATCCAAAGGGGTTCTCGAAAGTGCACCCAAAAGCAAAGGCCCTCTCTTTTTCATGCACGGAGTCAATCATGTGGTATCTAATTCTCTGAGTTGTAGTCGAGTCCACCACATTTCCATCACAAGTCCTTTAATCAGTAAATCACAAATCCTTTCACGAGTCAGCTCAAAGTAACAGGGGTGAACAATAACAAAGGAATGCCTTTGTTGCGATTCATTTGAATCACGGATACTCTATAAAGGATAAACAACTTCCCCAAATTTCTGGTTAGAGGCGTGATATGGCACTTGGGTGTGCGCGAGACTCAGCATGCGACTGCAGACTTCATTGGTCACATTTCTGTCAGGACGCCAGCTGTCGGCGATCATGGCGTGCGCGCCTTGTTCTACATGTTCTACGCGTTGTTCTATGCGGGAGTATGCGCGGACGCGGAATATCACGCATGTAGACAGTACATTCTGTACAGTTTGTACACAAGATCAGATGAGTCATTTATCCTTGTGTAGAGAATCCTTGTTTGAATGGAGTTTGACTTGAATGGAGACTGGAGGACTTGTCATGGACTTGTGGGGACTTGTAGCTAGACTTGACAATAACACTGCCAAGTCTATAATAAAAAGCTGACCCAAAAAACACTAGTCCTTGATCAGTAAAAATGTCTTCCTCAAATTTAACTGATTTTTGTTATTATTAAAGCTATAGTCCATCATTTGTAATTTGTGCATTTTGTTCGTTTGAAGCAACAAAAGAGTTCAAAATCTAATGAAGGATACTAAGCAACTAACCTGATAAAGTTTCAGCTAAGCTTCAGCTGTACATTCCAAGAAAAACAGCATTCTAAGATCTCAATTTCAAATCAAAAGTTACTGAATCATGTTTTGAATTGCAGCTATACGCGACGTCACGCACTGATCCGATGAATTATAACAACCGCGCGCGCGTGTGCGTCGTTCCAATACTTGCACGCGCTGCGCTGAATAACAAAACAAACTACTAATTTAAATTTTCCTACGGTGCTTCTTAAGAATCACTGTTGGAAATGCCTTCTTTCGTTGATTACTTCAAAATGACAGCTTCCCAGAAAGAATAATTTCACAGGGAGTTTAGTTCCCTTACTATCTTTCAACTAAGTTTGTTTTTCAACAATAATTACGCCAGCTACTTTTCGGATGGCTGCAAATGATGGACTATAGCTTTAAGTGATGAGATTTTGTTCACTGAGTAGCTTTTGTTGTATATGCAGATGTATTGCTGTGTTACCAGTATAGTCATATATCTTAAGATGAGTTTTATAGGTCCACGTATAGACCATGTTACATTTGTATACAAATTGGATGTTTGTAGTCACATGATGCCAACTTTCAGTGAACAGTTCTCTTCTACACTGCATGTGTATCTCTTGAAACGTGATTGGTGTGAAAGTGGTGACATAAAATGTGGGCAAAATAACATGCAAAAGATGCTTAATTGTTTGGGTTGCCTGTCGGTTGCCCTTTGGTATGATGTCACAGGTACCATGGTCTGTAAGTTCTTTTGTTTCAAAGGTAACCACTGTCAGTATCAAAAATTGCCAAGTAACCCAAGTGTACGGTAGAAATCAACGGGAAATTTCTTGACATTTTTAAAAGGGAATATACATCATTTGCTTTTGCTGTAATTTTCAGAAATGGATGGAATTGGAGGGTTGGAAATATATAGCAAATATAGTTACACTGACTTTTTTCAGGTTTTGGGTTCGAAAATGCTATAAAAACCAAGAAAAACAATCATTTTCCTGTAGTCTGGTTCCCTGACTCCATTTAAGAAGAAACAGAGCAGTTTACATATATTGGGGAATTGTAAAGTCAGGGAACCAGTCTAGCTGGCTTGTACCCGTTCATAGGTGTGTAATCGATTGCAAACAAGTGCAATGGTCAACTGGAGCCAGTATTTGAGAAAAAGCCAGTTTTGTCCAACGCTGATCGGCCGATCAGCGTTGGAAATTGATACAAAAATACCACTTTTCTTGAAAATGACAGTATACCAGGTGCCATGATTTTACAGGATGCTTTACACTGTCATTCACTAACAGTCCAGCAAGGTATTTCAAAATGATTTGGTAGTTTTATTTTTTGATGTTTGCAAATGTTGTATTTTCCCTTTAAAGAAATCGTCTTTAAAGTGAATATTGTAGCACAATATACATTATTTTCTTTTACGTTGCGAGTCTCAGGTTAGGTTTTGAAAACCCGTACAGGGGTAAATCTGCCAATTCTTTCCACAGCCATTCTTTGCATCACGTAAGGGGCAGAGTTTTTGTCCCCAAATAAATGTGTAGTTTACTCTAGGTGTATAGTTTATTGATTCTAATTATATGAAGTATATTTTGCCTGTCAAGTTTTGTTCTCATTTCACTCAAGGCATTATTGTGAAAATATTAAAGTATATATTTTTCAGTGAAGTTACCTGTAGTTATAACCAAAAAAGAAAAAATAATTTTCCGATAGAAAGTACAAGAAATTCTGTGAAAATGCTTCATGAAGCTAAATAGTGGATACCTTTTTCTTTGGGCATTATTTAGCCCGACTGCGTCTGGCCGTACAGTACTATCGCAAGCTCTGTAGTACGGCCAGACGCCCGATGCTTCCAAAAAGACTGAATTTTTTTGGCCGCCGATGTAGCGATTTTGCTACATCTTTCGATCGCGATTATCTTTTCATCCAGGACACAAATTTCCAAAGTTAAGGTTCGTAGTCGTAGAGCAACTCATACCTTTTCGAAAGAACGTTCTTTGGTCTCAATATTTTCATCCATCTGGCCACAAGACGAATTTCAGTCATCAGATTCCACAAATATCGTCCCCCATGCGATCCCCCATGCGATTTCAAAATGGCGGCCGCGCTGTAATGTATGCATTATGCGAGCGCGCTTGGGCAAGATAATGAATATGCATCATAGTTTATGACGTTTGTCGGACACTCAGCGCGGCTGACCATACAAACACGAGGTCATGAACTAAATAATGCATATTCATTATCTTGCCCAAGCGCGCTCGCATAATGCATACATTACAGCGCGGCCGCCATTTTGAAATCGCATGGGGGATCGCATGGGGGACGATATTTGTGGAATCTGATGACTGAAATTCGTCTTGTGGCCAGATGGATGAAAATATTGAGACCAAAGAACGTTTTTTCGAAAAGGTATGAGTTGCTCTACGACTACGAACCTTAACTTTGGAAATTTGTGTCCTGGATGAAAAGATAATCGCGATCGAAAGATGTAGCAAAATCGCTACATCGGCGGCCAAAAAAATTCAGTCTTTTTGGAAGCATCGGGCGTCTGGCCGTACTACAGAGCTTGCGATAGTACTGTACGGCCAGACGCAGTCGGGCTAGGCATTATTATAGTCCTTATACAATAAATCCCTGTCATTTGGTGGGTCGTTGATCACACTCATAGACATTCATTATTTGTTAAGATCACGTTTTTCATTGGGTTAAGGCAATGTTTGAATTGCCTGACTACAACCATACGCTTTATGAGAATTTGCTTAAGCAAGTTTGATAGATACATGTCTAATTGTACGCCCTGGCCAATTCGATTCGACTGGAGATATGGCTCTGTGATACTCTGACTAATTCGGAAGTGGCCCCATTTGAAACCTCTATTGCAGTCTTTATCACTCAAAATAGCATGCTTGCATTAAATAAATGGTTGAATATTCTAGATGGAATGACAGTACTATTGATATTTGGTTGTCTTCTTCAGGTTCTATTTGGTTTTTATCTCGATGTGTTGTTAACCCCCTCCCCCCCCCCCCCCCCCCCCCCCCCCCCCCCCCCCCATGGAGGGATTGAACTGTTTATGATTTTCAGAGGGGGGGGGGCTGGTACCATTTTCCAATAAGGGGCGCTCTTCAAAACCAGCCATTATTATGCAAAATACGCGCGCATTATGTGCACATTTCAGGCCGCATTGTTAAGGTTAATTTTGGGGCTGGATTTTCATATTCCTCATTCATATCAAAAATTTCAATACCATTTTGGTAATTAATTACTTAAAACAAATTGCCGATTTTTAGGGCAATTTTGTTTTATATTGAGGGGGCCCTTTTTTGCTTGAAGGGGCACATTTATGTCCTAAAGGGGCACTTGGGTAAATCTGGGGGGGGGGGGGGAACAGCCCCCCCCCCCGGTTCCGCCGCCCGCCGTGGCCCCCCCCCCCCCCAATAAATATGTATTTTATGACACACGCTATGTACATGTACATGTATTTTGCATTTATATGCTAACCGAACTATATCACTTAACATAAATTATAATTTCCAGTTAAAGAGGTAAACATTTATACGCCAAGCGAATGCTCGCGCCTGACCGCCATTTGCATTTTAACGTACGTGGTACATATCCCCATTTTCGGTGACCGTTTTAGCCGAATTTCAGCTAAATTTGACAGAATTTTCCAAGTTTGACAGCAAATTTAGCAGAATGAAATTTCCCGGCAGATTTCTAGCAGAATTCTGTAAAATTTGTGGTTTGACAGAAAACTATATGGTCGATTTGAAAAATATAGCTAATTAGTTTCGAAAAGCTACAGTGATTTGAGGTTCCCCGACGTGTATTAAATACACAGTTTAAGTACTCTTTAGTTTAGACCATTGCAAGCCAGGCTAGACAGTAGGCACCAAAGATCCTAGCATTAACTTGTGCCGCATAGCAAATTAACGTGCACATTTTTTAGATTATTTTCAAATTTAATATTTTACAGGAAATTTTATGAGTTTTGTTTTGTTCTGCGAAATTTTTCTATCATCTGCATGTGAGTAAAAATAACGTCTTTCGTGTAATAATAGGTGATTTAGCAGATTTTTGTTAAATCTAGCAGATTTTTGAAGTGAATCTAGCAGAATGTTGCCATTGCTGTACGGTCACCGTGACGCGTGATCCCCATACACGAAGATTTCTTGCATTCTGGTTCGTCTCTTTGGGAAGAACGGGCCGATATTTTAGCCAACCACCTTGCCGGATAGCGCCGCTCTGCAACTCCTGCTGCTGATTGCTGGTAAGGCTTGCGATCACAGTCCAATGAAGATTAAGTGATCGTGTGGCTCGTCTTTTGATTGTCATAATGGTTCTTGTTTTGTTAATTTGAGTTGTTGATGACGAGATGACCGAAATTTTTATTGTGTAAAATTACGCGCCGTGCATGCAGTGCAATAAATCGTGGCGTTGTTATTGACGCCACGTACGTTTACGGGTTTAGACGTGTAGTTGTGGGCGGCGTAGCCCCATACATTTGTATGTTTGCAGGCTAGGTGATTTTTTTTGTGTTTTTCTTTGTGTGTGTGTGCGTGCTTGTCTGAGCCCCATAAATGTGGCCAACTGCACCCGATTTCAGGAAGCGCTGCGACGCGTCGCAACTCGAGTTACAACATGTTACACGTCGCAAATCGTGACGCATTGTATAATCGGTAATCCTTACTTTTAGGACCCCTTTCCTTTATAAGGTTAAAAGACTCACCAAAACAGCTGACTAGTATGACACTCAAAAGTGACATTCTGATATTTATTGACACATTTGAACATTTGGCAATGACACCTCTTGAATATCAGCAGGTTTGATTTTGTAGAAAGAGGGCAGGGTTTTGATTTATGAGGGGTTAAAGACGACGATGACAAACAGAAAATAAATTAAAAAAGCAAGATGGCGAACTGCAAAAAAAGGTAGGAAAGTCACATTTTCTTTGAAAGTGCTTTCAAAATTATAACTAACATGAGTTTGTCTGAAGAAAAAAGACTTCTTTAGCCTGCAAAAGTCACTTTGGTACTGGACAGTCATCTGCAAAAGTCAGTTTTGAACAGAACTCGTACAAAATAGAGGTGTCCTAAAAGTAAGGATTACCGTATAATCCATTTCACAAAAGTTGCGATGTGTTGAACGCTTCGTAAGTTCCTTGACGATGGCTTAAAACACGTCGCAAGCTACGACGTGTCTAGTGGTCGTTGCAAAATAAGAAGAGTCCATTTTTAGCCAGTTTTGTGCCATAAACATCACGTAAACGAGATTATAATACCGAGGCAATGTGTGAAAAGTTGTTAATAGAAAATTCATTGAATAACTATGAATTTGCCTGGAATATTGCAGTTGGAATTTCAAAGTAGCTACACAGTCCACTGAGAGCTCGTTTTTCTTTAAAATTGCATTGCACGGCCAACATTTTGTCCTACGTTTTAACAAATGTCGAGCGGAGATCCGACGACTCTTTGTTGAATACCAGACAACTATTTACTGTATGCTGACTAAATATATTAAACAGTCAACGAATTGTGCTATACACATAGGACGTGTCGCATTTACGACGTGTTTTGTGAAATGGATCGCAGGACGCGTCGTAGGGATACGATGCGTCGCAGCGCTGCGAAAGTGCGATGCATCGTAAGTTACGATGAGTTTCATGAAATCGGGTGCAGGACTACTATGACTGCCTCCGTAAATTGAAGGCCACACTTGCGGAACATGTACAAAAACATGTAGAACTTTGTATGCACAATGTTTAAACCTTTTCTAATATTGGTATTTAATGTCATATTTTTATTATATACAAACACGGTAGGCCTTTTACCTTTTAAAAATGTTCTTTTTTAATGTAAATCACGTGCAATTCAGCTGTTGCTGCTATTCGTGATTTGTTAATAAACCATGTTGAATTGAATTGAATTGAGTGTTCATGGTATTTGCCACCAGTACGGGCCGTTATCACGCGTCTAACCAGGAGTTTGGTCGAGTCGTTGATCCTTGTGTGTAGGATCCGTGCTTGTATCAACCTTGATAAGTTGTGCAGTAACAGGGTCCACGACAATCCCAATTTGCTGGTAAAATAATTTTATTTTCAGTTGCTATGCCACAACTTAAGCCACCTAAAATGATTGCGCAAGTTACGCCATAATTTGTTGCGCAAGTCGCAGACTTACGCACTGTCCGACTTTTGCGAAATGTGTCATAAGTGAAATGTTGCGCAGCGTGAAATGTTGCGCAACTTACGCAAGAAATTGTGGCGCAAGCGGAGTTGCGCCATATGGCCTAAGTTTTCGTGAAATCGGCTGCAGGAATGGTAACAACACACTGCATGGAGATATGTACACCATTACTAGCTTCAGGTGTGCATTGTGATTTCAAATTTCCCCACAACACAGTTCGCTAAATATTCATCCTTTTTTGCAGGAGAAACCAAGGGAGCCATTCTATTTGGAGATAGTTGGCGGTGATTCTCAATGATGGACACAACGGAGGCATCATCTGATAGTACGCAAGTGCTGACCATGGCCGGTGACTATGGAAATCTGGCCAACACCCTCTATACCACAGAAGGTACATGTAGGTACTTGAAGCCACACAGTGGCCACTCTTTTTCCATTTATTTTCTTTTTCCATTTGGCTATTTTACGAAGCCATAACGCATTTCAACAGTGGCTATATTATGCGATCAAGGTACATGAGTCGTTTGTTAACCCTGGTCAAAAAATTTTTTATTACAGATTTGAAAAGAACACAATCTCAGCATTACTGCTGTGAAAACCGCATGCTGATTACCATCTTTAGTTAAAAAATTATGGAAGTTGGAACACTAAGAGATGTGATGAAGCGATGTGATGAAGTGGCCCTATTTTGGCCTGTATCTCCAAATATATATATTCCGGACAAACGACTCATTTAGCTTGATCGCATCACATATCACTTTCAAATCTCTACGGTTTTAATTGTTCTACAGTCATTGAAGCGCTTTGGTAGCATAATATGATAGCTGTGCACTTTCAATGCTGAAGGTGCTGAGGTTGAATCCTAGAGACAACCTTTTTTAATTAATTTCGCAAAATGTGTAATTTCCAGTGTTGTAGTCGAGTTGGTGTAGTTCAGTTGACGTAAAGTAATATTGGCTGGCTGGTTACTTCCTTAATCCCTTAAAATCCTCCACAACTTCCTGATGGAGATTGAAGGATTTGGGAGGGTAAGGGATAATCAGTTTATTGACTCTGTGCAAAGCTGTTGGCATCACTGCAAGGCCTTCTTACTAAGGCCAGTGAAGGGCAAACATTCACAACATTCAGGGTGTCTTCTAATACTTAGAGGAACCTATGTTCCTCTAATGGCCTAGGGAGTTAGGCATTTTTGCCAGGATTCAACCTCAATCCTTCAAAATCCTCCAACTGCCTCCGTGTAAAAGTTGCATCCAGCCTCAATCCTGCAAAAGCCTCCGTTATTTCTTGAATGTGTTCCGTGGAAGGATGACCACTGCCTCAATCCTGCAAAATCTCCAGCAATTACTGTCAATATGTTGAGGCAGGGCCAGTGACATCCTGGAGCAGTGCGGAGGATTTCAAGTATAATCTAGGCCTAAATGTATGCACGGCTGAGCATAAACAACACAAGGTCCGGCCAAAGACCTTGACATAGCGCATCCTCCAAAATTAGCCACACAATTTTGCCATGTACATGTAGCCTCAATCCTGCAAAATCCTCCATTTTGCAAAGAGGATTTGGGAGGATTTGGGAAAGTTAGGGTTAATTGTGGCTGTGATTGGTCAAAACACCATTGGACGTGGCTCATGGTCTGGAACATTGAACTCATGGCCTGCAGATAATTCTGCAGGTTGTGGGTTCGAGTCCAGTCTGAGACATGTGGTGTGTGTGTCCTTGGGCAAGGCACTTGGTCACGCATTGCTTCTCCGAACCCAGGAGTAAGTAAAATGGATACATGTGAGGGCAAGAGAGAATTATTGTTATTGACTTAAGCTGCTTTGTGCCAAAACGGCACCAGGATTGTCTTTCAAATGTTTTATTGGCCTAATGAGAAGGGGAAAGAATGATATTGATGATGCCCCCTAATATGACGCAGTCCCTAATGTGCCACAGCCCCTAATGTGCCACACTTTAATTTTTCTCCTTTAGTACCTTGCTAGAACAAAAGTTTGACCTCAAATTTCACAGTAAGTGAAATTCCATCGACCTCTAAACATTCATTGTGCAGACACAGTGCAAACCAAAACACTGTTGTTTTTTGGCCCAAAACAATTTATATCAAATTTCACTTGTTTTCCCCTATATATTTTGCAATGGTTTCAGATGACTCGATAGCAGGGGTTGCAGAGGAGGAGATTGGAGGGGATGACAAGAGCAGTTCGCCCCTCAGGGAGCAGGACAGGTTCCTGCCCATCGCCAACGTCAGCCGCATCATGAAGAACGGCATCCCCAAGTCGGGCAAGGTAATATGCCGTCGTACGTAGTGGCTGGGGAGGTTCAACAGGCTCAATTCGTGTCCAGGACGAGTTCCGGACATGTAGTGGGTAGAATCATTCGCTTTGTCCGGAAGAAGCTGTGCATTTCTCCCGGACATGTTCCAGGGAAATTTTCATCAGCAACTGCTTGACTCACAAATACTGATGGCTTCATTGCGGGGAGATTGCAGGGAAGCGGTTCAGAATCCTGCAACCTAAACCCGATACAATGTCCGTAACTCGTCCCGGATATGAATTGAGACAGGCCCTTGCAAACTGAGAACATCAAACAACATGGCTGTACAATCCCGAATTACATCAAATGCTGTAAAACCAGGCACCAGTTTCTTGAGTTGCCAAGCAGAAAATATTGTGTTTAGCCAATTTTCTTGTTAAGTAATTCTCAGCTGGGAACTACTCAAATGTAACGTATTGTGTAACAGTTTGGTCGGTAAACTATTTCAGCTAAGCATTTTTCCCTGGATTCTACAGATTACTGTGATTAGCAGCTCCATGACATAGTCCTCAGGTGTATAATTTGTGCTTATTTAGGGTTCAATGTTCAATGCTTCTTGATCGTGTACATAAACAGGTATTCCTATTTATTCAGTGAACTTAAAATTCCCTTTGACAGTTTGGAAGATAAGGGAAAATTTCAAGGTCAAAGGAGTTACTTTTTACCATTTTCAGATTGTTGGCATTTGTCAGAGACGAAAAACCGTCATTTGGCAATACTTTTAAAATGTTATTATGGACCAGTGTTTGTAAAGGTTACCTGACTCCAGCTTATTGATCTGCCTGTCTGACCTTTGCTTTGACCGTTTCCTTGGATCTTGACCTTTTGACCTTCCAGATCTCCAAGGAAGCTAAGGAGTGTGTCCAGGAATGTGTCTCTGAGTTCATCAGTTTCATCACAAGCGAGTATCCTTTACAAACAGTTTCACTATATTTCATTCGACAAAGTCAAATGAGTAGAAATCTCTTGTCTTTTTCCTCAGTATGAGACCATTCTGCACAGAAATGTATAACTTTCATCTTACACTCCTTTTAGTGGTACTGAGAGGAAAGATTTGAATTCATTCTTCAGACTTTTATAACTGTTAAAAGAATAGTACTTTGTACAAGATCTTCTGTGATGTTGACATGTACAATTCAGTTTTTAGCTGCAAGACATGTTTTTTTTATAATATTGAACATAAGGCCAAAAAAAAGTCTCCGGTTTCTGGTATGGAGCTTGCCCAAAAAGTGGTACGGCGATGCGGCTTTTTTTTTTTTTTTACCTGATTTTTTTGCTTCAAATGTCGGCTGATGACTGCAAATGGTGCCCCACTAAACTTAGTGCAAATGTATGGTAGTCCAGAGAGGCCACATAAAGCTTATTTTCGACCATAACCCAATCTAAAAACACGTTAAAATTGCACAGCAGCAGGATTCCATTCAAACCAGTGAGTTTGGCGGTTTTGAGACATCATCTTTCATTGAAAAAAATGTTTTCATTTTGCCGACGCGCATGGCTACGGCGACGCGCGCGCATACCAGAAACCAGAGACTTTATTTTTTTGGCCTAAGTGAAAGTGGGCTATTTCCCAACTTTGTTCGGATGAAGGACTTGAGAATCTGCAGGCAAAAATAACTCTCTGTTTGGGATGTTGAGTTAGGTACAGTCGTTCCCTCAGAGTCACACACACTCACAAATGGGATACATGTTATTACAACACCTCATAAATATTCATGATCAAATTGGAGCATGTCATTGGCCAGGCAGGGAAGTAAATATGATACACGCCCAGGTGACGTCATCCCGGTATTTTTTCTGCTACCACCAAAAATTCCCCCTGGAACCCGCCTCGTAGACATGTAGTCTGTGGCATGTAACCTGTACCATGTTTACGGAACTGGTCTGTTGTAGTCCTTCTGCAGTAAAGACACATTAAAGAGTGTTGGCACCAGACTATTTCATTGACAAACGAAGAATTTGTGCTGAATTAAAGATGCAAAATCTATGGAGGTCGTTATCGACATGGCATTGAGGCTACTAAAAAGGCAGTGAGGCTAAATATTTATGAGGTGTAGTAAAACAAATACAGCATGGTTTATTTCTGGAAAATAGTGGGAATTACTGGTCCATCAGTGCAGGTCAGCTTGACTACCTCCCCCCGCTTCGCCTCAGGAGGTAGTCAAGCTGACCTACACCGAGGTACCAGTAATTCCAACTACTTCCCCTCAAACCATGCTGTATTTGTATACTACCAAAATTCCCTCAAATTAAACACCTTTGGCAAAGTAAAGTGGAAGTATAACAAACGTGAGAACTATCCTTCTCAACGAACGGCAGATAACTTCTGCTGTGGAATGAAGCTGATAGATCAGACTTCCCAGTCAATCTGGAAATCAGGGAAACCTTGAAAATGAGTTTCAATTTTTCCAGTCAAGGAAAAGTGATGGAATTTGGGGGAAAATAACAAAAGTCTGGGAGTACTCAGCGAATTTGACAGTGACACAGAAGAAAAAGGTTTTCCGCAGTTTGGCGTGTGTGCATCTTGTGCCACATGTCCAAGTTGTGTCCATTGACTGACTGGTGTGTTTGTGCAGTGTGAATATTACACACCTCTCCAAACAATAACAATTTAGCTGTGCTTCACCATCTCTTGACTACCCAGCCACCTCATTGACTTAAACACATTTCTCATGGAATGTTGGAAATTTCTCAGGGAAAACTCAGGGAATATCGTTTTCATAAAGTACTGGGAACCCTGTAGATTCCTTAACTCAGTGCCTCAGAGCGAGTGACAGGTGCCACCAAGAGAAGAGGAAGACCATCAACGGGGAAGACATCCTGTTTGCGATGTCTACTTTGGGTTTTGATAACTACGTGGAACCGCTGAAATTATACTTGCAGAAATACAGAGATGTAAGATATGCCATGTGCGTGGCACACATGTTGCCGTATGGATCATTCTATTAACCCTCCTGCTATCTGAACAGTCAAAGACAGTCATAAATTTAATCCTCTTCCCCTGCCATGCCTTTTACACTGAATAGTCACCAATGGTCAGATCATATTTCGAGCGAGCACTCTGACTAGTCAAATTCAGACAACAGACAAAAACAGATAAGTGGTGTGCACAGCTGGCTTATCAATCACCTACAGTCAAAGCTTAGCTGCATCAAATTACAGCCAGTCAATCCTGCTTTAGAAAGGCTGGGAGCTCTTAACTATTGAAAACAGTTTTTACTCCCTTGATTGATTTTGACTGAAAGGACAACTTGGCATAGAATGTTTGTTTGCACAGGAAGGTTAATTGAGGTTCAAAGTGTGACATTTTTCCTGTCCCTGTTACATCTGAACTTTCATAATTTTCCACGCAGGTATCATTAAAGATATAGTCCATCATTTGTAATTTGTGCATTTTGTTCGTTTGAAGTAACAAAAGTGTTCAAAATCTAATGAAGGATACTGAACAACTAACCTGAAGAATTTTCAGCTCAGCTTCAGCGGTCTATTCCGAAAAAAAACAGCATTCTAGGTTCTCAATTTCAAATCAAAAGTTGCTGAATCATGTTTAGAATTGTTTTGAATTGCAGCTATACGCGATGGCGCGCACTGATCCGACGAATTATAGCAACCGCTCGCGCCTGTGCGTCGTGCCAATGCATGCACGCGCTGTGCCGAATAACAAAACGAACTACTAATCTAAATTTTCCTACGATGCATCTTAAGACGCACAGTTGGAAAGGCCTTCTTTTGTTGATTACTTCAAAATGATAGCTTGCCAGAAAGAATAATTTCACAGGGAGTTTAGTCCACTTACTATCTTTCAACCAAGTATGTTTTTCAACATAATAATAATACGCCACTTACATTGTACTTTTTCGGATGGCTGCAAATGATGGACTGTAGCTTGAAAACTAAGCTCTAACTATTCTCATTTGTTGGTTAGGTAGTTTGCTTTACATAATTACTACAGGGTGAGTCAAAAAAGCGGAACCCATACCCCAAAAATTATATTTTGTATTTAAAAAAAAAATGTAGCACCATAATAATGACTGGAAACCCAATTTCATAAGCTACTTTTAATCTACAAAATTACTGACATTGCTCAATCCGTTCAAAGAATATCACCATTTAAACGCAATGACCCTAAAACCTGTTTCGTCAAAAAAAGCAGTTTATTGTGTATTCTGACTGTTTGGAACAACAAAGAAAATGACACAGAATACTTGTTTCAACAACTGTAGTACACAAAATCATTATTAACAACCCTGGTTAGGGAAACAATATGATTACAAAATACACTTTTTTTAAAAGACAAGCCTTCAAAAGGACTTTGTTTAAATTTTTAACTTTTAAACTGAGGTTTTATCTCGGTGATGTTTGAAGACAATTGTGACGACTTGGACGAGACAGGTTTTAGGGCCATTGTGTTTAAATGGTGATATTATTTGAACGGATTGAGCAATTTCAGTATTTTTTTCATCTAAAAGTAGCTTACGAAATTGGCTTTCCAGTTTTTATGTTTGGTGCTACATATTTTCTTAAATATGAAATATAATTTGTAGGGTTTGGGTTCCACTTTTTTTGACCCGCCCTGTATTAGGGGGAAGAGGATATGAAGGATAGTGCATCTTAGAATTGACAAAATCGTACATGTTAGATGTATACAGGGACAGGAAAAAGTGGACCCCAAATTTATAAAATAGCCCATATGTGTGACTGGCGATAAAATTGGGCGAGAGATGCATGGCCTAGCATTTCTATAAAGAATATCTTATCCCCGTGGTGTGTTTTTAAACACACTCTTTGTGCACATTATTTTGACTTGATTTGAAATGAATGAAGTTAATGTAAGTAAGGTTATTTACAAGTTCCCTGTCCAAAATACCAAATGAGCCTTATCTTCCACAATTTTCCTCATAAATGCTGGTAAAAAAAGAGCAAAAAAGCAATGATTTGGACATACTCAACATGGTCCACACAATAGTTAAATTTACTGTTTGGCAGATGGCTAGTGTATTATCTTACATTACTAAGAATCGCATATTTACATTATAGTATCTTGTGTGTTTATACATGTACCAGCAACATTGTAAGCACCAGTAGTCCAACAGAAACTTAAAAAAGCAATGATTTGGACATACTCAACATGGTCCACACAATAGTTAAATTTACTGTTTGGCAGATGGCTAGTGTATTATCTTACATTACTAAGAATCGCATATTTACATTATAGTATCTTGTGTGTTTATACATGTACCAGCAACATTGTAAGCACCAGTAGTCCAACAGAAACTTATCACATTTGACTTCTGATTAATTAACATATCGCTGTAGAATCGCATCAACGCAGCTTGTGAAATATTGTCCAATTACATGATATGCACATGGACGCGAAACACGCAGAATCTGAGACAAACAAAACTTAACGTACACAATTCCATAGGGTTGTCTATGGGGCGTGGCTAACTCGTAAATGGCGATAGGTCAATTAGATGTCATTCTGCCAACTATCAGGATCAATCCACCTTAAGTTTTTGATACCTAACCTGATAAGAATAATCACTGATGTCTTGCTTACATTTGTAATGTAAGGATTTCTTTTGGAAGAAAATGGCAACCCCTTCTAAAATCTTCTCCAACTGTTGATGATTTTCCTCTGATCAACATTGTGTGTTTATTGTTTGTTTTGTGCATCAATGATAATTTAGTTCACAAGTATACATTTTATTTTGTTTTGACGATCCATAGTCGATGAAAGGAGAGAAGACAATGGTTGGCATGGCAGCGGCATCAACATTAAGAACAGACGGCTTGGAGGACCTCCAGGATCAGTTCGGTAAGTCTTTTTGTAAAAAAAACACTTTATGAAATAAATTTTAATGCCTGTGTATTTTATTTCCCCTTGACTTACATAAGTAGGTTTTGCACTTCACTTAATATGTAATCATATCTCCACGTTAAATGCTGTGGAGAGCTTGGTTTGGACTTGAACCCACAACCTCCAACTAACTACTGCAGGCCTGCCAGGACCAGCTGGCCAGTGTGAATCCAATTTTAGTTGTTCAAGGTGCTTCTGATTATTGCATTTTACATGTATACTATATTCATAAATACTTAAAAGACGGTTTACCCATTCCTATTGGTCGAGAGCCCGTCATGTGGCCTGTTCTATACGGTTGATAAAGACTGGCTGGCTGGTCTTTAACACTTTTCCAGTGTCACGTGAAATATTGACTCCTTTGCAATCCGGTGCCTTTTACCGTTTCATTGGTTGAATGTTCACAATCCTCATGTAGGCATGCGCAATATTACCAGTGAGTCAGTATTTCATAGTCCTAAATTCACAATACACCGGCACAGCTGTGTTCTGCGCCACATCGTAAAATACGCGCGGGCCAATCTCCATATTGGAGTTTATGTCTACTCACAGGAGGGACATACCAAACTAAAGCTAGAGGGGTATTTAAACAAACATAAAGTGAAATTGTTGACAAAATCGTTGGAAATTTATAAGTTTTGACTTGTTTTGATTCAATCTTAGTCAGTTACAAAACATTGCATTAACTTAATCCAATTAGAGTGTAGTGATTGGTGATCGACTGACATATAATGTTATAAGAAACGCCAGGTGATTTCAGAAAATATGGTTATTTATTCTCGATTTTGAGCCGATGTTGTTCCTAAGCAATCCTGGAATGCCCATATCATACTGTTGATTTTGCAAGTTGTTGTGTTTGTGTACTTAAAATCCAGGTATCACCAGTAATTTAATATCGGCAGACCAGACTGTCCCACCTGCATATAATGCAGCCTACCCTACACAGGTAAGGAACAAATTATTACACTCACCACTCCTTGTCCCAAGCTTGCCTTGAAGTTTTATTACGGTGTAGACTCGTTCAGAAACCATATGTGGCAATGTGTGGCCATGTGTGGCCATGGTTGTGAAGTCAAATCAAATTGTGCCTTAGTCCCTATTTACCTTGGTAAGGATGTCATTGCCCATCAGATGTAATATTCCAGTTTACACCATAGAGCTGTATTAAGTTACTAGAGCGCTAACTCCTCATTCTTGCGCGCGAAGACGCTTTGAATCCGTCCTGGTACGCCGACATTTTGAATTCATGTGGGTGTTTGTAGAACATAATGAAATTAGATAGATTGAATTTTGAAAGTGTACTCTAAATGCAACGCGCAAGTAGAACGTATGCAAACAACTTAAGCATGTCATTACGGTTAATCATCTCCAGCGGATACGCGCACGCATTGCGCTGTTTGCGTAGAGCAAAATGACATGCTCATTTGCTGATCGTGCCTTATGGTTTTAGGCGTATAGGCTTCGATAACGCACCTGTATAGAATACAAACGCAGATATGCAAATAGCCATACAAAAGCCGTACAAAATTTCGAGTTTCTATAGGTTTGTGTACAAATGTGCATGCGCCCAGCAGGCATCACTTTGTACATGAGTCAGCACTCTAGTAATTTAATATAGCTCTATGGTGTACACCCAAATTTGAGGGCAATGCATACATGTATTTACAACTGCGCCCAGGAGAGTGAAATTACGATTTGACATCAGACAGTTGATATTTTGTCAGAATAAATTTTGTAATGTGTCGTGTCTTTATTCTAAGTGTATGTGTCAGCTAAAAATTGATAGTGCTAGGTCATGTTGTCAGAGCAATTCTTGTGTCCAATGTTATACTCTGTGGCACTACTCAGATTTGAACAGTTTCAGAAAATCTTTTTTCTTTTTCTTTTTTTCTTTTTTTGAGATGGAATATATGTCAGAGGTATTAAAATGTTTGTACATTTATTGGATTTTGCCCCTCGCTAACTTTTTTTTTTTAATAAATACTATTCTCAGTGCTGTCCAAGGGCTGAAGAAGATTGATAAGACTGTAGGGGATCGATAAGCCAGCTGTGCCTACCACTTGCCTGCTTTTGTCCGTTGACTGAATTTGACTAGTCACGGCGCTTGTTTGAAATAAAACCCGACTGTTGGTGACTAGCCTGTGTAAAAGGCATGGCAGGGAAGAGGATTGGTTTTGTTTACCGTCTGTGACTGTTCGGACAGCAGGAGGGTAAACGATAATCATTGTGTTGCACTGCAAGATCTCACTGACGTCTTTGTAAATCTATTTTCTTTCAGCTTTCCTTCAGCTGAGAGCCTCCTAGATTGAGAGGACCCTTTTGTACATATCACATCCCTGACCTCTGACCTCTACATACCTTGATGCTTCACAATGGTCACCTATAACAAGCCTGGAGCCCAATATCGAAGAGCTGCAAAGAAATCATTGCCTTGCTGTCCCAAAACATCACAGAACAAAAGTTCCAGTAAGAAATACATTTTCTCGCAGGAATTGGCAAGTCCAAGAAAAGGTCCCTTTTTTTGTCCCATACACAAAGCCATTGTTTTTCATTACATAATCATCGCAAAGACTAATAACATACAAATTTCTGTGGGTATTCTCTTAACAGATGCCCGACAGTTGAATAAAAACACTGAAATCTATTTATATCTTAGTTGGATAAGTGGAAAGAGTTCCATACCTGGGCATCACTTGTCACCCTGTGCAGAAACCCTGTGAGACTGGTCTGAAAAATTCCAAGTGTTTTCTCAGTAAATGCTTTTTTTTTCCCTGCTAAATTTGACTTTTTGGGACATGTTGTCGCTTGCTGATGGCTGATATGTCACTGCAGGCAAAAATTAGTGATGGCCATGTATTAAATTATTCGCGGTTAAACTTTTGTTACGTATGAGACGTGTGCGCAAATTCTTGGACTTACTCGAATACAAATGAAGTTATTGGAAGAGTTTGAAATGAACCTCAAGCTTGTCCAAATAATGTTTTTATTTTATTTCGCTATTGTGTACAGTTTGGTTACAAAACAAATAGATAATGAGTGATCTTCTAAACATTTCTGATGTAACCTAGTTTGTAGGAATTTGTAGGGTGATGGAAAATTACTTGCTCATAGGATGCTGCCTTTAGACTTTCTGGGGACCATCATCTGTTGCGTTGGTAGGATGGGACTCCGTATTATCGCGGTACTTATCACGTTTCTCGTTCTGAATAGAGATTGCCCGCTAACCTTCCCGAATTGTCTTGTCTTTTGTGTTGTATACCTCTTCCTTTTCAAATTGATATCAACAAATCCGTTTATTCCGTGTATGATGCCTGTGAAAACAGACATGCTCGGAGTATTATCGGGGTATGCGGGAAGTGTTTTTTATAATAATTTCAACTTTTTTTGCATAGTTAATGTTTGACCAAAACAACCCCTGAATAAAGTCTGATATTTTCCCTGTAACATTCAAGTTGATCAAAGACTATATGCCTGCAGGATGATTTCTTAAGACCCTGCCCCTCCCCGGAAAGGAGAACAAAAATCACTGAGACAGTCTACTGTTTTATTTTTTTTAACGCGCCATCCTTATTTTGATCCCGTAAAAGGTTTTACGATTTCGCGGTGGATGATCGTCCTGTGACTTCGTTTTGTGTTTGCAGCTGTAGAATGGGAACCAGACAATGGAACTTTCATGGAAAGAGCACCATTAAAGATTTATGTTAAAATATAGACGGTACCTTTTAGCAGACACGTGAGGGAAAATTTGCAAGTTTTGGAAAACGTTAATATTTAATAAAAATAGTTAAAAGTCCCGAACGACCCAATATTTTTTAATCGTCCTTTTTATACAACTCGGCAGAAAGTCTTTAATGCCTGGTGAACTCGCCACTTGAAGGAGTTTTGGCAACACAAAAAGAGAAATTTTCCATGCCGCGATAATATGGATGCCGCGATAATATGGAGTCCGACTATACTACCGTAGTGACCAGGACCCAACTTCACAGAGCTGATAAGAAGAAAATACTGCTTAACAAGTTTGAGTGCCAAGAAACAAACGGCTAAAAGCAGTCCTAAGCAATGCAAGTCACCTGACATTTTTGCTCAGCAAATATTTTGTGCAGATATCTATGCTAGACAAATTTGTATACTAGTGAGGTTTGCGGTAACACCATGTGGCATAATCTCGTTTGAGAAGAAGGGCTGTTCTGAAAAGAATTGGTTCGTTGTGAAACTCGACGTTCCGATCAGTATGCTCTGATGATCATCTTCAGGAGAGAGTCTACAGGAGATGATCAGAGCATACTGATCAGAACATCGAGTTTCACAACCAACTGGTTCTTTTCAGAGCCACACTCTTTCTCAAAAGAGATTATTCCTCATAGTGTTACTGCAAACTCCACTAGTATACACTACCACCATGCAAAGTTTCAAATCTTATTTAAACAAATTTGTATTAAGTAGATTTTTGTGCAGTAGTAGCTCCATGAACTAGGCCCTTGTTCTGCGTGCACTCTATCCTCCTTGGACCAACAGCAAGTTGCCAACTTGTCAAAGAGTACATGCACCCAAAATGTTAGTCTTGACCCAAGACGCTAGTGATCAAAAGTGGAGTGTGCATATCTAACGGCATGATTAGACCAGCACACCTGCTTGCACCAACATTTTGGGAATCCTGAAGTAGCCGTTTAACTTTTTCTTTATTTTCTCCCAAGGCTTTCCTAGCAAACCAATCAGCGATCGCGAAATGGTTATAGTCAGTCACGCGCTCGCGCAGTGGTTGTATAAACATACGTGCCATGTGTGGTGATCAAGCATCGCTTATAAGATATGCAACGCAGTGATACCTCCGCGCGAGCGACTACCGGTATCGAATGGGAAGCCGTTGTTTTGTTCAGAGATATTAATATTTACACCAACGGTTTAATTTACATAAAGCGGCCACGCCCCCACTACTGCAAGATTCCCAAGACGTTAATGCGAGAAAGTAAAAAAAAAAAAATGTGCAAGGGCGCTGTACAACAATGCAACCATCGCTATCGATCACTAACGGCTTGGGCCAAGACTACCAAAATGTAAGAATGAGGTGTTGGAATTTCATCCATCTCGAATTTTCAATATTTCAAGGTTGATTATATGCAGATTTGTAAGTCAACCTGTCTTTGTCCATCGTTTAGCTTTGCATGTTTATACCAGTAGCAATTAATTTGTTTGATGACATTAAAAGTATCTGAAAAGGAAACAAGTTCGGGAATGTTTGCCTTGTTAAGATTTGTTGGTGTCCAATCTGTCATTCATAAATAAACAAGTTTCCAACAAACAAGTATTCAAGACCACAGCAGTCTGTTTAATCAGAGAGCTAACTACAACATGCCAATTTAGAAAAATATTAATTTGATGATAATAATTGTCTAGAAAAATAATTCCATATTTTGCTGAAATCACCAATTGGTCATTTTTTGTACATTGACAAATTTACATAGAAATACAAGCAACAGAACAGTTTTGCACTCGCCAAAAACACAACAGAAACTTTCAGATTTGTATGCATTATTTCAGTGGAAGTTGCTGGTAGGCAAATGTTTTTAGAAACGCGTTTATAGGGAAAGATAATTTCGTGCGTACATGTTTGACAATCTATCTACGTGTAATTAACTCGGACATTTTTGTAAACAAAGTTTTGAGAAGGAAAAAAAACCGATTACTATGGTAAAATTGAAATAAAATATAATGGTAGTGAAATGTGTTTATCTCTTAACACTCCATAACAAAAATACATTATTTATAGCTCTCTGGAAGGCTTACCATCACATCTGGTCATATATGTATCATTTTTCTGTACATATACATGTTATAAATCGATATGCGTTGTACCTCTGTAAATGCCATTTTGGGAATTTCTTTTTTTAAATGTATTAATATTTTTGAATCATGTCATTAATAACAATCACAAATCGGGCAATTAGTTCCCTGGCGAGGGAAACTCGTCACCCCGGCAATTTTCTTTTTTAATATTCGCTGGACCCGAAGTTCCTGCGTGTTGTTCCCTGGCCGAGTCTCTGACTGAATGACTGACTGACTGACCGTGCCACTAAGTATATTTGATAGATAGCATCCTAAAGAGAGACGTGCGGGTCTGGCTCGGCTTGGGCAAATGGAAAGACTGAAACATAAACGCCCCCAGTCCGTAAGCTTCATCTCTCATCATTTGACACACAAAAAATTAATGAACTCAATTTCATCAGAAATTATTGTCCCTTCCTTCACCACTTGTTTTTATACAGTACATGTATTTCCAGGTATTGTTTGCTTCCTTTCTCAGCAATCCCAATTCCACCATGTTCCAAAACCCAACAAGACTTGCATATTTTTTTAATTAGTAAAAAAATTACTATAACATTATTATATATTTTATAGTTTTGTCAGGAATCTCGGCAGGTTCGAAACCAAAATGTGCTTTGCTAAGTTCCTTCCTCGGTCATTATCTTCTGCTGTGCCTTCTTCCTCTCCATCTCCCCGAAGTAGTTGTAGAAGATGACGGTAGGCACGAGGATGAGCAGACCGACGAACCGGAAGGCCACGGCAAGGTCGAAGTCCGGCGCCCAGTGGAACTTGCCGTGCTCCTGGCCTGGCGGCGGCTCCACGCTGAAGAGGGTGAAGAAGAGACTTCCAAGCGGGGTGACCAGGGCTTGGACCAGGACCAACCAAATGGCACCCTCGGCGTACTTGACTATCAGGAAGACCATGAGGTTGGCCATGCAGTAGGCTAGAATGAAGACGAAGTAGGCGGCCGCAGCGGTCATGCACGCGGGATCAGCAAAGTACATGCACTTGAGGGCGTACAGCATGTTCCTTCCGAACTCGGAGATGCCTGTAGCCTGTAAGGAGGATAATAATTAAAGTTGGTGTATACGTGCTTTTGTAACACCCTGAAAAATAGATTTTCAAATTGAATTGATAATTTTCTAGCATTACATTAGTTATGAGCTTTCCAATGAGACATCGCAGGTAAATATCAGCCCACGACAGCTCGACAGGTAATCAATTAAATAATTTCAACTTTTGAATTAAGAGGGGGACGCACCTAATTCGTTCTGAATAGTGTGCGCAATTTCTGTACTGAAAGGTGCCATTTAAAACCACTTTTTAAACCTGTATAAAGGCCTGCAAACGCAAACAAGCAAGTTTATTCGTTACAGGACATTTTCCTTTCGGAAAAGAAAATCGAAATGTTGAAGATAGCACGTATATGCCAACTTTAACGAACCGTGTCGTACGCGTGCCACATTGAATATTTGGGATTGTTACACCTCTGTCTTAAATACTGAATTGTGCTCCGTGTGTGGTCATAACAGTTAATAGATGTTCAAATAATCAATACTTACCGCACCAAATTCAGGTAAAAAATCGGTCCAAAAAAACAACGCCACACACACGGCGTTGTACAGCTGAACCCAGGCTAGAAAGACCAGAGATTCCGTCTGTCAAGTATAGTTCGAAAGAAGAAAAAGGAAGCAAACAAAATAGTGAAAAAGTATGTGCATAAATAATTACATTTCTGCCAAATTATTGATGGTACTCCGAGACACAAGTTCGCTCGTCACTTCTCTGTCCAACCCAAGAGCGTCGTTCGGGGAGCTAATCGCTTTCAATAAATAGTTTGAAAGCATTGCCGCGGTACATGTAACTCAATTTTATTTACTTCCCGTCCGCACGAAATGATGTACGGAAAGATCGTGTTTTTGGATTGGGAATCGTATCGGGTACGAGCTTATGTCTTTATCAAGAAGAATCTTCGTCAACTTATAGTTTCCACCCTGAAAAATAGACACACGGGACCAGTTATTCGCCCGCGTCATTCTCTACCTGAACATTAAATGGCGGATCTACGGGGAGGGTTTAAGGGTTGAACACCCCCCCCCCCACTTGGGTCGCTAAAAGAGGAAGATACGGGGATACAATACCAGACGCCTGTTACCCCCCCCCCCCCCCCAACCCCTCTTGAGCCAAACCTATAGATAAGCCCTTGTATGATGCCTTCAATTCCCAAACCACTTTGTCTCTTTGTTTCTCACTGCTCAATAAGCCTCCATCACCTGGTCCTTCTTCAGCTCCCTCTCAATCAGCACGTTGAGGATGCCGAGAGGCAAGAACCCGAGCAGGAAGATGATGGGCCAGACCACCTTCATGACGCCAGTCACGGCCCCCGGCACGGGTGGAGGCGTCCCGCCAACGTTGAAGATCTCGGGCTCCAAGGAGATGAAGAGCCCGATCAGCACGATGCCCGTGCACACCAGGCGGGCCCGGCCCACTCCTGTTCAAGTTGCAACATCAAGCAAGGATGAGAAGGTGGATGAATGAAGGGATCTCATGGAAGATGTAAGTGGATAGGTCTTCACCATTCGAGCCTCTCCCAAGTTGTACTCATGCATCTCTTGTTCTGAGAAGACTCATTTGTTCTTCACAGAATTAAACATGCATCATTCAGGGTTGTTAAATCACTTCACATTTTGGATTTGAAATGCCTCTCAAAATGTACTTAAAACTATTAAGACTAAAATCATATTTGGTTTGAAAGGGAAGTCAATGCAAAAGGCAGGATTCGATGCATGCATGATTTCAGGTGGCTTTTAAGACATCGATCTTAAGACAAATTACCAATTTTGAAAGTTCAATAGGGCCAGGACAAATTAAAGATGTTTATCAAAAGTTATTTTTGAAATCGGCACAAGCAAAACGGTGATCAGTTTTAATAAACCGCCAAGACCAAACCCAAACTAACGAGCTCAGTAAAATTGTATATTTCAAGATGTTCAGTAATGTGAGGAATATTGGATGTGCTAGTGAAAATGTAGCATTAAGACTGAAACATGATCTGGTGTGGCACTCCTCACCTTTTCGTAAAATGATGTACCGGAATATCACCGTGAATACGATGCTAGAGGTAGCGAGCAGCGCCTGCAACGAGCCCGACGTCCGTTTGGGATCCGCGGCGTACACGACCAGTATCCCGTTCGTGGCGTTCAGCAGACCCAACAGGGCCATCAATTTGTGAGACACGGAGGACTTGGTCTCGGCCATCGGGTTGAGGAACTTGTTTATGAAGACCAGGCCGAAGAAGAAAGGCTGGAACCAGAAGGACGTGTAGAGAATAACCGGATAGTAGTCGTTGTACTTGTTGACGGTGTTGTTGAGCAGCGGGAGGGAGACGAACATCATCAGGTTGCTAATGATGGTTAGGACTGTCAGGATGATGTTCAGCTTCTGTGACTTGATCTGCGACCCCGAAGAAAGAGGAATAAAGAATGAATAGACCGACCCATTAGGCCCCGCCCACCGGCAACAACACGTGCGCCTCTCCAACGCCACATTGCACGTTCCAGCTGCGCGCGTGCACGCTGTCCGACTTTTGTGGACGCACGTGGGACATTAATCACAGCTGTGATTGGTCAAAATACTATTGGGCGGGGCTTTGTGGACTGTGCTGCTAGTTTACCCAACAAGAAATTTGGGCTTCCAATGTAAAGACAGGGCAGAACTTCCCACGCTAATTTTACTTGGGAACGTATTTCGTGCAACTTTTTTCTCCTCTTGATGTATGAAAACTATTTGACATCCCTGGTTAATCTAATTGAAAAGTGTTCTTCTTCAATTTTTAAATTCCGTTCTTTTCCTGACAATTAATGAGGGCCCTGTTGCTGTGATGTCATTTCAGGAAGGCACTGTTCAGTTTAGGGGTTTTCTGTTCAAATTGTGAACCCAAAGTTTGCTAATTGAAAACTTTGGGTGGGAAAACTTTGCCCTTAGCCTACTGTCATGTACTGAAACAACAGCGAATCGCCAAAGCAAAAAAAGTGAGCAAAATATCGACAATTCTGGCAAATGTTGGTGCTGAAATAGCTGTAACATTGAGGTTTGTGCCTGAAATGACATCACACTTTTGCTCACGAATATGCAAATTTGCATGAGCTTAAAAACCAAAAAGGTTTCAAAATGCTCATACAAATGGCAAAATGAAAATTGAAAATAAGGTTGAATGGGAAGAAAGGTGGATTAAGGAGGAATGCATTAAAAACAATATTATGGACCCTTTTGTCACCGCGCTCACAGAGAAATACTAGGTCCATACTCTTGGGACTTCCTGTCAAAAGTTTTCAAGGAGGATTAGGGCCGTCCACATGATCATTTTGAGGACACTTTGTATGCAATGGGCGATGCTGAACGTCATAATTTTGAATATAAATTACGTCACAATTTATTAAAGAAAAATCGATCCGATCGTTTGGTTTACAATATTAATTTGTCAAGAACACAATATTTTTTTGTCAAGAACACCACTACAATAAGGCAATCGAAACAGATCGACTCACACAAACAGTAAACACTAAGCGAGACCAATGTTCCAAAATGTATTCAAAATTGCACTTTGTAAGATGTGTATTACCGTATAGGAGCGGCCACCCCTGAAGTGAAAAGTGTAGAAATCCTTCACGTCCACGGATTGAGAGTTGATTGGCGGCTCCATAGAATCGTCATCGTTGATTGGTGATGGGGTGTAGTATAGGGGGGCGGGATTCAAAGGCGTCTTATCAGAATGTTTCTCCATATTGGCTTCCTGGTGACGCAAAGGATCGTAAATTTATATACTGAACCAGGGAGGAGGTAATGATCTGGTTCCCCATTATACACTGGGCAATCTGACACTGGCTGACAAATCAAATAAGGATATGTGTCCTGGTGTCACGCTGGAGGCAGGCCGGATTCATCAGGCACATGATCCCTGTACACTTACTGAGAGGCTTCCTTCATTATGGGGAAAGCATTGGCAGCCTATTGACAATATTGTACAAAGGATTCGTCGTTGAAAGCGACCTTCGTGATAGAATTTATTGTATCCGGATTGGGCCATGTCAGCCATATGGTTGCGAAGGGCGATTTCTAAAGATTACGTAACACTTTATTTTGAATGAAACTATACATCGTCACCGACACCACGAAGTAACACTCCACCGTGTTAAACCATATTTTTTTCGATTTTCAGTTTTTTTTTATTTTTAAACATTATTCATCAAGGCCTACCATTGCACGAAGTTTCAAAGCTTCAAGTCTTTACTTTAATAATAACGCTAATTATCCATGGCAACTTTTGCGCAAAAGTGACAATTTTCGTTTTCACGAAGTGACACTCAAGTTCCATTTACAATTGCAATGCATGGCGCACACTCTGCTCAAAAGTGAGCTAAAACGTTTCCACGAAGTAACACTCTCCTTGTATGAGCATGCGCGCGCTGACCTGAAGTTGCACTTTCCTCGTGTTAGGCCTATATACATTGAAGAGTGTTACTTCGTGAAAACAAAAATGTACAGTTTCGCAGCTTTTTCGGTTTCACGAACTAACACTCACCTTTTCCCCTTATGTCTTGTTGATTTAATACACAAACGGGTGAAAAACAGCAGATTTAATAAATTCAATTCATCAAGTGTCCACAACGAGAAACCCAACTGAAAATACTCTGCCGTTTTGAGGCAAAGTGTTGTTTTAGAAGGCGTTCAACTTTAGATGCCGTTTTCTCCGATTGCTAGTTTTTACTGGTATGTACATGGGTGTTACTTCGTGGTGTTGCTGACGACATGTGCACACAGCACAGATCGACATGTTCACGTTGGCGGGTGAAATCTTTGAAAATTATTTCTCCAGTTTGGAAGATTGAATCTTCATGCAACTTTCATGATTTATTTCCCCTATAATGATCCAAGTATGTGCTAAAAGCTGTTGTGATATGTTTATTACTTTTCGTTGAAATTGGAAAAATAGGCCTCGCTACAGTGCAAAAATTGTAACACTGGCGTGCGCAATATCTATCTCTTTTCAGGCCTCACGAATAATTATGAGGTTCCTATAACGGTGTGCAGTTAACAATTGCATAAAAGCCTCCTTCACGAGTTGTTAATTAACAAATATCTCCCTTTCGCCGGCTTCCATTGGTTTGCCGTAGCAACCATATGGATGATGTAGCCTGGCTCTTCGACTCTCGATCCAACTAAACAGTCCGGCCGGGATCCAGGGTTGTCCAAGGTTTTTTTTTCAAGGTGGCCGGGGTATATGCCTACAATGTTAGGCGTTGAAAAGCGTGACGGCATAAAAATACCAAAGGCCTAAAACAATGAATCAAGATTTGCCACATTGAGCGTTGACGTTATGCAGGGAACTAAGGGACCTTATTCGGTACTTTTTTTTTAGGTTATGTAAATAATCAACATTTATGGTCAGTCGGGAGGGGGACGGGCGTTGGGGGTTATTAACCCTGCAACCACCCATCTTGGTCGCGCCCCTGCTAAACCGGTTTTTTTTTTTTCGCCGACCTGGGGCTCGCAGCTGCATATGCGCTCCGATTATTTTCAACCGCGACAATTATTGCTAATTAGTCATTGGATACGTTGGGCCAAAAAAAAAAGTCTCCGGTTTCTGGTATGGAGCTTGTCCAAAAAGTGGTGCGGCGACGCGGCTTTTTTTTTTTTTTTACCTGCTTTTTTGCTTCAAATGTCGACTGATGACTGCAAATGGTGCCCGACTAAACTTAGTGCAAATAAATATATAGGAGTCCTGAGAGGCCACATAAAGCTTATTCTCGATCATAACCCCATCTAAAAACACGTTAAAATTGTGCAGCAGCAGGATTCCAGTCAAACCAGTGAGTTTGGCGGTTTTGAGACATCATCTTTCATTGAAAAAAAACTTTTTCATTTTGCCGACGCGCATGGCTACGGCGACGCGCGCGCATACCAGAAACCGGAGAATTTTTTTTTTTTGGCCTTGAAGAGCCACGGTCGAACGCCTGATATATCCAAATTGTGTGAGACCCCGCGCGCCAGCCAATTGGAGTCGACCTTATAAACTGTGACATCAGTTCAATCAAAAATGTGAAGTAAGCTGTTGATTGATCAATTTGGATGCCACGTTTTTGTAATGCAACAACGGCCTATACGAAGACTAATCCGATATTATAGAAGGGGCCCGATGAATAGTCAGAATCTTCAGGTCAGGTCAGAAGACGCAGTCTTTTTTGCATCATTAATCACCGAAACAACTCGCATATCATAGACCTATAGTAAAAAGTACCAACCAATAAATTCATTATTATACACGCATGCGAAAGCCGGCCATTGAAAATGCGCAGGGGTCCAAATATTCGCGTCATTTTTTTCTCTCAATTTCTCCAGGATTGTCGCTTTTTATTTTATTTAGAAAAGCCCCTAAAATCGTCATAGGCATTACTTTCTGGCCCAAGTTGTTTTTTTTTTTTTGGGGGGGGGGGGCACAGAACAGAAACTTAAAAATTGCTTTCGTTGCGTGCGCACGAGGCCCGAGGGCGAAGGAGATCGGCAGGGCTCCTTTTTCGCACGAGTGGAAAACTAATAACCGTGTGCTTCGGGGTACCCATCCATCAAATTTCGGGCCGAATCGCGGTGCTGAATCGCGCCATGGCTTCACCATCAGTGGACCGCTTTCGGCGCTTCTTTCCGCCAGGCCCATTTATGCGCATGCGTTCATAATTAATAAATTTATGAGTAAACTAAGGTCCATTCCACAGACTAACATTAGCTCCGGGTCCAACTCTGGACAGTATGGCCGACAGTCGAAATCGTATCCAACAAAAATGGGGGATTTTAAGCCAAAAAAACCCTAAAGTTGAAAAGAAATCACATTGTAAAACATTTTTTTAAATAAAAAAAGCAGAGCCATTCTCAAATTTAGATGTTTGTCATGCTGGTCGCCAATCCAGGGTAGTTGAGATTTCCGTTGTTTCTGTTTCACGCTGTTTAGGTATGGAGTTACACAAGCCTATAAAGGCCCAACTGCCCAAAAAAAGGTTTCATTTAGAAAGATCTGATAACAGGAAGCTGTTGTCCCACATCGACCTAGGTCAAAGTTCTGTGACAGATCACATGTAGTTCGTCAGAACACACGATAACAGTTATAGGCGCACTTCATTGTCAACAAGTTACAACCACTTGACCGTCAAAAGGCATCACAGTCACCACCTTGTGCTACAGGGTCGGCAATAAATTGCAGCAATGCCTACAGAACATTCAGGTACTAATTTGGCCTTTTTCGCAGTTAAATATTCAGAATTTTGCCTACTCTCTTATATGTTTCCAAAGTGAAAATTCACTCCATCCGACTGACAATATAGGGATTAGACGATTTAGATTGAAATTCATTCAAACGAAAAAATCGGTTTTTCACTCGTCTTTCGTCTGACATGTTTCTTGCAAAGAGTATAGTGAATGTGATTTTCACTCTGAATCGTATATCCTCGATTGTTCGAGGAAACAGCTAGGATGTCAGCCCACTGCAGTTACGGTAAAATCCTCATTGAGAACGCAGCCACTGAGTTCAAACATATTCACACTCTCTTCCTGCTTGGGGTAGGCCTATATTGTCCATGTAGATCGTGTACGTTTCCGCTTTCGGTTTAGACGACGGGAGTGATTAGTTTTGGTTGCATGATTTCAAGATCACATGACCAGAATTTGTCACAAATGTAATGTGTATTGTCAAAATGTATGAGCATTGCATTTTTCTCTCAAGTGTCATGTTATGTCTTTAGTTATTCACTTTAGGTTGTTCAATGAATGGAAAATAGCTAATAGTACACTTGAAATACACGTGTTATTGAAATTCATTTATTCCACAATTTGTTTCAACATACTTATTTGATGCCAAGTATTAGTATTGAGAGGCATACCGTATATACATTTACAAATGTGTTTAATGTACCATAATATGGTACATGTAGTGTGAGGACCAGACGTTTGCGTGTGCATAGCTATGGTTATATACGCTTCAGTGATTTAGTTGTTAAATTTCATATCATAGAATTAGTATAGACCCAGTCAGCGCGCCTTTACTCCAAATTCCAATTGCAAAGTGGAAGTATAGGTCGAAGGCATAGGGCCAAATCGTACAACTTGATGCTTTTTAATGTTTTGAACCGCTGTGGAGAAAACAAATTAAATGTTGAAAACGATTCTAGTAAAGTTAAATAAACTCACCGTTTCTCCGTTCCGATCCAATTTGACGTGCTTGCGTAAAACTACTAGTCTATAGATTATACTTCAGGCTCCCGTGCCGCGTAGTTTTAAAAATGTGCACCTGGGAAAATGTAGAAATCCTACCGGTATTGATGGTGATGTACATGAACGTCTCATCACATGACTGCTGTTACAAAGGCTCAAAGATCGGTGAACAACAGACCGGGAACATGTGACCAACTTGACTGCTAGATCCCGTGACTACGTCACTAAATAAAGTACGCCCACTACAACAAACACGGCGCAGTAGAGCATGCAGATCAGAATTTGTATAGTTGCTATACAAATTATTTTGCTGTGTACCGTTAATTCACCGTGATCAAAGTATAGTACGTGTTGCATCAGCGGGTCGATTATTTACTCTGTCAAAATGCAGACCAGGAAATACGTCGCAATGTGCTTTTCTTCCTTATTATCAGGGATCATCTTTGGATTAAAATATTTTGACACATGTACTATAGGCGTTTAACTGATACGTTTGTTTTAGTGTGATCTAAAGTACAAGTGGCCCCGGCCTGACCTTAAGAGTTTGATTTTTGCTTTACCTAACGGAAAGTTATTGGGGTGTCGGCTTTTGCCCGGTACATGAACAGGATCTATCTTGGCGTAATCCTTGCTTGAGGGGGGTCTATACCCGATCGCTGTTCCCGCACTACATGTACCTATATGCTCCCCAAAATCCTATGGGGAAAAAACAAGAGAAGTTTAATTTTAATTTGAGCCATATATATACACAAAATAAGCAATAATATCAAAAGAGCAGTGGGCGGGAAACCATATCGTCTGAAGGGGGGGGGGAGTTGTTCGCATTTTGAAAATAGTTACCAAGCGTTCATGAAAAGTTTGCTTTCACAAAAGAGATCGTGACATTGTGTCCAAAAGACTGGTTCAACAAAACATGGTATATTTTATCTGAAAATTAACTGGTGTGGGCTTTTTATAATAATTTTGTTTTGTGAGCCTATCCTTCCCGTACCGCGAGCACAGAGATTGGTTGATCACAAAAACGTGGTTTTGTATAAATCTCAAATAGAAGTCAAGTTACTTTGATTGACAATTTTGAACTGGTGTTAGCATAAAACAGTGAATCTTTGCGTTGTGAGCGGAGGCGCCCGTACATGGATGCGGCAAATTTTAGATTCGGAGCATAATAATGTGTCGCGTCTGAGTCGTGCGTGAGTCCGATTTCGACATAATACATGAGAACCTTGAAAATGGATTTCATTTTTGTAAAATTAAATGTTGGTCTTTAAAACGGATAAGACTCACGTTCATTCTACTTGTTTATTTTTTCTTTTGTCGGCAACAAATAGGGAGAGGACGGAATCGCACAAATGAATGGGCAAAGTTTCACAACATCAGTTTTAGCCTCAAAAATGTGGAAATCTTGGCCGACAACACTGGTTTTGACCCAGAAAATGAGGTCTTTATAGCAAGTTTGAGTGGAGGACTAAATTTGGATATTAGCATTCTTTTTGCTTTATCGCATTAACTTCCTAAATATTAAACAAGAATATGCGGGGATAGTATAATGAAGAATTTGATCCACAGTGAACCCCACTTTCCAACCGATCTTTGGCATATTGAAATTGGACTTGGCGATTCAAATGGTAATTTAAATCAGTAAAACGGGTTTACTGTTTGCGGCTATACGGCTTTTCGATAAAACGTAGCACCGCTGCGCGACCAGACAGCCGTGTGGTTGCGAAGGCCTTAGCGTTATAAAAGAGCAGTGAAATTCATGCAGCCCAAAAACATGGCCTTTTGAACGCTGTGATGTGATTCTCAGAAAATATGCTCAGTATGATTGAAATGTTAAATTGTGAGGGAAGAAGAAATTCTAAACTTTATGTCAGTGAAAAAAAAAATCGCCGTCTTCGATGCCGAAACGTCAATGCTGGTCATGGGCGTCGCGAGGGGGGGCAAGGGGGGGGGCACTTGCCCCCCCCCCCCTGGAAAAGCCAAATAAAAAAAAAGGAAGAAAAAAAAAAGAAAAAAAAGAGGCGCGAAGACAAAGTGGTGTAAATTTAATGAGTTGGGGAGGGGGGGGGCAAAATGTCCCTGCCCCCCTCTAAAACTGATAAATCGAGAATGTGTTGAGAAATACAAGCAATTTTTGGCACAAAAAAAAAGTGCCCCCCTCTAGAAAAAATCCTGGCGACGCCCATGATACTGGTTACTGGTAAAGCTGACCTCAACGTCGGGTAGAAATCGTTCGAAAACGTCCCCAAATCTATATGAATTTATCTCAATATCTAGGAATCTCCTCAAGTTGTTTTTTTTCACCGAGTAGTTGACATAAATAAATTGATTGGACACAAGTGATCTTTGCACAGGTACTGGATTCACCCAAGTCGTCAAGCAGCCGACTCGCAACTCAGTGATTCTCGATAAGATTATCACTAACATTGCCAAACATTACCACACTCCAGAAACTAGCTCCCCAATCGGAATGAGTGACCATTCCACAATCATCTGGAGCCCAAAGTCGCGACATGCCCGAAATGCAACTAACACTCGGATTGTCCGCCCAATGAAAGAGTCTGCAATCCGTGATTTCGGTTCATGGATTGTCAACCATGACTGGGAAGAGGTTTACACCAAGTCCTGTGTTACAGACAAGTGCTCAGCTTTTTATGATACTCTACAAGGAGCTATAAACTCCTACTTTCCAACCCAATCCATCAAAGTTCATTCCCAAGATAAACCATGGATGACAACGTACATTAAAAACGTCATTCTGGAAAGACAGCAAATATTCCACACTGAACATCGTTCCCCAAGATGGAAGCAGCTTCGCAACAAGGTGAGGCGCATGATAGGCAAAAACAAGAGAAACTACTATACGAATCGCGTACAGCAACACAAGAACGCTAATCCTGCTGAATGGCATACACATATTCGCACTATGTCAAATATGAGTAAAAAACATACCATCATTAACCCCCCTCCTGGTGTTAATGTACACAACTCGGAGGATGTCGCGAATTGCATCAACGACCACTTCGTCTCTATATCGAGTCACCTCAAACCACTCGAAACTGCTTCATTGCCAGCCTACTGTCCAGACCCTCAACCTGACCCAAGAGTACTGAACTATCAAGTCTACGCAGTGCTCAAGAAGACCAAATTGGGCAAATCTGCTGGTCCAGATGGTGTCCCCACCAGGATAATTCGTGAGTTCGCTTGTGAGCTCACTGGCCCTCTAACAGACATACTTAACAACTCGTTTAGCGAAGGAGTCGTCCCACAACAGTGGAAAAAAGCAGTCGTGGTTCCCACCCCTAAAACTACACCAGCTACTTGGGATAAGTTGAGACCCATATCATTGACTGATCACTTCGCTAAGGTGGCTGAAGGATTCATCGCGGATTGGCTATTGGATGACATCAACAGCAAGATTGATCCAAACCAGTACGGCAATCGTAAAGGAGTATCCACGACTCACTATCTGGTGAAACTGTTGGACACCCTTCACAGAAATGCAGATAAACCGGGTACTATGAGCACAGTAGTAGTAACAGACTTCAGCAAGGCCTTCGATTCAGTGCACTTGTTGCCTGCAACCTCAACACTTTGGCTGAAAGGAGGGAGCAGATGTGCATGAAATTCTTCCAATCGCTGATTGCATCCAAACACTACAGCAGCTGGCTTCCGCCAAGTAGGAGGAATGTTCATCATAGAGACCTCAGAAACTGCAACAAATACTCCCTACCTCTTTGTAAGACTAAGCGGTACCAAAAAAGCCCAATTGTTTACATGACAAAGATTTGGAATGAAAACCACTAATATTAACTAACTTGTGGGTCTGACCTCTAGCTGCAATCCTGAATTTTTATGCATTTGTGTTTATGTCGATTTTTTTTTTCTTTTGTAACATTTGAGTGTTCCCCGTTGTTTTTCTTTACCTTTGACCCCTCCCTTCCACAATCCTGTTGTTCACATAACAACCTCCCTTCCCATGCCTTCCATCCCCATGACAACTTCCCTATCCTACTTGTATCAACCTCTGCCCCTGTGTACACCCAACCTTTCCACCCTCTTTTCCAAACCTTTTTTTCATCCTGTGCGGTTCTACAGCCTGTTTGTACACAATTTTAAAAAGGAAGCCTGGTTTTTATTGCATTTGAATTTCACTAAACTGTTTCTCTCGATTTTTACTGTTTGTTTTGTATCTGTGTACTTTAATACCATACATGTTTTCCCAGCTCCATTCCCCTCAACCCGTCCCTATCACTCCCTCCCTTCCTATGCCCTTTCATGATGGTTATTCTTTAAATCTCTGTGTAATTTTTTTTTTTTATGTAACTATTCTGCAATTCCGCTGCTGGCGGCGATAGAATAGAATAATAAACCATTAATAATAATAATCATGATAAAATAAACAAGTCATCATAAGTATATAGCTTAGTGGGAAGAAGGAAGTTTATAGACACCTTTAATTACTTGTGTACGTAGTTACGAGCAATATTGGCCGGTATAAATGGCGGCACTAATTCGCATAAAACAATGCGTGAGACATTTTTGAATTTTTTAAAAATATCAAATCGTTTTCTACGCATTTTTTTCTGATCTAGAGACGTCGATTAGAAGTTGTTCCGATAGCCCCTTCTTTCGGATTCCCCGGCCACCCATACTTTTAGCGCGCCCTCATCTGTCGTTATTGTGCCAATTTGTCGAATGACGTGGAGAAGCCATACGTGTCTGCTGCTAGCTTGCATGCCGAAGTTGGCAACTTGGATTACTAAATTAGCGAGATTTCTGATTATTTGTTCGTAAGAGGGTGCAGTCTTTGATAAAACAATGCATATGCTAAGGAGGGACAAGAAAGACGAAGAAGATGGTGAGATAACTTCCGATAATTTAGCGCGTAATTGTTACGCCATTTATTAGCGTCTGGTCGTGTTGCCCACTTTCCGGACTAGTAATGACATGTCATGCATGTATGACAGGCCTATAGTATTGGATCATGTAGTTACGGGCCCCTCTTTGACTTTTTAGATTCGATCAAAATATTAGTTTACTGTAGTCAAGGGTGTTTCTAATTTAGTAAAAACTTCAATATTTTTCTAGCAAAATGTTACTTTTTAGGACATATCACTTTCTGATGGCTGACACTGTGACAGGTCACTGAAGGGAAAAATTAGCGATGGGCAGATATGGGAATCTTTCCGAGAAACATTTCCGATTTCCAATTTTTAAATTTTTTTTTTTAAATATTTTTATTCATTTATTTTGGCAAATACAAACAAACATAAGGTGGTACATAAAAAAGAACGTATTACATGTAAAAACAAAGCCAAGGATAACCCCAAAAAGCTGTATATAAGACGGCTTATTTCCATCCAGGGTCCTTAAAAACACACACAAAAATTACAAGTACATATTAAAAAGTTCAATAGAATTACACAGGAAATAGCAAAGAATAATCATCAAAGAATGATCATTAAAAACTCAGCCGCTTAAAAAAAAAGACAGTGGATATTTAGCAAATTTTAGTCTGGCTCCATGCCAACATTATCGTTGTAACTTCGTATTCACAAGATAGGAATCAGACCATTTTACAATTTCGGACTTTATTTCCCTTTAAAAAGAATCCTCCAGAGCCACAAATCTGAAAAAGAAAATGTTTGAGACATGTTAAAATTATAAAAGAAGAATATTCTTATTTTTTTTGGAAAAACCTTAAAAATGTCCCCAGCGGGGATCGAAACCCGGGTCATCCCGCTCATGAGATCATTTGCTTATCCACTAGACCACGGTGCTACACAACCGTTGGTGGTAATTTAATATATCTTATAATTCAGCCCTATCTCAGAGAGTACGGCGCCCTCTGTTGATAGGGATTGCCGCCGGCAAACCTTTAGTAAACGTTAGCTTGCCGGCATTACCGCTGGCAAAATATCCACTATCTAAAAAAAAATGACTGAGAAGAGAGATGCTCCTTCATTGCCCTTTTAAATTGAGGATGATTGTTGGAACATTTGATGTTGTTGGGAAGTACATGTAAATTCTATTCATGAATTCCGGTATAAAATAATGTAGTTCACTCTTGCCCTTTTATTCTTGAAACAACAAAATTGGTGGAACTGCCCCAGGTAGAATAATTATGCATGTCTGAAACTTTCCTAAATTTATGACAGAGGTAGTCTGGTGCCAATTCATGAAAACTTTTATAAGCATGATTCCGCTTGAGTTCAGAAATACTCAAAAAATGTTCTTGACTCTCCACAGACTCTGTACACAACCGCTGAAAAAATGGCTTTGACCCAGTCCTAAAGCATAATTTTCTCAATCAATCTTTTTTTTGTAATTTGGAACAGTTTGTTGGGGTAGAAATTACAACTTTTGTACGGGGTTTACATCATTCATTGAAATTGACCTTCATTGAGATGATATATGAAGAAAAAAGCAGCATCATCAGGTTGCAACATTTTTTCCAGAATTCCATATATGGCCATCACTCATTTTTCCCTGCAATGACCTATCAACCATCAGAAAGCGATAACATTTCCAAAGAAGTCAAATTTGGCAGGGAAAATGTTGAAGTATTTATTGGAAACAAACACTTCCTGACTTCTATCTAACGTCTAGTGTGATATACGGGTAAAAGGGGAATATTCGACCACATAAGGAAAACTTGCACTGCCTAGTGTAAATAATAAAGAGTGAGATCGTAACCATAATCACTAATGACATGATCATGTACTTACTGTGTGTGCAGTACAGCATCAATAAGGGAATAACAGTGTGAGGAGCCGGTCTTCACTGCGTGATAATGACCGGGTGTGGGGGTGACCGCTGTTAATGGACCGAGACGAAGTCGAGGTCCATTAACAGCGGTCACCCCCACACCCGGTCATTATCACGCAGTGAAGACCGGATCCTCACACTGTTATTCCCATTAATAAATACCTTTATAACGAAATAAACAGTTAAAATGCTCCAATTTTGTGACTTTCTTTCGGCGATATTTCCAGACTTTTTTGTGTTCATGTTCATGGGCCATATTTTAGCTTAACAGCTATAACGACGTAAACTCAAACGAAACTGCTGCCGTAGCGAAACAAATTACAACAATGTATATCTTTACCTGATGGAGGAAGCTGAAATCTTGTTTACACATTCCTTGTGTCCGGAATTACAAAGATGCTTGGTTTAGGAAAGGTAAATATGTCGGTGGGTGAAGTGTTCAAAGAAAATAAATCGTAGATCTATGCTTTCGTCGTAAACATCCTCAGTATATACTGCACTGCTGTACGATGTCGTTTCAAAACTTCCTTACGCGCACGCACGCACGCATCCCTAGCAACTGTGTTGCGTACGCGCGCGTCAGTCACGCGATGGGGGTTGAGCGCATGTGCAGTGCTCAATTGTTAAAAGCTACCGCAGGACTGTTACTATATTTTGACCAATCATTGGCTTGCATGGGGCTGAACGGGGCTGGATCAATGCTGGTTCAGGGGCCATTTATTCGCTTGATCTTTGAAGCCGGTCCATTATCACTGTTAATGACCGGCCACGTGATCGAGTCTCGACCAATCAGAAACCATCAACTCTCCAAGGTATTTATTAATGCTATATAAAATATTGTATTTATGCCGCCAACTAGTTTGGTAAGTCAAATAAATTAAAGGGAATGTACAACATTTGCTTTTGCTGCAATTTTCAGAAATAAATGGATTTTGAGGAATAGTATGTTATAGCAAATATTGTTAAATTGACTTGCTTCACGTTTTGGGTTCGGAGATGCTAGAAAATCCAAGAAAACCAACCATGTTCTTGTAGTCTGGTTCCCTGACCCCACTTAAGATTAAACAGAGAAATGTATAGACTTTGGGGAATTGTTAGGTCAGAGAATCAGTCCAGCAGGATTGTACCATTTCACAGGTGTGTAAACAATTGCAAAGAAAATGCGGAATAACTGAATATGAAAAATTAGAAGCAGTTTTTGAAAAAAAAATCAGTTTTCTCCAACGCTGGTCGGCCAACCAGCATTGGAAAAATACAAGTTTTCTTGAAAACATCAGCACACCAGGAGCCAAGATTTTACAGGATGCTTTAGAATGTCATTCTCTAACAATCCAGTAAGATATTTTGTGATAATTTGATCATTTCGTTTTGCGATGTTTGCAAATGTTGTATCTTCCCTTTAAAAGTGGATTACAGCAGTTACTGCACTCATACTGGGACAGGCAGCAGTGTTGACTTAAGTTTTTACTAAGGATGTGAATCTACGTTTAATTTGATAAACGTTTAGCACAATTTTCCCGTAGCGTTTAAACGTTTAAACGTTTAGTCAAGACTTCAAAAAGACTGCCGCCTGTGTCCCAGTATAATGTGCCATAACTGCGGTCACATTTATATACACTTGTATACACTTTAACCACCTTTTTATGCCCCGCGGCGAAGCCGAAGGGGCATACTGTTTCCGCCTTGTCCTTCCGTGGGTGGGTGGGTGGGTGGGTGTGTGGGTGTGTGTGTGGGTGGGTGGGTGTGTGGGTGTGTGTGTCCGGACAAATCTTGTCAGCGCGATAACTTGAGAAATACTTGACATATGAACTTCAAATTTGGTTTGTGGATTGTTCTTGGTAATCCTAAGAAGCCTTTCGCATTTGGAGCCAAAAGGCCAAAGGTCAAGTTCACAGTGGCTAAAACAATAGAAATCTTGTCAGCGCGATAACTGGAGAAATACTTTACATGTGAACTTCAAATTTGGTTTGTGGATTGTTTTTGGCAATCCTAAGAAGCCTTTCGCATTTGGGGCCAAAAGGCCAAAGGTCAAGTTCACAGTGGCTAAAACAATAGAAATCTTGTCAGCGCGATAACTTGAGAAATACTTTACATGTGAACTTCAAATTTGGTTTGTGGATTGTTTTTGGCAATCCTAAGAAGCCTTTTGCATTTGGGCCCAAAAGGCCAAAGGTCAAGTTCACAGTGGCTAAAACAATAGAAATCTTGTCAGCGCGATAACTTGAGAAATACTTTACATGTGAACTTCAAATTTGGTTTGTGGATTGTTCTTGGCAATCCTAAGAAGCCTATCGCATTTGGGGTCAAAAGGTCAAGTGTCAAGTTCACAGTGGCTAAAACAATAGAAATCTTGTCAGCGCGATAACTTGAGAAATACTTAACATATGAACTTCAAATTTGGTTTGTGGATTGTTCTTGGTAATCCTAAGAAGCCTATTGAATTTGGGGCCAAAAGGTCAAGGGTCAAGTTCACAGTGGCTAAAACAATAGAAATCTTGTATTTATTCTGAGATTATAGGGATTAGGGATTAATTCATATAAAACCTACAGAAGACACTAATGCTGTCAATGAATGTTCCATGTGACCAAGGTACATGTAAGTTGATGTTAAAAGAGTGGTGTTATGTCATGGGAACAGTCACGGTTGCGGGGCATTTGTGTTTGTAAACACACCTGACTTGTTTTCCCCATGTTCTGTTGAAGTCTGCAGGCTAAATAAATTAAGAAGAAAAGAATCGTCTGCATTTTGCAAGTGTTGTCGAATCAAATGAACATACACTCAAGAAATGTCAAGGCCTGAGGAAGATCGTTTATTTATATTTTTTAAGCCCCAGTTTTCTTTAAAAAAAACCCACACCTTTTATTTAACGGAATGCAAACTGCATCCAAATTCCAAAATATGAAAAACCTTCCCTGCACAAATTTCCCAAAAGCGGCAGCATTCTTGAGCTGCTAGTTATCTGCAGGCTGCCAGAAAAATAGTCGCATATGATTTCTTGCTACGCAACCGGCAGTCCCAGCCCAGGCATCGCAGGGGAGCCTCCTAGCAACATTATTTCTAAGCAACCTGAAGTTGCGCTTGGTGGAAGGAACGTCATATTCATGAAAGCAGACGGACCCGTGATGAAAGCAACCAATGGCGTATTTATTTGCCGGGAACCGGCTCATTTCATTGGCTGAGATACTATCATCGCTGTTTATCATCTAAGAATCTTCCAATTACTGGCGGCAAGTCATCAAAGGATTTAAGGTTCGATGGCCTACAGCTGAACCCAACCGCATATACTTTGTAACAACGAGAGCGGCATTGTATCAATTTGAACAATGCCGCTGTCAATCATTCTCTGGAAGGGCTTTTTCGGAGCTGGATTTTATTTGGGCATTTATTTTTCAAAGGCCCGGGGAAAAGTTTATACGAAAAGTGAGGGAAACTGAAATAAACATGGAATTTCACCCATGTAAAGGCCTGTATCGTGTACATGTACATGAATAAATGATAAATAAATGTATTTTCTTGTGTTGTTGTTGGTTTTTATTCGGGGGGTTGATATTCCAAATAATTAATTGAATGCACGTCTTTTTTAAAACTGGACTGAAGAACAGTAAGGCCAGTATTGCTTGTCCAGATTTTATTCTAAACCAACTTGACAGGGGCCTTTTTTTGACTACTGCGTTACCATTACTTGCCGTTGTGGAAAATGTTAACTGACAAGAATTTTTAAAAAGTGCCCTTACCAATGGGTCTGTATTTTACGTTCTACATGCATCCTTTGGTCGTCAGGCAACCGAATTTAAATGTTTGAAAAAAATAATAAATATCCAACAATTTAATTTTTCGATGTAATTTTTATATACAGGAAGGTTTTTCTGCCAATGATAGCAACATTTAATAATGTTCCTACAGATGTATATTTTTTTTTACGTATCACAATATATTTTCATGGGGAGGGGTGCACTTTTACGTAAAACGAGCAAATAATCTACGTTGATATCGCTCTTTAAAAAACGCAATTTCCTTCCAATAATAGATCCCGTAATATGCCACCGCCCCTCAGCTCCCGCCCTAAGATCCAAAAAGTGGTTTTTATTTTACCCCCGCCAACACCAAACACATTCTGGATCATTGTCATCGATTTCCTTGTTACGGAAGCGGCAGTAATTTTTTTTAAGGGAGCGGCGGACTTTACAGCACTTGGGGGGGGGGGGGAAATAATCCCAATGCATCAAATACATCGTTTTAAATAACGCCTTCACTTGAGTAGCTTACGGGGGAGCAGGGTAAACTTTTTTTCCTCGCCGGTTTTAAAATCATTATGAAAGTGCTAGCCATTGGTTTGATTACTGCACACACCAAGTGATGATTTCAGCAAATACAAGCACATTCAGAGAAAAATACAGAAAAAAGACAGACTCGGAATTGTTTTAAAATTCGGTATTTTAATCAGAATAACCTTAGGAGAGGCGACATCCCCGCCCGGCATCGATCTCGGCCCAGCGGCGTATTGAAAAAATCAAACACAACCAATTGTATACACTGTGTATCAATTTGACACAAAACAGTTGCTGATCATGGAACAATGTATTAATAAAACTTCTTGGAACGTGATCAACTATAAAATGCGTTTCTAATTCTTAATTAGATTCCGATTTCTCCCGCCATACACAGATACTGAGGAACAACTTGGTGGCCAGGGGTCACAGCTCTCGCCAAGTTCATCGTGCCATTGCCAGAGCTAAAGCTATCCCCATAAATCTAGCTCTCACGGGAAAGGCCCCTGATGCCATGGCCAAACCCATGATTCCCTTGGTTACCACGTTTCACCCCAATCTCCCTTCCCTTCGCAAAATCACTAATGACAATCATCATATCCTCCATACTTCAGATCGCCTTGCCCGCGCCATCCCCAACGGCCCCACATTGGCTTACAGGCGTCCTCGAAATCTACGGGACTTGATTGTTCGAGCTGAAGTCCCATCCTTAGATGCATCCCCTCCCACCCAGCATGGTACTTTCAAGTGCAGTTCCAGATGTGTTGTCTGCCAGATTCATATCCAGGAGTCTGACTCCTTTTCTGGCCACTCTTCTGTCACTACCCACAGAACCATTGGTAACATCACTTGTAACACCCCTAATGTCATATATCTTATTTCTTGCAGGGTCTGTGGAGTGCAGTATGTAGGTGAGACTAAGAATACGCTCAAGAAGCGTTTCTATGCCCACCGGTCAACGGTCAACACCAAGAAACTAGACACCCCTGTTGGTCATCACTTCAACCTGCCTAACCACTCCATTTCTGATATGATTTTGCAGGGCATTGAATCTCTTGGCCATCGCAAGGACTCAGTTCGCCTCAGCAGAGAGAAAGTGTGGATGAATCGTCTTCGAACTATTCAACCACATGGTCTCAACATCCAACTTGGAAATGATTAATATTTTTCTTCCTCCATTGTCTTCTGTTACAGATAATCCACCTGGTCTTCATTGTTTGTGTTTCCCCATCTTTCATCCCTTTCCACCTCCATACTGTTCCCCCCCCCCCCCCATAATCCCCCTTCTCTCCCACACTCTTTTGTCCGTTCCCACTCCCTGTGACCTTTGATCCTTCCCCTTTCTGGTCCCTCCCCTGTTCATACCAGACCCCTTGTGGTTTGCCATTTCCCTTTGTTTCTTTGTTCTCTCATCCACCCTCCTCTGCATCTTTCCACACCTTTCCCACCTAATCCTCCTTTTGTGTTTCTTCTTTCATCCCTGCATGTTTGTGTGCACCCCCATGTTAATGTATGTACCTCTGTCATTTCTGTTTTAGCCTCTGAAGAAGAACTTGCTAAGTTCGCAACGTCAGGCCACATTAATTTTTAGATTTCTTTATTAGTTAAACAAAATAAACATCGTAGATTCTTTGTAAATAAAACTGGAGGGGTAGATTGCGCAAAATACAAGGTCCCATTTTGGAAATTTGAGTTCCGTTTAAACGTTTGGGAAAATTTCTAAACGGATTTGATTTTTTTTTCGTTTACACGTTTACACGTGTAAACGTCACATCCTTAGTTTTTACATATTTAAATGCTACGGGAAAGTTTTGCTAAACATTTGTCAAGTTAAACATAGATTCCATCCTTAATTCTGCTACCTCAAAAATGAAAAGTTTGGTTGACTTTAGCACAGAGAGACCCATCGCCAATGTAAGGTAGAGCAGTGTAAATTCCACACTGGTTTGAAAACTCTCATATATTTTCTCAACTTTTTATAGGAGGCTCGTCAAATCCATTTCAGAACATGGAGAAGAGCTCCGTCCTCCAGGAGGTATGTTAACCGTAACCATGCTAAATGCAACAGAAAGCAACAGTGGTACAAAAAGTTGTTGCATATTGTTGCAGTAAGCAATCAACTCAAGTCCCATGCTTGGTTGCATCTTGTTGCAGTTATCAGGGTAAATGCTCATAGTGCCACTTGAGGCTGATACAACAGAATCCACTGTTGCATTTTGTTGCATTTAATATAGCCATGTAGTGCTAAAAATGGTTTTAACCAGTTCATGCCTTTAACCAGTTCATGCCGGTATTATTTTGGCAAGAATGGAACGAGGCATTACTTTTCACTCGACCTCAATCCGGTCGGGTTGAAGCTATCACCCTCGGGAAGCACACTCATATTTCCAGCCTCGCTCCCTGCATGTTTATCTGTCATCCGTTCCGAATACCACAAAACCATGGTGACCGTTTTAGCCGATTTTCGGCTAACTTTGACAGAGTTTTTGTTAAAAAACAAGCTTGACAGAAAATTTGACATAATGGATTTTTTGGGCAGATTTCTGGCAGATTTCTGGCAGAATTCTGCAAAAATGGTTATTTGACAGAAAAACTGCAAAATTGAAGAAAAGGTACCCAAAAATGTACATTTGTTTAAAAAAGCTGTAATCTTTTCAAACAAACCCTTGCATAATGGGACAGGTTGCATTGTGTTTTATTCAGCAGGGTTCTCATTTCAACTCTGTTAGATTTTGTTGCATTTAGCACGGTACTAGAACCAAACCTGATAATAGTGTTCATCTATGCAGAATAAATTTAATGATCAAAACCAATCGGATGAATTCAACTCAATATAGAACAGTGGGCAATTTTTGTTGATGTTAGCAGCAAGTGAGATACAACATTATTTGACTTGTTTGATTCAGTGCGATTCAGCAGGCTCCGCACTCATGTTGTGGGATTTGTAATATCATGAGGCCAAATGGTAGCTACAGAAAGTCTAGAGTTGAAATTCCCCATATTTTTCATTTTTTCCTTGGAACTTGATGTGATGAACTCGACTATGAACATGCAGATACTGTTTGAATAAAGAAAATAGATACAAAATAGTGGAGCGCCATGGTCAAATGGTTATGGTGCTCGACTTATGTGCCGTGTTACGTGGGTTTCGAACCCTAACCCGACATGGTGCTTGTGTTCTTGGGAAAGGCACTTTACTGCAATTACCTCTCTCCACCCAGAAAATGGGTACCTGTGAAGGTAGAGACCAGATTGTGCTGATCTCAAGCTGTTGCAAAAAAAATGGTCACACGGCCTGAAGAACAGGGGTAATAATTCTGAAGCACTTTAAGAGTATGTCCACGAGAGGACCATGCAGACCGTGACAAGGTGGGGGTCGGCGGATTTGGTTAAAATTTGGGGGTAGGTGGGTCATAGGTAGCCTTGAGGTTGTACAAAATATTTGGCCAATCTGACCTCTGTAGCAGAAAAAACAGCCAAAATGTGTTTCTTTTAGTGAAAAATTGGTGTTTTTGATGATTTTGGGGTACAAAAGTTTAAACGCTTGCTGCTGAACAGAGGAAAGCAGCAGAATAATGAAATTTACAGGCTCTTGAGCTTGTATCCTGACCTAAACGTTGGAAGCAAAATTTAAAAAAAAAATTGCTCTTAAGAGGCAACAGCACTAAGGGTACCCCTAAAGTTGAGTCATAGAAATAGCAATCTTTAAGTCGCCGTAGCGTCATTAGTGCAGGTCTTTGAACAATGAAACTCAGGTGAAAGAGAGTTCTTATCATGGTCTTCAAGTATCAATAATAAAAACATTGTCAGCAGTTTTTAGTATGAAATGGCAGGAGCCTGATTTACCCCTATTTTTCGCTAGTAAAGGGACAGGGGAGGGGCATAAAGTGCCCCCCCCCCCCCTTTCTGTATTTTCAAAAGTCGACAACCAATTTTCATGAAAATTGCCACCAAGTTTTATTTTTCCAAGTTGTAAATAATGACGTCAAAAATGTTATAAAAAATCTTCAATAGAGGGCGTTTTTAATGTTTTTTGCACCTATTTGGTAAAAAAATGTATTTCTCACATAATTTCCGTCTTTTTTGCTTGAATGTTATGAAAATGGGCAAAGGTGTATATTTTTTCATGATCAATATAATTAAAACCTATTTTAATACTGGAAACACCATTAGGGGTGCTATAATCCCTTAATTTATCCCATTTTTAGGATGGGGCGGGGTTCACTTTAAATCAATATGGCCGCCACCTTTCAGAGTCCAGGATGGAATGTAAACCCTGCCCGATTTGTGGCAGAGGGAGTCCCCACAAATGTTCCTGTACTCAACACACACTTGTCTTTTTGTTAACAGAAGTATCCCCCAATAATCCTCTAAAGAATTCCCAAAATTACCAGAACACAATGAAGACACAATGGGGGTGGGGGTACACCCTGCCACATATCGTGCACCAAATGTTGGAATGTTGAGGCTTGGATGACAATTCTGTTATTTTTTTGGCATGTTAATGTAACCCGGAAAATTAATAAACTTGGAAAATAATAAATTGAATGAGAAAAACGCTAAATGTTGGGGTACTCGCTGTCAAAAATGAGATAGACCTAGATGGGGTAGGAACAAGTAGAGAGGAATTTGAATAAATAGAAACAATGACAAACAAATTTTTGGAAAGACAAAATAAATAAAAGATTTATTTTACCAACCAAAATTTGAAGAAAACCATTAAAAAAAACCCCAATAATCAAAAGGATCCAAATTAACTTTTTCACAAACCTTAAACCTGTTATTCCCACAACCAAATAAGAAAAATGGTAGTACTACAGTCGACTTATGTTATAAAGAGCACTTGTCCTTTTATAGCAACGTTTCTGTTTAAAGAGGTAGTTTGGGCGATCTCACCGACCTTGCTATAACGAGAGTCAACTGTACAAAACTAAATTGAACTTTAAACTTAAATGGAGGTTGAAAGAAGAAAACTGAACCAACACAGTATCAAAATAGACTGACACATGGAACGACCTAACGATCAAACTCGAAGAAAAAAACCCAATTGAATATAAATAAAAAAAATCTTTTTCCTTTTTAAATTAACTCAAACTGAAACTACTAGACCCACACTTGGATGCTTTTTCCAAAGATAGGAAAAAAAGGTAACTGTATAATCCATACAAAGTCTGACATTAAAAAACGAGAACAGTCACTGTCTTCCAATAACAAACCATGATAACCCTTTGTTTAAACACAAAAAAAGGTAAAGGAAGAGAACTTGGATCCACTACTGCAAAAATGTTGGTAAAAAAGGATGTAAATAAAAGGAAAAAAATGAGAAATAAAAATAGATGATAAAATTAAAAACATCCTATTGTTTAAAAAAATGTATTTAATTTGACCCTCCAGTTACAGGCTGAAAACATCAAATCTAAGATGGTTGCCGGATGTAGCGGCCATTTTGAATTTCTAAAAGGCATTAAACACTATCATGTGACTCATCACTCTCTCTTTTCAGGGGAAAAAAAGGAAAATTCTTTTTAAAATTCAATAAATTCACTAAAAAACATTTACAAAAACATATGACCAAAAGACCCTATTTATTTTTTGGGAAGTCCAAAAATTATTCGGTGATCAAATGCAGTCATTTACAAAAACATACATGTATGACCTAACGACCCTATTTATATTTTGGGAAGTCCAAAAATTATGCGGTGATCAAATGCAGTCAATAAAAAAATACAAGTAAAAATAAGGTGGGGGAACATTGTAGTTCTAGTAGCCTCCTATCGGTTAAAAAAGATACCGGTTGAAATTTTGATTGCCCGTTTTACCTAGGCAGTCTCAATGCAATTCAGAGGAAGCAAACCTCTCACACTCTACGAAACTTTAAGCAAACACAGTTGGTATGTTGCCCAAGACTGGTCAAAATATCAACAGGTTAAATAGTTGTTTCAAAATGTTGTATATTTCGTCCCAAAAAATATGTGAATAGTTGTGGTAAGTGCTGACCAATTCTATAATGCTGTACTATCCTGATTTTTTAGTGAAGATGACCATTTCCTCAGGATTAGAGCCAAGTAACCGAAATTTGCGCTTAGTTATGTCATTACATGTAAACTCAAAAATCCTAATTTATGTCATCTTTCTGACCCCCTCTTCCAAGCGATTTACCCTTTTTGATTGGTGTGGACCACTGAGTAGCTATAAGTGCAAGCTTTTGGATGTTTTAAGTGGTCAGGCCATAGTGTGTTTGACCCAAAGATTTGATAGCGCCCTGGACACAAGATGGATCACTAACCCCAAAATGTGCGTCAATGATTAAAGTACATGTATGCACTGGACGCCATTTTAGGAAGCAAAATTATTGATAAATGCACTCCACGTTTACACTGACGACTTGAAAGCTGTCGGGAAATTGCATGATGATGTGTAATTTGGTTTGTGCGCTGTTTCTGCATAATCGATGAATAAAACCTGTCGCTGCTTACAAGAATGGCAGCAAAACACACTTCGCATGTATGTGTCAGTTATCCATCTTGCAACTACGGCGCTATACCATCTTTGGTTGGACCACGCATGGTAAAGCCCCATGCTGCACAGCTACGGTCCTCTTGAAAATAAGGCTAGTCAAAAACAAAACAAATACAACAAGATTTCACTTTAACTGAACTAAAAACACAAAAGTGACAGTATTTTTTTTCTTATTTACATGATCATGTACATGTACATGTATTGTGCAAAATAACATTTGATCTCCTTGCACATAACATTGGACCTCCTTGCACAATATACGAGTATGTAAATAAATAAAATAAATTGTCACCATTGAGTTATTAACAAAATTAAATGAAGTCTAGGTGTTTATTTTGTCTTCTGATTGCCTTTTTTAAATTTTAACCTTCACACCAATGTGTGGTAATCACTGAGTATACATGATACAATAATGCAAAAAATCATAGAATATCAATCAGGGACATCAGGTTTAGATCACTGCCTCAAAGCTCACACTGCTTCTGTACAGCATCCATGAGAAGCTGTCGTTCAACCAATTCTACAGCATTATTTGTCACATCAGTCCAGCCCTTAGGTGGCAGTGTCCCTGATTTGTGTAGGGCAGCAAGACGTGAAAAGTAACTGGCTATCTGCTGGGCAGTCAACCAATCATCTCTCTGGAACTGACTTTTGAAGCGCTGGGAAACAGTTTGTGGGTTTTCTTTTTTTCCTGTGTTAACACCAACCATGAATTGGGCAAGCAAAAAATCCTTGACTTGCTGCGAGAACCTCTTCTTCGCCTTAGACACTTTGCAAGCCCATCCAGATTGGATTGCCAGGGACATGGAGGCTGAAGGTGCTTCTTCTGATCTCACCATCACACCACCTTGACTCGAATGAGAGGTGCCAGCTCGCATGTCACCAATCTTTTCAGCCCACTGACGTGCAATCTGGTCATAGCGAGATTCCTTAAGGGGACGAAACATATGACGTCCTGCTGCCAAATGATTAGTGAGGAGCTCATCAGTGGGGAAAGTTTTGACACAATTTGATTCCGTGCAGGAGAACTGGACATCATCCCTTTGTTGACGAAATGCCCCCGTTACAACTTTGGGCTCTGTGTATTGCCCAACAGTGCAAGTGGTGATCAGTGGTACGAGTGGTTGCTTCATCAATTTTGCGTATGGATGGAACTGGTCGCTGATGTTGTAAGCAAGCCAGGAGCGCACACCACCTTCCTCAAAGCAGAAATTGGTATAGTTGGTAACACCCGGCCATTTCAAAGTCCCACGGGAAGAAGGCATGTCACCAATCTTCAGAACAGATGCATAGCATCCTCTCACACCATTGTAGGACTCTAAGGCAGAGTGCATGTCGTCAGCAGTGAGTACGTTGTTGCCTTCATTGATGTACCGCTCAATGTGGGCTTTCATTGGCGCTATTTTTCGATCACATATATCTTTACCTGCCTGTACCTCGGAGAAGTCATATCTGAGAATGTCGATGTTCACCTTCTTAGAGAGATCTGCCATGGAAAGGATAAGAGGTGCACAATGATAGCATCCTGCATTATCTGACCTCAGATAGACTTCATTGATGTTGGGACGCCTTCGTTTCAGCTCAAGCAACGAGGCTTCCAATACTGATAGGACGCTCCACCAATTCTGAACACACTGCTGGATAAGATGGACGAAGCACAAAATCTGAAGATAAAAAGAGAAACACAATTTTATTTTTATGGTGCAAGATTTAAAATCTAGGATAAAGAATTAAAACTATTATTTATTTTATTTACCCCTTCGCCGATGTGTAGTGAGCACTGTACATGTATATTCAGTGCTTTCCTTGGTCCTGCGAACAAATATGGTAAAGTCAAGTGGTTTTTGAACTCCGTTTTTTGTAAGTTCATTTCCCATCTGACATGCCAGTGTTTTCGTTTAGCAGTACTCGAAAAGGACTGGAGTATGCAGTGTAAGGGTGAAATTAAAAGTACTGTTTCATTCAAGTGACAAATCAAGGATTATAGCAACACATGCTCTTACAATGAGGTTTCATTGACAACCCATTGTGAGCACTTGAGAGGATCTGCTTGTAATTTTTGCACTTTTTTTGTTATTAAATCTGCAAAGTCAATAGAAAACTGGGAATGGTACAAAGTATTTTCAGTGATTGTATCATCAAACTCTTACCTCAAATTCAATACCAGATTTCACTACAGCAACCGTCACATGCCAGGATATCCCTCTCTTGCCAAACCAGTCTTGTTGGGCTTCCCTAAATCGCCTGGGCAAAAACTTCATTGCCCAATCCATGGTCAAATGTGCTTGTGAAGAGGTGAGATTCGCAAGTATATCGCCTTTGCACTTTGCCTGAGCCATTGATCGCACAGCATGATTTTTTAGAGCAATGATGCGGTCCTTGGCATACTCAAAATCATATGCTACTTCATCCTTCTGTGATGGGTACCTGGAATAAATTAAAGATTCACAGTATAAAAATCAGTGTATTGAATATGAATCATCGAGAAACTTCAAATGGATAGAAAACATTGATGTGTAAGAAGTTTCATACAGGCATGAGAATGGGTGATGATAAAAAAACAAAGGAAATCCACTTTTTACGTTTATAATAGCAAAAGCGCGTGAAAATATGAATGTTTTTACAGGATGTTTATTTTTGGTTTTAAATGCTGTACTGTGCAGTCTGAAGCATTTTCAGTGATTTGTTTAAATGTGTTTGGTGAAATAAATCTTTACAAAAAATTTAAAAATGGCAGATAAGCCCTGTGTATGTGTATGCTGTACAATGTGCATTGAGTCTGTGTCTAGACAGTTATGCCTTGTTTACATGTACTACCAAGTGGCCAGACTTTAATATCTTTTAGACTTTCCAAAGTCCCCACACATGTACCTCTGCTGCAGCAGTATATTTATTACGGTCAAACATTAATGAACTATATCATGAACGAAGCGAGGAATGAGAGAAGTCTATACCCCGTCATAAACATTGCGTCTTGCTTGCTGCAAATATGCAATGCTTGGAAGAAACAATCACGGCAAATCGGACCGGCGGCCGGGCGGGAATTTATTGTTAACGTGCCGTTTTTTTTCACGAAAGGTAAACTTACAATTTCTGATTCAAGAAGAGAGATTAGCGAAATCCACAAGTACACTCCCTACACCTCATCCCCCAAATTTAATATCAAATTCACACTGAACTTGAAGACCACAAATTTGAAAGGGAAAAAATGGAATTACGGTTTAAACCCGAAGGTTCTCATGCCTGTTCATAGTTCACCCTGAAAAACTTACTTGTATTTCGTGTCAACACTTGATACGGAGAACTCAACCTCATTTAGCACAAGACGTAGATCATCACACATGTCACAGTGTACGTTATGAGGATGACTGCAAGAGTCTTTAGTACTCAGTGCGTAAGTCCAACAGTGATCAGGACAAGGACTGTTTTCCTCAACATGGAGTTTGAAGTCAGATTTAAGGTATTGGCGGACGCTTCGGAGTCTAGATTTGTGCTCATCTACCCACGAACTTGAAAAGCCTGTAACAATAAAAGCAAAGCTTAGCAATTAGTTTTGTTTTACTCTAGATCCTCAGTATGGTCCTTACACTTAATCTTGATTCAATTGAGACTTTGGGCATACCAGTGAAAATGCAGCTGTTGATTTGAGTGCGGTAGAAAACTCACCAAATTCACCAAGCAATCCTATCAATCTGTCCATTGCATCAAACCCTTCAGAGGCCTCGGCAGCAATATTATCCAGACCGGAGAGAGATTTCTTCTTGGCAGCAGCACAAACCTGTGAAAGAATCAATGCATCATGAAAATTTGAAACTCATTGACCAAAATGATGCTTTAAATGTCCAACCTACATGTATAGAAACAAAGAAAAAAAAAGATGACAGATTTTACAAATTGCCAGTAAAATACACTAATGCTCGTTCTTCACTTTTGCCGGATTTGCACCATTTATTCTTAAGTGTGTTAGCGCTGTGACACTTTGTGATTGTCATCTTCCCATTGTGACATTGCATATTATTGAATTTATTGTCATTTTCCCTCTTGTCTTTGTCTTGATGATTCCGTCTCTCTTCTTTGTTGTTTGTCCAGTTTTTTTTTCCCTGTCCATTTGTCTGTGTCATTTTCATAATGTCTGTAAAGCCCCGGCTTACCATTAACAGCCCCATACTTTCCCCTTATTTCTTATTGCTTTTTAATATATTTTATAGTCCATGTATTGACTTATTTTGTATGTCTTTACCTATTTGATGTATGGAATTGGAAAGTATGAAATAAATGTTTAAAGGGCTCATTTGAAGAAAAGCAAAAAAATCTGTATTTTTTTGTGCACAAACCAACCATGATGCAGCTTTGCCTTGAAATATCACATATTTGCTCATGAATATGTAAAATTCAATTTGCATAAAAACACAAAATTCAGAAACAAGTTAAAAAAAAACAAATTTGGCAATCAAAGGGTGAATTTTTGTCGTCAATTTGAAGACAGAGTTGTTTAAAGTCATAAAAAATCTTATTTCATAGCCCCTTTAATTGAATTGAATTGAATTTAAAAAATTCACTTACGAGGATTAAAAATTACACAATTCTCACCTGAGTGATACTGAACAGTGAGCTACGACCCAGTGGAGTGAATCCAGTCTCGTGACAGTAAACTTGATATAGATCAACAAGACGAGACACGACAACAGTTCGTACAACATTTGGGATTTCAATCTTTTCTCCTTGAGTGAGTTTCAGTCTCCTGGTCCCAAATGCAACGTCTTGAACAAACTCTGGGCGTGAGATGAATTGAATGAAGTGATCAACCTTGGTCTTTTGTAGTCTTGATCGTGTTATTGGCTCCAACTCCACAGGTTGCCCTCCACCACTTTCCTTGGCATGCTTTCTGGCTGCATCTATCCGGTATATGGTGAGCCCTGGAATCAGTTGCTGCAACAATGGAACAAGAATAAAAAAAATTGCATCATGTAATAATGTTTTTACTGTAAATGCCAGATGCTGAGGATCTTGGCCGAGGGTGAATGTGCTGGTAACCTCTCCCCTCTTATTATTTGTAGTTTGAAAATTGTTATTGGAATTTTAATTGGAATGCTGTTATTTAACTTATGCTGTATTTTAATTGATTGTTTTTCTTCTTGATAATATTTAGCGTGTACTTTCTGTGAAATATATTTGTTGATTTATGTATATTTTGTAAAGCGCTTTGAGGCCTTGCATAAGGCGCTACACACATTTTTTTATTATTATTATTATTATAAACTACAAGGAAAACTCACAGGGTCAAGTTTTGGATACATTTTGGGTGAACAAAGAAGAATTGACAAGAGCGGGATTTGAACTTGCATCCTCTGTGTTGACGTGCCTGTGTTCTACCAACCAACTGAACTACCTAGCCCTACGTTGGCGGTCTCCCTATTTACTGTCAATAAGATATTGTCAAAAATAGGGACAGCACTAACATACGGCTAAGGACAGCGCTAACATACATACTAAACTCAGTTAGTAGCATACCGGCATGTCAACCCGGACGTCGCAGGTTTAAGTACCGCTCAAGTCATCTTTTCTTTGTTTACTAAAAATGTATCGAAATTTCAATACAATACAATCAATTACAGTTAAAACCAGTATGAAAGGTCCCATGGTGACGGAAAGAAATTACATCAAACGATTTGTAAAATGTTTGTACATTGTATGTTGTCTTTGACAAAAATTATCGAAAAGTTCAAGGGGAAAATATACATTGTCTTACCAGTAGTCTTTGCTTTGTCATGTTACGGGCCAATATTGATAAAATCTGTCGCTTGGTACACCAGTTGTCTGCAGTTTGATAGCACTCGACTAGAGAACGGGTACTACTATCAAAATCTTGACCACTTTGTGATGATTCAGCAGTTGTTTCACCGATGGTAATCTTCATGAGCCCATCTTCTTGACCTGGTGCTAAACAATGAAGAACTAAACCAAAGGCTTCCTTTGCCTTCCTTCTATAATAACGGATGGTGCTATCAGATGCTTTGTCTAATGACAGATGAAGCTGCCCATCAACAGTGGACATTCCACCCTGAGTAAGGAAAGTGTTCAGGGATTGCAGCTTCACATTCTTTGGTCGGGGGGTTGGAGCCCAAGAAGAGTCAAGTGCACCTACATCCTGTGTTATATCTCCATTAGTTGATGAGGACTCGGATGTCTGCTAGAAATAATCATGAGAAAATAAAAACAGTGAGATGTGTGCTACATATAACAGGGTTGAAATACAAATTTATGTACTCAAAGAAGAGTGCTTACAATTCATCTGTGACAAACATGATAAATGAGATGCAATATGTCAAGGTCCATTCTTAGTTCACTCTCATTACCTCATGAACTGAAGTGCATTCTGTGTCGGTGGGTTGGAGAGATGGTACACCAGCCGGCGATGTGAAATCACTGGTTGTACACTGCTGCTCTACTTGTTCCTTAGAGAGCACATCGCTAGGTGGTAATTGTTCCGCTGTCTGGTGCATAACTGCTTGTTTGTGCTTAGATAGACAACCTCTACAGATACCTGAAAGTCATATGAACAGTGAGAATTAAAGTGTTAAGGCCGCAGCAGGCTTAATATATTTTTTAAAGTAAAAGATACATGTATAAATAATAAAGCGGGGCGTATGTAACCAACAATATTGAGCAATAGATCCCTTGAACAAAACCCATCTCATAAATTCCCCCCCCCCCAAAAAAAAAGTTAATAAATAAACAAAAAATGAAAAATCTTCTTTATTTTAGATTGACTGTATTTAATTGCACTTATTACTTTTTCTTTTTCTGATGTGGCTGGCTCTAGAGGATTCGTATAAAAGGGGAAACAAATCTGAAATTGTTCTTATAAATGGTCTGATGAGTCACATCTCATGAATAAAAGTCAAAACAACTATGTAAGTGCAAAACAAATATTTGTTTCATTCCCCAAACTGCGCATGTTAAGTGCAGCTCCAACTTTCTTTATATACAAAAAAAATCAAAATCCAGTTCCGGCTAAATATCCACCATGTGTGTCCACTGCCGAAAACCATGTGTGTGGTCCAGAGCTGTGACAACCATGAAAACCAGTTTTAATTTTTCACACAATAATACATTTCACTGGTCCCAAGTCAACTGCATGATAAGGGATTTAATTGATATGACCTTCCCAGAAACAAAATCAGTTGATCAGAAATGGACCATGACCATGACTGATTCATCATTTCAGAAATGTGTTTTTGTTTGATTTCTGTCTTCTAATCTTAGTCTTACCTGTTCCAACTGTGACCAGGGTACCCCATCGATCAAACATCTCACGGCTAGTTGCTTTATTCACACCACGGAATGGTTTGCCTTTCCCTTTATGGAGTGGATGACAACATTTCCTTGATGATGTCCAACTCAACCCTAACTTGTATCTATGCGCTGGACATATTGTCTTATCAGTGTATGCATCGACGTCGAACAAACCACATCGCAGGAGGATCAGTTTCCACTCGACATTCACATCATATGCAGCGACTTTCCACTTCTGCAAATGGCTCCGTATGTTTTTTGTGCATCGATTAAGTTGCACTGTATTTAGTTCGCGCGGATAAGAGGGATTGACACCACATTCGATGGCTTTGCTATACTCAAAATTACTAAAATCACATTGCAGCCGCACAGACGGCATGTCCATGGCCGCCATTTTGACGGTAATGTATGCGAGGGCGCCCCCTTTCGATACCGCGCGCTAAGTGGGTGGGCGGCAACAGGACGTTACCCTCCTACCGGATCAGTGCGCACCACCAAAGATATACCACTCACCCACCTACCCAATAGGTGAAGGCTGCAAAATGTAGATTTTGTTACGCTCTTACAACAATTCTTGCAAAATGTCAATTAAGGGCAACCAATTGCACTCGGAACTGTCTAGGGGGCTATGTAGGTTTGGTCATGAAAATCAGGAATTTTTCAACTTTATTGACCGTGAGCAAACAAAAACAAGAAGAGCTGACAGCTTTTTTATTTTTTATTATTGTAGTCGAATATCTGAACTATATTTCCTTCAAGTTTGTTGACTCTCAGCCCTGCATTAATTAAGTTATGGTTTACCGCGTAAAGGACTTCATTTCGTAATAGAGCTGATACGTGTTTTTCTTACGCCTATATCTCCGAAGTGAATGCTTGCACATCAAAGATTTATATTTTATCGTTTAGAGGAGATTAAACCCTTTCTTTTGATATGTAGGTCGACAGTAAACGACTTAGTTTAAGGGTTTAAACGAGGCTATAACTTTACACCAGAAACAACACAAATTTACTCCCTGGAAGTCACCCTTTTTGCTCAAAATTGTCGGTGCCCCGTACTCGGCCACCGTGTGATTATTTATCGAGCTACTCCACCGAGTGGTATCGTCTCAGGTGGGGATCAAATGGCCAAGATTTGAACTTAATTCGCTGACCCCCCACCTTGTCGATTTTTCAGGATTTTGCATGGTCTTCTCATAAACGCACACTTAAGACCTTTGGTGCAAAGCGCTATATCAGCATCTCATAATTGTTATTATTAACCCTAACCCCTTTGGGTCTTTTACTAGAAAGTATCCTGAATCCGCCAAAATCCATCAATTTTGCCATGCAAAAAAATGTCGGTGGCCAGCGAGTCCATTAGAATCCACCAGCTACATGTAGGCTGGAGTAAATGTGTTGAGATCTTGAATCCGCCAAAGTCCCCCAATAGCTCAATACAGAGGTATCCTGAATCCATCAAAATCCTGCAGTTCCGCTAGGCTTACAATCCTGAATCCATCAAAATCCCCCAGTTTGTGCAATATGGAAGTATCCTGAATCCGCCGAAATCCCCCGAAACAGGGGTGTGGATTTTGATGGATTCAGGTACGTTAGGGTTAACCCAAACCCTCAATCCTGAAATATCCTTGTGGCGGTTTTGAAGGATTTTGGATGATTGAGGATGAATGGTGTTTGAGATACAGCATTTTGGAGGATTGAGGATGGTCCCTATTAAAAAGGCTTCAGGGGGTTAGGGTTAATAACTGTTTTGTGGATCTTTTTATTTTAACAGGCACGTATCTTCAACGAGACACCTATCAAACCCAGGAAGTGTTGCCACATTCTGACCAAGATCATGTACATCTTGAATCAGGTTGGTTGTAAACCCTGTTACCAATCCTGCAAAATCCACCGGAACCTTTTGGAGGATTTTGTAGGAATGAACCCATCCTACTTTCCTTTGCATTGGGCTTAATGGTCACTTAAAAGATAGCATAGAAAGACTACGTTCCTGCACAGTGAAAAATGCATGCTTGAAAGTTTTGAACCATATGCCCCCAAATCAAAAAAGTAGCCAGCATCATAAAAAAATCCATTTCAATGTTCACTCAAGACGCCTAGAGGCTAGAAATGAATCTGTACACAATTTTAGTTCACTACAGTCGGTATCCTGTGAAAAAAAAAACAAGTTTGAAGGTTTTGAAAGGGTTTTCCCAAAATCCAAAAAGTTTTCCGTAGTCGGGCAAGTTTTGGCCAAACAAATCCATTCAGTCAGTCTTTCAATTATGTGAAATTTGCCAATTTGACTTGTATTTGGTCTTAGTGGGAATCGTCCCTGATTTGACTGCATTCAACCGTTGTTTTGTGCCTGGATCAATGCTCATTTGGTGAATTGGTTGTAATTTCTTAGTTTGTGTTTCATGTTTTTGCTTGCATTGCAGGGTGAGCACATCGGTACAACTGAAGCAACAGAGACCTTCTTTGCCATGACCAAGCTGTTTCAGTCAAACGATGTAAGCCACTTTAAAAAAAAAACAAAGGCTGGCAAATTACAACATGATGTTTTTAGCAAAATGTTTTAACTCAGGCCAAAAAAAAATATATTTCTTCCGATTACATGGCATTTGAAAATAGGGTAGGTAGGTAGGGAATTGTATTTTTTGGGCAATTTTTTTGTGTGTATATCATATGGAGGCGTCTGCGTGTAGTCAAGGGTGAAAGGTTGTAATTGATAATTTTTGGTGTTTTTCCTCATTTTTCCCCCTTTTTTTTAAGGGTAGGGGCTGTCAGAAAAGGGTAGGTAGGGAAACCGGAAGCAGATCTATTTTTTTGGGGGGGGTGGGTGGGTGGGAGGCCTAATTAACTTCTTTGCAGCTCTGCGAAATGAGTCTCTAAGTTGTTTGAATTGCTTCTTGCCAAAATGTAGTCCATTTTGTTTTTGGTCCCGATTCTCAGGTGATGCTGCGTCGCATGGTGTATCTGGTCATTAAGGAAATGGCCAACATTGCCGAAGACGTGATCATCGTGACCAGCAGCCTGACTAAAGACATGACAGGCAAAGAGGACATGTACCGAGCAGCGGCCATCCGTGCACTCTGCAAGATCACCGACGTAAGTACCATAGAAAGAGTCTGTCATGACCCAATATGGCCCATCAGGCCGGCGTTTATCTCCACTTTCCTTGGCACCAAAAGACTGAGAATATTTGTATTCCCCCTGGATGGGATGCCTTTCCATCACAGCTTATACTCCCAAGCTAATGCTGGTACTTATTTATATTCCTGGAAGGAGAGAGAGGCAATTGGAGGTGAAGTGGCTTGCCCAAGGACACAGCATATGGCCAGCAGCTGGATTTGAACCCCTGATCCTCTGATCTTGAGTCATAAATCTCAGCTACTAGCCCGCATTCCCCCACGTGGCATAGGCCGAGTTATAATTGAGTCAGTCACAAGTCACCACAAGTCAGCCAGTCCCTAGTCAACTCACAAGCTTTTGGGCAATTCCACGGTTACTCACGTTACATTTTTGATGTACTTTTGAGTTTCCTTGGGCTGTAATTACCTTACTGAAAAGGTTTAATAACTGTTATCTCCATGGTAGATAGAGTAGACCTAGACTTACCTAAGCACCAAAGATGACATCCAGAAAATGTGTTATGTATGATAAACAAGACACACAAAATCGGTTACTCACGTTACGAAAATGTAACGTGAGTAACCATGGAATTGCCCTTTTTATGAAATGAACAGCTACAAAGGCATTCCTTTGTCATTGTTCATTTCCTGTTACTTTTGACCTGACTCGCAAGTTGGGCATTTCACAATGCAGTGCGCCACCAAGAGTTTGCCACGGAGAGTTCATTTTTCCCAGTGCATTTTGGGAGATGGTCGACAAATCCGCAGCGCGGGCTATTAGTTAGTTTCATAAGCGTATGTTTCGAGTATCTGTTTGCCCTTTTCTTTTCTTTTTATCAATATGGTGTTTTTTGCAAGGCGGCAGAACGCTATGCCCCAATCCTTAACAAATTAGCTGAAGTTGTCTACTGATACTTGTTCAAATGGGCCGTGTTTTGTCGACTGTAAACTTGAGAAATGGACTCTTGGTGGCGCACTGCATTGTGAAATCCCCAAATAAGCCATTTGCGAGTAACCTATACCCTTTGGGATTTACATTTCAATAACATCTGGTACACTGACTTGCTCAGAATGCTTGGCACATTTTAACTTTGAATTCTCCAGACCAAAGACACTGTTGCTAATCACATGATTCGGGGCAAGCTCTTGCATAGTTACGTAAGAGACGCTCAGCATCAATACATCGCTCACAATGGGTGAGAATGGCACAAAGACACCAGACCATGCCAGAGCTGGGTGTTGCTAGCATAAGGCTTGCCCCGAATCACGTGATGTAGTAAGGCGAGCCATCAGATAACAGACCGTTCGGGTACCGGGTCCGGTATGCTAATTTCTTTCACCCCAATCGGTACGAAGCCAGAAGCCACCCGGTCACTGAAGCGTGACGCCCCAATCGGTCCAAACTGGTGACTCAGGGTTTCACAATAGGCAACATAAATTGAAGTCTGGCCATTATTGGAGGATTATTCGGCCTGCTGGGATTACCAGCGGCAACTTCTATGAAGCTCGTCACAGTCATTGTTGCCTACTGGAGGTTTAGCGCGTCGCAAATTGGTTCCTTTGTGATGAGCCAGAGCCATGGTGCAGAAGCCTGGTGGAGTTAATCCAGGCCGATCGGTTCCATGCAAGGTCCCAATCCCTTCAACATACTGGGCGGGCTCAACCCCGAACGGTCCGGGGAGGGATTCTAATCTGAGGGCTCGCCTAACAGTCTCTTTGGTCGGGAGAATGCAAAGTTAAAATGTGCAAAGCATTGGATTAAGTCAGTGTTCCAGATTTAATTCAAATTTAACTCGCAAATGGCTTATTGACTTGTGAGTGGCTCAATTACAACTCTGGGCATAGGGAGTATTAAATGCAATTCGACAAGAGACATGTTTTACCTTTTTTGGCAGACCAAGTTACTTATGTCAGGTTGTAACCAGGGCCCTATAAACATGGCTCACCATATTAGAAATTCATCCGAGTTGAAACATGTCCCTGGTGTGCCTTAATAGTCGATATCCAATGAAATTCTGCATCAGACTCCATGCGCATGTAACCCCCTCCCCCGTTGCTTGATTTCTAGCATGTCAACAGTTTAGCTGAGGGTTAGGTAGATAATAGTCCTATCCTTTACATTTTTGGTAATTTTTTGCTCTGTTTTCAGACCACTATGCTGCAGGGGCTGGAGCGTTACATGAAGCAGGCCATTGTGGACAAGGTGCACAGCGTCTCCAGCGCAGCCCTAGCATCATCCCTGGTAAGCTGGTTGTCCGAACTCTGCAGAACATCTTATCCATCCATCATCCAGAGACAATCTTTCCATGCTTAAGAAATGATTTGATTCTGAATAACTGATGGCTGTTCAGTTTATTTTTGTTCAGTGACTCTCTGTGTTACACAGTTACTTTAACAATTCATATTCCTTCACCTGAAACTGACTTGCAGGGTTTTTAAGGATTTTAGTCATTGCTCTGAATAATGACTTCCCACTAGGAGGGTTTATTGATAGATTACTACTACTGTGTATTGCAGAGTTGTAACAAGTCACTGATTTTTGTGAGTCGAGTCAAGTCGAGTCATTTTTAAAAAGTGACTCGAGTCGAGTCATTAGGTCAAGAAGGTCGAGTCGAGTCGAGTCACAGTGTGTAGTCGAGTCGAGTCGAGTCAAGTATATAGCTCGAGTCAATTCGAGTCACAAATATTTGAGCACTATACAATAAATAAACACAAGAGAGTAAGTCATTTTTTTGGCTTTTTAAATTTTACATTCGGGCTACTACTTGTGGCGACACCACATTTGACTCTTAATGAAAATAAAAAGGGGGTGCCAGCTGATCGTCATTTAACTAATGGGGACACTAATCAAACTACGTATGTATATGTATACATTATTCGCAAACATTTTAACGTGACGTGAACAAAAACAGGCACCGGTGTAAGTCATTACAAATATTTTCGCAAAGTTTTGCTTTTATTTTTGGGACTCGAGTCTCATTAGCCTTCCTCGAGTCGATTCGAGTCATTCTGATGAGGGACTTGAGTCGAGTCGAGTCATTTGCTCACAGTGAGTCGAGTCGAGTCATCTGCCCTTAGGGACTCGATTCGAGTCGAGTCACCAAAAATTGTGACTCGAGTCGGACTCGAGTCGAGTCATTGACTCAAGTCATTACAACTCTGGTGTATTGATATTTGTTTAATTGATTGATTGATTTCTGGCTCTATTTCATGACAGCACTTGCTGAGTCAGAGTCCCGACGTGGTCAAGCGTTGGGTCAACGAAGCCCAAGAGGCGGCCACCAGCGACAACGTGATGGTCCAGTACCACGCCCTGGGCCTGATCTATCACATCCGCAAGAATGACCGGCTGGCCATCACCAAACTGGTGGGCAAGTACACCCGCGGGGGGCTCAAGTCGCCCTATGCTACTTGCATGTTGGTGAGTCCATCAGTCAGGGTACCAGACATTGAAAAACTCCATCCCCCCAGATTCTTTCAAACCCACCAGGAGGTTTTTGTAAGATTTAGGAAGGTGGACCCCAACAACTTTTATTTAACTTCAGGATTGATGGTACTTTAACCCTAACCCTGCCAAACGCAACACAGTCCACCAGGTGTAAAAAGTCTGTGGGACCTTCCTATATTGGGCCATCAACACCAGTGCACAAACTGCCAATTGTGAAACAATTGCAGAAAGTCCGATTGACCAATGCCATAGTTGTTTTGTTCTGAAGGTGGTGACCACAGACATTAGGCGGTTTGACCTTGTGTATTTTGACCTGATGGATCTTGCTACACTGGGCAGGTTTGTCATTTCGACAAGGCTGCATGTTGCTGCATTTAGCAGGGTTTCTAGCCAAACTACCCTGGAGGGTTAGGCCCAAGTTTTCCTACACACTGGTGGATTTGGGAGGATTGAGGAAGGGTCCTGAACAATTTCAAGAGAATTAGGATGGAAATAAGTTTTGAATGTTGTCATTATTCAACCTCTACATTGCACAGAATGGAATCAGTGTCTTGTGAAATGTTTTCCTATAATGCTTGCATTGTACCGTAAGTTTTTTTTTTTTTCTATCACTCAGATTCGTATTGCATCAAAGCTCCTTGAAGACGACGATGCTGGGTAAGTTGAACCCCCAAAAAAGTAATAATAATAACATTTTTAAAAATGCTTGTTACTACTGTAACAGTGTTCTGTTTTTCCGAGTTTATGAAGTGAAGTTTTACACATGGTCAAATTGAACACATTCTCTGCATGACAGTTCTCAGAAATATACGGTTACTTTAAACTTCACATATATTGTTGGAAAAGAAGGATACCATGTAAAATAACTAGATTTGTTACAAAAAAAATGTGAGTTTCAGATTTTGATTTAATCCTGTACAGGAATGATAGCCCATTGTTCGATTTCATTGAGGGCTGTCTGAGACACAAAAGCGAGGTGAGCTCAAATATTTTTTTAATCCACTAAGTACAGAAATTGAAGTCTTACCTGTGATGTTTCTTGTGATTTGATGTGTGATTCACTGATGATGGACTTGACTGTAAAATCTGTTAGATTCCATTTATTGCCTTGTCCTTGTAACCTCTTAAAGCTATAGTCCATCATTTGCAGCCATCCGAAAAGTAACTGGCGTAATTACTGTTGAAAAACAAACTTGGTTGAAAGATAGTAAGGGAACTAAACTCCCTGTGAAATTATTCTTTCTAGGAAGCTGTCATTTTGAAGTAATCAACGAAAGAAGGCATTTCCAACGGTGATTCTTAAGAAGCACTGTAGGAAAATTTAAATTAGTAGTTCGTTTTGTTATTTGGCGCAGCGCGCACAAGTATTGGAACGACGCACACGCGCGCGCGGTTGTTATAATTCGTCGGATCAGTGCGCGACGCCGCGTATAGCTGCAATTCAAAACAATTCAAAACATGATTCACTAACTTTTGATTTGAAATTGAGATCTTAGAATACTGCTTTTCTCGGAATGTACAGCTGAAGCTTAGCTGAAACTTCATCAGGTTAGTTGCTCAGTATCCTTCATTAGATTTTGAACACTTTTGTTGCTTCAAACGAACAAAATGCACTAATTACAAATGATGGACTATAGCTTTAATGATACCTGATTAACCAGTTAACGCCGGAGGACATATAAACACGATCTGGCAGTGTATATTCTCAGGGGTGGGTTACGAGTTAAATCATCATGCTTTGCCCTAGTCTCTGGCGGTGGACGTGTATACACGTCATTTGTTCCCATCAATTTTTCTAAACTGTGTGTTGGACATGGCAGCTGTATACACGGCCTGTCGTTGTAGCAAATATTGCTCTGTGGCAGGGCCTCGGAGTGTTGCCAAATATAAAGTGAGGAGCATCATACAAATATTGTATGAATGACTCTCAAGGTCAGTACTTGGGGTGTTTGACTTGATTGTAAAATTAGGCCAATATATTCTGCTTTTTCAAAATTAGTGTTTTTCGGCTGAAAATAATCCTGCCCTCAAGTGGTAAAAGAGCACCCCAAAAGAAACAAACAGAATATCCCAAAATGAAAATATAAGCCAGACTTTATAAGATTAAGACCCACTGTTGAACGAGTAAAAATGCTATTAAACAAAATAAATTAAGCAACATTTAGGCCAAAAAAAAAAGTCTCCGGTTTCTGGTATGCGCGCGCGTCGCCGTAGCCATGCGCGTCGGCAAAATGAAAAAGGTTTTTTTTCAATACAAGATGATGTTTAAAAACCGCCAAACTCACTGGTTTGACTGGAATTCTGCTGCTGCACAATTTTAACGTGTTTTTAGATGGGGTTATGATCGAGAATAAGATTTATGTGGCCTCTCTGGACTCCCATATATTTGCACTAAGTTTATTCGGGCACCATTTGCAGTCATCAGCCGACATTTGAAGCCAAAAAAAAAAAAAACACCAGGTAAAAAAAAAAAAAAGCCGCGTCGCCGCACCACTTTTGGGGCAAGCTCCATACCAGAAACCGGAGACTTTTTTGGGGGGCCTTAAGGACCATGGCACTGTATGTTGTCAGTCATCCATGTGGAATAAATGGAATGACAATAGGTCAAAATAGTCAACTTACTGGATAGAACAACTCGCTGTGGTACATCCAACACCCTCGTACTTAACAGGACAGTGTCATTGTCTGTGGGTAGTTTCCAAACTGCTGCTCCCTCTCCGTCTCCAAGCATGTAGTTTCCCAATGGAACTGGATTAGGAGACAGCGTCGGAGCTACAGTTTGGATTAGGCCTACTTCGTCCCGAATGGTCAATTCCTGCTATGTAGCGCATGCAGAGGTACACACATTGAGGGCCGATACGATTGCTGGGAGTAAGGTTCGATGACATTGATTTCGTATAGCCGCAAATGTTTGTACAAATCAATAATCTTTCTGTGGGTTAGTCATCGATTGTCAGGCACGATATAAGTTGATACAATTGAAATTTATAAGTTTTTAACGTACACAGGTCCTGAACCCCCCCCCCCCCCCCATCATACGGTTTGTACGCCCATAAAAATGTTGATAATTGTGGACGACCCCTAATAAACATGGCCTTTAACATCACGTTAATCATGTCTAGCCACATACCTTTGATACTAATATATAAAGCTTGTAAAATACCCCACATGAAGTAATGATAGACGTGAATATGTATCTATTAGCTTCCATAAACCTCAGGAGGTAAAGTGAATCCTCTGTAATTTCCTGTTAGATGGTGATCTATGAAGCAGCCCACGCCATCGTCAACATGAAGAACACCACAGCTAGGGAGTTAGCCCCGGCCGTCTCTGTCCTACAGCTCTTCCTCAGCTCCCCTAAGCCCACGCTGAGATTTGCTGCCACCAAGACACTCAACAGGGTAAGCAGAATATTACTTTAATTTTGGTTTGATGCCCCTTGAAACTTGGTAGGTACAAAGAGTGAGCCATTAGGGTCCTGCACAGCGGAAGATTTGTGCAGAATTCAGGACGGTATAGCCCAACTGATATTTCTCTACATTTGGCTAACTACACCTTGAAAGTTTTTTTAAAAACCCAAAGAGTGTCCCAGTAATGCAGGATTTGTTGGAGATTTCAAATGGTTCCTGACGCAAAAATGCCTGTGGAGTTGAGTCAAATCGCAGTAGGATTCACAAAAATCGGTAGTTTAGACAAAACAGAATTCCAATTTAACCCCATGTTGTTTCTTTTTTATAACAAGTTTTCTTTCACTTAATTCGCACCTTTAGCATATGTTTTCATGATTTTGACCAGCCACCCTGTTCAAATGTTTACTTGACGGAGAGTTTTCATTATCTTCAACTTCATTCATTTTCCCACCCCTCCTTCCTTCCTCCCCCCCCCCTCCCCCAAGGTCGCCATGACCCACCCAGCTGCCGTCACCGCCTGCAACCTGGACCTAGAGAACCTGATCACAGACGTCAACCGCAGCATCGCCACCTTGGCCATCACCACCTTACTCAAGACAGGCAGCGAGGGTAGCGTGGAGCGTCTGATGAAGCAGATCAGCACCTTCATGTCGGAGATCTCGGATGAGTTCAAGGTGGTGGTGGTGCAGGCAGTGCGTTCCCTCTGCACCAAGTTCCCTCGCAAGCACGGCGTCATGATGAGCTTCCTGTCATCTATGCTGCGGGATGAGGTATTGTTAACACTCAATATATTTGTTACTGTTGATCATTAGGGTATGACACCAACTTAGTTGATTATCACTTTACCCGCTAGGTTTTTTAGATTTAACTGTGCTGAACACATGAACATGCAATAATAAGCCAGTTCGGTATTTCAACTGCATATGCGCACAATCAAATGAGCTACATGTCATTTGGGATAATCAAAACACTCATTGGAGACACATGAATGCAAAGGGAGACAGGTGGCACGGTGCTCACGTGTTAATTGCGAGCATAATGGGCATTTGCGTTATATCGCATAAGATCATGGCAGCGATTTTATCCAGAATGATGTTTGACCTGGACTACATCATTGAGATACCCAGCTGGCTTTTTGTCAAATTGAAAAGCTTGCCTGCTGCAATAAGGTCTGTCAAGTCTTATATGCCATTAACCAAAAACAGTATGGGGCTGCCAACCAGCACAGGATTCAATAGTGGCATTTTCCAGTGGCTTAACAAGAACATCTTGGCTCACAAACTTTTATGCTACATAATACTGAGCATTAGTTGGCCGACTACAACCATTCCAAACCAAACCAGTGTGTGGACCCTACACAGTTTGTTTAACTGTTTTTGGTTTTGCCCTGCACTGACAAAAAGTTATTTGGGTGAAAGGCACAACTCGGTTTTATAAATTCCCACCTTGCTTGGAAAATTGGGGATAAATGCTGTTTGGATCAGCCATTACAGCTTGGTATCCAGTGCATGCTGAGGGTGCATGCGATAGCTCAATCTTGGTTGTGCAAGTTTACCAGCATTTTATGTGTCCTAATTTCATCCTTCGGCATGGTTCCACCCACCCTCTTCCAGGGAGGCTTTGAGTACAAGCGTGCCATCGTGGACAGCGTCATCGTCATCATTGAGGAGAACCCAGAGGCCAAGGAGGCCGGCCTGGCTCACCTGTGTGAGTTCATCGAGGACTGCGAGCACACCTCCCTGGCTACCCGCATCCTGCACCTGCTGGGCAGGGAAGGGCCTCGCACCCAGAACCCCTCCAAGTACATCCGCTTCATCTTCAATCGCGTCATCCTGGAGAGTGCGGCCATTAGAGCGGGTAAGTTGGATGGCTGGATCACCGAGTCTTGTTCAAATCTGCCATAAGTCAATTGCAAGTCCATCACAAGTAAATCTCAAGTTAATGTCATGTCAATCTCAAGGTAATCACATGTCAATCTCAAGTTAATCACATGTCAATCTCAAGTTTATCACATGTCAATCTCAAGTTTATCAAATGTCAATCTCAAGTTTATCAAATGTCAATCTCAAGTTAATCACATGTCAATCTCAAGTTTATCACATGTCAATCTCAAGTTTATCAAATGTCAATCTCAAGTTTATCAAATGTCAATCTCAAGTTAATCACATGTCAATCTCAAGTTAATCACATGTCAATCTCAAGTTAATCACATGTCGATCACGACTTAATAAAGGTTCAATCCTAAGTCAATCACCCTAAGTCCTTAACCCTAACCGCCCTGAATCCTTCAAAATCCTCTTTGCCAAAGTGGAAGAATTTGGTTACATGACAAAAGTGCGTTACTGATTTTGTAGGATGCACTTTGTCAAGGTCTTGGGCTGGACCTTGTGTTGTTTTTGCTCAGCCATGCATAAATATAGGCCTGGATTATGCTTGAAATCCTCCGCACTGCTCCAGGATGTCACTGGCCAAGCCTCAACATATTGACAATCACTGCCGCAAGATTTTGAAGGATTCAGGCAGTGGTCACCCCTCCACGGATCATATTCAAGAAATAGTGGAGGAAGTTGCAGGATTGAGGCTATATACTATTTTTCCATGGGGGCCAATTGGAGGATTTTGCAGGATTAAGGCTACATCCTAGCAAAAAGGCCTAGGGAGTTAAGGTTAATAAGTCTATCCCAGATCCAGAACAAGTCATATCTGAAGTCGATCACGTGTCTGTCATGGGTCGATCGAGGTTCAATCCCAAGTCAATCACAAGTCCTTAATAAGTCTATCACCGATCCATAACAAGTCAAATCGTAAGTCAATCACAAGTCTGTCATAAGTCAATCAAGGATCCTCAGTCAATCACAAGTCCTTCGTACATCATTCGCAAGTCCAAGTAAGCAAATCACAAGTCATTCTAAGGTCAAATTGAAAGGCTGAGAGGATAGACACTACTTAGTGCTTTTGTCAGTGGTCTCTTGCATAGCTTGTCCCTTGACTTGAGAATGGATGGCTCGTGATTGGCTTACGACTGATGTGAGATGACATTTTAGGACTGACTACCTTCATTTACCTGTCTTTTGGTTGCATTCTCCCCCAGCGCTTTGTATCTTTTGGAAAAGGCACTATATAAATACGGTTATCATTATTTTTATTTACCTAGGCTGTTGCTCTTCGCGGTGATCTAATGGTTCCAGTCCTTTTAGCGTGGGTTTAAAAACAAAAGTGAAATTCGAGTGTCTCGTTTTAGGGAGAGAAACCCTGTTGCACGTACTGATCCAACAAATACTTAATTTTTGTTTCTGACTTCAGCTGCTGTGAGTTCTCTGGCCAAGTTTGGTGCCCACTGTGAGGCTTTGCTGCCCAGTGTGATTGTTCTGCTCAAGAGGTAAGCTGCTGATCTACGTGTCACTGTGGATTGATTTCTACAGATTTTTTTAATTGATCAAGAAACAAAGGGCAGATCAGTTCGAGATTTGGCTCACAAGCTGATCTTGGCTTTCAATGTTTGGTGTACATAAATGAAGAAAGAATATTTTTTGAATATTTTCCATTTTGTGCACGTGCAGACTAGATTTTGTAATTTCTTCTTCCTTGACCCTTCTTTGACCTTGCCTTTTCACGTTATGACTACTGTCATGTTTTTGCAAAAGCCAAACTTAAGTCATCTACCTGGAGACTTCTTCAATTTAGTTGACTTTCTAAAATTGAACAGCAATAGGGCTTCTTTACAGTCAGCGGTCTCATCAGGATTTTCGTTCAGGGAGGGGGAAATTTAAAACGGTAGCTTCAGACAAGTTTGTAGTTAGAGTAATTTAGGTGGGGGAAGTTACCGGTAAAAGATTTTTTCCATGTGGCACATATTTTTCCAGAGTAGTGCACAATTGTTTAAGCGTGAGGGATTTTAGAGGAATCAGGAAAACTTGGTTTGTTAAGTATAAAGAAAAATCGTTTTTAAAGGAGACTCTCCATTTCATTGCCCAGGTGTCTGCTTGACGGTGATGATGAGGTCCGAGACCGAGCCACTTTTTACCTCCGAGTCCTGGAGCAACAGCAGAAGGCCCTCAACTCGGCTTACATCCTCAATGGTAAACACAATTTTGTTGGGATGTATAACTAACCCTGACTTCCCTAATACACGTATCCTATGCATTTGCCTTTCTGAAACCAAAATCTATTTGGGTCGACTTGGGTTGCCCAAGTTGGCAGGGTTCCCGTGGTCTGGGAAAAAAAACCTGGAAAAGTCTTGGAATTATTATTTTGAACTTCCTGTTCTGGAAAAGTCATGGAAATTTGAAAAAAATCACAAAAGTCATGGAATGTTGTGAGGACCAATTTATTTTAAATTTTAAACTTTGCATATTCGTAGTTTAGCATCGGAAATCCCATTTTTTTACCTGACAAAATGTGACAAATTTTGCTGATACAAGTATTTTGATTTTGAATTGTTTGCCCCGTGATATCCCCATTATGAAGGTGATAAAACACCAAACAAGTTTTACAGTGTTGATCTGCATTTTGATGAACTGGGTCAATGGAATGTCATAATTTGGTCGTGGAAAAGTCATGGAACAGTTGTGGATTTTATTGTCCTCAAGGTGCAGGAGCCCTGCCCCTAGTACTTTGGGTTTGGCGTGACTGGACCACCAGTCTGAAAAAAATGAAGGGGAAAAAAACAAAATCTCGTACTGGTTTGTAGTTCTTTTGATGGGTTTGGGTTGGTACAGCCCAAGCACCATTACTCTGGGGCTTTATTGTATTCCACTCTTATTTGAATCTACCCTTGGTGTCTACTAGACAGTGGTGATTTTTAGAATTTCGGTTGCATCCTGGCAAAAATAACACAAAGATGTATTAGCCATTTCAAGTTCTGCCCATGGCATCTGGTTTTGACAGAACATTTGCCATACTGAAGGGCCATACGAACTTCTTTTTTAATAAGTTGAGGCTTTTCAGACCTCTGTTTTACAGCGTATATGAGTGCGTATTCACTGGTTTCCCATGTTTTAGGCCTGTCCGTGTCCATAGTTGGCCTAGAGAGGGCGCTGCACCACTACACCCTGAGCCCGTCGGAGACACCCTTTGACATCAAGTCCGTTCCCTTGGAAACACAGCCGATCACCGAGCAGAAGAAACCAGGTAAACGCAGGTTTGACATTTCTGGAAGATTGTCGGATGAATGACAAAGATTCACAATCCATTTCTAGTTCAAATTTCTTATTTTAACGGAGGAAAGAAGATTCCTGAGTTGTTCGAGCGGAAAAAGTCCCACCACAGCTTAGCCCTAACCCCCTAGGGTATTCTGGTTAGAAACCCTGCTAAATGCACCAACATGCAACACTTGTTGTCAAAATGACAAACCTGCTCAGTATAGCAAGATCCATCAGGTGAACAATCTCAACGCTAAAGTGCATCAGAGACTGCAGTCACCAACTGCAGCAGGATACAGCTCTGGCCTTGTTTAATGAGACTAGCCCTGATTGTTTCAAAATTGACCGTTTATGCACTGGTGTTGATGGCTCCATGCAGCATGGTCCCACGGACGTTAACACCTGATGTACTGTGTTGCATCTGACAGAGTTAAGGTTAGCGGAATAGTGAAGAGTTTACAACGGACGTGAAAACAAAAGCATTGATGATTTGCTACGTGACTAGATTGACTTAAAATATACACATTGCAAAAGTTAGAGAGTAGAATCTTTTTCAAATTCAAATGAGAAAGATCCTGATGGATCAAAACCCGTGCTCTCTATTTTTGGCAAGAGTATGCAAAATCATGAGGTTTATATGTTGAGGCCATTTTTTGGCAGTGCATAATGGAAAAAAGTCCACATTCAACTGTGCCTATTTAGATTGATGTTTGTCTTAAGATAACATTCTGTTTTGTCTGTGTATGTAGATATGCTGCCCTCTTCCAGGCCTGCGGAAAAGCCCAGCGCTCCAGCCCAAGAGATTTATGCAGGTAAGGACACCAAGAACGCAATTACTTGGGTGTGACAACTTTTTTCAGTGTTTCAAATGTACCAAGTTTTTAAGCTTAAAAAATCTATACTTTTGTCAATGAAGGGCACGACCATTTACTATGTTTCTGTGGTTTTTGTTTGTTTGTTTTTGGGATGACTAGAACAACTGGCGGCCATTCCTGAGTTTGCCTCTTTGGGACCTCTTTTCAAATCCTCCAAGCCGGTTGAGCTGACCGAGTCTGAGACCGAGTACATGGTCCGATGCATCAAGCACACCTTTGCCAATAACATCGTGTTCCAGGTGAGTGGCTTTAGGCTGGCCATTCTGGTTGAATGACCCGTGTTATTTGAAAAGCATGATGCGCTAGTATAGACTCAGTGCATGAGCAATGCATGTGCATCGTTAGTCCTGGTGCGTTCCCGCACTGCGTGTGCGGGCGTGTTCATCTATTCAAACCGTGGACGGAAAATTCCAGGGAACAAAAGAGAACAATCAAATTAGGTTTTGCCCTTCACCGACGTTTTAAACACTGTATACTCAGTGTGTTACCTCCCGAGTGAAAGTTGGAAAAAACACTAGTAACACGGGTAACACACTGAGTATACAGTGTTTAAAACGTCGGTGAAGGGCAAAACCTAATTTGATTTATATCACCCCGGCGCCAAAAAAAAAAAAAAAAAAAAAAATTCCATCTTATAAAAGAGAACAATATCGTCCACGATTCCCAGCATACGTCCGCGATTGGGGTCGTGTACAAAACCTATGGGAGTCTTCCTAAAAAGTTGGAGTCATCGTTAGTCCTGGTGCGTTTCCGCAGGCGCGTTCATCTATTCAAACTGTGGACGAAAAATTCCAGAGAACAAAAGAGAACAATATCGTCCACGATTCCCAGCATACGTCCGCAATTGGGGTCATGTACAAAACCTATGGGAGTCTTCCTAAAAAGTTAGAGTACAAACAAAAGAGGGACAATAGGACGTCCACGATCGACGGTGTGAACATGTTTGTGTGTACTGGATCGTGTGTATGGCACAGAGTGGGCAAAACACTGAATGTGTACAAACCCTTGTCAGAGTGTTTAAAGGCACATGGGATCATTTGCTTTTCATGCATTCTGTTCGTTCCCAATAATAACACCACTCAAAATCCAAAGAAGAATGTTCAAAACCTAACCTGTTGAAGATTCAGCTCAGTGGATATTACAATTTTCGAGATTTTGAGAAAACAGTGATAAATCATACACAACCTTTCAATCATGAAACACGATTTCGTCCACACCACTCTGTATTTCTAAAAATCAGTCAATTGACTGATCGTTGGAAAGCACCTACATTTCTTTATTTCTTCTAAATGACAACAAGCCAGACGGAATAATTTCATGGGGTGTTCAGTACCAGTACCATCTTTAATCCAAGTAAGGTTTTTGATAATAATTTGCTAGGTTACTTTTGGGATAAATGCAAGTGATCATCCTTTATGCCTTAAAGCAATCTCAACAACATCCTCTGATTACGATTTCTCTGCTCTACACAGTTTGACTGCACCAACACCTTGAACGATCAGCTCCTGGAGAACGTGACCGTCCAGATGGAATCTGGAGACGGTTTTGAGACAGTTTGCCAGGTGCCCGCAGCCTGCCTCAAGTACAACCAGCCAGGGGTGACTTACACCTGTGTCTCTATGCCTGAAGATGCTACTTCTGGTAAGTTTAGCTCCAGAGAGCAAAATGTGACGAGTGTGTAGTCGCTAGAACTGCTTGCGACTTATAAGCTCTTATACAAATCTTGCAGAGTGAAAATCTACTTTTATACCTACATGTAAGGGTCTCTCATGCCCGGTCTATATGCGGGTATTGAAAAGACAGCGTCGCCATTGTAGTAGGCAAAGATTCTATAGCGCACCATGCAGTGGGTAGTAGGCAAGCCTTCAAAGTTTTGATGGGTGACAAAATCTGAGAAAAACTTGGTGCAAACCCAATTATGACAATCGTACACGGCACAGGTAGTGACCATTGTACCATTTGATAAAGAATTTGCGGTCATTTTACGTGAAAATAAGCCCGACTGTCTGGTTTACAATACACGATTTTGTAGCTAAAACCGAACGCTTGGCTACTGCAGTGGTGGCTGATCACAGACAAACAGGATGGTCATGTGGTACTTTAATGGCATACGATCGAACCTTAGGCTGCATCCGAATCAGTTGTCTAGAGCTAGGTCTAGGTCTGCGCCCATTGAAAATACGCGGGGACACACTGACAATCAGAGATGCCACTTTTCAGGTTTTAACCTGAATTCAGGTATTTTTTAAAAATGTGACAAATTAAAAGTGCTGGATTTGGTCTGAAGCATCCAGAAAACACATTCTCGAAAGGGGGTAAGGGTAGTTTCAGGTTTTTTAGTAGTGTTTCAGGCTTTTTATTGATATACTGGTGGCATCTCTGGACAATAGACGTAGCCGTAGCTCTGGAAGCCCGTTTCGTACACAGCCTTATTGTCCGTATCTATCAGGATATTATTTAAATGAAAAACCGAGAATGCTCTTTCTAATCCATAGGGCTAGGGATGTCCCGAATATTCGAATATTCGATCATCAACTGAGTATTCAAATAGCTTTTTGCCACTTTGAATATTCGAACACAAAAAAATGATGTACATACACACACGCCTGATATGTTACTTTATCATACAGTTGCAACATTTTATTGTCAGGTGCCACCACTTTTGTTGTCGATGGTAACTTCTTTTTCGACGGCAATTCATTGTTTCTATCATTTTAGCAAGTTAAAGCCTTTGACAGTTATAAAATGTTTACTGCAAAACACTCCATATTGATCGCCGCATGCAAATGTTAACTGTCGTGTATCTTTTGACCGGCGCTGCACGCAGTTGCAGCTGGCACTTTGGAATAATGAATATTCGGTCAAATACAGTTTCGAGTAATTGAATACTAAATTATTTGAAAACTTGCAACCCTACATATGGCGGATTTCTAAGACTCATTTGCGGAATCTCATCACAACAAATATTTACTTTAACAGTTTTACAACAGCATACACGATACAATCCTCCTTTTTGTCTATCTAAATATGTACGAGTCACAAAGATGTTTTTCAATGCATCCTCGCTTTTCTGCTGTTGTTTTTTTTGACATAGTAACTGGAACGTTCACCAACACCCTCAAGTTCATTGTGAAGGACTGCGATCCTAACACCGGTGAGGCTGATGATGACGGCTATGAGGATGAGTATGTGGTGAGTAGTGGACTCGGCTTCAAACTTTCAATTGTTTTATAATAATAATAATAATGGCAGGCATTTATATATCGCTTTTATGCTGCAACGGAGTATCAAAGCGCTTTACAAGTATAATTACCCCCGTTCGGCAGGCAAACACTCCTGAAACCTTCTCAACTCCCTGGGGAGCATACACGGCCGGTAGGCAGCCATTTCGGTGCTCTCGGCCGTAATCAACCTCTCACAGTCACCAACACTGCCCTCACAGGTACCCATCTACTCCTGGGTGGAGAGAAGCAATGCGTGACAAAGCGCCTTCCCGAAGGGCACACGCAACACAACCCCAGGCAGGACTTGAACCAACAACCTGCAGAATTACCCGCAGACCACAAATTCTAATGCTCCAGACCACTAGGCCACGGTACTCTACCTTCTTTTATGTTAGTCTACGGAAAAGACTGCGTCTTTTACCACCAGATTCTGACCATTCTAGCGGGCCCCTTCTATCGGGTTTTCCGTAACCCTTTGCATTACAAAAACCTGCCCCTGGCTTGCTAGCCGATTTAAATCCAGTATCGAGTAAGTTGTTCTTCAATGAAATCTAAATTTCTCTTTCCTTCCAATCTATCTAGCTGGAAGACATAGAGATCACTGTGGCCGACCACGTCCAGCGTGTGATGAAACCCAACTTCCTAGCCTCCTGGGAGGAAGTTGGAGAGGATAACGAGGTGGACGAGACCTTCGCCCTGTCGGCTAAAACCCTGGAAGGTTGGTGACCTAGAGGCCGTTTTACAAATCGTGGTCTTGTTTCAGACTTTGGATTAATCATGGCTCCTGAATCATTCACTGCTAGAACCATACCACAAAAATTCTCCCAACTTTGGCCATGGATGAGATAATTTGATATTTCTGTTACACAGAAACAGTTATATTTGGCCAGATGGTCTCCATTGGAAGCTTTAAATTCTTTGAGCTGAAGCTGGAGTCAAATTTTGGTTTGGAAGACCTCAATATGATTGGGTGATCCGCTATTAAAGCAAAAATAGATGGTACATTTTCTTCCCGATCATGTGCTTAAAATCCACATTGCCTTAGGCATACAAAAGCACTTTACCTTATTTTGCTTCTCTTACTATATCCAAGAAATGCATATTATACCATTTATATTTTATTAATTTTTTTGAAACACTACAGACATTTGGAGCTGACTACCAGTCTGTGGTGACTTTTTCATAATTAAACGAATCATTTTTGATGATTGTGGACTGTAGTTTTTTTTTTAAATTTAACCGAGGCAATGAGCACCATCATGTTTGTGATTCTTTGGCAATTAGCCGGTATAGACCACGAAAGTCTTTCGAATTATTTCCAGTGGGGTTCCTTGGTAGAAGATGTGGAAGGAAATTACAGTTTTCGTGGTGGGAGGAAAACCCCAGAATGATATTCTAGGGAAACCCACGGAATGTGGCAGGGACTGAAAACCCAATCCACATGTTGGCCCAGGCAGAATTTTAACCCGGGTCACAGCGGTGGAAGGCGAGGAAAGTACCGCTACACCAACCTGATCCCCCGATTCCTGAAGTGGCTTTGTGCTGTATTTCAGGAAATGGTGAAGAACAAAATCAGGTTTTTAATGAATTATAATTTTTTGATGTTTGTTGTTGCTTCCACAGAGGCAGTGAGCAACATCATCGGTTTCCTGGGCATGCAGCCCTGCGAGCGATCTGACAAGGTGAACGAGGGCAAGAGCTCCCACACCCTATGCCTGGCTGGGGTCTTCCGTGGGGGTCACGACGCCCTGGTCAGGGCCAAGCTTGTCCTACAAGACACCGTCACCATGCAGATTACCGTCCGCAGCACCGACCCGACCGTTAGCGAGGTCATCTCATGCGCTGTGGGTTAAAGGTTAAATGTTAAAGGTCAAATGTTAAAGGTCAACCTGGCTGCTTGTGCAGCTTGTCGAATTGTACTCCTTATAATAAACAGTGTATGGATTTAAAACTTATGAATAGTCACTAGGTGCATATTAAGTAATATCCAATCGGGATTAAACTGTCATTAATATCTAATGAATATTCAAAGCTGATGAATATTAATTTCGAGGACTTGTAATTGAATAAAATAAAGTTGACTCAATCTTTTATTCATACGAAGGACCACCCTGTTATGATAGTATTTGAGGGATCATTTCCAATTGTCTTGTGTTTTCTTCTTTGATCTAGGAGAATAATGCAGTCGACAAACACTTTTACACAGGGAAAAATGCTTTAGAATATGTCAGAAAGCATCATGCTTCTTGAGATGGACATGTTGAGAATTACTCACCATAAAAATAACCCTTGTAACAAACCATAGAAAATGTCGTGTAATTTATGACATTCACTCATCATAATAAGGGTAGTTCTTTGAATGTACTTGATGAAAACCATAGTATTAATGCTTTAATGGATTATGTCACTATTGTACTTTTATGTTTGGTGGTTCTTCAAAACTGTTGCCACTTGTATCCATCATTGGTAATTATTATGTTATTACATGAAAATACTTATATATTGCTCCCGGGTCAATATTGGATTTAAGAAAGCAAACTTTTTTGGCCGTATTTTATCACTGTTTCTCTTCATATTTTGAACCAAATTACTGTTCTGGTGAAAGATAAAACAGTTCTATTGTTCTGCACCCATTTCTTTAACACTCTAAAAGTAGCTTGTGCAACAGTTAAATGTATTCCACTGGAATCAGTCATGTCCCCCCCCCCCCCCCCCCCCGAGTTTGTCGTCACGTTAGATGCTTCCCATATTTATAGACCAAAATACTGTAATTTCCCAATATTAGGCCAAAAAAGTCTGTATCTGGTCAGACCAAAGTTCAGAATTGATGCGACGATGCGAGTTTTGTTTTTGAGGGCTCTTATTTTTTGAAGCATGGATTGTACAGACAAGGTGGGTACTATTTTGCTTTTGTGTGTCCTCATGGTGTCTGCCATCAGTTCCCTTGGTGCCCTCCAACATTTGCCTTTGTGCCCTTCCCCATTCCTTGGTGCTCCTCATTTGCCTTTTTGTCCTCCACATCTACTTGGTGCCCCTCATGTTGTTTCCCTCCTCGTTTGCCTAGGTATACCCTAAATGCTTTACTTCACATTTTCCATACAGCTAAGTCAACTTTTATGACTTGGACTTTGCCTCAAGAACAAGCCCTGCTACACATTCAGCGCAACCGAACCTGTTTTTAAACAGACATGAATTATTGACTGCCGGTGATCCAAGCCAGCTTTAAGACATTGCTTTGTTTGTGTTCGGGTTTTTTTGTGTGTAAATGTGAGTATGCCGCATTTGTTTAGACCATAAAAAGCAATTTGCAAAAAGCAAATTTGAACAAAAAAATTGACGCGCATATAAACTGACATCGACACGCGCGCTGACCAGAGACCAACTAATTTTTTTTTTTTGGCCTTAAACGTCCATAAAGCGTCCATTTTTGGCCTTGCATGTCTTTAAAATCACTCCTAGTTCTAGTGATGTACATGTACGTGCAGCGTAGAATAATGCAGTTTGTTTTAAGCCTGTATCACGTCACTACAACATCCAAATTTGTGTAAGGGCTACACGATCTGTTGTGCGTACCCGGGAAATGGTTGTCGATTGCACAAAACCCAATATAGCTCATGTGATCACAAAGTCAATATACTAACGTATTGGGGTAAAACTGCTTTTACTAGAAGTGTCTATTAATCACTGCTTGTCAGATTGAAGCTTAAGCCATTAAAGTAATCAATAAAGAATTCAAAAATATTCAAAATTTGGTGTGAATTTACAAATTTATTCTTGAGTTTGTATCCACAAAATTAAATGCTGGTTTAAATATTTGGTCATAAGTAGAATACATTTATTGCACAACAACAATTATACATGGAGTGAGTTCAGATTATGGCCATTTAGATTAACATACAAACATGTAGAAAATAATTGCTAACTTCCATCATAAGAAAGACAAAATGGGATTTTGTTTAATACTTGAAATGACATTTTGCACGCAGTATTTTTTATTTTATTTCAAACATTTCCTCTGTCGCAGTCATGGTCTGTCACACACCCATTTGCAGTTTCTGTGTAGTACCGTTTAATCTCAGTCCGGTGCCTATAAGGTATCCCTTTAGTGATGCCAAACAGCCTAGAAGAGACAGGGTGATGATCAGGTACAGCATACCCGACCAGCCGTAGTACTCCGTGATTGCTCCGACAATAGGCCCCTGTAGGACGGTACCCAGACTCCCAAAACCTGCATACCACAAAAAAATTTAAAAAGACAACAGACCATTAATACATCTGAGTGCAAATATTTCATTCTAATTTTCTTCTAACAAGTCTAAATGTGTGTTGTGTATAAAAATTAAAGGTAATGAACATCATTTGAGAAAAAAAAATGTGTTTTTACTGCTTCAAGGGACACTACAATAAATCTGAAGCAGGTGATTAAAAAAAAAATAACCTATCAAAATTTCAGCTCAGTAAATATACCTTTTAAGAAACAAATTGACATGCATCTTCATTTTTCTTGACGTAAAGCCTATGTTTCCGTTGAAAGCGCGATGGTTTAGTCCTTACCATCGCAAGGAATTGATGGTAATTCCTCTTTTGTCGAAAATGACCGCATATTAGGCTTAATGAATTCACAGGATGCATGATCCTATTATTTACTTCCAATAAATTAGGATATTTCATGACATTTTGATGGTTTCATTTTCGAATGTTTGCAAATGTTGTCCATTACTTTTAATTATTCAGATCATAAAGAATAGCGAGTAGGATAAATCGGCTTGCCTAAGGATACAAGGCATGGCCAGCAGCTGGATTTGAACCCCTGACCCACTAATCACAAATCCCAAACTCTGTACCATGATACCACACTCCCCCTCGATCAAAGAGTATATTTACAAAGTTTACCAACCGTTTACAAATCCCGAGACGGACGCTTGGATCTTTCGTCCATCCAGCTCTCCGAGCTCTGACGGTACTGATCCGCTTAGAATAGGATCCACGCCACAGTTGAAGGCCCCGGCTATCAGCATGAGGGTGAAGTTGGGGACTGCTCCCCAGGAAGCAGTCAGGAGGAAACAGACGAGGCTTAGAGTAGAGGCTAAGATGGCCAGGCCACTGCCTAGCAGCATCTGGCCTCTCAAGAACCTGGGAAGGAAAGATCAACGATCGGTCCACATTAGTTGACTACGGCTTGCAATAATATTACATGTACCTATGGAAGTTACTGAATCTTTTTTCAAAAGATGGATGTGTTGTTGCCAGCTGAAGTCAAGTAACTGGGATGCGGCCTAATTCTGAGAAAACATTTTCTGTTGCGCCACTAAGTGATAAACAGGATAGTTTGATGCACCATGATGTGACCAATTGTGCACAATACAACGCCAGGTGAGTCCCAGTCACAAGAAATATACACAGTGTGAAATTCTGGCTATTTTTTGCTTAAAAAGTACTTGGTTCTTGGCTGGTGATCCTCCAAATATTCCATCTGGGGAATTTAAACTGGAGGTGTGGTGAGGGTGGTCGAAATCAAATTTTGTCACAAAGAGCATTCTTAAAAGAGTCTGGGTTGGTGAGCGCCACTGTTGAGTCCGGGAGGTCATTCAAATTTTTAAAGTGTTCTTGGGGAAAATGAAGAAGCATACGAGTCGGTCCGGGTGAAGTTGGAACTGTGTATTGTGTCCTTGCCCAGATCTTCCAGTTTGTGGGGTGATGTAGTTTGTATGGTCAATGTCCATTCAGTATTTTAAAAGTATACCCACACTTGCCTGGAGACAATGCAAAGGCCTTTACCTGCTATTGGAGTGACTGCTTACCTTTGAATCAAGTACCCCAGTGATGCGCTGCCTAGTACTCCTCCGATCTCAAAGCTTGTGGGGAGCATTCCTGACCCTGCCTTCCCATAATGCAACTGTAGGTGACAAGAAATTGGTCATATTTTGAAAAAAATATCTATCACTGCGGTGATTTGCCTCCAGGGCAGAAATTAATTTTTTTTTTTCATAACGACAACTGTGTGTTGAATTTCTTTGCTCCCGGAATGGAAACTCCCACATTTAAACTTATCCTCACCAACCCCATTTTAAGCTGTTCGCACCAGAGTGTATGATAGATAAACACGAAGGGAGCGAGGCCGGAAATATCTGTCAGCGACCCTCTCGCAGCGAGCCAGGCCGGAAATATGAGTGTGCTGCCCGAGGGTGATGGCTTCAACCCGCCTGGCTTATAAAGGTCGAGTGAAAAGTAATCCCGTGCCTCGTTCCGTTCTTGTCAAAATAATCCCAGCATGAACTGGTTACACAAGGGGAAATGAAATAACAAAATTAGGGAAAAGGGCAAAAAAGATATTACTTATGTTGACTGAAGATCACTAAGCAACTGACCTGCTGATGTAGATACATTGGTAGCCACATGAACATGCAGTACCGCACAATCTTGATGCAAAACACAGATATTGCTACCTCTTTCAACATCCTGCATAAAGAAGATCAGTAAATAAATGTAATGCAATTTAAATAGCATGAGAATTAATAATAAAAAATAAATAAATAAAACATACTTATGCTAACTTACCTTTAGAAAGTTTCGAAAACAAAGTTTGTTTTAATAAAAACATCCCACCCCTGTAGGATGTGTATGTGAAGTTCTGAATACAGTGCAATTTCGCTTGATGTCATCAAACAAACGTTATGTCCTATTGTGAGGACACAATTGATCCTTGAGTTGTCTTTCAGAAGAGAAAGGTACCTGAATATAAGGCAACACAAAAAAATAGTTCTGCTTCCGATTACATGGCATTCAAAAATACAGTAGGTAGGTAGGGAATTTTTTTTGCCAATTTTTGTTGTGTACGATCATATGGAGGCGTCTGCGTGTAGTCAAGGGTAAAAGGTAGAAATTGATGGTTTTGGGTGTTTTTTTTCTCATTTTTCCCATAAAAAAATAGGGTAGGGCTGTCAGAATAGGGTAGGTAGAGAAACCGGAAGCAGAACTATTATTTTTTTGGCCTAATCAACTGTCTGATTTTGTGTCCAACAATTTTTCATGAACAATTCATAACGACTTACGGTAATTTCCACAGACTGACGAAGCTAGGTGTCGCGGGGTCCAATTTCTCCGAGACTGCAGACTCCAAATCTAACAAGCAAAAGAAAAAACCTGTCTTTTAAACTACAGAATTTATAACAAGTATCAATCGTGTTTCAATAATTTGTTAAATTTGTGATGAATGTAACCGAATGTGACACCAGAACAATTAAACATGTATCAGCTTTTACAAAGAAAATAAACAGTAACCCATTATTATATTTCATTTTATTTACAGATCAACGGAAAAATCAACAGGGAAATTCAAAGTATTCATCTTCACAATGTCTCTGTTATGTAGCATTAATTTAACTTTCCAAGTTCACATTGAAAATTAAAGGCAAAAGGTTGAAAAACTCAAGATACTGATGAAGAAAATAGTTCCCTTTTTTGAGAGTCTGATTTTATTTTGTCAAGAATGTACACTTTAATTCAAGATTCGGTTCCCAACGTACCTTTTCCTGGGATTACAACTTGAAGGTCTGATGGAGAATGAAGAAACATCAAAACCATTAACCCTATGCCACCCTGTAGGGGAACAAGAATTGGAAGGAAAAACACAAATGTGTCTCCAAAATCAGAATGGAACTTATCATCTGGGCCTAATTTCATGGCTCTGCTTACAGTTAGCAAAAGCCCTGCTTAGTATCCTTTTTCTTGTAGTAGAACATAAGCCATTTGCGAGTTAAATTTGAATAAAATCTGGGACGCTGACTTAATCCAATGCTTTGCACGTTTTAACTTTGCATTCTCCCGACCAAAGAGACTGTTACTATATCACGTGATTCGGGGCAAGCCTTATGCTAGCAACCCCCAACTCCGGCTTGGTCTGGTGTCTTTGTGCCATTCTCATCCATTGTTAACAATGTATTGGTGCTGAGCGTCTCTTATGTAACTATGCAAGAGCTTGCCCTACATCATGTGATATAGCAACAGTGTCTTTGGTCTGGAGAATTCAAAGTTAAAATGTGCCAAGCATTCTGAGCAAGTCAGTGTACCAGATGTTTTTCAAATTTAAATCTCAAAGGGTATAGGTCACTCGCAAATGGCTTACTGCCTGCATAAGGTTAACAAATTTCACGATTTAGCGAGGATTTTGGGATTATGCGCATGCATACATCCCCTAACTAAGGATTCTGTGTGTACAAGGTTGGCACAGACTTTTCTATGGGGATAAGCGCTGAAATCTATGGTTAGCAGTGCCATGAAATTGGGCCCACAGTGCTAAGTAATGTCTGCATTTTATGTAGGTTGTGCGAGTTGCAATATGTGCAAATAACAACACTGTTCAAAATTGGTAAGAAAAAAAATTGTAATCTTGTACTCATACTTACAAGTATGAATGATGGTATGAAGAAGGTGTCTCGCCAGCCATAGCGTGTCTGGAGGTGAACCTGTCAAATAAGACATCGTCAGCTCCCATTGGTGGAGCCCAAAATGCATGATCCAATCAAAGAACAAGGGGCGAGTCAACCAATTACATTTCAACTAGTATCATGAAGTATGGTATTCTGCAATGGGCATTAATATGCAGATTAGTTGACCTTAAGAGTTATTATTAAGCCAATCACAAGTCAAGTCATAACTTTGGCAGGATGAACAATGAAAATGAATACTTTTGTAACGGCTCATTTGTACAGCATGGGACTTGGCTTGGGACTGGATTACTTGCGATGGACTTCTGAATGACGTCTGGAGACTTGTGATGACTTACGCTGGTTGTGATTCTGGTTAACTTCGCTTAAATAACGTGCTGCTCTGGAGTTCATCACCATTAAGAGATACATATAAGCTTTCTAAACCACCAAATAAAACCCCCAAACCCCACAAAGTTCAAATAATAATAATAACAACAGGTTTTTATATAGAGTCTTTAACTAAGATCAAAGCGTTTTACATTATTATTACCCCTGATCATTATATTGGGCCAATGAAACATTCCAAATACCATCTCAGCTCCCTGGGGAGTATACAGCTCCATGCTGCCATTTTGGTGCAAGGCAGCTAAAATCAATCACAATAACCATCTCTGCCCTCACAGGTACCCATTTACTCCTGGGTGGAGAGAAGCAATGAGTGACAAAGTGCCTTGCCCAAGGGCACACGCACCACAACCCCAGGCTGGACTCGAACCCACAACCTGCAGAATTACCCTCAAATCAGATAGGGAATAACTTTTTTCCAACAATGTGACAAGCAAGCATGGAAGTCTTCTACACCACTTACTGCTAAGGCCGTCCCTAGGACTCCTCCGGCAAACGTACAGGTCCCCCAGATGCCAAAGATTGCATTACGGTGCTGGGTGGTATACCAGGCCCCTAGACCCTTGACACAACTAGGCCAGGCCTGCGACTATAGATTGGTGAAAATAAGAAACCTCGTAAAAATATAAGACAATGCTGGAAATATGTAAGATAACACAACACTTGTCAGCATAAAGCATAGCCTTGACCAAGGCTATCAGCTTGTTCCCATTATGAGCTTGTTCCCGCTACCGCACACCGCGCGCGCAGCAACACAATGTTGTACTATACCGTTAGCCCCAACGACCCTTGCGTGTGCTTTGTGTGCATGAACCTACGCCCCACACACACTTCCGCAAACAGCCGTACAGTAAGTCGAGGCGGAAGATAGCCTTGACGCAACCGTGTATGCTGAATATGATAATTAGTACGCGCTATGGTAAATAGTCTTCTCTCATTGGATAACGGCTGACAAAAAAATGAATATTTATTAAATTGCATAATACGACCAAAGGTTTATAAACCAGACGGCCTGTGGTAACAATAATTATTGTAAAACACCCCCTTAAAATCTTAAATAATAGTAGAATAATATTTATAAAGTAACACATAGTTTGGGTCGAAAATGAAAAGAAAAGGATGAAAAATTAGACCTTCAAAAAACGGCAAACGGTACAAAACCGCACGCCGGCAAAAACGATGTCACCATGCACAGAGGCCACGTTTGGGCCGTCCACTGTACGCACCGGCCCGGCTGGCGCCATCAGTAAGACACGCTGCGCTTTCACGTTCAGCGGCACAAAAGCGGCTCACACTATTGAGTATATCTACCGCTGACTTTTTTTGGGGGGGGGGGAATTCTTATAAGCTGTCAAGGGGATATGGGGAAAAAATATCTCTCCTTCAGCAAACTTATTCTGTAAGATTGATTTTAACTTGTATGAACAACTGATAAGTTATATGTCGTATGTACGACTAATATATCGACAGGGTACGACATATTTCGACAGGGTACGACTAATATCATCGACAGGGTACGACATATATGTCGACAGGGTATGACATATCAAACATATGACATAATGTCGACAGGTGCCGGTACGACATATATGTCGTGCATAAGTCGAGTCGACAGGGTACGATATATGTCGCATACGACAAAGTCGTATATAAGTACGATTTAATATCTCGTGTGTACAAAATATGAATTGTAACTCATATGTTTGACTTGTTTGTCGATTATGTCGTACATACAACAACATATCTTGTGAGAACGCCTTGTATCTCGTGCGATTTACATCTACGACTTACATGTCGTACGTATGTTGTAGGTACAACATACGATTCATACGTACGCGTTAAAATACATGTGTCGTACGTATGAGATGTATGTTGCACATGGTACGAATTCAGTTTTTTTCACCATGTACCTGACAGTTTCATATCATTTCCATCCCAAAGTCAATAGCTCGTTTCTTGCAGTTAATTCATACGGGTGCTTATAGATACGAGTTAACCTGCATTCGATTAAATGGGTACGATTTGACCTGGGTCCGAGTTGACCTGTTCCCTACATTCGCTGTCAGAATAGCACGGGGCAGGTAGCGGCGTGATAATGTACGCTGTTGCACCGACAAAACGTCGGCGGACTGTCTTGAACTGTCCAATTCGCAATACATTGGAAATAGTATCATTTTGAACGATTGTTCACTCATATAGCGGCATATTTAATTTGTTTGTAATGGGATTGAAATACCTGGACATATCATGGTTTGAGTGAGTGAACATACATGTACATGTACGTGGTGTATGCAGTAATTTGCGGGATCATGAATATGTATGTCGCGGGTCAAAGTTTACGGGCTTTGATTGGATATCGTGTAATATATGCGCATCAGAAATTTTCGGCCGATTTCGGTCGAAACTATAAAGAAACACATAAGGAATTCGCCACGGTTGCGTCAAGGCTATCTTGCGCCTCGACTTAGTGTACGGCTGTTTGCGGAAGTGTGTGTGGGGCGTACGTACATGCACACAAAGCACACGCAATGGTCGTTGGGGCTAACGGTATAGTACAACATTGTGTCGCTGCGCGCGCGGTGTATGTGCGGTAGCGGGAACAAGCTCATATCGGAACAAGCTGATAGCCTTGGTCAAGGCTACATAAAGCAGGGCCTAATTTCATGGCTCTGTTTACCGTTAGCGAAAAATTCTCGCCTACTGCACCAGAACATTGCGTGCTTACGATAAGCGTATTTCATGGATTAGCGAGGAATTTTGGCTTATATGCATGCGTATAATCATATACTAGTTTCACAAACTCATAGCGAAACACGGCTGCTGCAGCGTGTGTAAAACTAAGGCCGTTCAGTTGCCCATAGACCTTTATCATGCTGCCACCATTTCAGTCATATTCCCTGTATCAAATAACAGTACTGAATGATAATGTTGTTTTTGCAAAAAGGAACCAGACTTTTTTTTCGCCTTCCAGCCTCGCTTTGGTTACGTTGATTTGAATGGGAAGAAATCAAGATGGCCACAACATGATAATGATCTATTGAGTGAAGTCACAACTTCAGTAATATATTGTGATATTATGGAGGGCTGGCCAGAAGCCCACAGGCTAAATCTGACCCAATGATTTGCAATGTATAAATTTACATGTTTTATGAACAACTTGAACCAGGGTAAAGCCAACCTGAGCGGCTCCGTTGATGAACAGAAGGACAGCATAGATGTAGAAACTGTGCCACAAACCAAAAGATGCCTGGGAATGGGAGAAAAGGGGGAAAAGCATGTAAAAAAATGTCAAAAATTCATCAAACATTGGAGGATTCAGATCTGTTGAGTTTCAAAAACAAGGTTGTGTTTTTCATTGCATTACTATTGTTCAGTGGGATTTTGATGAGAAAAGAGGTACATTGTTCCTCCTCTAAAAACATGGCTACAAAGTGGTTTCACCTTTCAGAATTATCCGACTTACCATAGACATTGCTGATGTCATGAGACAGACGGCTAGTGTCCTACGAGCACCGTACTTGTCAGCACTGGATCCAAACACAATCTGGAAGAAATTAAGGCAAGATTGAGATTGCAAGTATCTGTCATTTTGTCTGTTGATCTAACTAGTTGATCATGCTAATAAGCCTTTTCGGAGTTCCAACTGCGCGCATTCGTAACCTGTGACAACGCACATTGTTTGTCTCGAATGCCCTTTGACAGTACCCACAATGCACAAACAGCCTTTTTGTAAAGTCAGTGGCGCGATGTTGTCAAAGGCCATTAGAGACAAACAATGCGCGTTGTCACAGGTTACGAATGTGCAGTTGGAACTCCGAAAAGGCTTATTTGCTTACACCAGAACTATACACTGTAGGAAGTGCGGACAGCTACCTCACAAGGCTATAAAATGTAAATCAGCTGGCGACAACGGATCGTGTTGGCTTATCATTTTCTTTATTTTGACGCCGGATTTCCAGTGATGACCACATATGGGAATAGATGAAGTTATTATTCAGAACTTGGTCCTGGACGCTCATATTTTTACATGGGGAGAGAGCTGGATAGTGTGGCTACATTTTCCAACAAGTTTCGAGTCCGCAGACCAACCATAACTGGATATAAATCCAGCAACAAATTGAAGAAAAAGATTAGCCAACACATTTGTTGTCCCTAGGTGTTTGTCCTTTGCTAGTTGATGTGCATATTGAAGCCACATGAGGTAGCCGCGTGAGGTCGCTGTGCACGCTTGTGCTTCATACAGTGCGTAGTGAACAGCTAGTATTTATGAGAGCAGCCGAGGCTAAATTTGCAGCATGGCTAAGTTTACAGTATCTAAAGATTGTGTAGGACTTGCAAGCTCAGTTGATTGTGCAGAAACATATAAATTCCGCAAACCCATTTCTGATAAAATGCTATTTTTTGTACTGCATGTGATTGGTACATAGTGCAAAGTCGCCTTGCTTGATTGGCTAATAATGCGCCAACAACAAATGGCATTTGTAGTGCAGCGTAATTTCCCACTCACACAATGTCACATCTATACCTGAACAGCTGCATATGGAAATAGCATTGCAGTATCTAGCCATCCCAGATCAGTCCTTGTCATAGACAACTCATTGGATAGATCCGTCTTCACCTATTATACAAAAAAGGGAGGAGAAAAAATACAAATGACAAAAAATCTATGCTGCATAAATCTGGTTTTCGAATAAAAATAATGTTGATGAATATTCAGAGCCTTAAAGGGAAGATACAACATTTGCAAACATCAAAAAACGAAATGATCAAATTATCACGAAATATCTTACTGGACTGTTAGGAATGACAGTCCAAAGCATCCTGTAAAATCGTGGCTCCTGGTGTGCTGGCATTTTAAAGAAAACTTGCATTTTTCCAACGCTGGTCGGCCGACCAGCGTTGGAGAAAACTGGCTTTTTTCAAAAACTGCTCCGCATTTTCTTTGCATTTGTTTTACACATTTGTGAAATAGTACAAGCCTGCTAGACTGATTCTCTATAACCTTACAATGCCCAAAGTCTATAAATTGCTCCGTTTATCTTAAGTGGGGTCAGGGAATCAGACTACAAGAACATGGTTGGTTTTCTTGTTTTTTCCAGCATCTCTGAACCAGAAACGTGAAGTAAGTCAGTTTAACAATATTTGCTATAACGTACTAATCCTCCAAATCCATTAATTTCTGAATATTGCAGCAAAAGCAAATGTTGTACATTCCCTTTAACTCTTTGCAAGCCCATATTTTGGCATATTCTTGTCACTATCACAAACTATCAAAAGACCTGACCCCCACCTCTCTCGGTAGATTTTGTTCAGGCTGGTCACCAACTACCACAAATCCCTCAGGATTACAGCAGATAACTGCCAAAGCCTGTTTAAGTGGTTTGATAGATTGGTTGACCAGTAATACTGGTACAGCTTGTGTAGCAGCCATTTTGACCTGTCAATTGTACCAATATGATGCCAGCGTACAGACCTGTTCAAAATTGTAACCTGATAGATTTTGATCCATAGGCTAATACTAGTGACAGAGTCACTGAGGGAGGGGGGTTAAGATGATCGTGCAAGTTCAAAGATAATTGTGCATTTTTAAAAATTCCATCTTAAAGCAAAGATTCCAAGCCAGTTCGCCCTGGATGATCTTAAAAGCAAAGGTTTTGTGGTATTTGGAACGGATGATGGATAAACCAGGCATGCAACTGGGAAATCACAAAAAAAGAGGAAATTCAAGTTTTTCCCAGACTTTGTACAGTGTTTTTCTATTTTCAATAGCACACCTTGGAAGTTAAAAAAAGAGGAAATCAGCTGATCCGAGGAAAAGTTGCATGCCTGATAAACACGCAGCGCAGGGAACAAGGCCGGAAATATGAGTGTGCTGCCCGAGGGTGATGGCTTCAACCTGCCTCGCTTGAGGTCAAGTGAAAAGTGATCCTGCAGAAACAGACAGGCTGGACATGCTGGACAAGAGAATTAAACATATTTACAGTGTTTTTAATACGAGTTTTCTAGCACGGTTTTACAAGAATTAAAAAACACTGCCATGTGGGCATTGTTGTCCACATCGAGGCTGGTTTGGAGATCGCAGCGTCCACTGCACGATGTGGAAAGTGACCGATAGAGTCTAGAATTAGAAGTTCTGACTTGCAAGTATTTGATTTTACGATGGATTGGTCAACATTTTTGCTCTTTTTTTTTCAAAAAATAAATAAAAATCCAAGCGGCCGCCAAAAAGGAAGAGGGTGGGGATGCTCAACAAGTTTTAATTTTCACTGCACCTAATGGAGAAAAAAATAACTAGTAGATCTTTTCAACACAATACTTACAACAGCTAGGGGCTTTCTAAGCAAGTAGGTGCCTGCATATGCCGTCCAAGTCAGTGCAAAAATACACGCCTGATGATGCTTGAGCTGCATTCTTCAGTTATAATTTAAAAAATGACAAAAAAGTTGCTTTAAATATTTAGTTGATTAGCCCATGTGGACTCCCTTACCGCACTATGTTACGAAGTGCAGTAAGGGAGTCTGATCCAGCTGGGCTTATCAGCATTTTGAGCAATATATCAATCATTTCAATAATCATCATTTCAAAACTGTTGAAAACTTAGCTTGCGTAACTCCAGCTGACATGTTCCATATTTATTCACATATTCATTCACATGTGAATGAATATGGAACATGTCAGCTGGAGTTACGCAAGCTATTGAAAACTCATGAATCAATCAGTCACCGAGATTGGAGGTTTAGTGCAGAGTGAGATGAGAAGCATTTCCAACAATCCAACATTGTCCACATGTTTGTAAAATGTTCTTGACTCTACCCAGGAAGCTAAATAAAAAAGGACTTTGTACATAACCATAGAAACATAGAGTGGCGTCTAGGTACTCAATTTTTTACCACTTTCATGACTTATGGCGGTACCTTGAATTGCCAGAATTGCAGACGACAGAGCAGAGCAGATTCTTGTTCGATGTTTTATAGTTCTACAGCATCTGTGTGAAGTTCTGTGGCGCGCTGATGGTCACTTGAGGGCGCTCTTTAATAAACAACGGATATCAAGTTGATTCAAACGCCGACAAAAACAGGTGGATTTATGAATCAACGTAATTAACTCTGACGCTTTTTCGTTGTTAAAGACTGGGTAAGTCAGTAGCGTATCAAGCTTTTGATTCCGGGGGGGGGGGGGACCGCACTCGCACATCCGCGCCGAAAAGTAGACATTTTTTTAAGGGGGGGGGGGGGCGGCAATGGCCGGGGTAGCCCAGGTTGGACGATGAGCATTACGACTGTCGTCCAGGATATAAATTCTACCACCATGTCCTTTTAACAAATCCTTCAGAGCGATGAATCAGAGAAAGAAAATACCTGCAACTAGTGCAAGGAATTGTACTATTTGTGGGATCCGATTTAAAAACAAAAGAAGGCAGGCAGTTATTATTATTATTCTTAAATCTTACTTTTTGTTTTTGGGCTTTCTTCTACGATAATGACAGCAATCCAGATGTGTTTACTAATACTAGTACTGTCGAGCGCAGTTTGAGTCCCCCGCGCAAGTTTAAACTTGCGCGCGCAAGTTTAAACCTGCGCACATGCAAGTTTAAACTTGCGCGCGCATTAATTTCCTTACTACAAATTGCGCACGCAAGTTTAAACTTGCGCACTGCATACTCCTAGAACTATGAGGCTACAGGTAGTGGAGCCTCATAGAGGCAGAACCCCGCAAAATTGTTATCAACACAAAACACTAATTAAGTACAAAAACGTCCATCCCAACCAAGCTGTTTCCCACAGAACCGCTGCACAGTTTGCCCCTAAACTCCGTACAATACCTCATGACATACTCACGTTATGTGCACCCAACAAACATGGGTGGATTCTGTCTGTTTTCGGCAAAAATGTTGAAAAATATGCCCTTTCCGCACTGAGCCAACCTAACACTTGAAACGAGCACGCGCGAGTCATTTTCGGTTCGATCGCTCGGAGCGCGCCGCGGGGGGTATGGTGTAGGAGCGGAACGATAGTATGCGCATGCGTACAAGTGCAAGTACGTACCCCCCGCGGCGCGCTCCGAGCGATCGAACCCGAAAATGACTGCGATCATTCTGCACGCGTGCTCGTTTCAAGTGTTAGGTTGCCTCAGTGCGGAAAGGGCATATTTTTCATCATTTTTGCCGAAAACAGACAGAATCCATCGATGTTTGTTGGGTGCACATAACGTGAGTATGTCATGAGGTATTGTACGGAGTTTAGGGGCAAACTGTGCAGCGGTTCTGTGGGAAACAGCTTGGTTGGGATGGACGTTTTTGTACTTAATTAGTGTTTTGTGTTGATAACAATTTTGCGGGGTTCTGCCTCTATGAGGCTCCACTACGTGGAGCCTCATAGTTCTAGGAGTACGCACTGCATATAAAATCAAATATATATATTATCCAATGCATATATCAAATTGCGCTCGACAGTACCAACACAATTTATAATCCCAGTAATCTTTTTGATAGTAATTTGATGGGTTACTTTTTGATCCTGTACATGCTTTTAATCTCAGGGTGATAAAATATGTAAAATATCTTTGTCATATATTATCCAAATCCTTTTTATCAATTCTTAAAGTGTCATATGTTTGATCTGTTTTTCAACAGCCGGTTCAGCATCCCGCAAGAGCATCATGTGGGGACCTTTAGCGATGTCCCGCCTCCGACACAGCGCACTAGCCTCGGCAGATAAGGCACCTGACTCATGCTCTACACTCGCAGACAAGCTGCCCTACATGGTGTTCAGCTGGGGAATTGGTCTGGTTACCTTCCCCTCCTGCCTTGGACTGATTCAGGTGAAAACAAATCAGTCAACCTGAGCTACAGTCTGGTTCCCTGGCCTGACTATTCCGTCATGTCTCAGGGTCGTATGTAGGTCAGGATGAAGTCACAGTCCTGTGTCCAAATTATACTTGAGGGCCTCAAGTTGAGGCACATCACCTATAAAGTGGGATTCAAATACTTTCAAATTATGAGCTTTGATAAAAGTAAAGTAAAGTCTGTCACGAGCCAATATGGCCCATCAGGCCGGCGTTAATCTCCATTTTCCATGTCACGAAACGACTGAGAATATTTCTATTCCCCCTGGATGGGATGCTAGTCCATCACAGGTTACTCCCCAGCTAATACCGGTACCCATTTACACTCCTGGGTGGAGAGAGGCAAGTGGAGGTGAAGTGGCTTGCCCAGGGATACAACATAAGACCAGCAGCTGGATTCGAACCCCTGACCCTCTGATCATGAGTCACCTAAAGATTCTGGCTTTGAAAAGCCGGAATTTTAGGTAGAGTGGAAAAACCAGAAATTTTTCTCTTTTTTTCTGTACACTAGAGATATCTCTCTAATGGATATCAAGAGATTAGAGTAAAAGAAAAAGTCCTCGAAAGTATACATGTATTTTGATAACTCTACTTCCCTCGGTAATTTTACTAGGAACCTTGAATCTGTGTATTAACCTAATAGAACACTGGACAACACGCAATCGTTGATGCTGAACAATAAGCAACATTTTCATACAATTTGGAGACAATGGACAGGGCGTAGGGACAATTCCAGCATCACTGACATCACACATCACTGATCAGACATTTGTTTGTTCTTTAAGAGCTCTGTGAATCATGTACATGAACATCTTCATCCCTTAAAAATTTGTTAAAGAGCCATTTTCCCTTTAATTTACCGTGAACTCAATTTTCACAGATTTTTAACATATTAAGGGAGATTAGGAGTCCATGAAAAGTAGGAAAGTCCTTTGTTTAGCCATGGAGACAGACACAGTGTACAGTTATGTATAACCAATGATAATCCTCAGTGGCCAGGGTCATTAAAAACGGTGGAAAAAAAATTACGGGATTAGTCCTATAAGCCTGACATAAATGTCAGTGAAACATCTCTTAAAAATTCATTTCAAGAAGAAGTGGACTTTTAATGAAAGTTTAAAGGATCCGATGTTCATAGTTGTTGTCAAGGAGATTACGCAAGTGGTTTTTGGACCATTTCTCTGAATCATTAATTAGATATCATGGTTAATTGGCTCTGTCACGGACATTACATTTTGGGGAGTCAGGTTGGCGTAGCGGTACTTTTCTCGCCTTCCACCGCTGTGACCCGGGTTCGAATCCCGCCATGTGGATTGGGTGTTCAGTCCCTGCCTGATTCCATGGGTTTTCCCCAGAATATTCTTCTGGGCTTTTCCTCCCACCTCTGAAACTGTTACTTCTTCTCATCATCTTCTCTCTACAGGTTTCTTCAGGCTTGCGAGCTACAGTGCCTAGGGCGCTTCTGAGGAATCCTTGGTTTCATTACCAGAAATGATTAATAATAATAATTAATAATTACACTTCCTTTCATGAATGCTGGAATTACCAACACGCCAAATCCTTGATGTGACTTTTATTCCCATACACCATGGATAATCCATTCAGGTATCAACCTTTTGAATTTCTTCTTTTGTCTTTGGTCTGAAGGTGTTGGTGTTTCGCCCACTGCGTCTAACATGTGCCTTGTGGGGTTCCAGTTTACTAGGCCTTTGTTCGGTGGGTGTCTCTGGCTTTGCGGCATCAGCAGTTACGACAGGATGTGCGGCCTATCTTTTCAAATTGGACAGAGGTCAGTTGAGTAAAACGCTCAGATGAAACTTGAAAACGGTCGGATAAATTTTACTTTGGTTTTTTTTGCCTGGAGCACAAAGAATTGTATTTAACCAAATGGGACAAGTTTGACTTCGTTGAAATTGTCAACTTTGTGTTTCAATTGTGGAGTGCCGTGGTCTAGTGGTCTGGAGCGTTGGATTTGTGGTCTGTGGGTAATTCTGCAGGTTGTGGGTTCGAGTCCAGCCCGGGGTAATGGTGCCTGTGCCCTTGAGCAAGGCGCTTTGTCACTCCTTGCTTCTCTCCGGCCAGGAGTAGATGGGTACCTGTGAGGGCAGAGTTGGTGACTGTGAGAGGTTGATTACGGCCAAGAGCGCCAAAATGGCTGCCTATCGGCCGTGTATGCTCCCCAGGGAGTTGAGAAGGTTTCAGGAGTGTTTTCCCATTGAACAGGGATAATAATAATTGTAAAGCGCTTTGATACCTCGTTTAAAAGTGCTATATAAATGCCTGTTATGTTTACAATGTATTAATATTATTACAAGACTTTGATTTCTGTCATGATGGTTAAGAAATATTGCAGTTTTTTTCGTTTCAATTCTGCAGTGTTTTCATTCTGTCCTGTTCATGTAATTTGTTCAAAGACAAAGCTTCAATTGCACTCTTGCATGTAGATGATACATACTCTCAAAGTGAGATAGTATGTTAGTTAAATGTAATTTTATGTTGTTGTTTTCTAGATTCCGTTTGTAGTCATAAGTTTTCTGGATTGCAAGAGACGGCCCTCTTGTATGGGATCTGTTCATCCGTTGTCTTCCTGTGTCTTGGCGGGAGATTCAGGTCTGTGTTGCCAAGCAGTTTAATCCATCCAGGTAATTGCAGTGATAGTTGTACGGATTGACTTTTGGGCATGTTTCAGAGCCTTTTTATAATTACAAGAGTCTTTTCCTTTCATCATGATACTCTCCAACTCGATTTAAGCTCAGTTGGTGGAGTACCAGAACGACAATCCGGAGATCGCAGGTTGAAACCTAGCCCCACAAATGTGGCCAATTTTATACTGGACTACCTCCGTAAATAAAGGCCACACTTGGCACATGAACCCGAATATGTAGAACTTTGTCAAGTTTTTATTTTTCAAATTTAGACTTTGTTTGTAGTTTATTTATACTTCAGAAGCACACTCACCATCTTTAAAGCGATAGAAAATTATTCCTCCCTTCTTCAGACAGCTGCATTTCGTGTAATTTCCAGGTTCATTTTGCACACGTTAGCATATCTAAATTCCAACACGAAATTTCACGAAAAAATAGACATCTGAAAAAGGGGGGACTAATTTTCTATCGCTTTAAAGAGGGTGAGTGTGCTTCTGAAGCATATTAAATAAACTACAAACAAAGTCTAAATGTGAAAATAAAAACTTGACAAAGTTCTACATTTTTGGGTACATGGTCCAAGTGTGGCCTTTGTTTACGGAGGTAGTCCAGTAAATTGGCCACATTTATGGGGCTAGTTCAAACCCTGCTTCAGTTAATTTCTTTGTTCAACTATTAAAATGATCAACTAAAGCCAACTGACTGCTGCCAAAATAGTTCTCATTTCTTCATTTCGTGTTGCAGAAGGGACCAGTAAGGCCATAATTGAAGTGGTACCGTCATAGCTCATGTTATTCGGTACAAAGTTTTATTTAGTTGGACTTCCTCACAAAAGAGATTTATTCACATGGTGCTACCGCAAACTTATCTTGTCTTTGACTTCCTCAAACGTTAGAAAAATGTACCAGTACGTCGGTTTTTGGACTTTCCTCCAGGTGTCTTGGCTATCTTCTAATCCTAACGAGTCATCTCATATTGGGATAAAGTTGAGAACAAGTTAATCATCAATTTGCATTCAGTATTGGATTCTGAACAGTTTCCCTTGACTATTTACGCAATAACAGGGTCCCAAGCCACTCTGGAAATCAGGGAAAACCGTGAAAATGGATTTCGTTTTTCCAGTCGGGAAAAACTCATGGAATTTGGGGGGGGGGAAACAAAAGTTGTTAGAATGCAGTATGGATACTGTATAAGATTACTCCTAATCCAACACGACTTTTCTTCTCCTTTTATGACTTTTTTGACCAGGAGCCTTTGCCAGGCAGGGCCTCTCAGCAACGTTCAGTTATGCCACAGCTAGAAAGAAGAGATCGTTGCGGGTTGTCGGCAAGCGACACGGTTGCCACACATGTGGTAGGAGATGGTTCGTTAAGGACTTCATCGCTGACCATCAACCTCCACTGGCGGTAATTTGAATAACTTCAGGGTTTTTTTTCCCCAATTCATTTTAGCCAGTGGACCTTGTGTAAGATAAACGAAAAAATCTCCACTGAAATGACTGTGAAAAAAATCACATGTAAATATCGAAGAGATGCTTACTAACTAATTGCTATTAGAATCTTTCTCTGTGCTGTTGAGAAAGGGCTCATCATGGTTCAACCAACTCTGCATTGGGTTTGAGTTTTAGTTAAAATGATTTATACACTTGTATTCTTTATGCCATTACTTGCACTTAACTAGTTCTGTGTATTTGTATGTATAAATTTGGAAACACTGTTGATGGTGATTACTTAAATTGGGCATTGGTCGGTCCTTCCATTTGGATAGACTATTTTTGCACTAAAAAAGCACCGCAGTTTGTGATGGCATAGACAGCAGTGTCTGTCATTGCCAAAAATCCTATTAGTAAATTTCTGTGGACTATGAGCAAGCGTAAAAGAAAAAGAGCTTGGGACGAAACTTTTAATCTCTCCCTGTTAAAAACAACCATTTTTTTCAATCTTTCGGTAATAGGTTGTCAGAGAGCGGATGATGAGGAAACCAAAGTGGTACGAGAAGTTTGGCCAACGTTCCCCGAAGCAAGCCTTCTACCCACAATGCACCAGGTGCTCGGACACCCAGGCGGCGCATCTGCGATACGCTTTCCGCGCCCAGTACACCACGCCCAAGTGGCGGCACATCGTGACGCACCCGACGGCGCTGAGATTGTACCATCTGTATCTACCTCTGCCATTCCTCATACCCGTCATAGAGGGCTTTCTTGCTTCGTGAGCTACCTCAGACGGAGCAGGTCCTTCCAATAGGGCTTTGTCGCGACCTGGCCTACATCTGGGTACTGGAAAGTAAGCGTCGCCATTTTAGTAGGAAAGGATCGTATGGCGCCGTTCGCTGAAGGTAGTAGGCAGTAGGCAAGCCTTCATAGCTGCAATGGATGGCAAAAACTGTGAGAAAAAAATGCGGAGCCAACACCCATTGACAGGTCGGCATGATTGTGGCAATCGTACAGGCACAGGTAGTGACCATTATGCCATTTGATAAAGATTTTGCAGTTATTTTATGTGAAAATAAGCCCTGCTGTCTATCGTTTCGGTTTTGCGGTAACACCATGTGGTAATAACTACTGCTTAGAAGATATTAGTTCTGAAAAGAACTTGTCCTGCTTATGATCAACTTTGCTAAGTAGTTTTTTGTTCTGATAAGAACAGTCCTGCTGTAAGTTCTAAACGAACTTGTCTTAGTTTAGATTTAGAACTTACAGCAGGACTGTTCTTATCAGAACAAAAAAACTACTTAGCAAAGTTGATAATAAGCAGGACAAGTTCTTTTCAGAACTAATATCTTCTAAGCAGTAGTTATTACCACATGGTGTTACCGCAAACCGAAACGATACCGATACCCCACCATGCGAAGCCTTAAATCTTATACCTTGCTGTCTAGGTTACAATGCATGATGTGGTTGCTAACTATTAAAATGCTTGCCTACTGCAATGTTGGCCTTATAGTCAGTCAGTACTGGCCCTTTGGGTTCAGTAAAATTGTCTTTCATGTGAAGCGTGCAAAATGTACATTCGAATATGTAAATTTGAATATAGCATTGATGAATATCAAAATACGAATGTCATTAAATATCAGGAATTTTATTTATGTCATCAAATACGTGTCATGTCTTGAGAAGGTCCAGTGCTTCAAAGACCTCTCAAGTTTAAACTCAGGGATGCGAGTGATCGGGCATGCAATGTTCATTTATTGTAAACTTTTTGTTGCAACATTTACATTTTAAAGCCATTTTGAGAAGTTGTATATCTTTTTGGATGAAGTATTGCAATAAAGGCAATAATAAGGTCTTCCTATTATGCAAATTTGAAGAAAAGAGGCAGCAATCCTAAGTTGCTTTGTGGAATGAATGACATGCGTTACTTTCATAAATTAGAAGAAAAATTAAATCAGTGAAACAATGAACACTGACGCTGGGTAACCCAAACATTTGAACATCTTTTGCATGTTATTTGGCCCACATTAAGCATTATTCATAAATACCTAAGACAGTTTACCCATTCCCATTGGTCGAGAGCTTGTCACATGGCCGGTCTTAAACGGATGATAAAGACATGGCTGGCTGGTCTTTAACACTTTTCCAGTGTCACATGAAATTCGGACTCCTATGAAATCTAGTGCCTTTTGCCGTTTTATTGGTTGGACATTCACAATCCTCACGTAGGCATGCGCAGTAGTACCAGTGAGACAGTGTTTGATAGTCCTAAATTCACAATTCACTCACCACAGCTGCATCTGCATAATCACGCAGTATGCGCAATGCAAGCGCCAATCTCCGTAACAAAAAGTACCATTGTTGAGCAGAATCGTTGGTAAATTTTAATTTTTTAACTTGTTTTGACTTTTGGACCAAAAAGTTTGGATTTTGTTTTACCGAAAAGGTATTTATGAATAGGGATAAATATGCGCTTGGTCAGTAGTAAACACTATGTTTAAGACTGGTTAGAGTCTGGAATGCCGATAATTACCCTCAGCTTTGCCTCAGGTAATTATCGGCATTCCAGACTCCAAAAAGTCTTAAACATAGTGTTTAACACCTCCCATTTATTTCCTTATTATATCAACACGTTTAAAGGGAAAATACAACATTTGCAAACATCAAAAAATAAAACTACCAAATCATTTTGAAATACCTTGCTGGACTGTTAGTGAATGACAGTGTAAAGCATCCTGTAAAATCATGGCACCTGGTATACTGTCATTTTCAAGAAAAGTGGTATTTTCCTATCAATTTCCAACGCTGGTCGGCCGACCAGCGTTGGAAAAAAACTGGCTTTTTTTTTCAAATACTGGCCCCAATTGACCATCGCACTTGTTTGCAATCGATTACACACCTATGAACGGGTACAAGCCAGCTAGACTGGTTCCCTGACCTTACAATTCCCCAATGTATGTAAACTGCTCTGTTTCTTCTTATATGGAGTCAGGGAACCAGACTACAGGAAAGTGATTGTTTTTCTTGGTTTTTATAGCATTTTCGAACCCAAAACCTCAAAAAAGTCAGTGTAACTATATTTGCTATATATTTCCAACCCCCCAATTCCATCCATTTCTGAAAATTACAGCAAAAGCAAATGATGTATATTCCCTTTAAACTATTCATATTTCAAAGAGGTATACATGCAGTGCAGAAGACAACCACTTGCTGGAAGTTGACATCTAGTCAACGTCATATTTGTAAACAAAATGTCTCATGGTCTGTAGGCTAGGTTATGACAAAAGTCCCTAGTGATCTGAGCTTCAGATATTAAAAGGAAAAAAGCTCCTAAAACAGAAGAACAAAAAGAAACTAAGAAACAAACGTTGTGTACCCTCAACCAAATCCAATATAAGTTTATTTCATTTTGATTTTTCCATGTATAATTAAAATACACCAATATATTTCATTTTGATACACACATCAAATACACAATAAATGTTTCATTCAATTTAAAGACTAAAATGTCCCATGAATTAAAGCAGGAAAAGGAATGGTCTGATTGAATTCATTAAAGGCTGAACTTACAGTCCAAAATGGCAGTGAATAATCTGTTGCCCAAGGCAGGATCGCTACAATGATTTCACATAGAAATTTGGAAATCAAAAAAATAGAACTACATCAAATATTATAATTCACTACCATTCCTACCAAGTGTTTAATTCGTATAATACATTTAGGAATACATTTAATACTTTAAAATGTGAATGTTGTCACTCTGAATTGTATAATTCCAATCACATGTATAGAAAAAAATCTGCGTTGATACTGGATAAAGGTATTACATACATTTTTACGGTAAAATAATACAATTCAACCCATGAAATTAAAAGTAATGGAAAAAAATGGAGTGGAAAAACTATCATTCTCCGAAACCTTTTATTGATCACAATGCCTTTGGTATGACTTGTGAATTAGGGAATGAAAGTTACATTGGAAATCTGATTGCAAAGATATTTTTAAGCCAAGCCCACTGCCATAAAAAAAGGGATAAAATTGTTGATATACATGTACTTTGTACATGTACATGCATGTATGGTTACTGCAGCATTTGATTGAAGTACTGCAGCATTATTTTCCACATCCACTGTGAAATTTAGTCGCACTTTCGTTTAGTTTCTTTGACTTCCAATAGGTTTTAAACATGAGAATTGATACCGCTTTTTTCTGGTGCTATTTTATTTTTAATCCTACCCTCCCAAGGCCAAAAAAAAAAAGTCTCCGGTTTCTGGTATGGAGCTTGCCCAAAAAGTGATGCGGCGACGCGGCTTTTTTTTTTTTTTACCTGATTTTTTTGCTTTAAATGTGTGCTGATGACTGCAAATGGTGCCCGACTAACCTTAGTGCAAATATATGGGAGTCCAGAGAGGCCACATAAAGCTTATTCTCGACCATAACCCAATCTAAAAACACGTTAAAATTGTGCAGCAGCAGGATTCCAGTCAAACCAGTGAGTTTGGTGGTTTTGAGACATCATCTTTCATTGAAAAAAAAACTTTTTCATTTTGCCGACGCGCATGGCTACGGCGACGCGCGCGCATACCAGAAACCGGAGACTTTTTTTTTTTGGGCCTAAGGGTCAAGTACCAAATACCTCGGAATGCTACATGTGTTGTGTACACTTGTATGGTAGAATTTTGTAGCTTTAGGTGAGGTTAGGATTAATTTCATCATTGTAAGAGCATTGCGTCAGTCGCATCCCGAAGCGTCCGATTGCCATCTGACCTACGTCTCATTCTTACAATAAAGGACACATGTAGCACTGGGATGATCAAATCTGAGGCATATTAACCCTAACGTGCCTGAATCCATCGAAATCTCTACCTCCATATTGCACAAACTGGGGGATTTTGATGGATTCAGGATTGTAAGCCTAGCGGAACTGCAGGATTTTGATGGATTCAGGATACCTCTATATTGAGCTGTTGGGGGACTTTGGCGGATTCAGGATCTCAACAGGTTTACTCCCGCCTAACTGGTGGATTCTGATGGACTCACTGGCCACCAACTTTTTTTTGCATGGCAAAATTGATGGATTTTGGCAGATTCAGGATACTTTCTAGTAAAAGAGCCCAAGGGGTTAGGGATTACGTACTTTGTGTATGTAAAAGCAACCAAGTGGGTATTACTGTTGGTGAATAAGTGCTCAAGTTTTTGGGTGTGGCACCTTGAAAAATAGATTTTCAAATTGAATTGATAATTTTCCATTGAGACATCACACACACAAAAAATCGGCTCATGACAAGTTATCATTTAATTAATATCAACTTTTGAATTCAGAGCGGGACGCTCCTAATTGGTTCTGAATAGGGTGTGCAATTTCTGAACTGGAGTGTGCCATTTGAAACCAGTTCTGAAAACTGTATAAAGGCCTGCAAAAACAAACAAGCAAATGAACTTGTTACAGGACATTATATTCCTTCAAATTTCGTTCCGAAAAGAGAATTGAAATTTTGAAAAAACACGTACATACCAACTTTAATAATTTCAAAAGCTTTATAACTGACAATGTTCCACACAGAGAAAGGATCTTAAAATTCTAAGGTGATATCTTCAACACTTACATAATTTGTAAAAACATCTGTCTACATTTTGATTTGAAGAACCACAATAAAATTCTATGACATCCTTGTACACCTTTGTTTTGTCTTTTAAAGGGAATATACATCATTTGCTTTTGCTGTAATTTTCAGAAATGGATGGAATTGGGGGGTTGGAAATATAAAGCAAATATAGTTACACTGACTTTTTGGAGGTTTTGGGTTCGAAAATGCTATAAAAACCAAGAGAAACGATCATTATCCTGTAGTCTGGTTCCCTGACTCCATATAAGAAGAAACAGAGCAGTTTACATACATTGGGGAATTGTAAGGTCAGGGAACCAGTCTAGCTGGCTCGTACCCGTTCATAGGTTTGTAATCGATTGCAAACAAGTGCAATGGTCAATTGGGGCCAGTATTTGAAAAAAAAGCCAGTTGTTTCCAACGCTGATCGGCCGATCAGCGTTGGAAATTGATACAAAAATACCACTTTTCTTGAAAATGACAGTATACCAGGTGCCATAATTTTACAGGATGCTTTAGACTGTCATTTACCAACATCCTGTTAAGGTATTTCGCAAAAACTTGGTAGTTTTATTTTTCGATGTTTGCAAATGTTGTATATTCCCTTTAATATGTAATTTAAAAAGAGCTCTTTTTAAAACCGATTCTTTCCTGAACATTTCAAATGTTTCATCAAGTTGAATGTTTTCAACTGCATTCCTCTCTGTACGTGCTCATGCTTGCTCTTAAATTAGGCACGCAACTAGGAAGTAACCATGGTAACCATTAGAGGAAAATCCAAACTTTCAAGACTGTACAGTGTTTGTTTTTTTTTTTAATGGCATAAGCAAAGAAGTCAGCTTAAACCGAGGAAAACTTACCTGCCATTTTGGCTCATTTTGTTAACACCTGGCATTGCCATCACAATATAAAAACTGACAGAGTATAATTTAAAGTGGAATATAAAAATAGTGTTTTAAAATTACCATTACCATATATAACATGGCATTTACCCTATCTCATCATAATGATAAAAAAATAGCTTAAATCTATAACAGCAGACACTTTTTTCAATCAACATGTATACCACATTCAGTAGCAGATCAAGTGGAGGCGTATGCCTCCCCCTCCCCCATCTGTCACAACTTTTGGTTATAAGTATATCTTGTCTTTTCCCCCTGTTTCTTCTGCTGTGAACTGTTTATTTAAACACTTCAAACACAGACATTTTCCCCACATGAAAAAAATATATGCCCTGCTTGTATATTTGGGGTTTGCCTCCATTTTTGCTCCCCCCTCCCCCTGCCACTTTCTGTAAATGCTTGATCTGCCACTGGTGTATTCCCATGATATTTGATTTTGGCACAGTTTCCTGGTATCCGACAAAGCTATCACATTTTTAAAAATGGATACTGTACAATAAATTGGCAATTATTAAAGTGTTTTTAATAAAACCGGAGTCTCCAGCAATTAGGAACTCAAGGCGCTGGAAATTATGTCTTATTACAGGTAAATTAAGTTGTATGGGAAATATGAGACTCATTATGTAGCACCTTAAAAGGGTGTATAAGGTGCTGCGGCACATATTGCAGCCACTGCCAGAAACACCGGGGCAAACCCCTTCTCTTAGCGATAAGTGTTACTGGGTTCTTTAACGTGCATTACACAACGCACGAGACCTTTACCATATCTAAAAAGAACATGTACATCCCTCAATAAAAAAATAGTTTTAAAAACCATACAGTAGGCACTTTCCATTCAACAGATATATACAAATATTTTAAATCCAGGCTATATAAAATATAACTGTAAAAAGTCAAAACTGAGTTAACTGAAAGTACCGAGTGAATACAAAATTTATAGTGGTGGCTGTCTGCTGAAGACATTTTGAAGTTGAACCATCACACATTGGCATTTGAAAAATGGGATCCCAGTTAAGTTTATTATCCGTGATCCGGTATCAATAACAACCACGTGAAATCCTCAAAAAGTACATTTGCCCCACTTAGTGTTAAGCAACATAAGATCTTTATAAGCCAACACATATTGTGTTTTATAAAAACAGATGAAACAAAAACTCTTCAGGGCTTCTGGTTAAAAATATGGTTGTTTTTAACATTTTCAACATTTAAATCTTACCCTTTACAATGCCAAACAAAAATATGGCGAACAAAAGTGGAAGCCAGTTTTGACGCGGAACCACATTCGCATGCATGCTGCATGAATTCTTAAATATACAACTTATGTGCATTTTGGTAACTCGGGCTATCGGTCCATGGGGCCAGGAGTGCATGCATGTACTACCTGAGCGCGAGTCTGGTTCTTCATCAAATATGGCTTCTAATTTTGTTTGCTAAATTGGTTTATTTAGGGTCACAAATCCGACACACACAAGACAACCTGAAATTAAAAGAAATTCCATTTCAAGTTCTAACCAGTCATATCTTGTTTTGACTATACCGCACCATAAAAACATTCAATTTTGTAATTTTGTCTCTAAATTGTAGAGCTTACAGCTCGATATGACCTGGATTATAGATCTGTGAGTACCGGTAGGTCACCATGGTGACGGGAATATAAGTACTAATCTGACCTTTTCAACTGGAGACACAAGTGTTCACAGATATCTCCTTGTCCTACTCCAGATCAGCCAATAACTTTTCCTGGTGTGGGCGGATCTGAAAAAGAAACAATTGGAAGACCTCGTCATTAAGGGCATATAGGACTATTTGCATTTATCCCACAAGTAACATACCGACAGCATTGGTTAAAGGTAAAGGTAAATTAAGGGGACGAACCTGTGTTAACAGGAGCGGAGTGCCCATCTCTCTTTCTTTAGTGATTGGGCCAGACTCATATGCTGCTGTGGGGGATTGCCACACCTCCTCCACAGCGAGTCTGTTACCTTCCCAGCACTGAATAATGCTGGTACCCATACACCTGGGTTGAGAGGATTAATTGAGGTAAAGCGCCTTACTCAAGGGCACAGCACGCATGGCCACGGCAGGGCTCGAACCCACAATCTCACAATCATGAATCCTGAGCTCTACCGCTAGACCACACATGCCCATTATAGCATTGGTTGCGATAGGCTTATGCCGTGCTTCGAGTAAATATCAAGAAATAAATAACACAAAACCTGATTGCCAGAATTTGGTATTTATTCTAATTATTTTTTTCATTGATATATTTGTTTAATTGAGAGCGGTTCCACTCAGCTAGGGTAGGCAGTAATTTGAAAGATGGGTGTTTTTTTGCTTGGGACGGGAGCCCAAAATAGGGTCGGTCGGAAATGAGAACCAAAGAATATAACAAGGGATGCCCTTACCTAGGTTAACGTGGTACTGGATGAAGTCCAGATACTGCGAGACCCTGCTGTAGACTCCCGGTCTGCCTGGCCGAGCACACCCCAGACCGAAGCTAGTCGCTCCTATCAGCTGCCATCTGTTGTCACTGTCTTTACAGACCAACGGACCTCCGCTATCACCCTGTCGATGGAGAAAAATCAAATAAAGTTTGGTTTGGTTTATTTCATATCATCCAAGATAAAGTTCAAGAAAGTCTGTACAGATAAATATGAGGGATAGCTGTGGGGTTTCTGCTTAGACAACACAAGAAATCAAGTGCGTTTTTAATGAGAGGGTTGGTTGGGGAGGCTGCCCACCCTCCCCCCTCTGACTGGTTGGCTAATTATAGACGTAAATTTACCTTATTTGATTAATACGATATTCACTGAAAAACTCCCACACATTCATGATTTTTTTTGTTCAAAATAACAACATTTTGGCAGTCGTAATTTGTTGATTCAGGTCTTTTGTCTCTCTTACTATTGACACAAACCAAAATCTTGGACTCCACAACGCTCCGCCTCACTCCCCCCCCCCCCCCCCTAGACCAGGGGGACACACTACTTTAAAAATACCAACTAACAGGGTAGGGACTAGACTGACTAAAAATTTAACAATTTGCAGGGGAGCCACTACTATATATTACATGTAAAAAAAATAATAAACGATAAAGTCTGTTCCACACGCACAATACACAATGCACACGTGCACAGGTTGCTGTTATGTGTTGGTTCATGCAGTGCTTGACATCACGTAGCTGCGATCAGCTGAATGAGAAAACATGACTCGGCAACTTTTCAATTGAAATCGAGATCCTGGAATATTGCTTTCTCGGAACGTACAGCATTCACTGAGCTGAAACTTCATCAGGTTAATTGCTATAAAACACCCTTCTTCAGATTTTGAGCACTTTTGTTGCTTCAAACGTAAAAAAAAATGCACAAATGACAAATAATCTAAATGTGCAAAATAAATACAAGCATATAGGTGACTGTACACTGCCTACCTGACACGAGTCTTTGCCACCCTCCTCATAGCCAGCGCAGACCATGTATTTAGTGATCAAATATAAATCCTGAAGAAAAGCCGTGCAATTCTCCAATGGGATAAGAGGAAGGACTACCTCTTGCAGGATGTCGGGAAAAACTGAACCTGCATAAGGAGAAAATCACGGTCAAAATACAAAAGTGTGAAATCAAATTAACGACTCATTTTAAAGGAGCACCCACACTTTGGTTAATTGACAAGCTGAACTTTTCTCTTGAACTTCTCGTTTGGCCCCACACTGTACAAAAAAACCCATTGCAGTATTAGACCTGAGGACAAGTCGTTAGACATGCAGTCGTGTTTTGCCCAACGAGGAATTAGCTTTCGACCCCACGTGCAATCGATTTGTTCAAGGCTGTGTTGCATGGCAACTCCACCTTACCCTGTATTGTCTCCTTAATGCTTGAGTTGAATCCAGCAAATTAATCCTCAAATTGTATCGTCACATTTGGGGTATTGATAGTGGAGACCACGATACATTATGTACGTGCACAGCTTAAATGCGTGCTTGGTCCGGTATATACCTCGCACGCATTGACTTCAGCACTGGTCATTCAATAAGACGACCCCCAAGATGGACAGAGCACATGCGTACAGCCTAGAGGGGGTACTTGATATGCTCACTTACCGCCTTCCTGAAGAGCTCCCCAGCCGGTGGCGTAGCAATTCTGGTATATTTCCGTCTCGTTCTGCGCGGCGTTCAAACACGCCGGTCGGACGTAGTCGTTGAATTCCAGGGGAGTCTCCAGCTTCAGCACGGCAATGTCGTGTGATACATCATATTGCTCATTGTCGTCGTACAACTGATGCGCAGTGGCTTGGCTGACTTTGGCCAGTTGGTAATGGCTTCCCAGGTTTGACAAATCAAGAACGCCGGCTAGGACCCAAGCGCTGACACCGCTATGAACATTGTGGGAAAAATCAAGCATTGAATTTGGTTTCATTGAATGTTATTTATCCAAATGTTGTCTGAAGGAAATGGCTATAGTTGGCTGGTATTCACTCTTTGCATTTGCAAACGTTGAACACATTTCAACTGCGAGAAAATCTCGCTACAGCTGTTTTAAGAGAAAGGTCAAAGAAAAGCATCAAAAATTCAAACAGAACTAAAGTCACCTAACTTTACGAGAGTCTCAAAGCACATAGCTATAAGATTGTTATGCCAAACGGAATAAGAAGCAAAAAGGTTCCCCATCGATTTCAAATCAGATGGCCTAAATTGAGATGGGAATGCACAATATTCCCAAAAGAAGAGTTCAAGTGAATTGGTCACAAATTTTGCAGCTCACCTTAGTTCTTTAACTTTAAATTCTTTATTTGCTGTCTGCTTTATACAGGGTGGCCTTATCAGTTACAAAAACTATCCATAAGGGCCCTGGTTCATATTACATAAATATTAAGAAATTGAATTAAAACAAAACAAAACAAAAAGCATATACATGTATATCATTAACAAAACAAAGATTAACAATCAAATTAGACATATAGAAGAATACAGACAAAATCCCCCAAAGAGTCAAAATAAAACAAATCCTCAATTGAAAGATTGATATATTAATCTTGAATATATAGAAATCACTCGCAATCAGTGCAGCAATAAGCGTGTTCTATGGAATCCGTTCAGAAACAGTAGATGGTTGTTTGAGACCACGTTCAAGACCCCAGAGGACGGGACACACTGTGAACAAGCATATTACGTTCACTGTGTGGACTTTCGAACAAAAGAGGTCCACATAAACCAGGTAGCAGCGACGTTGTGTGGACTAACCCACGTCCACACAATGTTTCCCCCTCTCTGGGGGAAAAAAGGTTTAGAGGCATTTTTGGGTTAGGTTTATCTGTGGCAAACTGAAGAGAAACACTAAAGGGAATCACACAAAAAAATTGGGGTTGAAAGAGATTTCACCGTTTGAGTAAAATGAGGGTTTTTTTCGACAGGTTTTTCTTAACTACACGAAAACAAAAGAATGTCCACACTAGGTATGTAACGTAAACATGCCTTGCGTGTGCACATGTAGGTTTTCGCGCATGTGGCGTACACACAACTAATTCTATTTTGAATGTGCACAAAGACATAGCACCTTCACGTTAGCATCAGGCGTCATCGGTGATGCATTCAAATGGCTCTCCCAGTGGTCTCCTTGGACTCTCCTTTTGTAACCGTTGAGGGGGGTATATACTTGTGCATGGAGCCCACTAAAGCTGTACTTATTCTGCTCTTGCATTTCCATGAAATGGAAGGATCAGGCTCGATCTAAAACCGGGTGCTTAGCAGTACCATAAAATTGGGCACAGTGAAGGAGAGGATTGCTCTACTACCAAGGGAGTTCGAAATTCAACTTACACGCAATGACCAGCTGTGATGGCCCACCGGTTGCTGATCAAGGTGGCTCCACATCGATGGTTAAAATCCTCATCCAGGACAGCCAGCATCCAGGGCCACTCACCCAGCGACGCGTCCTGACCGTTGACGATACGGTTAACGGGGTTGGGTCCCGCTGGAGCAGTTCCGCAGATCCCAGTCTCTAGGATGTCTAAATAAATAAACCAATAATAATCATTCTGCAGAGTCACTGAAGACCAAGTGACTATAATTTTAAGATAGAAGTGTATAGTTCTGAGAGAAAAAGAGCTGAGAGAGAAAGAGCTTTTAACTTGACACTTTTGTCAGTATATGCTCTGACCGTCAACTGACAATCCCCAAAAGTCTAGTTGATACCTCTAGTTTCCGTCAGAACCACACTTCTCTTGTTCAAAGAAAAGGCTGCCGCGGCAGTACTCTACACAATGCGAATATGAAGCGAATTTGTGGTCAGGAGACGCTCACTGCAAAATTCGCCAGAGTTGCAATGAATTCACCTTTGTGGTGAATTCGCAGTGCGACTACTTGCCATGTCATCACAAGTTTGTGCTTTCGTTCGCTTTCGCGCCGAGTACGACCCGGCCTTTAGTCACCTCATTGCTGTTTTTTTTATTTAAAACTATAGTCCATCACTTGCAGCTATCCAAAAAGTAACTGGCGTAATTATTGTTGAAAAACATACTTGGTTGAAAGATAGTAAGGGAACTAAACTCCCTGTGTAATTATTCTTTCTGGCAAGCTGTCATTTTCAAGTAATCAACGAAAGAAGGCCTTTCCAACGGTGCTTTTTAAGACGCACCGTTGGAAATTTAAATTAGTAGTTCGTTTTGTTATTCGGCGAAGTGCACACAAGCATTGGCACGATGCACACGCATGCGCGGTTGCTATAATTCGTCGGATCAGTGCGCGACATCGCGTAGCTGCAGTCGGCTCAGTGAGAACGTGTCTCGGACGCTGAATTCAGGCCCAATGCGAAAACATGATTCAGCAACTTTTGATTTGAAATTGAGATCCTAGAATGCTGTTTTTCTCGGAATATCCAGCTGAAGCTGAGCTGAAACTTCATCAGGTTAGTTGTTCAGTACCCTTCTTTAGATTTTGAGCACTTTTGTTGCTTCAAACGAACAAAATGCACAAATTACAAATGATGGACTATATCTTTAACAGCATCTAGGATCAACGGTAAAGCACCACAGATGCAGAGTTGGTCCAATGGTGTGAGCTGAGGAAAGGAGCAGTCAATAAGCTCTTTTCGGTAAGTTATATGGCTGGCAGATATGAACAAATTTACCTGTACTAATTCCGGGGATCTCCAGTATTTGAGACAAGAATTTTTCTCAAAACTCACCATTCTCGTAATTACACCACAGATCGCCGCCGGTGTCTGGCAAGGAGTCACAGATGCCGTCGTTGAAGTTACAGCCCTCCACTGCCCCCTCACAGACGCTCCGACAGACGGCCCGCCTGCTGGATGGCTCGGCCGTGGGGCACTCTGGGAACAGCAACGAACAGATCGCCAGCTCCGACTGGGGTTGGCAGAAGTGGTCTGTGGCCTGTTGGTACTGGGCCATCGCGGAGGCAGCGTTCGTGGCAAAACGGCCGGGGAGTTGGGTCCTGCTGTAGGGGAGGAGCCGGGAACAGTTGGCAATCGGGATGACCTGGCATGTATCTACTGCGTCTAGGATTCCAAAGACATACACGGAAGGTATAAAAGTCACATTGGGCTTTCAATTCCATAGAGTATATTTCATGTATGTTATTCAAGAGCAATTGACAGACTTGTCACTCACTAGGTGGCACTAAAGTTATGCAATCTTTTGCTTCAATGACAGACTTCGTAAACAGGCAATTTAAAAAAGCAATCCACAAATCCAATGCAAGCACCTCAAAAATTAACAAAAACACAAACAGTTGGTGACAAAGTGTAGTGTGAATCTCTTCAGTAAGAGAAGCTCATCAACTGTCTGCATTTTTTTTCTTCCTGTTGAGCAATTACTTACCACAGTCGATTTCATCACTGGGGTCTCCTACACACTCAGCCAGCCCATCGCATCGATTGTCCATGGGCACCACTTGCACCAAATTGCTGCAGTGAAAGAAATCTTGAACGAGAAAAATACCTCATTTAGACAGTGTTCACAAAATAGACAGCATAATTATAATATTCATGTTATTAAACCAACCAACCCCTTAAACACATTGATTGACAATCTAAGATCCCTACATGCCTACAAAGCTAAAAACAATAGCATAGCTCCTCTTGTTTTTGCCCCCTCAAGAGTGAAATCAAATCGACTGTTTCATCGCTGCACCGATTATTGTGCACAGAACAAAGTTAAGAAAAAACAACAGAACAATTGAACGTTTGAAAATAATTATTCCAAAATAAATCTATACACATTTCTGTGGAAAATCCTACTGTTGACTGTAACTTGTAACTGTGACTGTAACAACATTGTGCACAACTCCCTCCATAAACTTATCCTTATAGCTGCCTCATATATGCACTTCTTTTATAACTTAATACTTTTGATCAAGGGGGTCAATCGCTTCTCAAATGTGGGGAGCGCGAAGCATGATACCCAAAGCCCTTACTGCGTGGAGTTCAGGGTCCGCATTAAGGGCCCTGGAAAATGTTTGATTCTAGATGCTCTGCAGTGCAATCTGAGGCAATTTCTGACCACTGTAACCAAATATATTCAGCAAAATTAACATCATCAAATAAACAACATTTTCAAGTCTGGAGTCAATAACTCAGCTATTCTGAGCTACAGAATCGAATATAGGCTACGTACCTCCATCGTCATCATACAGCACCTGCATGCTGACACTGAATCCTGTGCCTGTCTCTCCCGCATCAGACACAAACAGCACCCATGCTTGGCTCTCCGACACCAGGACATAGGAACCGTTGGACAGGATGCCAGGTACCACGGCCACGGTACTCAACGGGTCGTACGGGTCGTGCCCTCGACCAAAGGACAACGTATCCCCAGCGGCCAGATCTGAGAATGTCTGGAAGATGATGGAGGCGTTGGCCACGCCGGTGATCAACCACAAACAGGCCATGCTGTTGACATAATTGGCTGGGTAATCGGTCAACTGCAAGGGGACCGTGACGTCAGGGGCCAGGGTGTAGTTGGACTGACCGCATTGGGGCTCTGTTAATTTGGCAGAGAGAAATAAACAAGAATATGTGAAAGGATTTTCGTCAAATCTTGGAGATTGAGGTTTTCGCCCTTCATAAAGAACAATTTTTATGAGCATTGACCAGCCGCGGTTCTAAAGCATATATTTTAGGGGGCTATATCAGGGGTGGTTCCACAAATTTTCACAGGGATGAGTGCTGAAATGAAGACCATTTTTTTTTTCACCGGACACTTAGCCTCCAAAAAGCAATAGGGGGGGGGGGTCACACCATATTTTAATGGGGAGCGCTGATCAAATCCTACAATCATGCACACTATATTAGTGTCACTAATGCTACTCACAAATGGCTACGCCTTTGTATCTGACGGACACGTACGTTATCATTATCAATACAATTTTCAAGGGGGGGGGGGTGACACAAAAACCACCCCCTTCTAGATCTCCGCCTGGCCGGCTATAGCGAATGTTGGGATTCTTCTGGGAGGGGGGGGGGGGGGGGGAGGGGAGACTGTTTGCATGTGGCATCACCTGCTAACATTCGACACTGCTATTTAAAAAAAAAATTGGCAATTTTAGGGGGGGGGGGGTTTGGGGGGGGGGAGCGCTAAACAACAGTTTGGGGGGCTAAAGCTCCTCCCTATTTTTTTTACTATTTTAAACATCACAGCACACCAGTTCAACGTTAGTTACAAACACAGTATTGTGTCCTGACACATGTCACCTTCCAGGAAGTTGGTTGCCGTTCCCAAATTGCCTCCACATTTTAATTTGCCAAAAACATAAATCAAGTTTGAATAAAAAAAAAGATTCTAAATAAATCTTGAGACAATTAAATACTAAATTTCAAAGATTTTTTTTAAAATATAATCTGGTTCTTTTTCTTTGGTCTCTCATCCACATATCAAGGGTAATCCTTCGCCAACCATTACGAATAAAAATCTTTGCTTCCATGCATTTTCTCTCTTACATCCAGGAAAAAGCACAAAGGTTGGACGAATTGTAGCCAGTGTTACAACTGGACTATTAGAAGCTTCATTTGACTGGTTTGAGCATATACTTACGGCAGCCGATTTCATCGCTGTAGTCCAAGCAGTCGTGTCTCTGATCACATATCTTCTCCGCAGGTAAGACCTGAACACCATTGTCGCACACATCAATATCTGCACAAAAAATTCAGGAAGTGTATAGATAAATGATTCGATGACAAATTCGAGATCATGCAGACTCTTAGAATTCAAACCTATATGCAGGCATGCAGAGAATACTGAACAGTTTTTAAATATATCAGGGTTCCATGTAGTCTGAGTATCACCCGTTCTCCACGCAGCCCATCTCCGGTAGAACGTCTGATATATCTAAGTATGCATGACGTCATTTCATTCCGAAATCAGGACTAAGATTGTGATTGGTCCATTTCGATGCCATGTTTTTGTAATACAACAACCTGTACAAAAAATGCTACTCATCGTGGGTGCGATGTTTATGCTCGCGGGGAGCTCGCATTATGCGTGTATAGAAGTCGCCTGCTGATTGGTCAGTTTCTTGAGGTCATATGCAGTCTAGTTGCATAATTAATCGCTGAATCTGTTTACATATCATAGACCATGGTCAGCTTCACCAGGGCATATAGTCTATTACATAGACTAGGTTCCCAGTGCTTTATGAAAACAAACTTCTCGGAGTTTTCCCCGAAGGTTTCTGGGAAGTCAAGAGCAAGTTGCAGCAAAGTAACTAATAATAAATATACAAGATACTAATAATTAATACACGGGCAACTTATTGACAAGCGATGGTCTCCCTATAAATTAACTGTCAAGTCAATGGACACAACGTGTTGGACACATGGCACAAGACGCACATTATACCAAACTGATGAAACCTTTCCCTTCTGGGCCACTCTCATATTTCATGATTTTTTTTTTATTCCTGATTTTTGGTGTTTCTCCCAAATTCCCTGAGTTTCCCCAACTGAATAAATGACAACTCATTTTCAAGGTTTTCCCGGTTTTCTAGAGTGACTGGGTACCTTGTTTATCCAAGCCTCCCCAAAACAATTTGACAGGCACAATAACAAAGTTTAAAATGCTCAAGTTTAAAAATTTAATCATTTTTGCCTATTGACTTGTTCGTTGGAGGGGCCAAAGACGGTGGACTTGCTCTCAAAATAGAGGATCATTTTTAAAGTTCCACAATCGATCCGACAAAAACACCCCTTTTGCAATGTGGCATTCTCGGCAAAGCATCCCATAGTTTCTCCCTTGCAGAATTGACACAGTAATTCTTGTAAACAGCTCTTGCTGTCAATTTCACCAATGATGTCACACTGAATGAGGGGTTTTGGAAGGGGGGCACGAAAAAACACTTTGCGAGTGTTCATTTACTCTCAATCAATTTTACTGAAACACAAAAACACTGTAAAAAAAAAAAATTTCATGTATTCATTGTTGTTTCCGACAAAAATGTGCATTTTTTTTCCTATTTCTACTTAAAGGCATTTTTTAGAATCATTTGCATTTTATCCCAAAAAGCTTTACTTGGATTAAAGATTGTACTGGTACTAAAAATAAAAACCCCGTGAATTTATGCTGTCTGGCTTGCTGTCATGTAGAAGAAATCAAGAAATGTAGGTGATTTTCAACGATCAGTCAATTGACTGAAGTTTGGAATATAGAGTTGTTAAATGCTGAAATCGTGGTGTTTCTTGATCAAAAGGTTGTGCGTTGTTTTTCACCGTGTCCTCCAAAGTGCATAATATCCACTGAGCTGAAACTTCAACAAGTTAAGTTTTGAACATTTTTCTTTGAATTTTTAATAATGTTATTATTGGAAACGAACAAAATGCATGAAAAGCAAATGATCCTGATATGCCTTTAAAAATAATTAACACCTTTTGATGGGCTCTGTGCACCAACAAAAGAGGGCGTGTTTTTACCACTTTTGAGAGTCCCTTGGATGGGACACCACGTGTGCGTGCTGTACTGGTTCGCGCACGAAATACGCACGACTTATTTATCCTGAATGTGCACAAAGCTAATTGCCATAGCGTCTTCACGCGTGAGCGTCACACGTCGTCGGCGCACAAACACGTTCGAATAAACTTGCGATGGTCTCCCAGACTAATCCCTGCCCCCAATAACTTTGGATCATTCGAAATACGCAGTGGACGGACCAGGAACCAGTCTAGGTCTTCCCCAACTCTCTTTTTTTTTCTGGCCGTAATTGAAGGGGTAATTGTGCACGGAGCCCATACCACAACGCAAAAGCATACCTGTGTCATTAGTGGCCCGGAATTCAAAGTCAATGCCGTAGTCTCCAATCCATACGTAACCATAATAAGCAATCTGCAGTAATCGACTCTGGCTGATGATGTCCAGCGGCTGCTCCACACTCCTGTCGTACTGGATCACTTTCCCCTCTCCGAAGGTCAGAATGAGTGTTTGATAAACAAGGTAAAATTTGACTTTGTGCATGACCAGATAGATCCTGTAGCCTTCCGGGGCAGTCACCAAGTACCCGCACCTACTAAAGGTTGCCGGTGCTAAGCCTGGCAAGAAAGTGGGCACAGCCAGGCTAACGGAGCCTTGGGTTGGAAGGTCAACATCCGAAGGTCCACATGCTGTTGGCAAAATCATAACGTAGACAACAGGTAATTATTTTATAGATTGAATACCACCGAGCAGTTCAATGTATGATCAACTGCAGAGTAGTCATCAAGTCAATCATAAGTCAAATCAGGAGTCTGATCAGAAGTCGACTAATTGGAACTAGAGAACAGAGCACAGTTGCATGGCTGGTTACCCGCACGGCCGGTTACCGCTAACCGCATATCATTATGCACAGCAGGGAGCCATGGATCAAGAAGTTTTGTGACGACGTTTTTGACTTTCGCATGTTGCTATGAGAGCACAGGCGTAATTAAGTACGTCACAAATCTACCATGAATCAACTCATGGTCCTCACCCTGCTCACAATTGATGTGCATGCAATGTTATATGTAAATTATGTAATTATTTGAAAGGTGGTACAAGCAACGTCTTGCTGCTACCAATCGTTAGAAACTTGACTGGCATGTGACTGCTATATGGACCAATGGAATTAGGCACAACATAACAGTGTCTGTACCCGAAAGCAAAGGAGAACAGCTTATTTCATTGTAGGAATGACCTCCCCCATTTTACGCATTAGACCCTGTGCCACCCCAAAACCACCCTGCCTGTTACTCCTCGTACCCAGACCTTGTACCCAAATTGCATCAGTGTTTCTCAAGCACTCAGTTGTATAATAGCGGCGCATGCGGCCCATATTGTGCACAGGTGGCACGAACATCGCCGATCATCTCAAACATTGCCATTTAAACACCAAGTCAGGGTGCCCGGCACTTCATGGAAACAAAAAAATATATTTCCCTGAGAAATTTCCAAAACTCCCTTATATTTCCCCGAGAAGTTTCCAAAATTCCATGAGAAATATTTTCACTTTAACGAGGTTACTGGGAAGTCAAGAGGTGGTGGCAGCAAAGCAACTAAGATACTGATAATATTCACACTGCATAAACATTAAAAAGCCACCATAGCCAGCCAGTCAATGGGCACAACTTGGACACATGGCACAAGAAGCACATACGCCAAACTGGCGAAAACCTTTCCCTTCTGGGTCACTGTCCAATTCCCTGGGTTTTCCCTGACATTTGTGGGTGTTTTTCTGATCAAATTTCTTCAGTTTTCCCTGACTGCTAACGTCTAACAGCAATGGGGTTCTTACCGATAGGACAGAGCGCCATGACTACTTCATCAGTGCCATCCGAGCAGTCAGCGGTTTGGTCGCAGACTGAAGCCCTAGGAACACACTGCCCGCTGTCACACTCAAACTCATCGCCGGCGCACACGGATGGCCCTGTAAGAAATGTTTCCCAAACAAATCTGAGTATCAGAGATGCTTTCCTCACGCTATATTGGAGTTTCACCTCGTGAAATAGATTTGTGATGCGATCAAGCCAAATGAGTCGTTTGTCGACCCTGGTCTTTTTTTTTTTTTTTTTACAGATTTGAAAAGCGCACAATCTCAGCATTACTGCTGTGAAAACCGCAGTAATGCTGAGAACTCAGAACACCAAAAATATTTGAAAATATAGTTACAGTACATTGGTCATAAATTTGGGGTCCACTTTTTACGGTCCCCATTACAGGCATATAGGATAATTTTTCGTCTTTTTTTTGCATTCCTTTCCAATAATAACACCTTTCAAAATCCAAAGGAGAATGTTCAACAGGGGCATAGCACGGTCATTTTTATGGGGGGGGGGGGGCTGGTACCATCTGCCAATGGAGGCGCTGTTCAAAACTGACAATTATGCACAAAGGGCCAATATATGGTGCTTTTCAGAGTGATACATGTGCAAAATTCTGAAAAAAAAGAGGCCCAAAACGGCAGATGCCACAAAAAAGGGCACCAGTTCTTTTTGGAAAAGGGCACTTGTTCAGAAAAAAAAGGGCACTTCGTAAAAAAAGGGCACTCTTTACAAATTATTGGGGGGGGGGGTAAGCCCGTTGAAAAAAGGGCAATTGAATGGAAAAATGCAGTCTTTACACAATATTGGGGGGTAAATACCCCCTCACCCCCCCCCCTTTCAATCCCTAACAATCCAGTAAGATATTTTGTGATAATTTGATCAGTTAATTTTTTGATGTTTGCAAATGTTATTCTTCCTAAGAGTAATTATGTGAAGCAATCGACCTACCCAACAATTAAAAACCAGCTTGAAGTCATTTTAAATGCTAGTTGAATGGCAAATTACACAATGCAGAGGTAACAGGGACAGGAAAAATGCTCACAATTTGGACCCCGATCGAACAGAATGAACCATGTGGGACTTCGATGTAGACTCTTTACAACGAAATTGGAACCATGAAAGTGTTGAGGACTATTTCAGAGTGATTAATTGTTCTTACTTTCCGTTACTTCTGGTGACTCGGTCGTAGCTAATTCAGGTACTAAAAACAAAAACAAAGAAAATCATGACATTAAATATCTTATCTGCAACCAATTTGCATTTTGTTTGAGGACAAAAAGTTGCACACATCTTCAAAAATTAGGTGTGCTTCTTGACGTAAATCGGAGGGGACTTAAAGTATTTATTCCTCTCTCTAGAAAATCTTGAGAAAATACGGGACTTCTTTTGTTACTTTAAGTGGAGGGACCTTAAACTCTCCCTGTGACTGAGGAAAATAATAAAGAAAAAAATTCCATGAGCATTTGTGTCATTTTTATATTCAATTAACAGGGGAAAGGCATATATAACTTTTGGGAAAAAAAGACTGTCCACTTTTTAACCAAGGAAGTAATTGAGTCCTAAATTCTCATCCACAAGACAAACACAGTCACGATTCCCAGCTTTCTTGAGAAATTCCCAAAACTCCAAGGTTGCTGGGAAGTCAAGAGGTGGCGTAGCACAGCTAATTGTTATTGTCTGGAGAGGTGTGTAATATTCACACTGCATGAACTCTAAAATGACATTTTTTTGTCTTTGTTTTTCATTTTCCTTTTTGTTTTTCAATTTCCTTTTTAACCATTTTTGTGTTCACTGTAAACCATGTTTTTGGTTAAGGTTGTTACAATTTGTTTACGATGTGTCTTTGTGTCTAATCCAACCACTTCTTTTGATGTTTGGTTGCAACTCAATAAATTCATCATAATAATAATAAAAAGCCACCATAGCCAGTCAGTCAATGAACACAACTTGGACACATGGCACAAGACACACATACGCCAAACTGGCAAAAACCTTTCCCTTCTGGGTCACCGTCAAATTCCCCTAGTTTTCTCTGATTTTTGGTGGGTTTTTTTTTTCTCCAAATTCCACGAGTTTTCCCTGACTGGAAAAGGGAAACTCATTTCAAAGTGATTTTCAAAGTGGCTTGGAACCCTAAAAGGTTATACTTGACAAAAAAAAACCAGGAAAAAGAATTCTTCCACTTAATACCATCGTAAATTTCAACCGAGCTGGCATTGACGGGGATGCTTCCCAAGCTTCCATCGCTGGCTTCGCTGGTTAGAATAGCCATGACGGCCTGCTGAGTGTCACTGATTGGATTGACCGGGGGAAGATTGATCAGTTGGATGGTGAATTCCACGAAGGTGTCTGGTGTGTTGGCTGCTCTGAGGGTTGGGTCGTCAGATGACCTTTAGCGATGGAATAAAGGGACGTATTTATAACAAAAGCCACTTGTGATGAGGGAAATAAATTTGTGCTTTGGCCGATTTTAAACTAGTACGTTTAAAACTGGCTAGGGCCTGGTCGCCAATTGAATGGCCCAGCCAAAGGCTCACATTTATTCCCATTCATAAATACCTTTTCGGTCAAAAGGTCAACATAAGTCAAAAATTGACAAGATTTTGTTCGACAATTTTACTTCATGTTTTGTGAAACACCCCTCTTTAACAAGTCTATTGTATGTGCCTCGTGCACACAGTGCTAAAAAATCATCTTAAACGGAGATTGGTGCGTGAGCGGCACGTACTCAGTGGTATTGCGCGATGTGGTGCAGCTGTGTTTTACTGGTAGTTTCAGATCACCCACGTGAGGGGCTTTCGACCAACAGGAATGGGTAAACTGTCGCAGGTATTTGTGAATGCAAAATATAGAACATGAACTACAAGCTGTAGGGTTCTGGTGCAAATGTGACGTACAATATTTCAGAAAAATGAAGAGCCTTGTACAGCACTGCCTGCTTTCAAGTTAATGTGACTCTCCATGAACCAAATGAGGTTGCCAGAAGAGATTTCTAATGATCTGCTTTCTCATATAAAACTATTAGAGGTACAAAAATCCCAGATTACTACTTCAGTTTTGTTTGGAATTGGTGGTTTACAAACGTTTGTTGGAAACTGTGATGTGCAATTAATGTTGGTACTTAATTCAAGCAAAACTGAAGTAGTTGAAATTCCATCGTAATCAAATATTATATTGTACATCAGTATATTTCATTATCCCTCAATTTTTCTGCTATTATGCAAAGTAATTATAATTAATTAATTTACTGATCAATGATTTAAATTATAGCTACAATTATTGTTTATTTTATAAGTTTTTCACAGACGGGACCATGTATAGATTAGGCTTCTTCCTGGTTAATTCCCCCATCTGTCACCGTTTATGTTAATAATTAATCAAAGTGTTGAATTAGGATTCTATTAAGTTTAGTAATCATTGTTGTAAATAAATTGTTGCATTAGCATTATATTAATTTGTGACAAATGGAAAAACAAAATTCAAAAGTAAAGCTCTGCAGATAAGTTAGGCATAATAAACAATAAGCATTGAGTAAATCCATCTGAACAAAGTGCTGCTTACTTGAAACTGTCGATGGTGGTGTCTACGTAGATGTATTGGGCTCCCAGCCCACTGTCAAGAGCTGAGTCCATCTATAGAATTGGGATAATCCATATATACTCTGCTTAATTTTACCTGTGTTTCGCACTCTGCATTATGTAATATTGGAAACTATATTAAAGATATAGTCCATCATTTGTAATGTGTGCATTTTGTTCGTTTGAAGCAACAAAAGTGTTCAAAATCTAATGAAGGATACTGAACAACTAACCTGATAAAGTTTCAGTTCAGCTTCAGCTGTATATTTCGAGAAAAACAGCATTCTAGGATCTCAATTTCAAATCAAAAGTTGCTGAATCATGTTTTGAATTGTTTTGAATTGCAGCTATACGCGATGTCGCGCACTGATCCGACGAGTTACACAAAAAAATGTATAGCAACCGCGCGCGACTGTGCGTCGTGCCAATGCTTGCGCGCGCTGCGCCGAATAACAAAACAAACTACTAATTTAAATTTTCCTACGGTGCGTCTTAAGGCTTTCTTTCGTTGATTACTTCAAAATGATAGCTTGCCAGAAAGATTAATTTCACAGGGAGTTTAGTCCCCTTACTATCTTTCAACCAAGTATGTTTTTCAACAATAATACGCCAGTTACTTTTTCGGATGGCTGCAAATGATGGACTATAGCTTTAAACAAAATCTTATATCAGCAGTACTTGAGATTTCACACGACTTGTACATTTTGCTGATACAACTTGGTGCAAGAGAGCTTTATACAATCATTCACTGATTATTCCTTTTGCAAACTGTATCAGAAAAGTCAGGTTGACGGAAATCAATCACAAGTCCTCACAAGTCAATCGCAAGTCAAATCACAATAAGCGAGTTTGGTATTCCAACTGCGCATGTGCACATCAATACTTGCCGATTTTTCTTTCAGGATAAAAATGTCATCGTATGCGTGCAAAAGCATAGCGGGGTACCAGCAAAATTGAAGAGATCATCGCGTTCTGCAGTGTAACATTTTGCGAAACAAATTTGGACAGCGAAGTGTTTTTAGGTGTCTTAGGGTGTCAAACTTTTCTGCGAACGAAAGTTCCATCTCTTTTCAATTGCATGAAAAATTGCACGGAATGCAGATTTGGTAACCACGTCCAATTGTGTGCATTATCTGCCGCAGTTCGAATTTTGCTATGCCGCACCAGACTATTTTAGAATACCAAACTGGCTTATTCTGCCCATTAGCCACTTACACAAGCCCACATAATTAAGTCCCCACAGGTCAATCACAAGTCAATCACTAGTTCCCACAAGACAAACACGAATCCACACAAGTCCACACAAGACAATCAAGAGTCCACACAAGTCCACACAAGTCCACGTCCACAAGTCCACAAAAGACAATAAAGATCGAGTCCACACAAGTCCACACAAGACAACCAGGAGTCCACACAAGTCCCCACAGGTCAATCACAAGTCAATCACATGTTCCCACAAGACAATCATGAATCCACACAAGTCCACACAAGACAATCACGAGTCCACACAAGTCCACACAAGACAATCACGAGTCCACACAAGTCCCCACAGGTCAATCACAAGTCAATCACAAGTTCTCACAAGCTGATCACAAATCCATGCACACAAGACAACCATACAAGTCCATACAATTAAGTCCACACAAGACAATCACGAGTCCAGACAAGTCCAGACAAGTCCACACAAGACAATTACAAGTCAACACAAGACAATAATGAGTCCACACAAGACAATTACAAGTCCACACAAGACAATCACGAGTCCACACAAGACAATCACGAGTCCACACAAGTCCACACAAGACAATCACGAGTCCACACAAGTCCGCACAAGACAATCACAAGTCCACACAAGTCCACACGAGTCCTTCAGCCTCTATTCAAGTCACAAGCTATTCAAGTGAACTGTGACCAATGCAATTTTGGGGTTTTTTTTCATTCAGATTTTGTCCTTTTTTAAATATCACTCAAGCATTTTTTGAATGCACCCTCCTCGTGTATATGTCTTGGTAGTGCAATTGACAGGCATTCTTAGAGTGTGTATACTCACGGCATTTGTGAAATTCTGGCTGAGTCCCACATATTCTGTTGAGGTTAGGTTCTCAAGCTCACTCGTAAATGGAACCAGAAGTATCATGGCGCCTGATAGGGTCACTGCATATAAAGCAAAGGAGAGTGGATGAAATCACATTTGAGACTATTCTATTTTTTTGGTTTTCATCCCGAAAATGACCTATCGCCGTTTGGGAGTTAGCCACGCCCCTTAGACAACCCTATGGAATTTGTGTATGCTAACTTTTGTTTGTCTCAGATGTTGCATGCTCTGGACAACGAACGCCCTACAATGTGTGTGCCCATGCTTTTTCCATTGTTGTGATAATTTAGCATGCACGCTTTAGCTTATACATGACGCACAATTGAAAAGGACTGTGCGTGTTCTGGGCTATATAATCTACCACATTGAGGCTCAGAAAATGCTGCTTTTTTTGCAGCTTTTTCGAGAACCACTCGTCCAAACAACTTCCAACTTGGCACTGCATTCTGTGGTCCCAAGCAATATACCCGCCAATTTTCAACTTCATACGGTGCCCGGTTCTAGAGATAATCGAAATACAGACAGACAGACAGCCAGCGATTCCTGGAATTATAGTAAGGATTACAAAAAAACCCAAACATAGAAATCATCAAAATTACAGCAGCCAATTTCACGAAACCTTACACAATGGCACAACTGCACTTGCGCCACATTGATTGCATTAAGCTGCGCAACATAAATCATTTCACACCACGCAACATTTCACTTATGACACATTTCACGAAATTCTCCCAGTGCGTAAGTCTTCGGCTTGCCCAATAAATTGTGGCGTAACTTGCACAATCATTTTAGGTGGCGTAAGTTTCGGGGTAGCGACTGATAATGACCTGTTTTACAAGAAAACCGTTTTCCTCATGGAGCCTGCCATTGCACAACTTATAAAGGTTAAAACAAGACACTCACAGCTTTGTGTTTGAGGTACATCAAGTTACTATTTTACTCTTGACAGATTTTTTAAAAGTTGCCGCACGATTCTGAAGAAAGTCAGACAAATTAATTTCAAAATGGCGGGCTGAGGTGATTTCATGCAACGATAATTTCTCGACAGAAAAAATTCAAACACAAACAGCCGTCGTAAATGCTGCTAATATCCTAGTCCAAGATGTTTGATATTATTTAAAATGTTGAGCAGCTATGCCAAGTTTCGTTAAATCGTTTGTAAGTTTGTTGCGCAGCGTTCCACAGACAGTAGTACGCAAGTGGCCAAAAATTGCCACATGCAACAGCAAGACTGCCGTATATGAGATCCTTGAGCCTTATGCGGTCATTCTCAAGAAATGAGGACTGTTGTATCAGTTACTAACACTGGTTAGGACCTAACCATCACTGAAAACGAACCACCTCCGTTAAATTGTTGCAAGCCAGCTGTTGACTTCATAATGTATGCTTGGGTATACTAGGTGCATATGTGCATTACTTTCTCATTACTAGAGCTGGCACTTGGGCACCCACTGTGACTAATAGTTTCTATAACAGATTCAACAATCTGCATTTTGACAGTTGAAAATGAACAGCAATTTTTTTAATGTTTTTCCGGCACCAATGGACATAAAACATTGGACACAGCTCAGTGGATTGATGTCTGCTACAAATCTGCCGGTTTCACCATGAAGTGATATGTATCGTGTGCACAAAGTCCATACATGATACATACATGAAACAAGCACCTGGTTCTTTAGCTCTTGAGCAAGACACTTTACCACTATTGCTTCGTCCTTCAGATGGGACATTAAGCCGTAGGTCCCGTGTGTTGTGTAATGCACGTTAAAGAACCCAGTTACACTTATCGCTAAGAGAAGGGTTTTGCCCCGGTGTTTCTGGCAGTGGCTGCAATGTGCGCCGCAGCACCTTGTAAACCATTATAAAGGTGCTACATAATGGGTCTCATATTTCTCATATACTTCAGTTAACCATCTCTAACAATAGACATCCAGCTCCTTGAGTACCTTTTTGGTAGATACATGCGCTATATAAGACTTCGGTACTATATTATTATTATTATTATTACATCACTTCGTGGCGCACCCGACAAATTAGTAGCCCTTATATCGGTCCATTTCATGAAATTACAACAAACGCATATGGCATCTGTTAACTTTTAAAAAAAATTGAGAACAATTAACAGACAAGCTTACGTGTCACACAACCAGCTTCATCTGCTCCGTCGACACACTCTGTTGCTCCATCACACTGTTTGCTTTTGGGGATACACACCGAATGGCCGCAGTCAAACTGATGGTTCTGGCAGTCAAAGGACTCTGCCAAAAGGAAAAACAAAAGATGACTGCATCTGGACATGTGCAGTGATATATATCTTGTGCTGCATTGTGGGACAGTATGCGCTATGGGTTCCGTGAAGAAGTACCCCCTCAATGGTTATAAAGAGAGAGTCGCGGGAGATCCGCCGAGAAAGGACATTCGAATGCATTGCCAACGACATATGGCGCTAATGCGAAGGTGTTTTGGGTTTTTTTACACTCAGAATAAAAATATAGTTGTGGGTACTATGGGCTCCTTGCACCAACGAAAGAGGGTGTGTTTTTATCTCTTTGAGAGCTCCGTGACTGGACACACAGCATGCACATACTGTACTAGTTTGCGCATGAAGTATGCACGATTTCCAGATTGTGAAAAAGTTATTCGAATAACGTTCGAATTTAACTTGCGATGGTCTCAAAGACTAGCTCATCTCAACTCTCCTTTTCTGGCCGTTGATGGGGTACTCGTGCATGGAGCCCATAGCACCATACATGCGAAAACCTGAATACGATTTTTACATGTATTCTCTTTAACAGAATCCTGATCATCTGCCATTGATCAAACAAAAGCAAAATTACTAAACAAGCAAGTTTTGCTCAAAAGTGAAAGGAAGATTACTGCAGTGTTCCTGTTGGAAACCCTGTTTCATGTTATTTTTCTAATTATTTATTTCTTCTTTTTTTACCTGAGCCATCAACATCAAAGACGACCAGATCAAAACCGCGGTCATTATAAACATTGTCACTTGTGAACAAAATCCACATCTCGTTGCCATTGGAGAGCAGCGTCGGCGGCAGCTCGTTTCCGTCCCAACGAAAGAACAGCGTGGACTTATCCGCTGGGTCTAGGCCATCGCCCACTTCCAAGAAATCGTAGCCCTTTTCCGTGTAGAAGCCGTCCCAATTGATGAGGAGTTTGCTGCCGGATACAGTGCTAAGAAGGTATGTGTGGCTGGCGCCGTTATGGTATCCCGTTGTGGTGTAGCCCGGTGACGTGATCTGCTGCTCCGTATCAACGCCCAGGAAGAATTGTTGGACAAATACTGAATTGTTGTCAAAAATCAGAGAAAGAACAAGGTTTTCACAAAGTTCGCAGGGAAAAATATGAATCCAAAGCAACAAGGTACTGTGCTTGATTTGGGCCGAGGCTTAAATCATTTTGCAAATTAAAACTCTTTTTATTAAATTTAAGGAGCATTTCAGGGGCAAAAATAGGAAAATTATGAAAATCTGAAAAAGGAAAAGATTTTTAAAGAAAACATTGAAAAGGTAATGAAAAATGAAACTATGAAATTGTAAATTTGCAAATGTTGCAAAAAACAAAATTGTAGGAAATATTAGGTATAGTAAACTTGCCCAAAGTGGAACCACATCTCCCAGGCAAGGTCAATGGGTATTTTAGCATTTCTTCAATTCCAGAATTTCAACTTCTAGTTGACTATTTTCACAAAAGATAAGGATAATATAGTGGGTATTTATAAAGCTCACCTATATCCACCAGGACTGGTGCTCAAGGCACTGCACTATTATTACCCCTGATTACTGGGCCCATATGAAACATACCAAATACCATCTCAGCTCCCTGGGGAGTATACAGCTCGATGTTGCCTGTTAGGCACAAGGAAGTTATAATTCAATCACAATAACCATCTCTGGCCTCACAGGTACCCATTTACTCCTGGATGGAGAGAAGCAATGAGTGACAAAGTGCCTTGCCCAAGGGCACAGGCACCATGACCCCAGGCTGGACTCGAACCCACAACCTGCAGAATTATCCGCAGACCACAAATCCGATGCCCCTAACCACGAGGTAACAACACTCCAGTGAAGCTAATGAATGGGGTCAATAGCTATGAAAGAGTTATGGTATCAAACAATGGGCATAGCTATCGGGATATGACAGTGAATATAACTTTCCGGTGTTAATTACCTCGACACGATTCATCCTGGTTGAGTACACAATCCTGGAAGCCATCGCAGCGCCACCGATATGGAATACAGGACATCCCGTCAGAGCATTGGAAAGAGGACACGTCAGAACAGAAACTGGCTAGACCTGGTCAGAAATGTTGGCAGGGAAAGTGAGGACATGCCTTAAATTTGTGATGAGCTTTGGATCATGTACTGACTATCATACTCTGTACAAATATTGTCAAAATCATTGATGCGATCTGAGGCTTCACATAGGGTGAAAGGTACAACTTTGGAGAGTTTGGGGGTTTTGGGGAAGTACCAAGTAAAGTGAGTAACGTTACAAGAGAAATGGTTTTGAGAAAAAATATGTGATGAATACTCCGGCTCTTTTCAGAACAGAGCTTTTGTCAAGTCCATCAGAAGGCAAGTCACAAGTCAAATTGCAACTCAGGATTACGAATTATCCAGTTCACGTCGGATGACGTGTATGTACACGCAAAGGTTTTGCGGTATTCGGAACGGACAACGGATATACACTCAACAAGCGACCCGCTCGCAGCGAGCGAGGCCGGAAATATCAGGGTGTGCTTCCAGGAGATGACGGCCTGAACCTGGCATCGAGGTTCGTTAAAAACAAGCCTGGGTCCGGTCAATGTCAAAATAATCCCAGTGCGACCAGGTTAATGTCACCAATCCTAGGTTTTGTTCTATGTCTAAAGAGCACAGCAAAAATGTAGGAGAAACCCTATATCTACGAGCTATACCCACCAGTGTTTTCTAAGGCTTGAACCTCGGCCTGGAAGCCCTGCTTCTGAGTTTCATAATCAGACTGGAACCTCAGCCACACGACAGAGCTAGGAATCACCATGAGCATGGGGAGGGTGTTACCGTACAGCTGTTTGTGGATGCTGGTCCTGTCCTCCACATCATTTCCCTCTCCGATGGATAACGTATCGCAGCAGGTCTCTATGTCCAGCGAGAGGAACTTGATGACCATGTAGCTGTCTTGTGGGGCCGTAACGATCCAGACGCAGTCAGCGCTGTTGGGGTAGGGGTTGGGGTGATTGGGAGAGGAGAGGGTCACGTAGTCAAAGACGGCCGGCAGTGAAATGCTACGATTTCCACACGAGTAGTCTTGTCCTGAAAAACACAAGGAGTGTAAAAAATTGGGCACTTTCATTATTAGAGGCACGTTTGACAATATTCAACATGGATTAAAAATTCACCAACAGGAGATTTTACGCAAATAAAATTCATAAGAGTAGTATATGACAGGCTTCCTGTGAAACTCGGTGTGGGGGCAATTAAGACATTGTTGTGGTCTGATACGCGATAACCCGCCGGCCGCAATAACCCTCAAGACAAACAGCTATCACCCAGCAACAACATCTGGGGAATCTCCCCCTGAAATATGGGGGAAACTAGTGTGCATGCACCACTTCTGCAGGCAGGTACAGTCCATATACCACAAGAGAACTGCCCAATGCTGTACAAAAGTCTTGCTGCATCTTGTCTGTTAAATTAATGGAAGAAATTTAAGAGTTTGGTTCGGAACTACCGTGTACTGTGAAGGTTTTTGAATTCGCGCCGCGTATATTGGGCTTAACACTAGGTGCGCTCGCATTACAAAGTCGCTACAAGATTCCCCAGGACATTTCCGGCAGTTTGTACCGATACGACCTCACGCGGTGGCGAGATATTGCAGCGGTGGTTTGTCACGTATCTACAACAACATCTGGATGTGTGAGCCTATATACAAATAAGTAATAAAATCGCAAAAATTAGCAAAGAAAATACTGTTGATGTGCCAATTGCCCGAAATACCATAATTACTTTGATGACGAATACAAGAACAAAAGAACCTATACGGTATTTCAAGCTAGTACCTACCACTTTCACATAATCCTGATTCACTCGTTAAGCCCATAGGGTATGATTCACACTCCAGGGATAACGCCAAGTGGTTGAGCAGGTCAGTACAGGCGCCGTTTACCTCTTCGCATGTCTGCCTACACAAAGTTAGTCCGGCGCCATTGCTCCGGCACTCAGGCAAGAGGGCCGTGCACAGGACGGTACTGACGAGGCTGTGGCAGCTCAGACCAAATGACTCGGCTGCACTCATGACATCGGTCGCTGCGGACTGGGTAGTTGGGTAAGTGGAAGAGTAGGACAGGGCAGCGGTGCATTGTGGGACTGCAATCGGGTCACACTGGTACTCGGGGGCTGGAGGTAAAAAAAATCAATCAAAAAGAGGAACGTTTTAAGTGTCACACTTTTTTTCGCAAGAAAACTTGTGAAATCAAGATAAAAAAAATAATAAAATTAGCACTTTAAAAACTAAAATCCAAACTATATCATAAGAATTTGGAGCAACAACTTCTTCATCAGATGCAAAAAAACAAGAGAAATTTCCCAAGATTTGCATAATGACAAGTTATTCAGCACAAAAGCATAGAAGACACGTAGCAAATTATAATAAATTTAATGAACTTTTTCAGGAACATTTCAAAGCAATTTTAAATGTAATGCAAATCAATCACTGTCATTAACTATTTTGCTCATTTTTTTTGAGCAATGCACTTTGATGAAGTCATAGGCAAAATAAAGAATTTTTAAGTTTTGTAAGATTATCGGAAGAAGAGAAATAAGACAATGCACATGGGATCTAGAATAGACAAGTTTTACTTTTAAAGTTATAGATTTTCATTTGATTCAAATACAATACAGATCCGTTGTTTCCGTGTCATGAAGAATGCATCCTGGTTTTGACATCTGGACAGTCTGGCAAGAAAAGAAGTTAGTTCTTACCACCGTTGACAATTGACGATGCCACGTCAAAGTAACTGGACACTTTAAGAAAGGAGACCTTTCGGCAATCATCAGAGGTGGAGTCAATCATACCGACGAGAGTCCAAACCCCCGTCATATTATTCTGACACATCAAACCAGTGGCCAAGTCACCCTGTAGGGTACGCAAAAAAGTATGTTTTAGTGTCTTGGATACTTTAATTTTAGTGTCTTGGATACATCAATTTCATTAGTCTAGAATGGTCATTTAAAACTTGCCAATGCGCAAGTGGTGGTGTGCAGGGGCGACGGAACTAGGGGGGAAAGGAGAGGGGCACTTGCCCCTCAGATTTTCCCAGGCCAACAAAAGTGTCCCTCTTGCAGCTATAGATGTGCCCCTCGAGATGAAAGCAAAACTGCCCCTCAAACGCATATGTATGAAAGCACATGATTGCGCCACAAACAAAATTGTCTCCTCTCTTGTAATGCAAAACCGCCCCTCAAAAACGCAAGTACCCTTCTCGCATTATCAAGATTGGTCACCTTCTCGAGATGGAAAAATACCCCTCGAAAGCACATCCCTCTCACAATAATAAGATTGTGCCCCTCTCGAGATGGAAAATTGGCCATCGGAAACAACAGTGCTCCTCTCACGATAACTTCTCGAGATGGAAAACTGGCCCTCGAAAGCACAATTAGTGCCCGGCTCCCAACATTAAAATTGAGCCCCCGCTCAAAATGGAAAACTGGCCCCTTAAAAATTGATAATGCTCTTTACACAAAGAAGATGGTCACTGAACTGGCCAATCAAAATCAAAAGTGCTCCTCTCACGATGAATGATAATGGTCTCTTTACATAACTAGGTAAAGAGCAAGATAAACAACGTATTCGTAATTTCTTCCTCGTCATATAGGTTTACAGCGAAATGAACATGACCATACTTTTCCTCCACTTTCACACCGACGGTAGGTGCCCCTTTTTTCTGGTGTTGCCCCCCAATTTGAAAAGTGTTCCACCGCCCCTGGCAGTGTGCATGCAGAGAGCACATTCAGCATGTTGATCATTACGCAAGGCTAACTACCCTGGAGCTAACCTTCCCTCTTTCCACCTCCTTTTTAGTAATTGCTACTGTCTGTAATTTTACTTACAATGCAACCATCAGCATTGGCAAACTCGGCACAGATGAATTTGTCAGTGAGGTCCACGGGCAGCTCAGACTCAGGGCACGGACCGTCAGCAATGCTGGAGGCCAATGCCGTCTTCAGGTTTTCTTGTACACCTGTAAATCACCAAGAATTTTTCAATCAGTAAACTGATATGATGGAATACTAGGGCAGGCCCTTCTTGGCGAGCAGTTGCCCCCCCCCCCCCTCCAACGGCAAAAGCCGTACTTGTGTATTTTTGTATTTTTACAGTAGTGGGCCCACCTAGTTGGTACTTTGGCCCCCCTGATACTCAGGGCTGTACTTGGGCACAATCTCTGCTCTTCAAGTGATTCCAAAAGTACTTCAAGTTATGACATTTATGATTAAGAAAAAGAAAATGAAATGTGATTTCTAGCTGTTGTGCGCTACATCTGGTTCAAAGCCAGTTATAAGGGGCTTGGTCGAGGTATATAGTCATCGCAATGCATGCTTACCGACCAAAGAGGACCATCCAGCTATATAGCAACTGCCGTAAGTGGAAGCAGAACTGCTCCCTGCTTCAAAACACACTGGTCCCACGCCATCGCTGTACACCACGGGTTGCGCCATTTTAATAAACGCTATGTCGTTGTCGTAGGTAGCCGGATTGAAACCCGGATGGGGGTAAACTCTTTCAATTTCCCGTTCCACGTGGACAACGGATTGGCTGTAGGAGCTTGTGACGTCACCAAAGACTATCGACATGAACAAACCGCTTGTCCTGAAATTGATATATACACAGAAAAAGTTGTAACGAACTGTGTAGACCCAGGAACTGTTATTAAATGACCATTTGATTTTTGTAAGAAAGAACAACACACCACGGAAACAATAATGGTCTGTCCTACATCAATCTACACCTGGGATGCAGTCGAGTCCATCACAAGTCCTCCAGTCCCAATTCAACTCACAAAGCTATTCAAATGAGCTTTAACAAAGTTACTCCTTTGTCTTGTTTGCATGGACCTGTGATTTACTTGTGACTGAACTTGTGATGGACTTGGGATGAAGCCGACTACATCCCTGATCTACACATCATTCAATATTTTTAATGTCATATGAATCTTTGACCGTGAGAGGGGACACATTTTCTTTAGAAGTAGTAGTTACACACTCAATACAAAGTCTTTATAGCACACGCACACTTGAAACACAAATACCTAAAAAAAATTATGTCATGAAAGGCATAACCCGTAGCTATGTGGTTGAGCAATACCAAGCAGAGAGTCATGTGTTCCCATCCCACGTACACGAGCATTAAGCTTGTGCTTTTTGTCACAAACAGTACTCAGCATACCATGCTTATAAAAAAAAATTAAAAATGAAATGGCTGATTGTGAATTACACTGTGTGAGTAAAATGGAGCATTCCTGTATGTTCTACATAACCCCCGAGGGGCCTTTCAGTCCTCGGGAGTTGGGTCTTTTGTTCAAAACGGTCCTCTGTAGTAAGTTGGGTGCTTAGTCTATGGGAGAGTGTTATATTACAGGGACAAAGGAAAACACAAAGCATTGTCCTTGGGAGTACAGTAAACACGACTTCCTGCCTGTCAATCACAAAGTGTGCCCTGACCAACTGTATCATGACTTTTGGTCAGGTGGTTAACTCCATCAAACTGGGTCACAAACCAAAGATGGGCGGGGCTTCATTCCATTCTTACCCGAGGCAGGTGACTGAGGTCACCGCCCAGTCATGGCTCAGTAGTGTCGCCCCGCAGTAGTGGCCGGTGCGGTACCTGAAGGACCCGACCCACGGCCACGTACCTGGAGCTGTAGGGGTAGCACCAGGGGGTGATGGAGGGGGCTGACTGGATAGGCCACATTGTGGCGGGTTCAATACACCTGCACAGAGAAATGAAACACAAAATAGTACAGGTTGTCAGCTGGATTCAGTGGCACACCCAGGATTTGGCTTGGGGGAGGGGCTCACACTTAAATTTATTTTTCAAAAAATTTTGCTCAAACTTTTTGTCCCAGAAAAGAAATTTGAAATTTTTTTGGGGGGAGGCAGACTATTTTGACGTTGGTGGCGCCACGTACACCCCTGTTATACTACTCGAAAATAGGCCACATTCATATCACATTGCAAGGTCAAATCGTGGGACTAAAAACGAAAATTACAAGAAAAAAAAAAATTTGGTGACAACGAAGGCCCCCCCCCCCCACCCCCCGGATGTGCCACTGTGGATTCGAAGAGTTGTTTTGGGATCAACACTCCTCAGATGGTCATTATTTTAGTGTCATTGGCACATCTCTCAGAGAAGTCAGAATGTTTGTTGTTGCTGTTGTTTAATATCCTTATATTTCGTTTTCTATTTCATTTCAAGATATTATGATTCCATGATTTTGACATTTGTGAGGCATTCTGGCAAAATGAGACAGAACGAGGAAAATGCAAATGCGCAGAAAAATGGAATTGATGTTTTTGCAAATATTTTTAAGAAATAGTATACAAATTGGGGAATATTTTTTGAGTAATAACAGTTGGCTAATTTAAGACTTTAAAGGTTTTTCTCTCAGTAGTTTTCTTTTTTGACATGTCGATGTTGTGAAATTAAGCCATAACTTATCAATGGACTATCCAATTGAAGTGCAACAAACAATATTGTAAGGAGAATTTTAATTTCTTTCATAATACTTGCAAACTTTCATTTCCACCTCTGCCCAGTTGTCTCATCTTTTCCAGAATGCCTCAAGTTTAGAAAGCAGTTTCACAGGACTTTTTTCCAGAATTAATTTCATACGGGAATCAGAATTGTCAAACAGGCAGGTCGCTGTTCAATGTTATTGCAATGTATGAGTTTTTGTGCATGTCGAATGGGAACATTATTTGTACATGGCAAGCGTTGGCAAGCGTACATGTACATACTGCAGGCACTGTTTGTGTACCCGTGCCTTTGCAAAATTACAGAAAAAAATCTTTTGTTGCTCCTTTGGCCTAGGTGACCTTAGTCTGTCAAATGTCGTTTCAAACGGAAAGTCTTTCTACACATATCATGTTCACTGGGACTGGTACCTTAGGAATGTTTTCAGTGTATCCATTATGCCATTTTTAAAATCCACTGGCACTAGCTGAGTAGCTCTGCCCTTTACTTAAATACTAGCCCCAAGGCAAAAGCTGGTGTGGCAGACACACAACATTGGCCAAGGAAAATCTTTAAACCCTGTCCAGAACATGTTAACCATAACAAAAGGAATTATGTAACCACTCTCAAGGAACATTTCAAAAAGAGTTAATAGCATGGGTGACGGTAGAGTCATCAGCGACAAAAAGTGTGTTGACTAGAGAGAACCGTGTCACAAAGGGACAAGAAGTGTGAAGGAACCGCACAACCTTGTAACACATCTTGTTCTCCACAATGAGGTCTGTCATATACAGGGTGAGTCAAAAAAGCGGAACCCAAACCCCAAAAATTATATTTCATATTTTAAAAAAAATGTAGCACCAAAAATAATAATGACTGGAAAGCCAATTTCAATAGCTACTTTTAGATGAAAACATTACTGAAATTGGTCAATCCGTTCAAACAATATCACCATTTAAACACAATGACCTTAAAACCTGTCTCGTCCAAATATGCAATTGCAAGGATCGTCGTCGTCACATTGTCTTCAAACATCACCAGCGATAAAATCTCAGTTTAAGCTTTAAAAATATTCAACAAAATCCTTTTGAAGGCAAGCCTTTTAAAGAAAGTAGATTTTATAAATCATATTGTTTGCCTAACCAGGGTTGTTATTAAAGATATTGTGTATACAGTTGGTGACAGTTGTTGAAACAAGTATTCTGTGTCATTTTCTTTGTTGTTGCAAACAGTCAAAACACACAATAAATTGGGTTTTTTGGGCGAGACTGGTTTTAGGGTCATTGCGTTTAAATGGTGATATTCTTTGAACGGATTGAGCAATTTCAGTAATTTTTTCATCTAAAAGCAGCTTATGAAATTGGCTTTCCAGTCATTATTATTTTTGGTGCTACATATTTTTTTTTAAATGAAATATATTTTTTGGGGTTTGGGTTCTGCTTTTTTTGACTCACCCTGTATATAGACTATACTACTTTAACACAATAGTAAATAATCCACAGTGGTCTGGTCTTTTTTTTTTGTCTGGTGTGAAAAACAGAAATCCAAAAATAGCCCGGAGGAGTGTTGGCTATTCAAGATACCGCTGAGCATGAGGACGTTGTGCTAGACAAGGATGCATGGAATGTGACAATCAGAGTCTCCTGAGAAGGCGTCAGTTGAGGACGACCTGATCGCATTATGACGATGGCTGAATTCTAAAGATGAGACATTACAGGGCAAGGCGTGATAACACTTGCAGAATGAGAAGATACGTGTACAATGTCTCTGACATTTATCTAAGATAGTCACTATGCGAGTACGCGTAAGGTCTTTTGAATTGGATCAAGACTCACTTGGTTCAGCTGTTGTCACCTCTTCCGTGGTGGTCTCAAGAGAGGCAGTAGTCATGATCATCTGTTAACCAGACCAAACAAAGAGTGGCAATTTTAATCACCTAGAAAATCGGCATAATTGGCAAAAAAAATACATCATGGACAAACATAAGATATGTTTAAGTAGCAGAATGACTTTAAAAGAATTTAACAACATTTGTTTGTTTTTGGTTGTGGAACCTTATTAAGAAATACATTTTCAATTTAAACTGCCAATATTATTTGACATTAGAAAAGTTCTGAAATTAATAAGAACTTACCATGGAAGACAATTTAAAAAGCAGATAAAATAACTTTAAAATCTTAAATTAGAATTTTCCCAATTCTTTGGTTATCCATGCTGTATTCATTGTGCATGTACATCAATCATTACAAAAAGCAAATAGGCCTAAACGGTAAAAAAAATTTGGAAGACAAATTAAATTTCAGAGCGTAAAAAGTGTTTGTTTGTTTGTTTCTTTCTTTCTTTCTTATTCTGAAAAAAATATATACAAATTGTTAGTGGGGAAATTATTGGAATTATATTTGTTCAGTACAGCACAGATATACAAACATGGTATTGCCCTTCACCCCAATAGGCAGTACATTGCAAGCATTGCATGCTCAATGTTTTTTTAAAGTTGAATGCAAGCGAAACTTGTATAGGAAATCCCCCTTTGCCAATGAAGGGATAGGCATGCGCGTCTATCTATTTGGTACTTCATATAAAAAACATAATTTGATAATTTGAATCCATTCACCAGTATATTCAGTTTACAATACAAAAGCCTTTAATTTACTATGAGTAGGCTGATACAATATATTTGTACTGGCAAAATCCGGTATGTCTGTCATTACTAAACAATCATTGATAATTTGAACATGACCAGTCAATAGATTTCTGTTCTCAAACTTCCAGCTGCTAATAGGCTTTATTCACGAGTTGGACATATGTTAAATGGAAAGCGAGGTACAGTGATGTTGACTCGAGTCGCTGACTCGGACTCGAGTTGGACTCGAGTTGGACTCGAGTTGGACTCGCCCGAGTCGAAATTTTTTTTACTTGAGACTTGACTTGACTTGGGGAAAAAGGACTTGAGACTTGACTTGACTTGAATAAATTTGAACTTGCTGACATTAACACGTTTCTTAAAGTTACCCAAAAAACACAAACCTCTGGGCGTACGTGCGCAATAGCATAATCGGTTTAAAAAAGAATCATTGATATAGGCCTTCATAGCGAATTAGCAACCAGCACGCGATAGCTGGGCATCCTGAGCCTGCCACACACGACATGACTAGCACCACTGCGTGTGTTATGGTGAAGTTTGTGCCGTGCGTAGTCTGAGTACCAACCGTTGTCATAGAGCGGTCACTCCATAGAGACCATAGGCTACAGGTACATATTACTGTAAGCATGCTTAACGCAACTAGGAATTAAACGACTGGAAAAGGGCTGCTACCCCCAATCCACCATATAGAACACAAAAATTCACATCATGCATTAAACGAACACTTTCGGAAAGACATTTTGTCAAGACGTCCTTCAAACATTCAACATGATGGAACAAGTTTGAAAATATTATATCAAAATGCGTTTTTCGACTCTTTAGATACTAAATAAGGTGTTTGAGAGAAGAAAAGTTTTATAAATCTCCTTACATGATGAACGCTTTGATAAACCCAATTCCCATCTCTAGTATGGCTCTGTCGTCGAACACATAAACTGGTTCCTGTTACGTAGTATGTGCATGTAATACTTTTTTTTAATGACTCGAGACTGGACTTGACTTGAAAAAAAATTGACTTGGCTTGACTTGACTTGTGAACAATTGACTCGAGACTTGACTTGACTTGGAAAAAATTGACTTGAGACTTAACTTGACTTGCTAAAATTTGACTTGGGACTTGACTTCACTTGGGAAAAAAATGACTTACAACTCTGGAGACGTAAGTATGGAAATAAAGTTAATTGCAAATTAATTCTTTCAAACCCTAGCAGTTGCTTGGTAAACTATTTTAAATTATACCCTTAACCCAAAATTAGCTTTATGCATTAGCTATAACTAGGTAATTTTGTTTAGCAGATTTGCATTGTCAAGATTAAGCAATTTAATGAGCTTTGCAGATCAAATAGCTTTACAGCAGTTAATGAGCAGTAATATAAAGCATAAGCCTATGCGGAGCATTAAACTGAGGTCTTGCCAGGCAACAATTCTAATCCCAACTGTAGCCCTCTTCATGACATGCATGATTTTATAGAGCTTACATTACACAGCTCTGAAATTGATTATTGGCAAGGAACTTGGTAACAGCGTCCAAAAATGTTGTTGCGTTCAATTGACAATTGTGTGGTGATGTGTGACTTAAATTAAATGAAACTCATAGGAGTTTAGTCCAAGGATAAGAGTATCTGCAGAATCAAGCATTTTCAAAATTGACTTCATGGTTTTTAATTATTTCAAAAATAGTCGGAAGGACAATTTTTTGGGAACATACTGCAGAAAAGCATGAAACCTTTTGTCGTCAACGGCAAGAAATCTGACATTTTGCCGGTAAGTGTGATAAAAACAAAACTACAAAAACCACGCTATAGGATTGTATATAATTTGAAAATAACTTTTTTACCCATCTCAGATACAATTAATGTATTCTTATAACTATAGGCCAATGAAATACTAAATTGGCTTGTCAGCATGCAGTGTGTGTGTTTTTCAAGGTGCTCATGCAAAAAAATTGGTGTGTTAATTCAGCCACAAAGTGTGTGTGTGAGTTTGTTTCTGCATTCAATAGGGGACAATAGAGGACAAAGGCTCCGTGCACCCCTTCAACGGCCAGAAAAGGAGAGTTTGGGGAGACCTAGATGGGTTCCTGGTCCATCCACTGCGCATTAGGAAAGATCCAAAGTTATTGGGGGCAAGGATTAGTCTGGGGGACCATCGAACGTATTCGCGTGCCAACGACGCCTGACGCTCACGCGAAGACGCTGTGGCGTATAACTTTGGCATATTCAGGTAGTTGCACTTCGCACGTCCACAGATCTCTCAAAAACGTGCCCTCTTTTATTGGCCCACGGAGCCCATAGGGTCCCCAATTCTCAAAGGTCCACAATTGAAGATCATGTACAAAACATATAGAAGTCTTCTAAAAAGTTAGGGTACAAACAATTGATCAAATTAAGCAGTTGTTTCCCTCCGAAGCAGAAAGGCAGCAAAGTCACATAATTTAAGGTATGCCCAGGCTCGTATTCAGGCTTAACATTTATAGGTTTTCAGGAAGCCAAAATAAGGACAAAAAAAAATAATAATAAATTCACCACAATTGGACCACGTACCACAGCTTCTTATGTGCAGTGTCAAATGAAAACTCTCTAAATACAGGCTTGATACGAAGAAAAGTGTCAGTTTCCAGAAAAGACAAGAAAAGCTTCAGGTTCCCGATCCACCGACAAAAAGACATCCCTACACCTAGTACAAAATCTAAAGTTTATACTTCAGTTGCTGTTGCAGACGGAACTACAGGGGTAGACGTCACAGGATTACCGACAGCTGTTGTGTCAACAAGGCTCTCCTCAGTAGTCATGGCAACAACTGGTGTTGTTTCCTGGATGATCCAAAAACCAGTCCAAAATATCCATAACATTTTATCATTTGGTCATTTGATCTAAATAGGTGGAGCTCTGTATGGCAATATTTTGTCTGACTTAGGTTCTATTTTCTGGTTTAAAAAAGGCTATGAAATGATACTTAACTCTTAACTTATGCCAGCACAGGATGACAATAACTAGATTTTATCACAATACAGAGTGAGTAAAAAAACCCAAGCCTAAATGGCAGGACCACTTTTTCGAATGATAATTTGCCTGTAGCACTTTCAAAATCTAGGATAAAACACCCAATTAATGAGCTTTCTTTTAGTACACGAATCATTAAAATCACTCATGTACTTTTCAAGTTACAGCATTTTGAACACAAACACCATTTTAAACTTCTTTCAACAGATCACAAAAATGATATGTGTTCTTTCCGCAAACCAAAACCAATTCACATGCATCCCTATGAGAAATGTTTTCGTTTTGCTTTTGTTTTTGCTTTTCTTATGTGCAGTGTCAAATGAAAACTCTCTAAATACAGGCTTGATATGAAGAAAAGTGTCAGTTTCCGGAAAAGACAAGAAAAGCTCATGTTCCCGATCCACCGACAAAAAGACATCCCTACACCTAGAACAAAATCTTAAGTTTATACTTCAGTTGCTGTTGCAGACGGAACTGCAGGGGTAGATGTCTCAGGATTACCGACAGCTGTTGTGTCAACAAGGCTCTCCTCAGTAGTCATGGCAACAACTGGTGTTGTTTCCTGGATGATCCAAAAACCAGTCCAAAATATCCATAAAATTTCTTTGGTTTTTTGGTCATAACTCTTAACTTATGCCGGCACAGGATGGCAATAACTAGATTTTATCACAATACAGAGTGAGTAAAAAACCCAAGCCTAAATGGCAGGACCATTTTTTCGAATGATAATTTGCCTGTAGCACTTTCAAAATCTAGGATAAAACACCCAATTAATGAGCTTTCTTTTAGTACATGAATCATTCAAATCACTCATGTACTTTTCAAGTTACAGCATTTTGAACACAAACACTGTTTTAAACTTCTTTCAACGGATCACAAAAAGGGTATGTGTTCTTTCCGCAAAACAAAACCAATTCACATGCATCCCTATGAGAATTGTTTTCGTTTTGCTGAATGAACACTTCCTTTTTTGTGATCCATGGAATGCACTTTAAAATGTGTATCCGTGTTCAAAATGCCTTAACTGCAAAAGTACATGAGTGATCTGAATGATTCTTGTACTAAAAAAAGCTTAATAACTGGGCTTTTTCATATCCTAGATATTGAAAGTGCTACAGGCAAAACTTCATTCAAAAAGTGGTCCTGCCATTTGGGATGCGTTTTTTTATACTCACCCTGTACATGTATTATTTGTAAACCGAGTCCAATTAAAACAAAGAGCTGTAATGACAAGCTCTTTCAAATGGATAAATGGAAGATTACCAAGTTAAAAATGTCCTTGCAATTTGCTTCATTGGATCCAGAAAATACAAATATCAATCCAAAATGTTGCAGTGAATATTTCTTCAGGGCAAGGAAGCAATCCGAGAAAAGGCCACTTTAGGCCTAACAATTTACCTTAGTTTTAGTGGTAGAAGCAGGGGCTTCGGGTGTTGTCGTTTGGGCAGGTGCCATTTCTGTCGGTGTAACAGCGATGGCTCCCTCTGTCGTCGCAGGAATTACTGGTGCTGTGGTCGGAGGGATGACTTTCTCTGTTGTCATGACAATCTCTGCCGTGGTCAGTACAGGATCGGGACCAGGTTTGGCGGTGGAAGCTTCAACCTCTGCTGTGGTCGGGACAGGATCAGGACCAGGTTTGGCAGTGGAAGCTTCAACCGCTGATTCTGTAGTAGCGACAGGCTCCGGCATCTGGGTAGGTGGTGCAGCAGTGAGGGGTGGGGCCACTGAAGGGACATCAGGGGTGGGGGTGGGCTGTTGGGGTGGAGCTGTTGGTGGGACACTCGGACGTGAGGTCGGCGATGTTTCTATGACCACTGATAAAAATAATTAGCTTTCTTTTAGTACAGAAGTCATTCAAATCACTTATGCACTTTTCAAGTTTCAGGATTTTTAAAACACAACCACCGTTTTAAAATTCTGTGTTCTTTCGGCAAACGAAAATAATTCACATAGGGATGTATGTGAATTGTTTTCATGTGAATTGTTTCCTGTGACACGTTGTTTGTTGGTACACAATCGGCCGCTGTACCGTACTGTATTCGCAAAGTGGCGTGAACATATAAATTTTGCACCAAAAGTGAAAGCAACTACTTTTCGCAAAGTTTTGCTGTTATTTTTGGGACCCGAGTCTTATTAACCTTTGTACGAGTCGAGTCTTCATTTTTATTATCTTTTTTTTTTAAATTTTTTTTTATCAAAAAGTAAAAAACAAGTAATAAAGGGACTCAAGTTGAGTAGAGCCATTTACCCTTAGGGACTCCAGTCGAGTCACCAAAAACTGTGACTCGGGTCGGACTTGAGTCACTGACTCAATCCATTACAACTCTGGGTCTCCCCCAACTTTCCTGTTCTTACAGTTTTGGGTTTACTTGTGCACGGAGCTATGATCAAAGTGCTTAAAACAAAAGGTTAATTCAGTTCAATGATGGTGCGAACAGTTGCAACATACCTTGTGTGACTTCCACTGTATTTACATCAATGTCAAGGCCTTGGCAGCAGGCATTGCTGTCTATTGCCGTGGTGATGGTGATTTCAACTTTCGTCCCAACGAGCGATTCCACGGACGTCCCGCTGTTTGGCTCCGCCGTCGGTGTCAAAATCACAATGGCCTGAGTGAATGAGATCGTGACGCTGACATCTACACTCCCACTGCTGAAACCGTTGACATTTGTCTCAATGTAACTGTCCCTCAGGTCACTCGTCAGGAAGGCATTAGCCATCTATCCACAGGAAATAAAAAGACCATGAAGTATTAGAACGTCAGACACAAGAAAACATAACTTTGAAAATCAAGCAGGTACTTCTTATAAGATGGAATTTTGCATCGGGATGATGTAAATCAAATTAGGTCTTGTCCTTCACCGACGTTTAAACACTGCACACTCAGTGCGTTACCTCCCGAGTGAAAGTTGGAAAAAATCACTCGGATGGGACTCGAACCCATGACCTCCTGCTTTCTAGTGCAGATGTCTTACCACTCGACCACCAAGCTAACGGGTTCGGTTGGCTGGTTCGAATCTGATGTACATGTACATAGCAGCGGGTACCGCATCAACTATGCGGTACCGCATCAACTATGCGGTACCCGCTATGAAGTACTTCTTTACAATCTGCAAAACACAATCTGTAATTTAGTGGCTTACATTTGCCTTGATTACACTTGATAATAGAGTGAAACCCATTTATAATACTGTTACTTTTCAATAAACCAAATTTTTACAGGAGAAACACAAGAAGAGTTATTATTATTTGGCAGCGACTATTAAGAAAAAAATGTGTTTTTTTATGAGAAACAGTTCATGTAATTACGATATATGCTTATTCCTACCAATGTGATAACATTTTAAAAGCTAAAGCAAAATAACGAATCTCAGCTATGAATGAAACAAGTGACTGAAATAAAACAGTTTAATTTTACCCATGAATGATGAAATGCTGAAGATCTTACTCAAATAAACCAGCTAGTTAATTTAAAAAAACCTCGAACTTACAGAAGCACTAATACTGGCTGCCAGATCCATATACTGTTGGGACTGAGGGTCATTGTAAGCCGGCAAAAATAGCTGATTCAACTTCATGGCAACATTAACCTTCACTGAAAAATAGAATATCAAAGACAAATATTGTTTTTGTAAAACAGGAGTGAACAAAGTTTTCTCTTGGTTTGATTCAAGACACTGTGTGCAATTTGGTATCGGTGGTTTTCTGGGTTGAAATATACAGCAGACAACTGAAAGAGAGGAAATTTGGTTTCACGTATCATCACATTTCCATTCAACCTTCATTTAAATTAACTTGAAGCAATTTTTTCATCAATCTAGAAAATACCCCACTTTTGAATCTCATGAATTATTTACTCTCCAACTTTAAACTTCAGTTTATTAATGCGGACCTACCTGCTGGAGGGGCTTGCGTTGTAAATCCTGAAAGATAACGAGATTAAGATTACATGCAAATTTCATTGTACATTTAATTAAATTGTGAAATCATCTTAGGCCGAAAACTGTAATCAGGCTAGAATTTGGATGAAAACCTGCGCCCCATCCTTTCCAGAAAGCTATTTTTTACATCTTGCTGCCCACAATTCATAAGTTGCAAATAGACTGCAAGTTACTTCCATGACTATTTTTAACCAGTTCATGTCGGAGGGCGTGATGACATGCACTGGCTGTTTTTATACACAAGCATGGCTGACAGGTTGAGACGTCAAGATTGCCTCGACTCGCCTCCGGATGACATATAAACATCCTTATCCCTCATGCCTTTTGCACACACATACAGTAAACTCTGTAAAGTCTGTGGAGGCGGAACGTACATGTACATGTCGATCTTGAATTGGCCGTTGTGCACGGCAACGGCCTATTGTTGTACAATTCACGCTCAAGTGCACACCCAAGAGTATTGAAACATACAATGATTCGGCAAGAAATATCGTGCACATACTGTTGTAATGACTCATGTGAATCGGTATTTGTGGCGTTTGGCTGTATAGGAAGTTGGCTGGAAAATGTTGCCTTTTGTGAAAATGGAAGTTTGGAAAGTTATATTATGTGCTGCGGTCCTGGTTGCCCCCCCCCCCCCCCCCCCCCCCCGGATATAATGCGCTTTCATGCAACTCTTTCATTATTGTAAAAGATCAGTGATGTGTTTTATCAGTACCAGAATAAATTGAAATAAATGCAAATACATTCATCCACAGTGAACTCTACAGTTAGCAGAATTTACTATCGATTATATCCTGAACAAGCAGGTTACTATGAAATACCATGCTGCTGGGAAATAGTTATCTTGACAGACTTGTGTACATTCTTGGTAGACTCTTCCAAGCAGCTTAGGCCTACACACGCTTGCTTAGCAATGTTTCTAAACCAAATTTACCTGGACGCTGAGTTGGTGCTATGGTCAACGTTGTCGAGTTGTTTCTCTGGAGATCTTTGATTTAAGAAAAACAAAAAAACCACAAAGATTAAACTAAAAAATTACTCAAGAAACACAGGAAACCAAAAACTATGAAAACAACATTTGAACCCATGACCCTTGACATTTACTGATACTCACCAAGTACATAAATAACAACAAAGATAGCCAGGGCGACAAGAAGAAGCACGGCAAGAACGGACAAAATCGCGAGAAGCCAGTATATGAAGCTCCGTCGGTTTGCCTTGGGTATTGGCACATGTCTGCAGGTGGGGAAAAAACAAGAACAAGTCGTTCTGTGAAGTTCACATCAGTGATTTAACACCAATTGAATCATTTGCCACAATTATGCTTTGTCTAGAGGTCATCAAAAAATCAATAACAAGTCAACCACAAGTCAATCACAAATCAATCACAAGTCAATCACAAATCAATCACAAATCAATCACAAGCAAATCACAGGTCAATCCCAATTAATCCCAAAATAATCACAATTTCATTTTATATATATTTTTAATTTTGATTAAATGAAAACTATAATTTACATATATATAACAAATTACTGATATCATTACTTTTTATATAAAAAACACGAAGGATTTCGCACAGCTTACTTAATTAACACAATACTGAAATTGAACAAGGCGGGAACTTGGTCACAGCATCAACAAACGTTGTTGTGATCAATTGATACTTGTGAAGTGAAGCGTGACTGAAATTGAATGAAACTCATAGGGGTTGAGGCCAAGGTTTAGGAGTACATGTGTATATCTGCACAACCAAAAATTTCAAATTGACCTTGTGGTTTTGTAGTTATTTCAAAAAAAGTCAAACAGGCATATTTTACGGACGTACTGTATATAGCTCCATGATGAAAAAAAAACATATTGCCTTGGTCCAATTGTATGAGCTATTATTCAGAACAAATTTCCATAACAATATGATTATCTTTTTTGTTACCTGTTGGAGTCAGAGTATCTTGATGTAGTCCTTTGTGACCGACTCTCTCCGTTGTTACCCGAGATGTAGTACGGTCGGTTGTAGTAGTGGTCGTAGTGGGGGTCGTAATCCCTCTCAAAACCGTAGTTTTCTTGGCCCCTCTGAGCATGTGGACGAACAGACTGTGGAGATGAACAAATACAAAATAAGACAGGGGAAGATAGTGTATCAACGGAGAAATTAAATAAGTTTAAAGGCATAGTACCCTATCACATGATTATCACAAAGATAAGATTGGTTCTAAATAACTTGTACAGTTATTATTCTCTCTGGCTTCAGCAACGTCACTATAGCGCCAGGCATTTGGGGGGGGGGGGGCATACATGTGCAGTACCAAGCCCGGGCACCAAGCCCGGATTAAGTGTTTCGTAGGCCCTAGGCACCAGAGGCCCTGCCTCGCCCTAGGCACTGCCACCAATTCGTGTTGATGTTATTAGTGTACAATTAATAGCACTACACAAATAAAGCTAGGGCAATTAAACTGGTTTTGCATGGTCCTAGCTCTTAAAGCCTGTTGGCACCAATTAAGGGCGTCATTTGCTTCTCAACAGTGGGTGGTACATACATGTGTATCTTGATCAGAAAGCGAGTGCAAAGCCTAAATGGCGTGGAGTTTGGGGCCCACTTTATAAAGGGCCCCAAAAATTTGATTGGATTCTAGACACTCTGTGGTGCGATCTGAGACAATTTCTGACCACTTTTAACCAAATTTTCAAAAGATCATCATTCAAACATCATTTTCGAGTTTGGAATCATTGAACCAACTCTTCTGAGCTACAGAATAGGCTACAAATTTTTTATTCGGGGACGAAAATACAATGTAGTCGGGAAGGGGCAAAACGACATGTCCCCTGTCTCTCCTGATCGTCGCCCATGGTTGGCACTGTGCTATGGAACAACATGCTGTACAGCATGCAGTTAGTGAAATCAAAAACTGTTTAAAAACTTTTCTCTGCCTATGGTTGTGGGTGGGTAGACCTTTATGTGTTTTATGGCACACTGTGGTATTTTCGTAGGCCCCGAAATTTTCATAGGCCCTAAAAATTTTCATAGGCCCTAGGCACAGTGCCTACTGTGCCTATTGGGTAATCGGGCCTAGGGGCACAATACAATAAAAAATACTGAAATAAATATGGCGACAGACATGTCTGGCTTGTAAAACTTGGCTCACTGCCATTTAGAAGAAATCAAGAAGCGTAGATTAATTCTGATAATCAGTGAACTTAACGAATTTCTGGAAATAAATTTGAGCTACATGTATTGATCATCCGAAATTGTGTTTCATGATCATCAAGGTTGTTTCATGATCTTTCACTATGTTCTCAAAAAGGGCACCACTGAACTGAAACTTCAAGTTCAACAGGCAACAGGTTAGGTTTGGAACATTGATTTTGAGTGATGTTATTATTAGAAAGGAACAAAAAACATGCATGAAAAGCAAATGATCCCAAACAAGTTGAATGTTCATTCATCTGCAAGCAATATAATAACAGCATTCTCAAACCACAATAAAGACAGACTTGAAAAGGGGGCGGGGTGTTTATAAAAAAAAAAGGAAAAAGGCTAAAGAACAGTTTGCGGAAACACCATGTGGGAATAATTTGTCAAACTAAGAGAATGGTTCTGCAAAGAACTATAAGGTATAAACTCGACATTCCGTTCAGTATGCTCTGAACGTCTATGGGAGAGCCTAAAAAGGCTAATCAACAAATCGGGATTGGGGCATTCAACCCACAGCCCCCTGCTGGATCTACCACTTAGGTTTCACTTATTTAATTGTCTCCGCAATTTGTCCGGTTTTTGTCTCTATTGTACTGCTTCTACACTGTCTCTTTACTTGTCAAAATTGTGTTCAATTCCCATCACTACATGAAAGAACAATACATCCAGACACCAGTGTTGTAGTCGAGACCGGATAGTCCGAGACCAAGACCAAGACCGAGACCTGAAGATTCGAGACCGAGACCGAGACCGAGACCAGCCCCTTCAAGGCGGACCGAGACCGAGACCAATATGGTCCGAGACCGAGACCGAGACCGCTGATAATAAATAACAATAGTCGAAATAAAATTTTAAAAAGACATGTTATTATAGTTGAAAGTTGTAACCTTTCTATTCACAAAGATTACAGACCAAACTTTTGACCAGTGGCAGTGTTGACAAATTGATACATGACACCCTACTTGAGCAAAACGTAGTTACACTTATTAGAAATATGGGCTTTGACATGTTGTCTGCACCCAATCGTGACAAAAGTAAAAAGTTAAAGGCAGAAATTTCATCTGTTATATGAACTCGAATCCTAAACTCCACAGTCACCCCTTGGTTTCAGCTATGACTTCTAACGGATATTTAAAGATGCAATTTTAATTTTACATTGTGCCTTTTTTTCCTAAAATAAATATAGGACTTAACTTCTAACAAGACTTGTGTACTTGATTTTAAAAAATGGGAGCTAGAAAATGTTGAATTAATTTTAAAAATTTCTGTCATAGGATGTAGACTTGTACATGTAGACCCACAAGTTGCGAGGTGGTAGCCAGAATGTGCCAGATATGGATTTTAAATTTTTTTCTGAACGGGATTTTAATTTTTGAGGAATAACGGGGTACTTCAAAATGAGCAGCCAGAAAATGGGGTCTCATCATACACTCTCATGGCAACAGTGAGTGGTAACTGGTAAGAGTGTGTGAGTTCAATGCTGGAAAATCAGGTAGGAAAATTTACTTTTTCTTCAAAATACTGTCCCAAATTAAAGAGAACATTGTGTGGGGTCGAAAATATAACTAATTTGAAGCACCTCATTTATTATCAGAATACAAAATGCAAGTGATTACGCCCACAGGGGTGGGCTAAACTACACAATCCCCAAAAATGGCAGGCCTTATTGCATAAATTGTTACAAGTTTATACTTTGTTTATGTGCCTGACACAACAGATAAATGCCGAACTTGTTCCAAATCGTTCAGTGACTGGTACTGCTGCAGCTTTACATGTACTTTTGGGACTTTCCAACGTGCAGTCGAGTCCAAACCGACCACGATATATAACAAACTTGATCTACGGGCTAGCAAACGTTTTAACTATCAACCGTACTGAACGAAGTGAACACAAAGTAATCGATCGAGCTGTAAAAGCTACATATTGCCGGTCTCGACCCAAGACCAGCCAAAATATCAAGACCAAAGGGGACCGAGACCGAGACCAAGACCAAGCCCACAGCTCCCGAGACCGAGACCGAGACCAGCAAAAAGTGGTCTCGAGACCGAGACCGGTCTCGAGACCTACAACACTGCCAGACACCACTTCTTTGGTTGATTTCAAAGTCTATGGAGAGTCAAGTGCATTTTCAAAGTATTTTTCAACAAAAGAGGAAATGTTTCTCACTCCCAGATGCATGTCAACATTTGCCATGACTGACCTTGATTGAGATAATATATGATGAAAAAAGTGATGGTACGTTCTTTCTGAATTGCTCTTTTAGTGGATTTTTTTTTGGGGGGGGGGGGGGGAGAGTCGGGGCAATTTATATTACATTTTGTAAAACAGTCTGCTGTTTTGCGTTAATATGTCATCAAAAGTCAGTATGGTAAAGAGGACATGCATGTCATTTCATTTGATGTGGGCGTTTAAGTCAAAGATGAAGAAACCCTAAGATATAAACAAAGCCTACAGTTTTGAAAATCAATCCAACTTGTGTGTATTGGTAGTCTTCAATTTGTACAAAAGCGCCATCGGATTAATGGATCTGAACGGACCAAACGTGTCACTAGGGCACTGGAATGTTGCAAAATTTTATCAAAATAGCCTTATTTTAAAATAAGCCTTAAATCATTTGGCTGAACCGTACGTACTCCATTTTAGCCACTGTGTTATGAATTACAAATAATTTACACTGATATGTTCAGTGCATGGGGTCTCGATCATCATTGTGGAACAAAATGCACTGAAAAGTTGCAGTTAGGTGCCTGAATTTTGACTTTGACGTTCCGCTTTTCAAACCTGATCTTTCTTTTCTTCTACTTCTTTTAGAGTTGAATGCGAGTGGTGAGCGTACAGTAGTTGATAAAAATACTCATTTTTGCAAACCTGGTCACGTTTTCTAAAGCTTTTTGAAATATTTTTATGGGGGTGGGGCACACCCTTGAACACAAAGAAATATTTGGGCCCCATGCAACCCTGCTTACACGACCTCTACTGGATTCTATGGGGTCAGGCCTGGCTGCTTAGCAGTCACGCATGCGGTGCATGACTGCTATTAGGGATGCAACATCATGCAGCTTAAATATAGATCCAGATTATTATCAGAACTTTTAATTTATGGTTGTCTCTGGATTATTTTATTCTGGATCTATCGTCAGAAAAATCAAGACTATAGATAGTTTAGGCAGCTGCCATATTGTCTGCTTCTGTTCAACACGCATATTCATTCATATAGACTTTTGCATGCCCTTGTTAATCTATCTGGTACAAAAATAGGCGGCTTATAAGGCATATATTATTTGTTTTCATATTCAAAAGAAATTTTAATGTTCTACGTTTCCCAATTGTAAACACTACTATAGTTAAAAGTGAATTTTATCTTTGATACTTGAATCGATAAATTTATTACGTTAGATGTTATTTGCATGGGTTTTTTTTTTAAATACTGCTCTCCGGTGATTGCTTTTCATGTCATTGACAATGTCCTCATTTTCAAGTACAAGTAAGTACAACTCTTATGATGTTTATATTGTAATGTGACCACAATTCAGCTTTTGACAGCTATGGTCAAATGGTAGGCCTAATAAACCATTTCAAATTCAGAAGTCTTGTGCCTTTTGGGGGGGGGGGGGGGGGCTTGTGCCCCTGCTGCTGAAAACATCCTGGCTATGTCACTGTTAAAGTTACTTTTGCTCCCACCTTACTTTTCATAAAATAGATTAACAAAACAAAAGCAAATCAAAACAAGAAGTGCTAATTCAAAGGTAAGTTTTGTGAATTGCAAGTTTAATCTTAGTTAAAAGCGCTTCGATCTTAGTTATATAGAGGCGCTAAGTATATGACCATTAACCATATGGTAACCCTTACTTGTAAAGAGCAGGTCTAAACACAGAACTGCGAATTCAGCTAAGAACAAAAGGGGGGGGGGGGGGGAGTGATACAGGGAAAAGTTTCTTAACATCTGTCCATGGGCATTAATCAGTGGGGGACGATGGGAGGAGACAAGTTACCCCTCCCCACTTTTTTGGGGGATATCATATCGTCTGTATCGTCTGTAGTCTATTATGATTCTATAGCTCAGAAAAGCTGATTTAATAACTCCCAACTCGAAAATTATGCTTAATGATAATCTTTTGCTAAATAAAATTGATTAAAGTGGTCAGAAATTGCCTCAGGATTGCACCACAGAGCGTCTACCATCCAAAAAATTTTGGGACCCTTATATAAAAGCGGGCCTCGAACCCCACACCGTTAGGGTTTTGATCGTGTTTCACGCTCGCATTATAAGTTCTGATCAAGGTATGTCCATCCTACTTTTGAGAAGCAATTGATGCCCTTTGCATCTGTCAGGTTCTTTTGGTGTGTACAAGAAATGGAAAAAATTAGGTAACCAGATGCCACTTTTGGGGGTTCTGTACAAAGTCTATAGAGTGTTGAGTACATTTTCAAAGTAAAATTGGAAATGTCTCTTGGTTCCAGTTTCACGTCTTTTCAACATTTTTTTTATGTAGCAAAAAGTTGTGTCAGGATGCAACATTCTTTCCGCGCTATTTGAGAAAGTCAAGTTTAACCATGGTTTAATTATCCCCCACCCGGTCCCACCCCCTCCCCAAAAAACAAATATATGCATCAAAGTTTGATAAGTAAGTCTGCAAAGACTAGCTCACACAAAACTATGAATTTAGCCTTCCTCCATGATTCGACTATACATGTATAAACCCAGCATATGTGACAGAGGGGTACCCCCTAACACCCCCCCCCCTTCTCCATATAGTAATACACACCCAAGACTAGTATTAAACACATCCCCTAGATATTTCAAAAGAATTCCTGAGATTCTGGTAGCACAATAATCAAAACAAAAGAGGGGGGTCGGAGAGATCCCCATATCGGACCATTTTTCCCTTCACTGTGAACTATCAGCCATCAGAAAGTGATAATATGTCCTAAAAAAGTCAAAATTAGCAGGGAAAATATTGAAGTATTTAGAAAACACTTAGATCTGTCAGATATAGATGGCCAGATATGGAGATCTTTCCGGGGGTCCCTCTGTCAGTCGCGCTAGTAAAAGAGCCTCAATTAAGCTGTTAAGGTGGGTGAAGGACATAGGCTCTTAATATTGACTGCACGCGTGTACACCTGTCAGCTTCTTTGGGTACGAAACAAACTAAAACAAAAAATCCTAAGATAAAAGCTGCCTCCTTTTTTTTACTTAAATCGTGTCCACTCGATTCCACGATGGTTCCAGAACGAAAAGTGTTTCCAGAAGTGAGGACCCATTTCCGCATGCGGATTAAGCAAACTGTACCAGGCATTAGGGATTACGGACTGCGGTCGATCGGCACATTCGACCCGCACCCCATGTACCAAGAATCACGGTGATCGTGAGGGTAGTTATACGGGATGTCACAGAGGCACTTACCCATTCACCGACGTCCCGGTGCGGGTCGTAGGGACGAACCCACCCGTCATCATCTCTCTCTCCACGGTAAGCCTGTGCCGATCGAGACGGCATGATGATCCTTAGACAGTCCAATACGCGATGTCAACTGAAAATGGGCCGTTGGTGGAAAAAATATTGTTCGTCTCTTATCTTGTCACCTGATTGTTTTTAAACAGATCTACACTCCTTCATGTACGAATGGGTGTAGTATGATAGTCGTGCCTATTTCTTTGGCAAGGGGTAACGCGTTGTCACGATTGATTTGTGATGCGTGTACGTTCACGCTTGGGTAGTCGCATTGTCCGTCCGATTGTCAAACCAAGTTCCCGTCGATTCGCAGGAATGCCCCACCAGCACAGTCATGCCATTTACCCGGAACTTATTGTGTCGTATGATGCGTGTGTGGTTTTATGGTTTTCTGTTCAAATACTCGTGAAGCCAACTTCCTCAATATATTGACCAGAAAATGTTGTCACCCTCATAATCCCATTCAACTAGTTCGGTAATGATTAAACCAGAATTCTGCCAATGTGAGAAGTGCTTCGTTGTATTGTATTTGCTCAGCGAAGTGGCCGCAGTAAAATGACAATCAGCCGTGGTATGCAAAGCAAACATGCCGCGATGACGTATGGTATATTGACATTCTTGCTTATCATCTCTCGATAAAAATTTTATACCACTAAATGACGGACACACGAAACTATATTCAGCTGAAACTTGTTTAATTAGTTAAAAACCTTCGCAAAAACCTTCCACGCACCCCACGAATCCGCGGCCATTGTTTTAGGGGTTTCCTTGCAAGGGCGGATCCAGAACACAATTTTGGGAGGGGCCAAAAGAAAGTTTTGGTCCCCAAAAAGTGGGTCAACAAAATTACAGCGTGGGGTTCGGGGCCCGCTTAAGGGCCCCGAAAATTTGTTGGCTTATAGATGCTCTGTGGTGCGATCTGAGGCAATTTCTGACCACTTTAACCAATGTTTTTTTCAAGGCCCCCCAACGCCAAGAATTCAACGCCCCCCTCGGCAAACTGCTGAGGTATAGAACTCGTGTTTAAAGAGACAATTCAAACGAAATAATGTAACCATCCACTCTCCCTGAAATCATTAGTCAGTTTTCTTTGGCAGTATTGTTCACATCGCTATGCGCAGTGCTTTCCTGTTTTACACATCGTCTGGCAACTTATCATCTGTGAAAAAAACCCGACATGTGAACAATAATACTGCCAAAGAAAACTGACTAATGATTTCAGGGAGAGTGGATGGTTACATTATTTCGTTTGAATTGTCTCTTTAAACACGAGTTCTATACCACAGCAGTTTGCCGAGGGGGCGTTGAATTCTTCAAAAAAAGAGAAACAGACGATTAACCCAAGTAAAATAAATGTTTTTAGCAAAAACAAGGTTGACGATTACAGTGTATTTACCAAATCACCGCTGAATAGTCCTTGGCAATAATATGCGGCGTGACATCCACTAAGGAAATTCATGTCCGACCAGGGATATTTTTAGGTGGCCATGTCCTTGTCCTTGGGCCTGATGTCGCTTAGAGGGCGGATCCAGAACATGTGACATTTATGGGGGGGGGGGCAAAAAATAAATTTGGTCCCCCAAAACGTGGTTCCAAACTACGGCGTGGGGTTTGGGGCCCGCTTAAGGACCCCGAATTTTGTTCTTAGATGCTCTGTGGTGCGATCTGAGGTAATTTCTGACCACTTTGACCACTTTTTTAGGAAAAGATGGTGGTGTACCCAGTGCCTGCCTTTATTGCGACGTCACTTTAAAAAAAATAGGTTTGTTTTATGGGGGGTGCCGGGTGGGGGGTGGGCATGGCCCCCGTTGCCCCCCCCCCCCCCCCCCGGATCCGCCCTTGCCTGATGCACGTTTTTGTTTGTTTGAAGTTTGCTTGTTTGTTGGGGTGTTGGGGTGTTTGCTTGTTGTTTAAAATATTTTTTGGTTTTCATGCTATTAAAAAGATATTTTATGCATATATATGCATTCAATTCCATTGCCAATTTATGTGTAGTGGTGGTGCTGATGCAAATGTCGAAAGAAGTGTTGACATTATTAGCAAAAGATTATTAAAGGATGATTAAAAAACAGGTTGAAATTTCAACTCATACATTTTACGCCAAAAAAACTATTTGATTCACTTTGTATCATCATAAACATATATATATATACAGCTGTACATATCACCAGCCGACGATATGTTCAAAGTGAACGACTCTGTTTATGTAGTAGAATGTTTTTTAAGGAATGTTTTAATAACTATAAGTTAATGATATCAATTCTTGTCTTCTTCGGTTTTATAAATGAAAATGAATCATATTACCTGATGTTAAGTATCGTTGCATTGGCGAGTTATGTGGAGAATTTCTAAGTACAGGGCGAGGCTAGTCGTATTAACATGGATTAACTCAAACCTCAAATTGCACCAGGGCTATAGAAACATTAGGGATCATTAGAAAAAGCACGCAAGCGGGATACGTACGTACGCGGCTCGAAACAAGCCTTTTCAGTCACCATTCTGTGTGATAATTTCACCAGATTTACATAACACATTTAAATATTTTGAGGTGAAATGTACATTGCCGATTGCGTACCAGACCTTGACCAGGTAAAACAAACAACGCCAAATGTTGACGTAATAGGCGACTAGTTTGCGAGCGCATGATACTTGGCGGTCCCTAATTTCGATGGAGCAGCTACACAATCGACAATTTTGTGGGGAAAAAATCCATTGTGGGTCCAGACGTCACTAGCCTTTTCAACATTTGTAGGCAATAACACCCCGCCGCCCGGCCGCGAATCATTTTTCCCCAAGCGACATCCGTTTCCCATCTTCTGATTGGTCCATTACATGCATATGCATATCTAATGCCTTGTTCTCCACAACACAAACCCAAGATCCATTAATGCAACTTTACTGACTGCATTGAATCGCACATGTATTTTGTTGGTATTGTCTGTTAGGGCCTACACACTTTTTTTGCTACCATTACGGCATTCCTACGTGTATAGGATAACCAGCAACCAAAACTGTTGTGGGTTTTTGTGTCCCTGAACTTATGACAAGGAACTATAGGCATAAGTTCGCTCCACAACAAAGTTTAATTTGAACCGCAAACTATTTTTATTCTCTGTTACACCATTCCTACCATTACGGCATTCCTACGTGTAGGAAAACCAGCAACCAAAACTGTTGTGGGACACAAAAATGTGTCCCTGAACTTATGACAAAGAACTAGGCATAAGTTCGCTCCATAACAAAGTCATATGTCCTTTCTATAACCAACCGCGCATTGCAAATGCGTGCACCCTGCATGCGTGTATTTGCGCGAAGTTCAATTGACCATACTGGCTCTTTGAATTAGGCCCCCAAAAAAGTCTCCGGTTTCTGGTATGGAGCTTGTCCAAAAAGTGGTGCGGCGACGCGGCTTTTTTTTTTTTTTTACCTGACTTTTTTGCTCCAAATGTAGACTGATGACTGCAAATGGTGCCCGACTAAACTTAGTGCAAATATATGAAGTTCAGAGAGGCCACATAAAGCTTATTCTCGATCATAACCCCATCTAAAAACACGTGAAAATTGTGCAGCAGCAGAATTCCAGTCAAACCAGTGAGTTTGGCGGTTTTTAGACATCATCTTTCATTGAAAAAAAACCTTTTTCATTTTGCCGACGCGCATGGCTACGGCGACGCGCGCGCATACCAGAAACCGGAGACTTTTGTTTTTGGCCTTAACTTAAATGACTCCAAATAATAGTTACTCGACTCTTTGAAATGGATGACCTACACAGGAAGCCGTTGAATAAAAAAAATTCCAGTGTGGTTTAGAAAACAATTTTAGAACGTTTTTGTGTGCAATTATTGAGCAGAATTTTGCCAATCTTTGTAATTTCAGAATGCTTTCCCCGAGAATACCCAGCTTTTCTACTTTTTTCAACAAAGTCTAACAAAATTATATTTTCCCAGAAATGGCCATGCACGACTTTTCCATTTTTTTTTTTAATTGAAACCCAGTTTTGTATGCGTTACTCGTCAAATAATCTCCAGAAACTCAGCCCAAATGTGCAGTCTTCAACCGCGCCCGCCTCATATAGTGTGATTGGGACTCGACTCGCGTGCACAGCAAATTAAGATGGCAAACAATTCGGTTCACCCACTTCCTATCGACCCTTCCAATACTCTTTTTTTCTAACTCAAAAACTACTGAGCACCTCTCGCTCAAATCGACTAATCAGTTCAGAAATTCCTTAGCAATCCAGCCATACTCTTTACTTGGCCCAAAACAGTGATAATGTGTACGAATTAAAGCAATTTATGACAAAATGGTACCGAAAACAGTTGCATTTTTGTATACGTGCATGTATACACAAGTGCAACTTTTTTCGGTACGATAAATTGCATAATTTTGTACACATTATCAGCTGCTTTTGGGCCAAACTTGAATTTCTGTACTGATCAGTCGTACTTTGACCAAGATGTGCCCAGTAGTTTTTGAGTTAGACAAACAAGTATTAAGCGGGGACTTAATTCTTCTTTTGTTGAGTGTACTAAAACCGTGTTCACGAGTCGGCCATATTAAATTGAAAGCGAGGTAAAATCTTCATTTTGGAACTTGCGAAGAGAAATGAAAGCAACAAATTAATACCAGTCTGCTCTTATGAATAATTTAAAATTTGTGATTAATTATACGCTCATGTTTTAAGCCACATTTAAAAAACAAAGTGAAAGTGAAGCTCCAATTCTTAAATAGTCTGGCACCATCCAATTCAACAGTTCACAATTTATAAAATACATTCAGGGAACACGACCAAAATGGCTTCCTCGTGAGCAAGGCCCTTTATATCGTGTTGACGATTACAGATTTCTGCATACTAATTCAATACATTTATAGCCAATATGCATAAAGAAGCATCAATATTAAGTGCTTGAAATTGTAGCACAAACAGTAGCTTAGCCAGCTTTTGGTGTGTGGGGGGGGGGGGGGGGGGGGGCAACCGCACATCCGCGACGAAATGTAGGCATGTGTTTTTTTCTCCGGACACTTGGCCTCCGTTAAATCAAAAAGTGGGGGGGGGGGGGGGGGCGGCCGGATGGTACCCATCTTCAAAGGGGGGGGGGGGCTCTTCAAAACTGACCATTATTATGCATACTGGGGAATTTTATTATTCTGGTTTATTCATATAAAAACACGAGGTAGGCAGCCACAAAAGAGTCGCTGATATAACCACGTTTACACTTTACAGGAATTAAAAATTGTAAAATAACAGTTAAAAGGAGTAGAAGCTTAAAATTACAACAAAGTATAGGATCATGTATACAGCACAAAACAGCACAATATTAAAAAAAAACTTATTTGTAAACTTTTTAAAAAAATTCAAAATTGAATACAGATCATTCAGGGAAGATGGTCTAATAAGAAGTACTCACTTGCACCTACATATGAATATATGCCGATTTTCACGGCGCATTGTAATAGTTTTTGAGCTGGTTTTCATTTTTTGGGTTAATGTCATAACTCGCTAAACCATTTATGTAAATATTTACTGAAAATTTTCATTTATGTAAATATTTACTGAAAACAAAAT